GCCACAAGACTACTAGCAATATTTGTGCTACTTGGCGTACTTCTATGGGTATTACTCTATTCCCCCATCCTGCAGTTAGCCCTGATATGAATCCTATTGAGAAGTGCTGGAGGAGAATAAAACAAGCTCTCCATAGGCGCCTAAGGCAGCCAACAACTGAGGTTCAAATGGTTGTAGCAGTATTAGAAGAATGGGACAAAATTCCTCAGGAATGGATCAATGGGCTTATTGAGCAGCAGGACTTCTGGGTACACGACTTAATTAAGCGATGTGGCTGGTCTACAGCTAATTAATTAATAAAATTCATGATTCTGATGCCCTGAACGCACGGACTTTTGTCCCCATGTTCGTAAGGTTTTCAATACCGGGTTAGCGGCAAACTGCATACTGACTCCCACGCGCAAAGGCTCCTACGTAGGAGTTGAAGAAGTGCCACTTAAAAAAAAGCAGCACGTGCTCTCCGAATTGGGAAGTGCTTCTCTGGCTGCTTACCTAGGTAACCTTCGACTCTTCATTTCCACCTTTTAGAAAAGTAACACAAGAAATTCAACAACTTCAAGATGTCTTCATGCACAAGCGACACAGCACCAAAGAGGACTACTGCTAAATACTCGTTGCGCCAGGAGGACAGAGACAGTGAGCACTCCACAAACCAGAATTATTTGCGCAAAACTTAATAGACATGAAGCAGAACCGGGCCCCACAGATCCTACGAAGAACCCCGATTCACAGAGCAAGGGACCCGAAATGGCTAAAATTACTTCTGTTGCGCTTTCAGAACCTGTTACGGAGCAAGGCACGCTCGCTGAATTCCCCAAATTCCAGGATTTACCTCTCGAAATTCGTGCCCGCATTGTAAGCAGCATATCCTTTGTTCTTCATCCTCGCCGGATGTCAGGTGTGGCGTAATGCGCTCCAATGAACGCTGCACTCTTTGGACGTTCATTACTAGGAGAAGAATTGGTGCTGACTTCTTGCAGTGGTCCTTCGCAGCTCCTGAACCTTCTCTGGTTGTACAGTGCTCAAGTAGGATACGCGATAGAAGCTTCCATTATGCACGCGCAATCCCCGCCGTTCTTCATGCATTCCGAGAGTCCAGATTAGAGTATCTTGAGACCGATGATCCCAAAGATCAATCACTGCAACTACGACGAGCAGCTCATCCTGTTTATAAACTCCATTTTCAGCAAGACTTGCCCCAGAATAGTGGAAGCGACGGTCCCAGGGCAAGCCATGCAGGTTGGTATATGTCAACAGATTTTGACACCCTTTGTGGCAGGCTATACCTTCAACAAGAATCGGGTTTGTTTGTCGACATTGGAGAATTCGGTGTTGCTGCTACCTTGAAGCACTTGGCTGTCACGGTTCATAGGGTTTCATCTCATCTTCAGGATCGAATAGAGAGCCTCAGAACAGGTTTCCCGGTCTTAGAGACTCTTACATTCATGTTTTCAGAGTCCATGGGGGGCCAATCTCGGGATTCAGAAACTGTGATTCAAAAATGGGCAATTACGGAAAATGGGGATCTTTCACTTGGAACAATGGGAATCATAGACTCCGCAGCTGTTGATCTTGATGCAAATCATGGACCCCTTTATTAGCCGAGGTGGGGCAAGAGACGAAGTGGGGCTCGAATATTATGTGAGCAAAACATCGAGATGGTGATTGAAACGTGAGTAAAAAAAGACGAAAATGCAATGAATTATGGTAGGGCTATGTAGCTAGCCACGAATGTACGCCTTGATACATTTCAAGGTTGTGAATCCTAATATAACCGACCCTTGATCCATCCGGTGGCTTCCTTTCATACCTGCCTTCGTCGAATACATGTCGGACGGCTTCTTGAAGATTCTAGACTTGCGATCCGGAAGGATAATTCACAACTTCCCGTCCCTGCAGGAACTGATGCTGATCTCTGAATTTCAGGATAGGCACTTTGTAATTGGGCTGCTTCGCCTTCACAGCATCGAAGACACCTTGCATTGTGTCTCGCTCAAAGTCCACGAGGATTTGCAGCTCCAAGTCCGCCGCAGCAAACTCCACATTCATAGCACCACCAACTCCGGGACTGATCCGAGAGATGAAAGCCTTATACTGCGCTTCACTTGCGGCTGCCGAGATGTCTGAGGCTATAAACATCTTTGGATGGGTGAGGAGGATAGTAAGGGTGTCAAGATTTGGGAAGAAGCGCTAGACGTGTTCGGCGAACTGTTGCTTGATGTCGTAGAAACAGTGTCTTTCGGTGGAAAGGTGACGCAGGCTAGGGCCTAAGTCAAGCGTGAAATGATGATCAGCTAGTCCGTGGTAGAGGAAGTCTATATTGTCAGCTAGGAGGTTTATCTGCGACAGGGTAACGTACCACTAGGAATCCAGAGCGTTTCATGTCTTGTAGAGAAGTAGAAACGTTCGAGAGCCCGAGATGCTCGCACATCTGTAAGTTTAAATAGTCTCAAGAAGGAATGATCAGAACCGTTCAAGACAATGTCTCTAGCCATTTGACAAGCATGAGCCATCGGTGGGAGTGTCCGAAGAATGTATTTGGAGGCTGCTAACAGTGCGTCACGCTCGTTTCCGATTCTGAGTATAGCTCGTGGCGCTGCGAATTCCCAAATCAGTAACTGAAGCTCAACTGGCAAGTCCATGAATGAATGGAATGTTGTTGCTCGCTCAGTCCTTGGCGTTCTCCAAATCGTGCCACGCCATCTCGGCCGTGTCTGCAGATAGTGCCCTCGATGTAACCTTTCTCTGTTGTTGGTCGTCATAGTGAGTACTTAGAGATGGCTTCTTGATGTTGATATGATTGGGATGCAAGAGGAACGGCCGTTTATATAAGCAGCCGCTCTAGCTACGAGTAGGCAGAAGCGGTGAGTCGCTAAACCTTTCATCAGCTGCTATGATGAAACTTTTCATGACTCTCGCTTACCGACGATTCGCCAACTTCGAGAAAATACTATGAAACAATGGTACCGCAGAATTTGGAGGTGAAACTGAGACACGCAGGAAGGAGGGGGGGAGCAGATCGCGCGTGGAAATGGATGAAATCATGCATAGACGTTGAGTAGATGAAGGACGATACCCCACTTATTGGAGTTATACTGGCTGGAGCTTCCCTTCCCTGCAAAGGGTTTCCTCGTGCAAATGCTCGTACTCAGCCACTAGGTATACATCAACAGTCGGTGCTGGTACAGCGAGTTTCACACTTGATGTCTGCAAAGTAAGAGCACCCACCAAGGTTAGAAGGGCCGAACTTCTTCCAGCTCAAAATTTATGCCGTTTATGTAGTCTATAGGACGAAGATACTTGGTATGAATTGCAAAGCAAATCAACCTTGTGATCAAGTATAAAAGAGCTCCAAACAAAAAATAGAAAACAAAAACAAAACATCAACAACTCGCGCTCACCGTCGGAGACGATCGGGAGCTGCGAGCTGTTGGTGCCCAAGCGCAAAGCATTGTTGACATATCAACCATACGGCCAGCCGAGTGGTTGATGGTAGAAGATTTGCTTATTGGAATCTATATGTGTGGTTGGCGAGCTGGCAAGAAAGAGAGAAGGCTGCGCTAGTATATGGAAGTTATATCGATAAGAGCAAGGCTGGGGGAGATGGTTTTGGGATAGGCAGTATCAACGGCGATGACGATGCTCTTGAGTCTGAACGCTGACATTACTAGTCGCAGATACCCAATTTCAAGATGTTAACCTACAGCCAAGACCGTCAAGAAATATCGATAGCCTCCAAAGTCTTTACCGGCTTCAGCGTATCCATTTGAAAATGTCCTACTAACCAGCTCTGAGAAAGTACGGCTTCGGAAAGATTCCTCGAGCAGGGTCACGCCTGTTGCATATCTAGCGTCTCCCGTCATCATACAAATATCGTGGCCCGTCCAGCACTCAAAAGTCTGTCACTCTTCCATTATAACTCCAATCTCCTCTCTCGCCCGTGCTACCCCACCGTAAAGGTTCGTTCTTCGGTCCTCCCACTTCCCCTGTCTTCGGATTTACATCGCCCTCGAATTCGGGGGCTGCACCCCTTCTTATGTCTGGATGTAATTCCTCTCCCTTTCCTGAGGCTGCCACTCTAGCATTGATCTCTGCCGCCTCCGTTGTAGCTTTTTCTGGTGTTGATGCTGGGGACTGGTTGATCTGTGGCCTTGTTCTTGGTGGTGAGAATGACTCTGCGGAAGGACTGGTGGTGCCTGCAGCTTTTGGTGTGCTGAATGCACCCGTCGACGATTTTTGCAATCTCTCGAACTCTTCTTGTTCCTTTGGAGGGAGTCGGGGTGGTGCAGGGCCAGTGGCGAAGGCAGTTCGTCTGGTGGAGTGAGTAAAGAGTCGTCTAGATGGAAGGAGGAATCTGCGAGGTAGAAGTCGTGACATTTTCGTCTTTTCGAAATCAATCTCGAAGAAGAGTAATTGAATGTAAGCTCGCGAGGAAAAGTTAATTGACAGTACGTTCAGTTGCTGAACAAAAGAGGAACATTCGGCTCTCATATATGATGTTGCCACCTCAAACCCGAGGCATCAGTGCAGGGCGGTGAGCACGTCACTATTCCCGATCTGGTGGAGGGGCGGATAAACACCAAAATATTTCCATTGAGTCATTCAAAACATTTCAACAGGCGATTTTTCTCCATTCCTCCCGCAATTGAGTCGCTTTACGATCTTCAAAAACTCTGCAACCATGGAGGGGATTAAGAACACATTTGCACAATGCAAGAAGGAGAACCGGGTAAGCTTTATCCCTGTCATTGTCTTTTAAGATGCCCCGCCACTTCGTTACTGACAATCGTTCAGTCGGCTCTAGTGACATACTTTACGGCCGGTTACCCAACACCTGAAGAAACTGTTGATGTTATGCTTGGTATGGAAGCAGGTGGCTCAGGTAACGAACCCAATTGATCCTTTCGAAAGCTCTTTTGACAATATTCTCAGACATAATTGAGCTTGGTCTTCCCTTCACAGATCCAATTGCGGACGGGCCTACGATTCAAAAAGCTAATACTGTTCGTAATGGCGGCCTCCTCCACGCTTCCAATGCTTACAGTCTTGCAGCAAGCCCTCAAAAATGGAGTCACAGTTACATCAGTTCTCGAAATGGTTCGACAAGCCAGAAAGAAGGGCTTGAAAGTTCCAGTTCTTTTCATGGGCTACTACAATCCTATCTTGAGCTATGGAGAAGAGAGACTTCTGAAGGACTGCCGTGAAGCAGGTGTTAATGGGTTTATTATCGTTGATCTGCCACCGGAAGAAGCTGTCTCGTTCAGAAATTTCTGTGCCAAAGGAGGGTGAGTCATTCCATACAGCAATTCGGCATTCATTTTTGCTTACGGTATGTACAGACTCTCTTACGTCCCACTTATTGCTCCTGCTACCTCCGAGTCTCGAATGAAACTATTATGCAAGCTCGCCGATTCATTCATATACGTCGTCTCGCGGATGGGAGTCACTGGGGCTACGGGAACGCTGAATACAGGCCTGCCAGATCTATTGAGACGTGTGAAGGAATACTCTGGGAATGTGCCAGCTGCCGTTGGGTTCGGGGTTAGTACAAGGGATCATTTCTTGAGTGTAGCCCAAATTGCAGACGGTGTGGTTATTGGCAGTCAAATCATCACAACTCTGGCACAAGCTCCAGCTGGCCAGGGAGCCAAAGCTGTTGAGGAATACTGTGCTGAAGTTGGCGGTCGTCGAAACGCGCCTAATGGAGGGCTCACGAGAGAGGTTGGAATCGTCGAGACCATGGACGCAGCACACGAACCAAACGGGGATAAAGTACATGTTGATGGAATTATCAAAAATGGATCTGGCCCCGGCTTGGCAGACCAAATTGAAGCTTTGAATACTGATGACCCTGTGGATCCAGCTGCGCTTCCTCAACGATTTGGAGAGTTTGGCGGACAGTATGTTCCTGAATCCTTGATGGACTGCTTATCTGAATTGGAAGCCGGCTTCAACAAGATTAAAGATGATCCTGCTTTTTGGGAAGAATACCGGACATACTATCCTTGGATGGGACGACCTGGCCAGTTACATCTGGCTGAACGCCTTACCGAGCATGCTGGCGGTGCAAATATCTGGCTGAAGAGAGAAGATCTCAATCACACTGGAAGTCACAAGATCAACAATGCCCTCGGCCAAATCCTTCTTGCACGAAGACTAGGCAAGACTGAGATCATTGCAGAGACCGGCGCTGGCCAGCACGGTGTAGCAACTGCTACTGTCTGCGCGAAATTTGGCATGAAGTGTACTATTTACATGGGAGCTGTGAGTCGTCCTCTCTCTCTCTGTCACTAAAGATCACTAACAGTTCTGTAGGAAGATGTGAGGCGACAAGCACTTAACGTCTTCCGCATCAAGCTTCTAGGTGCCGATGTAATTGCCGTTGAGGCTGGCTCGAGAACTCTCCGTGATGCTGTCAATGAGGCCTTGCGAGCCTGGGTTGTCAAGCTTGATACTACTCACTACATTATTGGATCCGCCATTGGCCCTCATCCTTTCCCAACGATTGTCCGAACATTCCAGTCCGTCATCGGCAACGAGACGAAGACGCAGATGATGGAGAAGCGAGGCAAGCTCCCCGATGCTGTTGTCGCCTGCGTTGGTGGTGGTTCCAATGCCGTTGGCATGTTCTACCCCTTCTCAAAGGATCCATCCGTCAAGCTTATTGGCGTTGAAGCTGGCGGTGATGGTGTTGATACGAACCGCCATAGTGCCACACTATCTGGTGGAACCAAGGGAGTTCTTCACGGTGTTCGTACCTATGTTTTGCAGGACCAGCATGGACAGATCACCGATACACACTCAGTATCTGCCGGCCTTGATTACCCTGGTGTCGGACCTGAGCTCTCAAGCTGGAAAGACTCAGAAAGAGCCAAGTTCATTGCTGCCACCGATGCTGAAGCTTTCATTGGATTCCGATTGATCAGTCAACTTGAAGGTATCATTCCAGCATTGGAGACTGCGCATGCGGTCTATGGTGCTCTTGAACTTGCAAAGACCATGGAGAAGGGCAAGGACATCGTTATCTGTCTAAGTGGACGTGGCGATAAAGATGTCCAAAGCGTAGCAGATGAGCTACCCATCCTAGGTCCTAAGATTGGTTGGGACTTGAGATTTTGATCACGTACAAGCTCATTTGGACTTGACTTGATCTTCGAGGGCATTGTATGCTGAACGTGTGATAATAGCTGCTTTATTCTAGATGCCATTCGTGGGTAGACGAAAATCAAAAGCGTGAACAAGATTGCAGGTTCTTCCGTTGTGAACCTCTTCCTACCATCTAGTTACTTCTGCTCAACTTCCGAAGCATCTACTTCATCTCATTTCGTCTCCACTTGGCGTTTAGGAACAACATATCAACGCAGAGTTCGACATAGTAGGCGCTGAAGACCACCAAACGTAGCCGAGATTCGCGTTTCTTTTTTCATTACCTGAGAATCTGATTCAATTTGTGGAAGCTATCTCCAATCAAATTTCCATTACTACAAGAACATCATCCTGGCATCAACATAAACTCATACTTCCTTACATTATGATAGGCCGTCTGACTCCTCAAACCTGGATCGAACTCACAGATTAAGAAAGTGCCTGATTCAGGATTCCAAGTCTCGAGAGTCGGGTTCTAATTTCGTCAACAAATGGAGCTAGTGTAATTATGCAAAAGCGGTAACTTACTCAGACCGAATCGAGCCTTAAGTTCTAGCTCCGTCATCCATTTGACAACGGGGTCTTTCCACCATTCTGAGATCTTTGGATGACTCGGCTCTCTTGGCTCAAGGTAAGAATGATTCATTTGCCTCTCGAAAAGCTTCTTCCCTTCAGCGTTTAGATATGACTCAAAGAGCTTGATTTGTTCCTCGATAAGGCGTTGACACTCTGCTGGATCGGTACTCAGGAATTGACCGTGGCGGCCTTTGCTTGCTTCCTTCAGGGCTGATGCAGAAGCTGAAAGTTGTTCGATAGTGGGCGAGACGATTATGAGCTCTTCGAGGCACGGGAAACCGCTAATTATTCGATCAAGCCCCAAGGCCCAGCCCTTTTTATAGTGGACACGATAGAAGGAGCTGTGATCAGTAATCGGCACATTTTCCGCTTCAAATCGCTGCACCACACCTCCAATAGCAATTGATTGTATCTCGCTCAGAAATAGTCGTCGATTACTGTCGCGAATATCTAGTTGTTGGTACTCTTGTTGCTTCACGAATGCGCCACCCCAGAACACATGATATTGGGTGAGTAGTTCTGGGTAATAAAGTGTATCATGCTGTGGGCGAAAAGCAAACGATGGTGTTACCCGAGGCCCGCCCTTAGAAGAATAGCCTACATTCATGACGAACATGTAGTGATCGCCATACATCTTCAATGCAATAGCCTTCGAAATCTCGACAAACCTTGCTTAGTGGACTGTTCAAGCTTTTGGTTGAGACTGTCCTGCTGTTCCACTTGGGATGTTCCCAAACTGCGGTATTGCCACCTTCCAGATCAATCCTGATAAGCTGCGGAAAGAGCGCGAAATGCCAGATCATATCCTTTATCTCATTCGGGAGCCTAGCGAAGAAGGGAAATCCTTGTAGGACTGAAAGATCTCCATCGTCATTGTTAACTTCAGTAGTCGTTGATTTTTCTTTTCGTTCTTGAGAAGCCATGTGGATTGTTTCGTGAAGAGGTTGAATTTATGATAACCTGCAAATAATCGCATGTGGTGGGTTCTTTTATAGACACTGAGAGACTGGAAATTTCTGCTCACAACACTGAATGCTGCCGTTATATTGTGAATCAAGCGCGGTTCATATTTTACAGTGAATCGTCCTCGAAACACAGTCAGAGACATCTTGAAAGTAATGATTCACCATTGCCAAGACTGTACTTTTAGAATAACATTCTCTTCTCAGTCAAGATTCAGTATCAATAGCCTTTGAAGTGATACTGTGGTATATGAGGCGTCACCTATGCCAAAGCAGAATAGGAATGAAAATGCTCTGAAGACGTAGTAGTAACTATAGTATAGCTGCCTTGATGCACATGAAACTCTATACATTATAGTGGTAAGGCTGCATGGCTATCCTAACCTCTAATTCAATGACTCTATTTAATAATATCTTGAACATAACTATAAAAGACTACTTTATTCCAAACTGCTTAGATAGTTATCCAGACTATGGTACAGGAATCATAGGACCACTCTCAGATACTAGGCACTTTTCCCGAGGTCTCGATGGAGCTTATTACGCTCGAAATCTTTCTTTGCAGGCTATCTACCAACCCAATGATCATTAACCTTATCCTTCTAAGTACTCAAGTGGCCGTTGACCCAACGATTCTTCACCCCCAGGGATATTTCGACATTATCACCTGATACCTTGATTGAGCGGCTTTGAGCAATTGTACCCGGCTCTGTATCAAACAATCTCATTAGTGCTGTAACATATGATTAAGGAGTAGGACCAACCTAGTCCGAATCGAGCCTCAAACTCTGCTTCTGTCAACCACGTTGGTGTTGGATCTTGCCACCAATCTGATAGTGTTTCGAAATAGTCTAATTTCAAGTAACGATCTCGAGGATGGCTTTGCAACTTCCGTATGCTCTCCATTTCCCGTTTCAGTGATTCTTTGCACGCTAAGAGATGTACGGCTATTTTCTCTCGGCACTTGTGGATGTCTTCGCTTAAATGCGTACCAAGATTTCCTGACGTGGATGCTTTCAGTGTTGAAGCCTGTGATGCGAGATCTTCAACTGTTGGTGAGACCAATATCAATTCTTTGATCTTCGGAAACCAAGCAACAAGTGAGTGTAAAAATGTAGATCCTACATCAACAGGATAGTTGTTGTGACTTATTGACCGTTCGATATCGTATGCTTGATCCTCTTCGAAATTTGCTCGTTCGAGAAGGCTTCCAACAGCCAAGATTTGGACACCTGTCAAGTCGGCGTATTCTATTGCTTGGGTGTCTTTCGCGTCTTCTTCTCCGAGATCACCGCTCCAAGCTGTGAGCCATAAGCCGGTTGAGTCGGGATAATAAATAACATCGCGCTGTGGGTTGAATGAAAAAGGCCGCGAGATCTGCGTTGTGCTTGAGTCTGCAGAGTCGTGTCGACTCGCGAAAATATATGGTTTTCCGGCATTCCTTTGTGCCTGGGCTCGCGAATCTCTGCACACTTGATCAAGACCATTATTGACGCATTTAGGAACTAGAATATGTTTGGTGTTTTCATAGTGCCTTTGGTTGATGGGTTCAAGATAGAGTGGTTCCACTTGAATGAGCCGTGGTAAAAGCGCATGTTGCCAGATCATGTCTCTGAGCTCATTAGGCAGCTTTGGAAAGAGATGAAATTCTTGGAGCTGGGTGCCACTTTCGCTATTGCTCTGTTCAGTATTCGATTCTTCCATTCGCTCCTGTAGAGTCATGATGCCTATTCTGGAAAATAGCTTTGTTGTTGTATGTGTATGGAAGATAGTTGCGTAGCCTGGCCTGGCCAGAATGAGCGATCAAGATTTCTTTTATGCAAAACAAGGCGTTTGTGACATTTCTAAGCATCTGAATGGTATGACACCCTTCCCAATCACAAGAACTGATATGTTGCTCATTCACATGTCACCCGGTCAAAGCAGCTCTTCCCTGATTCTCTCTATTCGGATCATCTGTGAATAAGAGCGTAAATTTCTCGATTGAACTCTTGATTGAGCTACAAATCACCAAATCATGTAACATATCTGGCTCATGTAAAGCTTGTTTACTCGAATGCTTGAGCTTTCTTGACAAAAATGTAAAGGAAACATTACAGCTGACAAATTGCTGAGATAGATCTTTTTGATAAATTGATATTGTGAATAACGAGCGTAGCTACTAAAACTATGATATCCCCCCCCCCCTTCTTTTATCCTTTTTGAGCCAAAAAAAAATGGGACCCTACTTATCCAATTACATTAATTTGAGTTGAGCCTGGTGTCTCCCAACTACTTACAAAAACTTCTCTTCTACTCTCCACGTAGCGTGAGCGACAGAGTCTACAGACCATAAGTCAGCGACAGAGCTTAGTGTCGAGTGTTAGACTTACAAATGAACTTTTGAGGAATCTTACTTCAAAGGAAACGAGAATCGAACTCGTTTTCAGTGATGATAGTTATCTTGGGGTTCAGCCACCATCTACTCATCCGCTGACCACGATAGTAATGCAGCCCAGGGTTATCTCCATCTGAGCGAAGTTCTGCTTTCTGATCCAAGTAGGATCGAAGTTCGTTTTCTAGCGATATCTTAAAGTCTTTGATGCGTTGCTGACATTCATTGACATCAGAGTTGATGACTCGCTCGCCCTCCCACTTAACCATGCGCATCTTGACAAGCTTAGCCCACGGAGGCGAAATGACGATAAGTTCTTCGAGCCCGATGAACTCGCAAAGTGTTGCACAGAGTCCGCGGTAACCTCCAGTTGCCCCCGACACCCAAATATGACCTCCGTCTAGGGTGGCTAAGACGTGTTCAGGAGGGAGGTAAATTATTCGATGTAGGAAATTGGCCAGGGAAAGTGACTTGACGGCAGCCATGCCTCCTAAGTCTCCTTCTTGGCCGGCCGTTGTTATATGACCATAGCCACTTACTTCGAGTAATTCGCCCACTCCAGGTAGATACAAAGTGTCTTTGTCGGGTAGGAAGTGGAATGGGATTGGTGGGAAGTTCGCTGGGAACCCGACATCCACGACGCTTCCTGGTACCAGTTCTCTTGGTGGAAAATATAGAGTACGAGTGGCTCCTAAAGTATGTGTTGCTACCGCACGGGATGCTTTGCAAAGAGAAAGCAGCCGTTGTTGCACGGCTGTGTGGAAAAACTCGTTATTGACCGCCCAACGACGATTTCCGCGAAGATCAAATCTGATACGTCGTGGGAAAATCGCGAAGACCCAAATCATATCTTGAATCTCATTCGGAAGCTCAGAAAAGAAGTGGGAGGTCTGCAGGAGCTGAGGAGCACTTCTAGACTCTCCGGCATCTGTAATGTTGTTTTCTGGAGACATGTCTGAGAGCTATGTGATGGAGTGTGTTGTGAAGAGAATCTTGTGAACTTGAAGTAAAGGGCAATTTTAATTTAAGGAAACTGGACAAGAAATTAGATGTCTTGAGCTTATATGCTTGAGTTTCTAAGCATGTGATTGTGTTGCGAGTCTTACGGTTATTCAATATGGGTTAGCTTGAAAGTTTCCTGATTCGGTGACAGAGTGGCAAAATATGAAGGAATTAATCATAATGTATTAATACAAGAAAAGATCGAAACAGAAACATGGCTAACAAAGACAAGTGAGAGAGTGTTGTCTATCCGTGACAGCATTCACGACTTTCTAGTGCTAGAAGACTACAAATCTGTTCAAAGTAAGATTGAATTCCCTGACTATGGCCACTGACGCAGTGACGAAAGAGACATTAGAATGTGAGTACCAAGTCTCTAGTATTCAAGGACATTTGACTCCGATATCGCCCCTTTTTGAATCACACATAAGCGAACTCGAGCTCAAAGGCTTCAAGGAAAAGCGAAACGAAAATGCTGACACCACAGTCCGGATCATGAGGCTATTTCTTTCTTTGTCATAATTTCACATCAAAATAAACATAGGTACAGCAAACTTAAGCCAATGATGATCTCCCCCCACCCCTCTCCCACCCCTCTCAAATTTCCATTTCCTCGCCCTCACTCCAACCCTCGCAATCGTAAAGAATATTAGCCGTCACCAAGTCTTTTGAGCGCCTTTTTTCTTCTGGTGCTGGCTCGATGGCCAAATTGTACGTAACCTTCGGATCAGCTACCTGATACATTGGCACATAATCAAGGCGAGGGAAAGTGGCTGTCGGCTTCCAATCCATGTCTCCTCCAGCAGTTCTTTCTCGTTGCAAGATAAACTCTTTTCTTTGCTCTGCTCTTGCTCTCCTCCATTTCCATTGCGATCGTGATCCAATGATAAGAATCGGTGGGCTCCAATCCGTCAGTCGATCTCGCACAAACGGAATTGGTGCTTTGATCTGACGGCGCAACTTGGTCCAATCGTGTCTAAAAGACTTTTGCTTGGGGTGGTACGTGTATGGCACACCCTCCTTCGTGTATTCGGTGTCTGCTTCAATGATATAAAGCTTCGTGAGACCGGAGAAGTGCTTGCAGATATTTACTAGGGAATTCTCTCCAAGCTTTATATTTTGCATGTTGACAACCAATCTCTTGATCATGGGGAGTTGATTGTCCTCAATGTGAATGTGAGCGTAAGCCCAGCAAATCAATTCAAAGGCATCGAGACTGATTTGCAAGTAATCGAGGTCGAAATTGAAGTACACTGTCAAAGAATCAGTATGTATTCCCAGGAATATCAATTCGCGGAAGCGAGACCTCCCGAAAGAGTGACTCGAGAAGTTGACTTCCATAGTCTCTTTCTTTAGACTTACCACAAGAAGTACCTTGTCCCAGAAGTACGTCTAGGAATGGTTGATAGATCTTAAGTCCTGCACATCGAGCCTCGAAGGTAGCTCTAAGTACTGCCGGCGGCATTTGTGCCAGACGAATGGTACCTTCCAAAGGATCACCTGCCAGAGCTTGGAGGTGGTTCCAGGTCTCAATTCCTATGTAAACAGCGCGAGGCTTGGGCTTTATGTGTGCCCAGACCATTAGTTGTATCTCTTTCGGTCTATACAAGCCATTAGCAATGATGGTCAACAAGGTGCAATGATTTTAACACAAACGAGAAAGTTGCAAACGGGCGCAATTGAGCGCAAGTCGCACAGATATCACAACTATTCACTTACAAGAGTGGGAATTTGGGGAACGTTGTATGCTGCTTAATGTAATACGGACAGGGTCTTGTAAAGAAGTCGATCCAAGGCGGATGGAATGTTTTAGGCCTGTGCATTGTGATTGCGCTGGCGCCTGATCGTTGTTGATGCTGTCCAGAACAATTCTTGAAAGGCACTTTTGAATTCTTTCTCGTATCCCAGACAGAACCGTTGTCCCCAGAGAAAGGGTTGAAAGTGATTCAGATTATGAGAAAGGTTCGGTTGTTTCGTGGGAGCCTTGTTTTCGATGTCTACAAGTAGGCGGTCACGCGACCTGCACGGTCCATCCCAATCGGGCAGCTGCGATCTGTACGCGACCCTTACCCATACGCGCCTAACCTTCAGTTCTTCCGTTTCGATCTGACACCTACATATTCTCAGATCGTAACCACAAATTCGAAACCTCCACCAGCGAAGCCATCTACAATGTCAGAACTATCAGACTCTTCCACGTCCGCAATGACGGAAGCCCCCAGTGGCAAAACCTTCACTGTCTTCGACAAGCTGCCGATTGAGATCCGTCTCGAGATTTGGAAGGAGAGGTGAGTTCAGCTCTGCCAGATATTTGTCTTCATTCCCCAATATCATTACATTTTTATTTCGATCTTGTTAAAGAAAATTACACATGTACAAACGTGTTTACTGTCAAAAGCTCTACTAAACTACGCGTGGTATAGTATTCCCGAGGGTCGTGTCGTTGCTGTTACGGACCGAAGAGCCAGACTGGAAGGTTGGGGAGGCAGCTTCGATGGATTTCGTGCTCAGATCTCTGCTCGATGGACAGTTCCTGCTGTCATGCAAGTCTGTCAAGAAAGCCGCAATGAGGTCAAAAAGACTTACACCTACATCCTGAAAGATCAACTCGGATTCGCTGTTCCGTTTAACTTCCAGCATGATACTCTTCTGATGGATGGCCCTGATGGTACTGTCTCGATGTGGTCATTCGAGAAGGCTGGCCGCAACGATGAGAATTGCCGGAAAGAATTGGCTATGATCCACGCCAACCTCAAGCACTTGGCAATCCAGGGACAAAGACTCCTTCCACGAACCTTGAATGAAGTCCAACAATTCACCAATCTTGAAACTTTGGTTCTTCCGTCGAATCCTTTCTGGAACGCTCCGGAAGGTCACGACGCATTCAATCTCAGGATTTCTGAGCGATTACGCTTGACTTGGTCTCAATTGAAGCAAGAGGGTGACATCAAAGATGTCAAGCTTCGTTCTGGGGAGGACAGTGTCAATGATGGAAAATCCGGAACCACGAGGCAATCTGTTGCTAAGTCTTTCGCTGTGCCAAGCTTTGCCCATTACTTTGAACCTATTTTTGGCGACAACTCCGATTATTCCAAGATTCAAAGCCATCCCGAAGTCAAGTTTATGGTTGAGAAAGACCTTCGGGTTCACCTTGCAGCTGGTACCAATGTAATTTCCACCACCCCTGCTCCAAGAGATTGCGCTGACGAACCATTCAGGTCACAGTTTCATACATTGACAGCGCCGATCACCCTGCTGCTAAGGAAGCACGACGTCGGATCTCAACTTCTGATGATGACCCAGAGGCCATGACTCCTAAGAGCTTCTCGGATATCTTCTCGCCACTTCCTCCCCCCACCACCCGTTACCCTGCCGCCATGGTTGAGTTGGATGAATTTCTCCTCCGGCTATCTCGGTTCTGTGTCGTTCACCGTAAACCACCCAACACTCAACAAATCCTCAGTCTATGGAATGTCAGATCCCCTATTGCTACCTCTCTTCGTCACATCCACATTGGACCAGACGACCCACGCCTTATGAAGTTGCAGAACAGAAGCCTTCAAGACCTCACACGACATTGATTGCTTACTTCAAGGTCTAGACTAAGATACAGCATCGAAATCAAGGAATAAACAAGCGAAAGGAAGTCAGAAGGTCAACGAGCATAAGTGAGGCGTATCTTTTTCGCGTTCAATCACCAGCAACTTTTCTTTCACATCTACGGTTCGGCTTTTCCATATGCAGACATAAATGCAAATTGCCGTTTTTGCACAATCATGCCACAAGGCATACTTAGCTATCGCGACGTTTATAGCAATGATAAAATGAATGAACAATGAATCCACCTCAATGCACAAGTGAAGGGTAGAGAATACCTGGCCGCGTGAAACAATAAAAGCTTGTAAAAGATTGTGTAATAGTGAAGACTGTAAAAGCGTTTTAGGTAGAATTGAAGCTCTAAAGCACTCTCGATTCCAAGATCAATGGTGGATTGTCATTGTCTTTACTTGAGCTGGACTAGCAGCTGAGTAGAATGTTGGAAATGCAATCACGTGTACCCCTATTTTGCCGAAAGCCGTTAAGTCCGAAGTACTTCACTCAACTCTTGGCAACGCAACCAAAAGAACATTCAAGTGAGCTTAAAAGCTCTAGTAAGTCTCTGGCTTTCTCGCTATGAGGTTTAATCAGACTATGAAAGCCACTTAGCGGAGCGTAAAGTCATTTGAGCAGCATGCATACCTATCGACGTCAAGTTTTGAAGCGCGATTGATTGTCCAGAAGGCCGTCCGGAAGGCCGCAGTCGAATTGTCCGAGTTTGGCACCATCATCCATAATGTACTGGGGTAACTTTGGCCTGACGGCTCATCATCATCTGACGGATAATCTTCCGGGCGCCAGGGCACACCGGCGTCATCTTCCCTGCTAATATCCTATTCTCCGCCGCATCCACCTACAGCCCATTATCTAAGATATCGTACTACTCCATGTAATATTGCTCTCCCAGAAGATGTGCTCTCGAAGACTCTTGATTACTGGTGGCGCCAAGATCTGTTAGCGACGCCGAATTCAATACTATGTTAGCTAAACCTAGGAAATTGGACACTGCGTTGATGGGTATACAGAAGAAGACATTACTTACGATGTCCCCAAAGTCAAGGTACTAACTCGAGATTGAGATTATTGTTGTTAGGGGTTGTAGGCGCCATAGTTGAGGTGGTTGGGGAGGTTATGGGATGATCCTTGAGTGAGAAGGGAGGGTAATGAGAGGATAGTTTAGAGATAATTAGAGATAATTAGACCAGTGGCAGGATTTTAGAGTCAGAAGAAGAGTTGTAGGGAGATCGTTGTGAGGAAAAGAATATACAAGATTGGCTGTTCTGGATTGTATATTATAAATGAAAGATTTGACAAGAGATGTGACAGCCGCTGGTGCGGCCGAGGTCTCCAGTTTCGGCCAACTCTGCTGCTACCGAGTGTATAGCCAATATTCACACTGCAGTATGACCCCAGCTTTTCATTGATGCCTTCCAGATGTATGTTTTGACTGGACTGTATAGGACATGCTTTTTGAGTCTGGCTTGTGGATTCATATCTGAATCAGCAGTGATCTTGCTGTGCTAAGTCTCGTCTCCCAAGCAGAGCGAGTATGTTCAAAGCAAATTTCATATGAGCATTGTAAATTTTCTACTTCTACAAAGATTCTTTTACGACACTAATAAAACTTCTTAGCCGGGTCTTCAGTATCTAGGCTAATATACATCTGTTTCGTTTGGTTTAGAGGGCGGAGGATGGACATCAGGATGGACGAGGAGGACCGAGGTTAAGGTTGAAGCTGGCGAGGAAAGTCTATTGTCGTTTGAGTTTAGATCCGTTGCCGAAAGAGGGAAGAGGGCATGCCTTGACGACAAAAGACATCTTGCAATTCTGTTCGTTGCATTGATAGGTGTCATATAATCAACTGCATGAGACGTTCAATAAGAGATTGTGGCATAAAATGGAGAAAGGAAATGCGACACATTCTGTGTCTTATGGAAATTTTACCAATTTTGTCGAAATGGAGGCTTGTCTAAGACACTGGACTTGAGCAGCCTTGACGCGGACTCTTCTTCTACTAACATGTTCTTGAGGTCATCTGTTGGAATGAAAATGTAATAAATTGTGCCGCCATCATCTCTCGAAAGAACTCTACAGAACCTGATACGCATCATAAATAACCCTCGTCCCATTCCTTGCCGAGCTAGCAATAGCAACAATACTATTCAACCACCTGTACCTTTCATCACCACTCTCGAACGTCATATGCAACCTCATCCTATACTCGTCCGGCGTATGCTTATCCTCTTCTCCCAAGCCCTCGAGGATCTTCTTCTTTCCAGTCCTTGTCCCTGTTGTTTTCAAGAATATACAAACCCCATCATGAGTCAAAAGGTTGTATCTCGTGTCAAGATAAGCCGTCTGTTGATCACCATCATGGTCTTGAATCGTTTCCCAATCTCCACCACCAGGGAGGATTGTCCCGCGTAATTTCGGACCTTCGAATCGTCCGCCTTTGAAAATCACCGTGCTGCGGTCTCCGTGTCCACCGTCACCGATATGACGGAAAGATTCCATCTCGCATTCTAAGTGGAAGAGAAATTGGAAAGAAGGAATTGGGAGGGTGAAATTTGGCTTGGCCCCTGTACTTTGTCAGTACGATCTAAGACCTGAAGATTCATCAGTAGGTTGGACATTGACTTACACTGGGTGTTAGTAAGTGCGGATGTTGGGTGAGCATGCTCCACCGTTCCCGGCCCGACGGCTTCCTGAGATCGCGACATTGACCAAATTGTCCGAACTTTTCAAAGTCCCTCCCAAGCACAACTATCTGGGAGCTTGACGCTCTTTTGAACAGAAAAGAAACCTAAAATCTATATTCGAGACCCATGACATCACATAAGGTCCTCCGAAGATGTGCCACTTTTAGTCTACGGGCCAGACCGCATGCCATGAAGTTCGGCACTTTTCTGCGGCTTGAAATGGTAATGGACACGACCTTCCAAATTGACTTCCAAAGCTTCCTGAGACAAGCCGAGTAACGCCAAGAGATCTAGGATGACGAGCATTACTTTTGGCGAGAAGTGGAAGCACATAGTCTAGCTTCCTCCAGATGCTTGAGTATGAACAGAACTCGAAGACAGCTCTGACGTCGAAGCCGTAGTTGCCGTTGCAGAACCACCCACCATTTCATGCTGTTGGTCGGTACTCGTGTGCTCAGAATCTGGACGTTGAGTGCTCGTAAGCTCCTGCGTTTCAACAGCCTTCCCTTTCCCCTTGTCCTCTTTCGTGGGATCTTCCGTCATGGTACTATCATCCATGGTATCCGACGTAAGTGGTTGCAGACTCTCCTCTGTTGCCATCTTCTCTTCCTGCAGTGATTCCTGCTGATTCTCCTCTGTTACCATCTTGTCTTCCTGCAGTGGTTCCTGCAAACCCTTCCCATCAACGTCTTCCATAACCATCATCGTGTCTCCATCTGCATCCATAACCCGCGGGCTATCGACTCTAGGACTATCCACAGCCGGACTCTCGATCGCAGGACTTTCCTCAGGTATAAACTTATGCTCCCCGTAAACGAACCTTTTCATCCTCTCCTCATCGTCGCTCTCACTCATACTCTCCTCCCCATCACTCGTCTCCCACTCCTCGTCGCTCGGCAGATTTGCCAATCTCAGCGTCTCCCCGAGCACCAAGAAGTCTCTCTCCAGCATCTCCGCCCAATTCTGCACGTTGCCCAACTCCTTGATCTTTTTGCTGCCCTCATCTGCCAATTTCTGCAGCTTGGCAGACTCCTTGTGTAGATCGGCTGTTGCTTTGATGACATCTTTCTGCTGCTTCTCGAGTTGTTTGGAGTTAGAGTGGAGGTTTTCGGCTCGAGAACGAAGAGTGTGGTCGAGGCTTGAGCCGATGTTGGACATTGAGGCTTCGAGGGCGGCGCGGGCTTCCGCAATCTGCCGCCGTGTCTCCGGAGAGTGATTCGAGGGAGACGCCATTGGAGGAGAGGGATGCGACTGCGAAGATGTACTGGAAGGGAGTGTAGGGGAAAGTGAGGGTGGTGCTGTTGATGATCCTGGAATCATTGGCGGGAGAGGGGCAGAAGAGGATGATGCTTGAGTGGACGACATCGTGAACGTTGAAGAGTCTGCGTTATGTAAAGGACTCGTAATATAATATAGACAAAGAAGACAAAAAAAAGCGTTATCGAGACTCGGTGCACGATGCTTCACGAGTATAAGGTGATGTTGGAAGAATTTCTCGAGGGATGATCAACGGCGGGGCTGGAAGCGGGGTTCAAAATGCGCATCGACAAGGGCTTATCACAACCAATAACACATCACATAAGCACTTCACATGTTCAGTAGAAAGACATCAGGACAAGGTTTGGTATTGCTTTTGGATTGCTTTATGTCCCTGCATCGAAATCGACCTTATGCAGCTATCTGCAAATGCAACGCCAAGCAGGAGCTCCACAGAAATACAATCCCAACCAACCCAGCCAGACCAGCAAAGATTCCTTTACTTCTTGATTTGACGTTGGTAGAAAGCCAACTCCTCACCCTCCAAGATGTATCCATCACAGCGTCCACTCTGTCCGGGTCTCGAAGAGATGACGGCGAACAGACGACCAGCCTCGAACTGCTTCTCCAAAGCGGGCTCAACCTTTCCTTGGCTTGAGAAACGATCGGCGTGCTTCTTCTCGACGGACTTGCTCTTCTTGGTGTCGGGCTCAGTGACATCTTGACCAGCCTTCTGTTGACGTCTGCGACCGAGGTTTTGGCCGTAGTGTGCTTCGTACCATTGTCGGAAAGGAGCAGCATCAACTTGGACGACAGCGGATCGGGTAAGGGTGTTGGTTCGGATAAGTTCGTTGTTGGAAGGGTGGAAAGCGACGACAATCACACGAACCTTGCGGGCAATACCCTCAGAGGCCCATGAGAAGTTGCCGGATTCGAGACGAAGGGCACGGTACTTCTTGTTACCACCACGGGTACGGACTATGTGGATTCTCTTGGCTCCGATGCGAGTGTTCGACTCTTGTCGGCCGGCTTCGAAAGCGCGCTTCTTCCCTGTAAAATTCTTAGTTTTCAGGTTGGAACATATGCCACAAAGACATATGGGCTTTCTACTACGCACGGTAATATGCTCTCTTGGCGCCAGTGGCGGAGCGCTTGTGTCTGCTATCTCGTGAGATACCCATGATTGAGGATTCTGGATGATGGATGAAGTTAGCAGATGCTGCATCACAGCTAAAGGGCAGGAGAGGTAGGAGAGCGCAAGCCAATAAACACAGTCGTCCATCCAGCGACCAGAAAAGCTTGCAAGAGAAACCCATTCCGCAGTCTTGCAATTTCAGGTCTGCGACGTTCGATTCGCAGAACGGGTGAAGTTGCAAGACGTCTTTCAGCTTCGAGGTATCTGCGAATATTCTTCCCAGCCCAATGGTTTTCTTTGCATGCTGCGCATTCTGGTCGTGGATGATGTCGAGTGTAATTGCGGACGAGGATCGAGGGATTGTAGATTGTTACTGACCTGATGATTTCGAATATCACCAGCACGGGTTGTTGTCGTCGAGAAGTTGTCGTGGTGTTCGAGGCTTGGATTTGAATATTTTCTCACAGTGGGAAATGTCGCACTAGCGTGAAATCTAAGCGAGCTGGATCTAGTCACGTGAAAGGTAAGGCTTTCCTAAGTCCCCACTTCAACTTCAAGCTTCTGGCATCTTCATGGATTTTCAGGTACAAGACTATAATCCGACCTCGAAAGAATTGGTAGATTTTGTCACACTCACAGGATAACCACGGCCGAAGATTTGCTGCTTTGCTTGCTTTATTTCGTCAAGCGTATTGCTTTGCTATTCTGTCTGTTCACATCTCGCCGTCTCAAGTTACTGCGAAAAGTGTTCCGATGACAAGTGCATGGAGGTAGGCCATTTTAATCTCATCTTTGCTCCTAGCAGATGCTGAGGGAAGTTTTGACATTCATCCATTCATGCTGCTTCTTTTTGGGAAATGCCTTTTCCCGAAACGCCCAATGGTTAGGCCAACCTACCAGGGTAACATTCTGTCCCCATCCCCAAGGGTGAGGCGCACCTCCACCTTGGTACTTTATTCATACATCCACGCTGTAGAACCTTCGGAACCGAATGGCTATACTTAGATGCTCTCTCTAGATGATAGAGGCCTGGCCAGAACCATGGGTTTCCCAGCATGTATCAATCTTGACCATTCTATCTTCCTAGTCCTGGACAATGGTTTTGTAGTTTGCCATGTCATGTGGAAGCATATTCTTCTCGATCGTTTAATACCCTGCGTGAACAAACCTTGAAAGCATCCTGCTTCAACTATATCACGTGCGACTGGATACAAATCAAGCTTAGTGCTGCTTACTCATATAAGTGGGACATGAGGTTCATGCATCGTCTTCCATTTCCAATCTCTCCATCTCCTCCACAACGATACATATCTTCGTCCCGCACCACGTTCTCATCCCGTTGTACCACATCCAAGATTCCGTGCATGGGGATTTCCCGACAAGCCTTCGATCGCCAAGACGATATATCACTCCCAAGTCGGTCTGGCCGAGATGAACAAGATCGAATCTCGGCAGATACCCGGAATTGAGAGTGGCCACCGAATTTGAATTTATCCATTACTTTGCTCGCAGTACCCAGTGGCCCCTATTATGAGACAATAGAAAGCAAGAGAAGGTTTCTACTCGAAACTGGACATTCTAATATATTCTCATCATGAGGCCAACCAAGTCGAGCGATTTGGCCAGGCGCCTGAAATATTTAGCCGCTCGTTGACGAGAAGCGACTCAACCCCTGAGAACATGAAAAGAACCTTCAGATTTATCGTTCCCTTAATGTTCTCTTGGTGTTCCCCGCGTTTTTAATTTGCGGAGCACAAGCATGCGACCTGAATTCCTAGTTCTGTGTCTTCACGAATCTCAAATTGGCACAAGTGCATGCAAGGACGATGCAATGCAATGGCATGTTCCTCTTAATACTAATACAGGAATGGCTGCTGTGGCGCGATATGGATAGCGAAGGAGTTCATGTGCGCCCTGAGCTCGTTAGGATTCAGGTACCGCCTCTCCGCAGCTCGCCTCACACCTGGAGTTTTTCCGGACGAGAAGCTGCACCCCGCAAACTCTGCCATTAAGCTTGTATATCTTTTTCCGGCACATGAGAAGTTCTCCTTATAACCAGAACTGCCGCACAAGTCAGAAGCCTGACCCGAAATTCTGTACCGACGTCGAGTATGTCCCATGCTAGCTTTGTCTAGCAATTTCGCTGGTTGGCGTGATCGGTCTGGGCCAGGTCCTCGGCCAATCTGCTAGTCACACCCCAGCGAGCAGGCCACGGCTGATCTACCTTAATGCAAAATTTCGACTGCCATCGTTGAAGCGAAACCGTCCCATACGTGTCCAGTCAAACATTTTGTTATATGTATAATGCGGTCTGGGACGTTTGCCTTCGCTCCTTCTGCCTTTGCGCACCTCACCAACTCGCTTTGAAAACCAGCTCATGGGCAGAATCGAGGCTTGACTGCCAATTGTCTAGTTTCTGTCCATCTTGGTCGCGTCAAAATGTTCTTCTGGATTGTCTGGGCGTGGGCTTTTGCCACTGCTGCTTTCGGTGCAGACTACAAAGTTGGGCAGAAGTTTCAAATCGTCCTGAGCAATGTTGTTGTAGCGCCCTCGAATCCATCGACAAAGATTATACCTGCCGACGCCGAGGTTTTCGACATTGATATGTTTGAGACAGAAGCATCTACAATCGCCTTGTTACAAGCCCAAGGAAAAATTGTCCTCTGCTACTTCAGCGCAGGCACCTACGAGCCGTATAGACCCGACTCGGGACAGTTTCAAGCATCGGACAAAGGAAAAGCTCTGCCAGAATGGCCCGATGAATATTGGCTCAAAGTCACCAGCACAAACGTGAGAAATATTATGACGGCTCGAATACAGTTGGCTGCTAGCAAAGGTTGCAATGGCATAGACCCGGACAATACAGGTATGTATCTCAATGGCAAACTTGGCCCAGAATTTGGCCTGTGGGGGACAAATGAGCTAACACTGGTTCCAGATGCCTATGTATGTTACTTCCTCTTCTTCAAAGCTGGAAATTGACTAAACTGGCTTTTTGTCTTGAATGTGGATCTTTGTGAGACGAAGTTACTGTTGCTGACAACCTGCAGGCAAATCCGACTGGCAACACGACGGTTACCATGGCTGAAGCGATCGACTATATCAAGTTCCTCGGGGGTATTGCGACAGGTCTCAACATGACCATCGGACTGAAGAACTCGCTTCAAATCCTCTCGGATGTTTCTGATACGATCTCGTTCGCTGTGAACGAAGAGTGTGGATTCTACCAGGAATGTTATTGGTACAAAGACTTCATAGCGAGCAAGCCAGTGTACCAAATCGAGTACCCAACTCCACTTCCTCCATCCGCCTCAGTCCGCACTTCGTCTTGCGCTGTAAACCCAACGCAGCCTGCGGGGTTGAGCTTGGTCTTCAAAAATTTGTCGTTGGATGGATATGTATCATATTGCGACGGTAGTTCTGACACTACGGATACCAAGCCCGGTGATGCCAATGCGCCACCTCCAAGGTCGTCCAAAACCACTGTACATCCTCATCCAAGCACTACCAGTTCTAGGCCAACGAGTTCAAAGCCAAGCCAGACCAGATCCAGTACTACATCGAGACCAACGAGCTCAAGACCACCTCAAACAACTCCTTCATACAGCAGTCGGACAACATCATCTGCCATGCCTTCGTCCCCATATCCATCCCAAACAAACCAACCTGGTGGGTGTATAGCAAAACACTGGGATCAATGTGGTGGACAAAATTGGAAGGGATGCACAGTCTGCGCCGTACGTGTCACTTCGCCCTTCGTTACAGCACAGAAACTTAATACTAACCTCCTTTTAGTCAGGTTTTACATGCAAATTTTCGAATCCATACTACTCTCAGTGTCTATGATTTTTTCGCTCTCGGTTTTGGGAAGGTTGGAGCATTGCATATGGTGAAGGAGTTAGACGCTGCTTGCTCAATTGCATTACACTTGACCACTACTTTTTCGTTCGACCATTTTTTGGACAGGAATGGAGACTAAATGGTCTATATATACCCAGCCAGCAATGTACATACGGTTTAGGCGATCTGCTGCAGTTTGTTTTGTTGTCCGTGTTGTGCCTGATAATATTCGCATTCTCTGTCTATGATCGTCAGGTTCATCATGGCTCAAGTTGAGCTTGAAATTGTACATCGTGCAAGAACCAGGATAAAGAACGGATAATCCGAGTTCTACCGGTACCCCAGCCTCGGCAAGCATTCTCCCGGTGACAAGCTGAAAGGCAAAGAGCGGTCGCAGCTCCAGCTAATCACGTGGAAAGTGTTGTTGTTCGCCGTGGATTTTCAAAGTTCGCTGTCATGATGTAAGACCTATCAATTCGAAAATAATAGTCTCAATTTACTTTCGCCCTTTTCTTCAATCTTTCGTTGGCATGCACACCCACGCCCTACACGTGATTGAGTTTATTACCGACCTCATCGGTTCGGTCTCGGTCATAACTGACCAATCACGTTCTTCGTTACTCAGCGGCCGGGATAAGCGAAACTGAAGATATTCGTGCATACCATAGAGCCCTTGATCACTATTCAACCGGCGTCCGCATGCATGTACTACAGAATCGGTCCTAGGACAGCCAATACTGCATCATGTACTCGACGAGGATTGGACATCGGACACCTTTTGAAGCACGTCTCAGCTAAGAGGCACGCCGCGTTGAGTGCCACGGGTCGAGGTGCCTCCGTAGGGCTGAAGGGCTGAGGGGAGCGCTTATTTCGACCGCTGACGCCAAACTTCAACAGGGATACTACACCACCACCTGCAACCTTGTTTTCCCTACTTTCTCACCGCAGTAGAATCTCCGGCCAACGTTCCATTATTCGTTCGATTCCCAAACCGAGTGGTAGATCTTGATCGTAGTCGGTAAATTGCGTCTTTTTCTCGGAGTCGATCACAACACTTTTGCCCTTTGGACCCGAACACCCCACGTTCCAGAACCTGAGGCCAAGAGATTCTTTCTCGGTTGGATATAGCTTTAGCTTTCTGGATGTATCAATCGTACCGGGGAGCTTGAGTCCCGGCCGTATGTCGACAAGGGATTTACTATCGGCCCCTTTGACTTGGTATACACCACTTACGGAAACGCCGTTGAACTGCACCATATTGCCGCAGCCCAATTGTCCGCAGCATCGTCATAGATGAAACGGAGACTAATGTAGGAGACCAAATACTCAGAAACTGCAGATATGCAGGCCCCCAACCAAATCCCAGCCTGAGAAGCATCCGCTCCTCGGATTCAAGGTCTTCAGATTCGTTCCCTCGTGGAGACGTGGACACCTCGCCCTTTGAACGCGTTTAGAAGACCCACAAAAGTTGCCCTTTTTTTATTAAGCTTACATGAATTCGGGACATATCTCCGTCGGAATTCCGGTGTAGATGCACCCCAGTACACGGACCCCAACCCGCTAATTGTCAGTCGTACATCCCGGCACGAGAAATACTTGGAGCGGCATGCCCGTTCAGCAAACGATCATACGCTCGAGGTACGGAGCTGGGTATCTGTATGGTTAGACTAAGCAAATGCAAGTCGAAACCTGCCCACCACTTTCTAGATTGGAAAGCGAACTGAGGCTGCTTTATCTCATCATGAATAACGGTCTATGAGTCGATCGATAACCCCCTCGGGACTATGCGCGTGCGACCGCATGGCTATTTCTTCCCCGAGAGGATGGTTATTGAAGATCTCTGTTTCATACGGTCACTGCGATTGCTATTAAACTTCCTTCTAGTAATTACAAATACTATACATATTTCCCACATTTCGCTGAAGTATTCAATCATATCAAATGCAGCAACTCACCGAGTCTTCTTGAGAAGGTACCATTGCGCGTTCGCAAAACCGGATCTATGGTTCCTAGCATGCACATATGTGGGTAGTGACGGGGGCTCAGCCTTGTTATGCAGCCCTACCAAAAGCATTCGGGCTTGGAAATGTGCCGCAGAAGTATTGGAGAATTTTACGACCTCTTCTTGTCCATTGGGTTGACCCGAATTCTCGGTTTGCTCTATAGTTCTGCGCTTTCTAGAATAATTAAACACTTGAGCTCAGCTACGCCATCGATGTCAATTGATGAGGCCTAGCCAAACCTTTGATCGTCCGCAAGTCATCTCACCGAGGGGAAGCGAGAGAAAATTGCCACAGTCGTAGCACGGACCGTGTGCAATTATCCCCTACCGTGCTGTACCACTTCCATTGATAGGGGAAGTCGCTTGCTGAGTAGAAGCTTCTGCACCCCATCAAACATCGATATCAGTACCAACGATCTCATCACACATTTCGATATCAGCAACGAGCAACGAGCAGGAGCATCCAAGCCAAGCCAACATACTAATGGATAGTTCTTCAGCGTCGTCATCGACTTCAAAGAGAAGTCGAACATCGGGGAAGCACTCCAGAAATGGTTGCGGGACCTGCAAGTAATATCCCTTCGGCCCATTTCTGGCTATAACACTGACCTTTGGCGCAGAATTCGTAAGCCCATCTAACTTGGCTCCGATCCAAGATCAAGTTTTCCTTTCATCGATGCCACATTGCTCTTTCTTGATATATCTTTTGTCGTGAGGTAACAGAACAAGCTGATCAATTCTCTTGCAGGTCGTGTAAAGTGTGACGAGACGAGACCTATCTGCCGTCGATGCCAAAACTTCAAAATTCCGTGCGATGGATACAGTCGACTTCCAAAGACTAGCACCCCGGGGAGTACTGTATCGGGTGGCTTGTTGATAGCCCCAAAGCCAGTAACTCCAGCAATAGTTCCATCATCGATACCGCCCAGTCCATCAACTCTAGTCGTTGACAATGCAGAGGACTATCGTTACTTCACGTTCTTTCGAGACCAGCTCTTGTTTGAAATTACCCAGTTCGCACAAGGCGATGACTTCCGGAGACTCATCTTACAAGCTTCCAACATCCCTTCGATTCGCCACACGATGGTTGCGCTGGCAGCACTTGGTAAAATCCATTCAGTAATACAAGACACGCCGTCGAGCTCGCTGCCACTTTCGGAACCAACAGAACTGATATCCCATCGCGAGTATTCCCTTCGCCAATACTCAAAAGGGCTTGCGTTGATGAAGAAAGACGTCGCTACAGGGCATCAAGGCATCAGAACCACTCTACTCACCTCTCTCCTCATCATCTGTATCGAATGTCTTCACGGCAACTTCACGATGGCCGGCGTCCAGGTCGCAAATGGGATGGCTCTATTGAGGGATTGGCGAAGGAACTATCCAGACGCAGACTTGCACCCGATCGGTTTCTCTTCACCTGCCCCCAACGTAGTTGAAGACTCGCTGGTCCAGATGCTCGGAGGGTTGGAGATCCAATCGTACTATTTCAACAGCAATGCAACTCAAGCAGAACATGAGGCTGGCAAGGAAGATGGCTTCAACGTCATCCAAAATATGCCGGCACGATTCGAGTCCGTCGATGAAGCTCGACTCTACCTCGAGCTTCTAACTAGAAGGTCGAAACACTGGCTATTCTCTTTGGGCTGGTTCTTCCGGCCTCTGATACCCGTCGAAGGTGTTGCGCCCGTCGACACAACGCTACCCCCATCTGCTCGTCAACCCAGGCAATTTCTGAACTTAACGCCATCTATGATGCATCCCGCGAGTGTCCATCGCAGGGAAACCATCCCCGATAGCTCGAAAGATCTAGTCAAGAAGCACCATGACCAGTACCTCCGCGACTTCTTCCGATGGAAAGCATCCTTCGACGCCCTTCTCCAAACGCCTTCATCGAAAAGCATCTCTCCTCGTTGGAAAGAGAATCTCCTTATATACAAAGGCTGCGTCTTGATCCTGAAGACTGTCATCACGGGCGACGAGATGGTGTTCGACGACTACACGGAAGAGATGGTTGAAATCCTCGATCTGGCCGAAGACGTCTATGAGAGCGACAAAGATCATCGAAACGACACGACATTCACGATCTTCCAACGCTGTACGGGCCCTCCACACTTCGTCGGTCTTCACTGCAGAGTTGGAGCCGTTCGTCGCCGTGCTATACAATTACTAGAGTCTTTGCCCAAGACGCCGGATTTGTCGGATACCATGCTGAGGAGCGCGATTGTGAAGTGGGTTATGGGGTTGGAAGAGGCGGAGATGGTTGATGGGAAAATTCCCGGGTACGCGAGGATTCGGAATGTTGGTATTTCGGTCGATGTGGACAATAGGCAATCTACGCTTGTTTGCAAGCATCAGGTCATGAGGGAGGAAGGACTTGTGGAGACTGAGAGGAAGAAGACGATCAACTGTTGAATGTGGAGGAAAGTTCCACGTCTCATGAAAGTCAGTCCTGAAGCCAGTCAAGTTAGTTGATTAAAGAGTTTGTTTCTCGTACGTACTTTGAAACTCTCCAGCAAAAAGGAGAGTCCTTATAATTCATAGCGTCTTTGCATTAGCATAGTGTTTTTGAAATTTAGCTAGTCGATGTTCGGTCCTATCTGCATTAGTTATGTCCTCAAACTTAGTAAACAATGTCCGTATAAACTAGCCGTAGTTTAGATTAAGGATTTCTATACTAATCTTGTTCTAGTCAAACGGGATCAAGTTTTTGTCTAGGACAAACATTTCATATGCACTCAATATCCAAGTCGATGCCACACATCCAGCCACGCCTAAGTTCGATTCGTATTTCTTCTTAATTACTTGCCTTGCTTTGACGTATAGAAGCGCTTCGCCACCGAGTACATCGAGAAAGCTCTCCAAGGTAAGAATGTTTCTAGGTTCTCTACTATCTCTATGCACGCTCAAACTAGCCTTCAGTGTCTCAGTCATAGCTAACAATTCAAACAGCAATATGCTCCTTCTCAACCTTCACCCCACCATCATTCAACATCCCAACCAACTCCTCAAACCCCTTCAAAACATCCGCCTTCTGCTCCCCCCAAACCTCCAAACTCTTCTCTCCCACCCGTCCCATAGTAGCATTCAGCTTATCCTCATCCGCAATAACCAACAACACCTTCGTCTCCACCGCCCTGCCTCGCATAATAGTGCCCAACGCTCGCGTAGCCTCTTCATTCGCAAAATTGCCTCCATGCACACCCATACTGATCACAAAGACCGGCTTCCCCTTAAACTCATGGTACAGATAATCAAGCGCGTTCTTGAAGCCGGCGGGGAGACCGCCGTTGTACTCGGGCGTGATGAGGATGTAGGCGTCGAAGGAGGCGATGGTCTGGGACCACTTGATTGCGGGGTGGGATTCTGGGAGGGGAGAGGGCTTGTCGAGTGGGAAGAGGGCGGGAGCGCTGGGGTGGTCGTAGAGGGAGAGGTTGAAGGATTTTACGTCCACGGTTGTGATTTCGTTGGAGGCGAAGGAGGGGGATGTAGAGATTATGTTGTGGATGAAGGATGCTACTGTAGGACCTGCGCGTTGAGGGCGAGTGGAGGCGATGATGAGGGCGATTTTCTTGGGGGTTGTGGAGGTCATATTGTGTTCTATGCAGGTGATATGGTCTTGACTGAGAAGAGTGCTTTGTAGGTTTGTGTTTCAATGTTGCAGAGGTTGATGTTGGAGAAAGAGAGGGTTGGCCACATACTTATACTTACAAAACTCTCAGACAATTTCCCCTGGAGTTACTGCAACATCACGGAATTCCGTTTTTAGAAAGCATCACCCGGCCACGTAATAAGAATAGATCCAGTTTCATGGATTGCAGTCTTGGGATTGATTCCGGAAGAATCAATGAGGTATGAGAACTCTGACTTCTGATTGGCTGAAATACTGCGTTTCGCGATCAAGTAAATACACCAAATTATGTTGCAGAGAATGCTGAGTTAAGCAGGATAATTAGGTGCGATTTCAAACAACCATAACTTGCATAACTTGCATAATTTCAGGAAACGGAAAGCTCAACTACCGACGAAGAAGCTCTGGGGGGTTATCTAGAAATAAAGATTTCCCTTGCTGTTATTGATCACGCGATCTGCTTCTGGTCGTCGGGACGGGGAACCTCCATCGAGTTGATAACTTTAGCTGATTTCTCGAGCCTTCAACGACATCAACAAGACGCCTAATTTGCCGCGATAACACTCGCTTAGAAACCCCTATTTGTTTGTGACAAGGTGTGACGTTGATGATGAAATACTTACGGACGAGAATGTTCCACCAAAGAAACAACTTCGAAAGCTATCTAATAATTTGTTCAAATCTTGGGAGATAAACAGAGTTGTATTGAATGACGTTTCCCTCAGACTAAGTCACATCGCTACTCTTCCAAATGCTGCATCTTCACCAAGTACGAACGTCTAACGTGGATTCTTACTACCCATCTCTTCCTCCTACAGAGTTTCAAATATTCTCACAATCGGGCTCTCCCATGCAGAGGGTTGTCTCTTTTGAACCACTCAAACGATCTACTGAATTTCTCAAGCATTTCGTCAATGCCCACAACCAAACACCATCCGCTCCCACAAATAGCATCTTCCTCCCTCCTTGATCAGTAAAGCCGAGTGCACATCTTGAATAATAGCTGTATATTAGACATTGTAGAGTTATCTGGTGTCATACAGAACTACAAGCTTGTTGTGCAGAACTTCCTAGGCCATCAAGCAATTCCTGGTTTGGGTGACAAACGTACAAACGTTCGCTTGGGGCAATTCATCTCTTTCGAAGATGGCTAAGTATAAAGCATTGGGTGTCTTCTTGTCTGATTTTGAAAGTAGATATCTTTTCAGGCTCTTGTATATCCATCAAGAAGGGACTATGCAACAAATGCTATCGCAATCCTCCCGTCATAGAAACGTAATGCTCAAGTCAAGCACCATCAATTACCTAACAATAAGACTCACAGATCTAACAAAGGGAAACTTATTCCCATGATCGAGCCATGGCTACATGGATTTCGGTTGAATTTGCCCAACAATAGGACACATAATGTATTCTTACTATCAAATTGACAGAGGCAAGACAAGGTCTTTGATGGTTCTGTCACACATCAATCCAAAGCTGACGCTATCCCGACATCACATCACAGCTACACAACTCTGGTCAAGATTTGCGGGTAATACAACTAACAGGCTATCATTGCCGAAGCTAAAGACCCTAGACGAGGCCCGATAGGAGTTAATTTTCAAGCTGAAGCTAAAGATGTCTTAGGATCATGCCGTCGCTACAAAGCGGTGGCTTGCAGATACATTTTGGTCTTCAATCCTTGAAGTATACGATGACTACCACTGGCATGGAGATTGCTTTCGATCCCGATAAGTTCTGCCCTGCTTCCGGACAATGCACTCTAAACTATGGCCGGTAAGTTCCTCAACTTCGCGCCAGACAATTGTGCTGGATAAGTACTGATCAATCTAGGTACACTCAAGACGAGGTCAACGCCAACGAGTACTGCTATGCATTCCGTTCAATGTCCAGCGTACTCATCCTGAGAAATTCGGAGCTAACTTCTTCATTGCCACTGCCACAGCGATGCCATGAAACCTCGGAAGAAGTGGCTGAAATGGCTAACATCGGATACTTTACCTGCAGAAACCATTGTCATTTTCGGGACGAAGCGCAATCAGCAAGAATGGGAGCTACGCTTTTTCATCAACATACAAAGTAAGAACGATACACGCGCTCAATACGTTCCCAACCGAGCCAATCAAGTGAAGATCTGGAAAGGCGCAGACGCTCATGGTACGACACTGATGCTGACCGAACCGTCGGTCGGACATCAACCCTCCTATGAAGACAGTTGGCGTCTCGTTCATTCTGGCAGACACTTGGAGGCCGAGGTCAAGAGAAAAGTCAAACATGGCCTTCCACTTTTCGTACAACGCAAAGGCAAATCAATGAAGCTATCTCTAGCCCAGATCCCGTCCACTTATGGTATTCAGAAAGATCCGCAAGGACAGGGAGAAGAAAGTCTACACAAAGAACAAGAAGTACGTTGTTCATCTACCGGAAGAACAACCCTATGAGGAGAGTGACGGAAAGTTGCGTAGCAAGAAGAAGTTGCTGGAGGAATATGCTGAGCGCACAAGGGAGGACACTGTCAGATTTGGACGATACGCAACAAGGTGGGGTATCAAGGCTCCGGTTCGGAAGTTGTTTGAGAATGACGGAATCATGGTCCGAGTAGAAGAGGTTATCAAGGCAACCGGTGCTGATGGTGAGCTCGGCGGTGATGAGTCTGAAGAAGACTAGGTAGCTTTAGGAAATCGTCTTGAGTCTGGAGTAGTGAATCTTGGACTTCAGAGCCATTTCGAGAAGCTTCTGAATGTCCGACTCCCTTGACTTATCTGCTGTTCTCAAAAGTCAACAATTTGAGAACTGACTTTCTAGTTCCTTGTCTTGGATTTCTTGAGCATTGTACGAACGAGTTCCAATCTGCGACTCGAGGAGGAACTTCTGGCATCCGCTTGACAGCATTCTCTGCCTCCCGTGCCTTGATCTCTGCCTCTCGTCTCTTTCTCTCCGCTTCCTTCAATTCCCTCTCAACTGCCCCTCTGCTTGCTTCAGCTATTTATATCCTCTTCCCCTCCCAACTTGAAAACCAACATTCGCCCCCATCTAATTATCCAAAACCAAAACCCCACATCACCTTCCCCAAAAGTCAAGAAAGCCCGCACCAACCATAATCAAGACTGAAGAAGGACTTTCTAGATCGTGCTTGTTTAGACTGACGAAGTATATACCTCGTCCAACGATGTCCAGATCTGCTTCAAGCTCCCTTTTGCTAGCAATTAATTCAACGAGCTGGAGCCTTGAAATGTGGGTGCACCATATGGGGACTACACGGTCTCTGGACCGGTACGACTCAAAGGCGATTACAACTGCCGTTTCGGGACCTGCAACTTTCTTCGACCCAGGAAAGCCGATGAAGGTTACCCCAGAAGATTCGGTTGTTTTCGTGTCTGTCGATAGTGAGGACAATGAGCTTAGCTACGGGGACTTTGATAACTGTTCCACAATTCTTCGGAGGCTGTCAAGATCTCCCTTCCAGCCACATTTGCGAAGCTGCAAGTGGTAGAATCGCCAGATAGAAAATTGAAATAATACGATCTGTCTAATTACATTCAAGAGCTGTCGAATTCCCTAGAATTGATAACGCACATTTCACTCTCAAAGGTTGGGAGAGCGAGAATCAATATTTGGAGCCTTTTGAAAGTCAAAAGTAGCACCGACATCTAATTCTCAAAACTTAGAAAGGAGGAAACTAACATTTGAAAGCAGAGTACTTCTGCATCTGAGATCGTATGTCGGAATCGATGTCCAAGGTCCAGTCCTGCTGGAGGAGGGAATCTGTTCCGAGATTTTCCGAGTACCTAAGGTTTCAACAATATGGGCGGAAATGAAAAACGTGCGAGCTGTTGAGACAAACGCGTAGAAAGTGAGGGGAGAGATATATATATATATATGTGTGTCAAAGCCAGCGACTTACATTCCGTTCTCAAAAATCATACAAACGCAAATCAACATTGCACCCATTCTAAATCTCTAAGATCAGAAACTTACATTCCGGTCCCAAGAATCAAGAATGTGATTCCACACACACTCACCCATACATAAAATCACAATCACCGTGAAAAACAATCACCAGTAAAACTCCTCTCATTTATACACCCCCACCTCCCATTCCATTTCCCACCCATCTGACCCTATCTTCTTTGATCCGATCTATAATACACACATCTCTCTTTACTGCTTCCTCAAACCATCACACACACCCACAATATACACCTTCCTCCTCTCCCTCTCTTAACAAAAAAAAAATTACAACAAGAAAAAAAGAAGAACGAAGTCCATTCGGGTATTCCATCCATCCATCGCCCCATCCATCCATACATACATCCCTGCACGCTCAAGAACCTTACAAACAAGAAGAAGAAAAAAAGAAAAGTGCGACGAGTCTGTAGGTACTGTACGTACATATCCAGACACGTTATTATGTACCAAAAGCCCTCCTGCACCCCCTAATCTAGGAAGAGGAATCACTCCTCCTCAGCCACACTACCCACCAACACACTCGCCTTACTACTCTTCTTCCCCAACTTCAGCATACTCAACCTCTTCCTGACACTCCCCCCCACCCGACTCCCCACACTCCCATCGCGACTCAACCCCTCCGTGCCCCCCGTCTTCGGCCTCTGACTCGAGCTACTCCTCCTATTCCCCGCGATATCAGACTGCGTAACCCAGTCAGCCTCCTCGTCCTTCTCACTCAACTCCCTGCCCCTTCCCCTCCCAATCGACCCCAACGTCCCACCTGATCCGAAGAACGATTTACGATTTTCTTTACTGCGGCTCCGCTCACTGCTGCCGTCGTCCTTCACGCCTCTATGTTGTACTACCACTCCACTTTCCTTGACATTCCCACCGTTAATGACAGGCGCCAACACCGCTTCCTGCGCAGACGGTTCGCGGTTATGGCCGCTGCCGCCGCCACGTTTGAGGAAACTGAGTCTGTTGCTGCGGGCGCCTGCTCGGGCAGCGGGTGTGTCGAGGATGGAGGACGAGATGGTGCCGTTTGTCTCGGAGTGGGGGATGGTGGAGCGGTTCATGTTCAAGGCTAGCATTGCTGAGGCGCGCTTTTCGCGGCTGCCGTCGCTGAGGACGGGACTGGCGATTGCCCAGCTGGGGGTTGGGGTTGGGTCGCGTTGTTGTTGGGGGAAGGAGAAGGAGGATAGTTCGGGGGCGAAGGTTGCTTCGAAATCTGTTGCAAGTTTTGTTAACATTACCCACAAAGTGGGATGAGGATTTGATGACTTACTCTGTGCGAGTGTTTCCCTCTCCGCCGCGCTTAGTAGATTGGACTTGGCAAGCATGGAGAGGGCACGTTTGATCATAACAGCATGATCAATCAGAGCAATCTTGACAGCATTTTGCAGTGGACTTAACTCCACTTCCTTGGCTTCACTGTCCTCTGGTAACGTTGGAAGTAAATCGCGATATCTGGCAACGGTCGTTTCTGAGCCCAGATCAACAGATACATGCAAGGCATCGGTAAGTAGGGTTACGATTTCCTCTTCGCCATCCATGATACGCTTCTCCACAGCCGTCATCTCACTTGTCTTGCGAGTGATACGTTCGATAGCTGTCTGGAGAGGATTGAGCTTGATGCGATCGACAGAGACGATCTCACTTCTGCGAAGAATCGTAGGGAAGGGTTCAGCAGTCTTGTACATGATCTTCTCAGCCGAATGTTCGGTAACTGGACCTTGAGTGTTTCTCTTGCTGGTGGAGGAGAATACTTGGGGATGCGCTGAGAGCAGATAATCGCGGATGACTTGGGGTACACGAGCTCGTTGGAAGACATGATGCTCTAGATCTCGATATGGGTTGAGAGCGGAGACGTATATGAATTGACCTTCAACATCATCGACGTCGCCAGAAGTTACAATCTGAGCAGCAGGATGTTGCTCTTGCATTCGGTCCGTGAAAGCGGTCGTTCGTTCGGTGGGAGACCCCTCGAAGACGAATTCCTTATCCCTAAGACTTTGCGGGAAACCCATACCACGGTACGTAACTTTGAAGTACTTGGGTACCAACTTGTCACTCTTGGCGATGTTCTCGTACACCGTGGCAATCGATCGTTGAGTTCTCGCAAGTTTAGCGAAATCGTAGACATTCTCCTCGTACTGGTGTTGCAACTCTTGGTACGCAGCCAAAGCACTACTCCAAGCTTCTCCCTCCTCGAAATACTTGATGATCTCAAAGTAAATCCGTTCTTTTCGATCGAATTGCGACTGTGCTGGGAACTCAGGGTCCGACAGGGGAGGTACGATTTCCGTTGGGTCCCACCTGTACAAGTCGGCGTGCAATCGAAGTGCGAGACCTGCTTCGGTTGGGTTTCGAGCATCGGCCTGTAGTTGCGCAAGTTGGTGGACATATCGAATGAAGATTTCCTCTTTCTGCATATCTCTCAGGAACTCCATCAACCGCAACCGATGGATCATATGTGAAGCTTGGCCAGTGACATCGGTACTATGCACAGCGATCAGAAGATCGAGGAACTCTTCGATAGTAGTAATCAACTCCTTGACCGCCAAAAATAGTGGGTCTTCGCTATCCTGGCACGAGTATTCAAACAGACCAAGCAAGTCTTGAACAAATCGCTTCTCCCTCATACTCTCCGTCAATGGTTTCGTCTTCAGCAGTTGATCCAAACAGTCAATCATAGCTGTTTGCACAGCCGAGAGATCCTCACTCAGAGACCACTCGCTAACGATCATGGTCTGCAGAACTTCAACGGCCACCAGTCTCGAGTTCTCGTGTACACTCAAGCACAGTTCGACAATTGGTCCTACCAGAACGGGAACATATTGAACTTGATAGCCACCCATTTTCGCAATACCGTACTTTTGTTGCTCATCAGGACTCGTCTCCCATCCAATAGCTTCCCACATCCTTCTCAGAAGTTCAGCACCATGTTCTCGAACACCACCAGCAATTTTCCACACCGTCCGTCGTTTCTGCTCAGGGAAAGTTTCGAGAGCCAAGGAATCGCTCCCGACGAGCTTCAACAACACAGTAAAGAATGCCTTCCAAAGATCCATGTTGTAAGCTTCAGCATCATCGGGATGTGGCAAAAAGGATTCCAGCAAAATACCAGCCAGATATTCAAGAGTCTTCATCGACGATTTGTGATGATAGATATGAACGCTTAGCCAATCCGCAGGAAAAGCTTCGCACTGCAGAATACTGAGGTGGACTTGTAGCGTATCTTCTAAAAGTGTGGCCATCTCGTCTTCTGCAAGCTCAAGCTGCATCCCAGCAGGTAGAGTTGAAATCGCAGACAGAATAGCAGACAATTCGATGAGCACTTCGTCGAACTTTGCCTTTCCTGTAATGACTTTGGATGGGAATGGGTATGTATTTGGGAAGAGAAGAGAGAGCCGTGTCTTGTCAGTTTTGGGAGCTGCTGAGAGAGCGAGATATGAGTCGATGATCTTAGGGATGTAGTCGGGTATCTCAGGTCCAAGATTCTCAACCTGTGTTGATAAAATTGAACAGCATAACCGGACTTGTTCCCTATACTGCTCGTTGGCATCTGAAGTCTTACCCCAATGAGGCGCTATCCATCGGACGGTATTGGCGCTGAGAGCTGCTCGTTGCTCGGATTGCGAAAAGAGTTCCAGTTTGGAGTAGTTAATAATTAACACAAGCTTGTACAATATCAGCTTCCCCTTGACCCCAGAACAAGAATCCATGAAGTCAATCGCAATATGTAGAATCTCCTCCGTGCTCAGTAATCCCGTCAACTCCGGTAGCCAGGTATGAAAATGCTGAACCGCAAGCGTTTGACTACCCACAAGAATAGGCGCCGCATTTCTCATCAGCGCGTCGAGCGATTTGAATATACTCCGCAGGTGTCGAGTGAAGCCTGGCGAAGTACTCGTGATACCGATCCCTGCTTCCTTGGCCTTCTGCTGTCCGCGAGCATGAGTGATAAATTTCAAGATTTGCCTCACAACCTTGAACGTCGCTCTCAATTTCCTCGACGTATCGGGATCCGAAGGATTTGACAGGAGTCGAGTGAATGATCGAACAAGACAAGGCGTCGCGAAGGGGTAATTGAACTTCGTCTCAGCGTATTGATCCACCAACGGTCCGAGATTAAATCTTCGATCATGGACGATACCCAAAACAGTAACGAGTGCGCTGAAAACCAGATCCTCATAGTCGTCGTTTCCAGCATTCTCAACTAGTATCGAAAAGATAGCGTCAAAGACATCACTGAGCAACTTTACGATCTCGATTTCTGGCACAAAGACCAGTCGCTTAAGCAATTCCTGCACGTCTCCAGGTGGTTGTTCCTTCCACTTGAGAAGCCCCAACAACACTTTGTCTTGTGAAAAGCGGGTACTGCAGAGATAAGTCTGCACTCTCAATGTTGCAATCGGTCCAGTTACAGCTTCGTCTTTGCTCACATCATCCTTCCCTCTCGCATTCCAAGGTGTACCCAAATAGCCGGTCTTGCCCTCACCCCTCCCTCTCGCACTATTGGTATTCTCATCATATCGGTACAAAAGCAAAGAATGGTGACCATCCCTCATGAATGCCTGCTGGTCCCAAAGCGGCATATGACATATAGCGAAGGGTCCATTAGGAGCATCCGAAAGCGTCATAGCAAGATGACACGTCGATACATCTACTGCAGGTACACATAATTTGAGAGTCTGATTCCAAGCTTCCCCTTTCTCAGCAGCCGTTGACTCCCAAGTTGATGTAGCCTCGGCGTTCGAAGATGGTAGAACGCAATTATCCAATCGCTCGCCACTAGCTCGACGAACTTCAAGAGTGATCTGTAAATTCGATCCTTGCACTGAGGTCGATAACGGTGTGGCGCTCCCTGTGGCGCGAGAGAGTAGTGCATGGCGGGGAAGGAAGGCTTCGTCGATGGTGACATATATGTCTGATCTTGCTTTTGTAGGCGCGCCCGAGAAGCCCATTTTACTTGTTCTGGTGACTCCAGATAAGAGTGTAGGCGTGGCTTTGATGAGGACATCTGCGTCAGGGCTATCAAAAGCTCTGAGATGGACCTGGAGACGTTCGGCCCTTCTTGACTTCTCGTAATGGCCAGACTTGCTCCCCATGAGCTCTATGATCACATCCTCCCAACCATCGGTATGATCTTGCTTCTCTTGACCAAAGGCAGCGGACGGAGACCAGATCGTCATGACCTGCTCTACCTCTTCCTCTTGTTTCATTATCGCATTAACTCTGATAGCACCAATCCCGACCGTCCTGTTCACTATCCTCGACACGGATCCAGATTTCCGTTCCGTGCCTGGCGCTTTCGAATCAGCCGTACCTGGTGGTCCATCCTGGCTATGGTGTGATCGAGCATCAGCTTGGTCTTCCACTAAAGAATTAAGTTTCGACGAAATAGGCGCATTTCTCGAGAACGCAGAGCGTTGCATCCCTTGTTTCCCCCACATCAAGCTCCTCCTCCCCGAACCAGACGACTTGCTCGAGCTGCTAGGCGACAAAGCATGCTCTCCATTCCGCGTGGGTCCTCCGTCTCTCGACGCGGTACCATTTCTGGACCCTGGTTTCCCTCCCATAACCTGCTGTGTTGACCGAACCTTCACAACCAAGTATAACTCCGCATCTGGCGACGATTGATCCCCGATGTCCGCAGAAGCTAAGTCGGAGAACAGAGTCTTCATATTTCCTGCCTTGGCTAGATTCGTCAATGCCCCGCTGGGAGGTACTTCCACAATATAGCTCTCGCTGAGCGCCACAGCAGCTTGGCCCGGTTGTTTTGAAGCAAGGAAGAATACCAGTGTCGTCGACTCGGTACTTGCGCCAACAAAGGTCTTGATATCGATCAGGAGATGGTGAAGCGTAAGGTTCTCGTTCGCAGGTGGTTGTGGCCTTTCTTCCAGTAAACTCATCATAGACTGCAACGTCGTGATCTCGACCGCAGAATCGTCTCCCGTAAGGACCCTGCCGCGTTCTGCTGGATCCCGAACAATAACCTCGCCATTGAATGCCTTGTTCCCTCTCACCAGATCCCACACTGTCTTCTCCCTCAGTCGCCCAAGCTCGTGTGTCGTCAGAACATTGTGCAGGAACTGCCGCCGCGAAAAGTCCAACGTCTGCACTAATGTCGACATCTGGTCCAGTACCGGGTATTGTCTCGATAATAGAAGCTCGTGTAGATTCGTAGAATGCCATTCTCGCAGACAGCTCGCAATCTCGTCCACCAACGGCTCCGAGACGAACGTCACGGTCTCGTCCCCAATCTTCAGCATCGGCACTGGGGCAGGCGGTTTCGGGGCATCTGGATCTCGCGGCACGTCCACGGACAGCGTGGCTCTATTCCCATTCGGCGTCTGTTTCCTCTTGATCTTGCTCCCCGGCCTACTATTCCTGCTGTTGTTCCCTATCCGTTTCCTCAACACGACGCTCTTGGGACTATCCTCTGATCCCAAGCTCTCATGCCCATTCGTCGTCGCCGGCAGTACATCCTCATCTCCCTCCTCCTCCTCCTCCTCTTCATCCTCACCCAGCACTTCTCTCACCTCAACACAGCTCCGTGGAAAGATGCCCGAAAACACCCTCGCCTCGAGCGTCTGCCCCTTCACGCTCGTCAACCCGGCCAGCAGACTCGGCGGCGCAACCAGGTACCCGCGGAACCAGTCGCCATTGTGGCCTCCCTGCTCAATGATGTACAGCTCGTCGCCCAGCTCGAGCGGCAGGTCTGCGGGCTCGAGGGCCGCGAAGGGGAAGGTTGCGACAGCGAAGGCGATGCGTGGGAGGGGCTGCCAGGGCATTGCTCTTCGTCTTCTTTTTGGGTGCGATGTTTTTTCTGCAGCGAGGAATTTCGTTGCGGGGCCGGACTGGACTGGAGGAGCGAATTGGAGGGCGCGGCGGTGGACTATCGGAATGTGATCTTAGATTGATTCATGGGGGCAGGCGATGCAGAAGGATACGGTAGATGAGCGGCGAGATGGACGTTGGAGATAAAGTGATTGAGGTGGATGTGGAGGTTCAGTTAGTTTGGGTCGGGATGTGGTTGTCAGATGCAGCAGCGCACGGATTAATTTTTTTCTCTCTGTTTGGAGAGATATGAGAAAGTGATTGATTGCTTGACTGGACTGAGACCAGGTCCGGGTTGCTGAAGAAGAAGAGGAGGAGGAATACAGTAGCCCCTGAAGAGTGCAGTCTCGTCTCGTCTCGTCTCGTCTCCCCTCTCGCCGTCTTGCCGTACCTCTCTATCTATCTTGGACCTCACTTAATTTTCTCCCAAATAGGCCCCGTCTCAGCAATTCCAGCACAAATATGCGTAGCGACCGGTATTAAATATTTCAATCCAGTTTCACTGGCATTTTCTTTTGCATTCGCACCAAAACTTAAGCCCAATTGAGGAGGTCTGACGCCCAATTTTCTTCTTCTTCTGGTGTTGATCAACTGTCCCGCCACACGCTAGATAATCCATCAGGGGTCGAGCTGTTGCACTGGCCCGGTACCTGACACGTGGTTCAGGTGCACAACTGAGAGGCGAGACTTCTTTTGAGGATATACTTTGGAGTTAATACTCTATCAGATTATGGTTTTGCTGGAGATTTCAAAATGATTTTTATTGAGATGGATGGAAGGATTTGTTGTGTTTTCCCCTCCCAACACTCACGGACCACTCAGAGACGAGTTTCGAGGTGTCGGAGCTCTCGCTTCCACGGCAAGGACGTGCAGATCTATATCAGACGTGTTAAGTACATACTGATGTGGGGAGGGAAGTGGAGGAGGAACTTCCTTTCGACTTGTGGGACCCACAGGAGGGGGAATGTTGATGGATTTCACTGAGGATGAGAGAAATAGATGGTCATCAATACCGCCAACGCATTCGTTCACGGTTAGGTTCTTATTTTGAAATATTCTCAATGAAATGTCATTTGCAGAGAAGTGAGTTGAATTATCTCAACTAGGTAGCTGCAGCTGGTATCCTCAATCTAGAAAAGCCGTATCTCATAACCCTAAAGGAAGAGAAAAACGCCAAACCCTTCCAGGCACCATCTATGCCCCAATGAATCTCCATGCAGAACACCCGAGATAGAATCCGGAGCCAAAGAAGCAAGCTTATGTACAAGAAGGCGTGAATCGGTATTCCTCAGTTCATATCGGATGCGGTGAGCTTGCCTTGTGTCATGACAGGATTTCTGGAGTCGAGAGCACGAACGATGCCGTAGCTGGTCGCAGCAGCCAGGACTCCAACAATCAGAGTTTGGATAGCTCCCCAGGCGCCCGACTTCTTGGTACCAACAGTGTACATGTTCTTGACGAAGCCGAAGACGAGCAGCATGACGACTGTGATGCCAATAGAGACGAACAAGGCGTGAGTAATGTCGTGCATTGCGAAGTAGGGGATCATGGGGATGAGGCCGCCTGGACATTGTTAGCAAGGTAATAATAGTTGATTGGCAAGGCATACCGAGAAAGTAGGAAACGCTCAATGAGCCAGCGGAGATCCATGCACGGGAAGGATCAGGCTTCTTGAGCTCAAGTTCGAAACGCATCATGAACTGGGACGTATCAGCATAGAAATTGACTTATAGAACCCAGCCCAACGTACCTTGACCCACATCTCTTTATTGAGCTCGAAAGCATCAACCATAGGCTTAATGACCTCGTCCTCAAGACCATATACTCGCATGATCTTATAGATCTCTTCCTTCTCAGCGCCTGGCAATGTCTCGACTTCTTCATACTCTCTCTTCTCTTCGGCATCGTAGTGGTCCCCCTCTGTGACTGATGCAAGGTATCCACCGAGACCCATCGAGATGGCACCGCTGAAGAGCTCCGCCAATCCGCCAATGATAACCAGCTTATTCGATCCCAACCTTATTCTCGTCAGTATAATACACGACAGGTACGGTTCGCAAGGTACTTACGAAGAAAGACCAGCAGTGAGCGCAAACGGGACCGTCAATCCATCCGCGAAGCCAATAATGATATCTCGAACGATCTCATCATTGCTGCTGTGGTGCTCCTCATGCAAAACGCCATTGTGGACGAAGCGAGGTTGCATACCGGATTGTTCAGAAGAGGACTCGGGAGCGAGGGTTGTATTGGACGAAGCCATTGTCAATCGCGGTGGGGTGACAGGATGCTGTTTTTCTTCGTGGAAACTCATCTCGTTCTCCATCTTAAATACACAATCTACGCTTAGATCCTTTCTCTCAGATAATCGCCGCGGCGATGGGTTTGTTTGTTTGTTTGTCGGGACGAGGAGTTGTGACGAAAGGAACCGTTGTCCATCTCACGACGGCAGCAGTACCAAGGGAGGTGACCGACATCTTAAAGGAGACAAACACGGTAGGACAACAAAAAAGCACCAGCTGGTTGCAAGACGCAAAAGCCGGACTCCGAAGGAGTGACATCTTTGCTTCACCTTGGAAGAACCAATGCTATGGAGTATGAATCATTTCAGAGCAGGTGCAAACGACGTGAAGATCATCCAACGAGACAACAGTTTGGGAATGTGTTTTTACTTGCTGGCCAATTAGGAATGAGGTATTCGTCAGCTGTTTTGATGCATCGATCGCATTCTAGGGCATGATGCATGTGCGACGGGACACAACAGCTACTCAGCCGCGAAACAGTTGAAGATTGGAAGTCTTTGGTCAAGGAGAGATGGAATGAGGCATGGATTTGAAGGAGGAGGAAATGCAGGAGGCTAGTATCGTTAGATCAGATTAGATCCTTGGCAGATGGGCCCATCACCTGACATGGAATTCCTCTCCCTTGCTTCTCTTAGTTCACAGCCTTTTTCATTGTTCCTTTGAATCATGAATTCAAAATATCCTATTATCAATTTGTGCTTACGCAAACCCCAGAGAATGCTGCTTGCAATCATTTCATCAGCTGACTTTCTTTCAAGGGCCCGAGCCGTCTTTTCTTCAACGGCAAACAGTGACTACAAATGAAACACATGTATATCATCAAAGAAACAGTCTTCTGCCTTGTCTTCGAATTTTCGACTCAAACTTCCTCACTCGTGCTCAGATTTGCCTATGAACCAGTTATCATCGAGTTATTACTCAGAATGGAGTGACACAACATCGCAAAGCATGTCATTCCACTGTCATCTTTCGAGCAAGCAGCATGTCATCGGGAAGAAATGATTGCATCTCTGGATCAGAGCGGAGACCAGAACTCGGAATATTCGAACGGAAAACTTAATTCTTTCCCGGTAAAACCGTTCCCCGAGCCTGGGCCAACCTAGAACGCCACTTGATATGTACAGCCCAGCCAGAGGCAAAAATCACGCAGCAGTCAATTCTGCAATCCTCCTTTCGATCTCTGGCACTTGTCTTAGATGCATCTCCAATTCCTCCTTCTCGTCTTCCAACTTCATCCTCTTGTCAGCATCTAACTTGGTGAAGATGTACTTTCCCTGCCCATCAAACTGTAGAATCTTGCTGTGATACTTCCACAAACTTCTTCGGTGACTGACTGTCATGAGTGTGATGCCGAGTGCTTTCGCATGCTCGTACATCACTTTCTCCATCTCTAACGTAACGCTTGAGGTACATTCGTCGAGAATGGCATACTTCGGTCTATTGTAAAACAACCTAGCCATCGCGACACGTTGTTGCAAGCCACCAGACAACACATCTCGCCATTCGGCTTCTGCGTCCCATCCTTCTGAGAAAGACTCCACTAGATGGTCGAGGTCAAGGATACGAAGGATCTCTAGAAGATCGTGATCTGTGATACCCTTACTTCTCATGATGCGAAGAGAATCTGGGTAGATAATTTGCTGCCGAAGCGAGCCAGCACTCAAATATGGTCGCTGAGGAACGTAAAATACTTGTGAGAGGGGAGGCTTGCGGACTGTGCCTCCATACACAGGCCAAAGTCCACCAAGGATGCGGAATAATGAGGACTTTCCGCAGCCATTGGGCCCAACAACTAATACGTGATCTCCAGGTTTCATGGAGAATGAGAGTGCTTTAACCAGGACACTACCTCCTGGCGTGATTATTGGGCTGTGATTGTCAGCGAAAAGTACACCCATCTATCCTGAACACTTACACATCAATGAATTCGACGTCCTCACTCTCTATCACAGTCCCACGTCCTTTCATGAGCTCCAGCTGCTCGCCGGACTCTTCGTCCGAAACGAGGGTCTTCTCGAATCGACCCGCCTTGATATCGTCCATGACTTCGAGCAACGTCGCAACTCGAGATGTGTATCCAGCAAGCTCGGTAACTTCTTTGTATGAGAACATGACTCGGCCAAAGGCATCTGAGCTAGATAAGAGAAGTCGTCGATTGGTGACAAAACTCTCTGTCCGGTCACCCATAGTTTGAGCCGTGGCTCCAGGAATCTTGAAGAAGACAGGAACACTGCAAAGAACCAGTCCCAATGCTCCCCAAACATATTTTATTATGAAGTCCTATTAGTTGTCAGTGGAGACTAGACACTTTCAACCTTTACCACATACCTCCATGATACCATGAGTAAATCGCCGTCGTAGAATGTCTGGAGCAAGTCAGCTAGGCAATTGCAGAGGGATAGATGAGCCTACAATTAACATGTTTAATCAGAGTAAAATATCCCTTATCCAATGTATCCTTTTCTGCTTCGTGCCCGTTGTACAGTGCAATCTCCTCGCTGTAGTCTATTAATCTTGAATGCTCGAATCGAAACTCGCCCTCCAGCCTCGCCTCGTCGGCTACATATTTTCCAAAAGGTGGTGTTAAAGCTCGCATCACATTTGCCGATAGTTGTACAAGCAACGACATGAAGAAGAGCCCTGATAACCCATAAGTACTTGACTCTAGGTAGTATATTGCTCACTCGAAACATACCTTCTCCACCAACACTCTTCGACAACGAATAGTTGTAGATTAACATATCCAAAGTTGGCTTTGCCAGATTTCCGTATAATTCTGCCAAACTATTCGCAAACTTGGAAACATCCACCGTAATCAACTGATCTGCGTTCTTTATCCGGTCGTCCAACGCAGACAGAGAGTAGAATGTCATATTCGAGAGATACTTTTCGTGGATGTAATTCGTTAACCGTGTCCGGTACTGCAACGAGAGTTTGCATTGGTGATAGGCAAGCTGTGCACATGATTAGCAGATCTCAAAAAGCTCGTTAAAAGCTCCATACCATAGAATTTGTGAAAGTCGCAGGCACAGCAATCAACATCCACCACACAATGCCAATCAAGAAGTCCTTGCCCCTACCTCTAACCAGACTCGAGACTAAAGCACCATCCATGGCAGCCACTTTCAAACTGATCAGAGTTCTGACTACCAAGAATATGCTATGGCTGATCAAGAGCCTTAATTCTTTGCTCTTCCATCCCGGTATGCATATCCTTAGGAGCTTGAACAGATTCCTGAAGAACTCCCGATTGAGCTCCACCTTAGGCTTCTTCGGCGCATCTCCATGACCTAGTGTAGTTGCCCCTCTCTGTCTCGCTGCTGCTTGTCTGATAGCTGCCGCCTTCTGTTCGGAGATGGCAGACCGTATGCGATTGAGGAGGGCTAGAAAAAGGGTAATGTAGACGGTTCGAGAGATGTTCGTTCGATGCTTCAAGTATAATGTCGTGAGCTCCGACACGATGCCTTTGATTGTGCGATCTGGAGGAAGCAGCTTCGAATGCACTGCCATAGTTGCAGACTGGGGAGAGCGTGTCTGGGGCGACTTGCGGAGAAAACGTGGGGAAGCTTGCTATTGCTGCAGACAATGCAGCTATTTCGATGGGGTCATGGGAATGTCGTCGCAGATGGGCTCATGGTATCGTCGTCCTATCGAGGCCTGTTCATCGCATAATGTTCGTTATGAATTCGTAGTCGTTGAGTCTTGATTGTCGGTGGGTTGAACAGGAATGAATGTTTTGTTCAATGTCCTCGGCAGGCAGGGATGTTCTCCGACGAATTTCACATGCTTCTCTTCTTTCGCGAATCTGCTGCAAATCTGCAAGCCTCATGACTATCACCAGCCTCAGGGGCGATCACTCGAAGCAATTGCTAAGGGGCATTTTGTTGGGCTTGTGAGACAATAGCCTCGCATCATCTTACTCAACCCTGTTACCACAGTCCATCAAGTTGTTGGTTAGAACTTGAGACTTTCCAGCGCATTGACCACACTTCGCTGGATGGCTTCAAGAAACAGTCTGAAGGCAGATTATATCGTCTTATACTCCAGATATCGCATCAGATAGCAGAAAAAGAAACCCCAACGTCGGATTTTGAAGCTGGTGGCGTTCTTCCCACTCAGACTGTACAATACTTCATGCTATGGACTATCAAGGATCTGTCTACTGTTGGATGATGCTGTCGATGAGGGGGAAAAACAATCAATGGCATAGGGTCTGTGTGTCGTGAAAGAGATATTGCCGTCGCTTTAATAATTGGATCTCCATTTGCTAGAAGCTCCAAAGAAAAGCGGAAGGTATGCTTATCACGTGCGCATATTCGCATGAGAATCTTTCAAATCCAATAGCTCTTATTAAGGTACATATGGTTCTTTCGTTTCATTAAGTTCGTTCATAGGATATCGTTGCAACATTTATCAACCTCCGATAGATAGCTTTAGCCAACCAGACTGAATATCGCACGTGCTTGTTGCCTGAGGCTTGAAGAGGTACTCGATCAGCCAACCTTGCGTTACACTCAAGAAAAAGCCTCACACTCATCGAGATAACAGAATGCCCACTCTGCCACGTCGTTCGATATATAATGGCTCTTAACCTCAAGCTTCTCCCGCAGGAACACCTCTTCTGGAGGGCCGCCCAGTCGCGAGCCGATCCAGGAATGCACCAGAACCTCTGCATGCATCATCGAGGGGCGGTGTAGCACAACATCATCCGAACCCCTCAATAATGTGTTGGTCATGCCAAACATTCAACGTCGAACGATAACGGCCGTCCCGCCGTTGCCGCAGTCTCGGGAGAAGTCTCGCAGTCTCTCTTAACGACATTCAATGCAGAAGGCCAGAGTTGGTGTAACCGCCGTTGCGGAAGCGAATCAGAACAACACTCTAATGAAGATCCCCACTCGAAAGAAGATGCACATACAGAGACCAATAACCACTTTCTTCCAGTCCAAGGTGCCGGCGAAGTCCTATGGATCCCAGCTTCCAAAATGGACCAGGTCCGCTTCTCTGAGTGTGTGTGATCCCTGTTAGAGTAGGAATAGATGACCCGGCAATTGAAGTCACTTTGGGCATCATGGATTTTATCCTAGGCCAGCCGTCACTCAGGTAAGGAGAGTCGTTGCGAATAACCTCCTCTTAGCATTTTCACATCTGCCCAAGTTATGAGAGCTATTCGGAACAGTGGTTTGAAAAAGCCTTGTAGCTGGTGTACCGGTGCCTCCCATCACGGGAATGCTACAGAGGACGGCAGAGTACGACGGCGAATATTGGAATCCGACGCAATGCAATGTACACATGTGTACCCGGTACCCAATCGACGCTGTTGCCACTGTTTGGCGAGCTGATTCCGCTCCAGTATAGGTCAATTCCACCCACAACATGACTATCTCAAGTGGGCATCTGTTGTACACGTATCACAGTATCTATCAGCAGCAGGTCTAAACTGTATCTGTTAGTGACAGATTACTACTGTTATGAGTCCTCTTTATCAAAGTCTCCCTCAACAATCCACATCTTTTCTGGATCCTGCACCTGCAATCCTTCTCTAGAACCTTCACCTGCCAGCAGATGTACATTCCAAACCGTTGGCTTTTAATGTAGTCATGAAGCAGCTCAAGTCTCTCCCTTCGATGCTAGTCTTTGGACCCCAAGCACAAGTTCCTTTGCCAGGGATCCTAGCTGAATTGAGACCAGTCCTTGTCGAGACCCCTGCGCTGGGTCGATTACGCCAAGGCATTGCTGACTTACCAAACTTCTGGCAACTTTTGACGAAGTTTGACGAAACCTTAAATCGAGTACCAGGTCTGAAATACCTTGTTGATATCAACGCGTGGTTACTAGGAGACGGAGACTTGCCGCACCAGCTCAACCATGCTCCTAACTTATTTGCCCTTCCGATTACCCTCCTTTTGCAATTAGCGCAGTTTGTCAAGTATCTGGAGCAGGGGCGCTCGAGTAATCTTTACGATGAGCTGCTCGAATCCACCGAGCAGGGCGGGATCCAAGGATTCTGTGTAGGCTTCCTCTCAGCAGCGGTAGTCGCTTCTTCCAGAACTATAGAAGAACTTGCATCGAACGGAGTAGCTGGCCTGCTATTGGCAATTGTAGCAGGAGCTTACGTTGACCTTGATGGCGCATTTGCCGAAACGCCGCAAGAATATCGTTGTTTTGCTCTGCGCTGGAAGTCCTCAGATGTTGGAAAAGAGGAGATTGATACCATTATCCGACAACATGCTGGCGTAAGCAAACATATCCTCTCAGCTAAATCGAGTGAGACTACTGACACGCACCAGGCGTACATTTCGAGTATCAACGATGATGCATGTGTGACAATCACCGCACCAGTCCAGGTGGTATCGGCCATCGTTGCGGATTTGCATGCTCGTGGAATGCGTACCAAACTGGTACACGTTCAGGGCCGTTTCCATTCTAACGTCCACTCTGCTACCGTGGATAAGATCACGTCATTTCTCAATTCGCTAGACAATGTCGAGTTCCCCAAATTGCCAAACGACTGGTCTAGACTTCAAACGAGACCTTTGACAAACGGCGACAATGTCCATGTTGTGTTGAGATCCACCATAGATGGTTCGGCCATTGCGGCTGAATCCCTCACCAAGATAACTCTTGAAAGCATTTTGTCGAAGGAGGCAAACTGGTACGCAACCATTCAAAATGCCATTTCCAATCTTCCAAAGCCTCACAGCTCCTGCTTATTTGTGGGGTTCGGTGATCATATACCAACCTCTTTACTACAAACTCCCGGTTTTCAGATACAATCTCTGAGCAGATCTGGGACAGCCGAGGAGAGCCCTCTACCGAAGGCTTCCCGTTCAGACTATCCTCCCAACTCAATTGCCATTGTCGGTATGGCAGGAAGATTTCCAGGCGCGGACGACTTGGACGAATTCTGGCAACTCCTTCTCTCTGGAACCTCCATGGTAGAGCCTGCACCCCAAAGGCTGAATCTGTCTAGCCTAGAAGATACTGGCGACTACTCAGGAACGAAATGGTGGGGCAACTTTATACGCAATCCCGAGTCGTTTGATCATCGCTTCTTCAAGAAGTCGTCTCGCGAAGCTATTGCATGGGATCCACAAATGAGAGTCCTTCTGGAGGTTGTATACGAGGCCCTTGAATCTGCTGGATACTTTGGAACGGGTTCAAAGCAGGAGATCTCGGACTATGGCTGTTACATTGGAGCCGTCATGAGCAATTGGTATGATAATGTGTCGTGCCATCCGCCAACTGCTTTTGCTACGATAGGAACGTCTCGGCCATTTTTCAGTGGCACTATTAGTCATTATTTCGGCTGGACCGGCCCCGCTCTCACGATCGATACTGCATGCTCTTCATCACATGTCTCTATCGACGCTGCATGCAAAGCTATCCTAAGTGGAACCTGCTCCAGAGCCGTAGCTGGCGGAACCAATATCTTCACGAGCCCGTTCGACTACAAGAATCTAGCAGCTGCAGGATTTCTGAGTCCCAGTGGCCAGTGCAAACCATTCGATCAATCTGCCGATGGTTATTGTCGTGGAGAAGGAGTTGGCGTGGTTGTTCTCAAATCTCTTGCCAGCGCCTTGAAAGAAGGGGATAACATACTGGGAGTCATTGTCGGCTCCGCTACGAATCAGAACGAGAATCACAGCCATATTACAGTTCCTCATGCAGATTCGCAAGTCAAACTTTACAAGAGTGTCATGAAGCAAGCTGGCGTCGTCCCAGAACTTGTCTCATATGTTGAAGCTCATGGTACGGGAACTGGGGTAGGCGATCCAATCGAAGTTCGAGGACTTTGCGATGCGTTCGGAAGTTCCACTCGGAAAGAGCTTCTCCACTTCAGCTCCATCAAAGGCAATATTGGGCATACTGAAGCAACTGCTGGCGTTGCTGGCCTTATCAAAGTGCTGCTCATGTTACATCACAAGACAATACCTCCCCAAGCAAGTTTCTCGGCGGTGAACTCCAATATTGCACCTTTTGAAGGTTACGGGATGGACATACCTCGCAACACCTTACCCTGGGATTCTCCTACTCGTATTGCGTGTGTGAACAGCTACGGAGCAGCTGGAAGTAACGCTGCTGTTATGGTTCGTCAAAAGCCAGACATTCCTTCGTCGACTAGCACGTCGAAGCCGCTTACACAATATACGCTCTTCATCTCAGCAGGATCTGCAAACAGTTTCTCGATGTACTGCGAGAAACTTCTTACATATATCCGACATCTACGATCCCAGGATTCTTCCGAGTGCTGGTTTCCAGACTTGCTATTCAATCTGGCTGACCGAGCCAACCACTCACTGCCATTTGTCCTTTCTTCACCTGTTTCAAATGTCGCAGATCTTGAGGCAAAGCTTGTCGCAACTGCATTGGATTCGTCAAAGTTGAAGACTGAGGTGCGAGGTAATCCGACGCCTGTTGTCCTTGTCTTTCCTGGTCAAGAGAACAACTTCGTCAGCATCTCGGAAGATTTCTATCATTCCTGCACAATCTTCAAACACCATCTTGATGAATGCAATAATTTACTTACCTCATTAAATTTGGAAAGCCTGTATCCCGCGATCTTCCAGCGACTCCCAATACCGAACATTGTCACACTTCACGCTGCGCTGTTTGCAGTCCAGTACGCTTCTGCGAAAGCGTGGATGGACTGTGGGGTCCAAATCTCCGCAGTCGTTGGGCATAGTTTTGGACAATTGACGGCGCTTTGTATATCAGGAGCGCTTTCTCTACTAGATGCTCTTAAACTCGTCACTGGCAGAGCATCCATCATGATCAATCATTGGGGCCCTGAAAGAGGCTCCATGATGTGGTTACAAGCTAGTCGACAACAGGTTGCACAGGTCTTGGAATCTGTGAACAGCCAAAGCAGTGGAGATGACCTTCAGATTGCTTGTTACAATGGTCCAAACAGCCACGTCGTTGTTGGTTCTATCAAAGCTATTGAGACGTTGGGTGCTTTTATTTCTGACGATTCATCCCTACGAGACTTGATTCGGACGAAGACGTTGCAAGTCACTCACGGCTACCACTCCAAGTTCACAGATCCATTATTGCCTCACCTTGGAGATCTTGCCAGAAGACTGATATGGAATGAGCCAACGGTACATCTGGAAACATGCGATAGTGCGAAAAGAACAGCCCAACCAGACTTTCAAATGGTTGCAGATCACATGAGAAATCCGGTATATGTCGAAGAAGCTGTACAAAGGCTTTCGCAGCAATACCCGCAGTGCATATTTGTCGAAGCGGGACACGGCTCGTCCGTCATGAAATTGGTACAAGGTTGTGTTACCAGCGCGAGCCATTCCTTCCTTCCAGCTCAACTTACCAAGTCAAGTGCTTCATTACTAGTTGAAACTACCATGTCACTGTGGAAGTCAGGTCACGGAGCACAATACTGGCCGTTCCATCGCAGTCAGAGAAATGAGTATCAGCATATGATTCTCCCGCCTTACCAATTCGAGAAAACAAATCTGTGGCTTCCATTCATAGGGCGTACAAGCAGTCCCGCAATCGAGGTGACCCCGAATATCCCCGTGCACAAGCTTCTCTCCTTCATTGGATTCAAGGATTCGAGCAAAAGAGAAGCAACATTCCGCATAGACCCCGAGAACGAAAGATATCAATCAATGCTCCGGGGCCATCAAATGGGAGGGGAATCTCTTGCACCAGCATCATTTACATTTGAGCTAGTAGCCTGTGCTGCCTTGTCTCTCCTTTCGGATTCCGACTCATTAGAATATGTCCCTTGCGTCGAGAATCTCCACATGTCGTCTCCTCTGAGTATTGATATCAACAAGGACATCACCCTTTCTCTACACTCCATCGACGGGAAGCATCCAGAATGGGCATTTAGCATCTCAACAAAAGAGCATACCTCAGGCGGATCCGCCAGCGAGCCCGTCCAACATACCAAAGGAACAATATTCCTACAGAAGAAAAATGATGCCAAGGCAGCTCAGACTTTCAATCGTTTCCAGAATCTGATTGGCTCTAATCGCTGTGATCAGATCATGGAAGACCCTGCTGCGGAGTTGATGAAGGGTGCACACATCTATCGAGCCTTCAGTCACATCGTACATTACGCTGAGCAGTTCCGAGGGATTAAATCAATTGCGTGTGTTAGCCTTGAGGCTGCAGGCCGTGTGTCTGTAACTGTGGATCCTGAAGCACCGCCTCACCAGCGCTTGTGTGATACCCCTATGACTGAAAGTATGATGGGCTTTGCAGGCTTCCTGGTTAATTATTTCAACAATCAAAGTCTTGATGACGTTTTTATCTGCAATCTCATCGAGAAGATTGAGATCGGTGGCATCTTTGATCCAGATGCCAAAGATTGGATCGTATATGGAACGATGACGGAAGGCGAGGGTGGCAAGGTATCTGCAGATGCTTATATCTTTGAGGCTGAGAGCAAGAAATTGGTTATGGTTGTCTTGGGTTGCCATTTCTCCAAGATGCCGCAGCTACTGCTGGCAAGAATGTTGAAAAGCGCGAACAAGGGCCAAAGTCTTGCCAGCTCCACCAATATTTCACCCGATCCAGTGAGCGAAAAATTGGCCTCCATCGAAGAGTCCGAGACAATAGCATCAGTGTCGAAGAACAAATCTTCCACTGTGCGAGCGCAGGTCTTCCAAGTTATTCACAACATAACCGACGTTCCGTTAGAAGATATCAAAGATGAATCAACGTTCAATGATCTTGGAATCGACTCCCTGATCGCTACAGAGGTCCTCAACGATCTCCGAGCTGCTCTCGGAATCACTGTTGACCTTGCGGCATTCCTCTTTTTTGAGGATGTCCGTGAAATCTGCAAGTATCTCGACGAAAAGCTTGGCAATGCCGTCCCTGACGATATTCATGATTCATCTGTCTCTCCTTCCAATGGATCGAGTACGGGGAGCGAGACGGCGGCGGCGGTGTATACTCCTACTTCGGAAGGGTCTGGCAAAGGCTCCACTGAAGTACCTTCACCAGTTGAAGCAACAACCCTACCGACGCTTGTCTCTGTTGCCCAATCATTCGAATCTATGCGATACGACTTCGATGAACTGGCAATCGAAACCAAAGCGGTCAACTTTTGGACCCAAGTCTATCCAGATCAAGCCAGTCTTGTTCTTGCATACATCGTAGAAGCTTTCAAAAATCTCGGATGCCATCTTAGTAATCTACAAGTTGGAGCAGATGTCCCTCAGATTAAGTTTTCAGAGAAACATAATAAGCTCGTGTCTCAATTGTACCTAATACTTGAAGATGCCAACCTCATAACCCCATCGGATGGAGGATTTACTCGGACACACTCCACGGTTGACCCTACGCCACCAGAGACTATCTTCCAACGGATAATAGACAGGCATCCAGAAAACGCAATTGCTCATAGACTGGTCAAGATAATCGGGGATAGGCTAGCGCAGTGTCTCACTGGCGAAGCTGATGGTGCTCAACTCTTGTTCGGAATCAAGGCCAACAAGCAGCTCATGGAAGATTTCTACCAGAACTGGCCTATTCTTCGCACACCTACTTTGCTCCTTGGCGATTTTCTGATGAAAGCCTTCTCCAACTCGAGCGGCCGAGGGCCCTTCCGTATCCTTGAAATTGGAGCCGGGACGGGTGGTACAACTCGGTACATCGTCAACCATCTACAAGGTCATGGGATTCCATTCGAGTACACATTTTCAGATGTTTCGGCATCGCTAGTCGCTGCTGCCAAGCGAAATTTCCAAGGCGTAGAAGGCATGAAGTTCGAGGTTATTGACATTGAGAAGTCTCCCGCAGCAGATCATCTTGGGGCTTATCATGTCATTATTTCGACAAACTGTATCCATGCAACGCGGAATCTTGGTCAAACCTTGTCGAACATTCGGAAGATGGTTCGGGACGATGGCGTCCTGACACTAGTCGAGATGACAAAGAACATGTTCTGGTTTGACATTGTATTCGGCATGTTCGAAGGCTGGTGGCTCTTTGAGGATGGTCGTGCACATGCAATTGTCGACGAAATTCATTGGGAGTGTTGCATGCTTGATGCTGGATTCAAGGAAGTGGCTTGGACTGATGGGACATCTCTTGAATCACAGACTGTCCGCATCATCGCTGGATTTCCATCTGCGGCTCCAAAGCTACCAGCTTCCAAGAACGATCACAAGAAGCCCCAATCACAAGTCTCGGTCGAAACGGTTGTTTACAAAAAGGTCAGTACCACAGATATCCACGCTGATATTTATTACCCCGCCAATTCCACTTTGTCAGCGATCAAACTACCTATCGGTGAGTACTTTCTATATTCCATTCTCGAACTCCGCACTAACTTGCAAAGCTCTCATGATACACGGAGGCAGCCACATGATCTTCTCTCGAAAAGACATTCGCCCGCCTCAAACTCGTCTGCTGCTCGAAAAAGGATTTCTGCCTATAAGTCTAGACCACAGACTCTGTCCCGAAATCAGTCTTTCGCAAGGCCCCATGGTCGACATATGTGATGCTTTAGCATGGGCTCGGAATGAGTTACCTCATACCAAGCTTCGCCGCTCCGATATCCAAGTCGACGGCGAGAAGGTTGTGGTTGTAGGCTGGTCATCTGGTGGTCAGTTGGCTATGTCACTGGCTTGGACCGCACCCCAGAGAGGTCTCAAACCACCATCCGCTATCTTAGCCTTCTATTGCCCGACAGACTATGAAGATGAATGTTAGTGATACTTCATATCTCTCCTATAGGCTCATGCTAATATGACCTTTTAGGGTGGAAGAATCCAATTCAACCAGTCGGCGCAGAAGATACTGGTGTAGAATACGACTTATTCGAAGGAATCAACGACGAGCCAGTAAGTCCACAACTACCCCAATGGTAAGCCGCCCTAATTATTGATACCTAGATCACAAACTACGCCGCAGTCGGAGCCTGGGCCCCGCTATCTGATCACCGCATCCGCACCGACCCCCGCTGCCGCCTCGTCCTGCACATCAACTGGAAAGCCCAAACCATCCCCCTCATAATCGGCGGTCTCCCTAGCAAGAGTAAGATCCTCTCTTTCGGCCACGATCCAAAAGATTATTACAACCTCCCTCAACCATCGCAAGACAAGATCGTCCCTTGCAGTCCGGTCGCGCAGATCAGGCAGGGCAATTACAAAACGCCGACGTTCTTTGTGCATGGTACGAATGATGAGTTGATCCCGTGGCAACAGACTAAGAGGACCTTTGAGGAGTTGAAGAAGAGGGGTGTGATTACGGATTTGTGTTTGGTAAAGGGGGCGCCGCATGTTTGTGATTTGAGTAGTGATCCCGAGTCTGAAGGGTGGAAGGCGGTTATTAAGGGTTACGATTTTCTTTGTTCTTTTGTTTGAGGTTTGGGATTGCGATAATTTTCCTTTTGGATTTGGTCATCTCACGGACTAAGATTGGTAATTTGTTTTGTAATGGGTTCTGATATCGTATTTGAACGTCACTCTTTCACTCACGTGATTGATTTCCCCTCTTCCTGCTTAGAAAGTTTTCTAGATCTAAAGCCCAAACTCCTCAAGCGACTCTACCTGACAGAAGTTTCTGTGAGATGTGCAGAGGAAAACTCTTTCTAGGACGTACTTTCTCTCTTTTTCGGGTGAGTGGAGCTTCCCCCCTTGCTGACTCGCTAAAGTCTAGATTGTGGTCTGATGCGGCTGAAGAACGTTGACATTGGCTGGTTTAGTTTCAGCCACACATGCAGGTCCGTCCATCTCTGCAACATCTGGCGGTTTTTGAAGCCCCAATCGTAGATTTCGCTCAGTTGGTGGCTTGAAGACCATTCATTGACGAGGCTATCGAATGTGTGGCTTGTCACGTGGAAAGTCATCTCCACTTCCCCGGGTTCTCCACGTTACAGGGTGAGCACATCGATCACTCTGATTAGTTGTCTGAATGCTTGTCGGTAACATCGCCTAGATTCTCGGAAGTCGTCTACTTCTTTCCGGCAGTGCTGAACGCTACTCCCGTTTCTTGACCAGCGATCTTTTCCTGCTTCCTTCCCACAACTTGAACTCCTCACTTCATTCTCAATTCTGGAAAACCCCATGTGGCTTTCTAGCCTACCGTCCATGCGACCGAGATTGCAGAACGTGCACTTTGTTTTCAATTATGAGCATCGAGCAGCAGGTGAACAAGCTTTTCGCTGATCTGGGTCCACTTATAAGATCCAAGGATACCCACTTCGTATCCCCACACTGCACTGTTATCCCTGAGCTCCCAACATTCAAGATCGATGTACATGAAATTTTTGCTTCTCTCTATCTGAAACCATGCTCTCAACACTTTTGTCTCCAGATTATGTTCCTTTGGTGGTCACGAATGCAGATATCAAACTGGCGAGTGTTGCCTGGGGATTCACGCTCGGGGTTGGAGCCCTCACGTTCGTGCCAATCATTGTCTCTCTCGTATACGTGAAAGCTTACTCATTGCAGTTGCTGGAAAGCGCTCAAGCAAACTCAACGTGTTGTGGCTACGAAACGCTTCCGCTCCGCTTATGTCTGGATGATCTGGGGTGAAATCCTTGCCTGCTTAACGTTCAGTATAATCTGCTGGCTCCACTTGAATGGGAACATCCCTCCCAGCTTCGGATTCTACTTTGCTATTTGTAAGTCTTTGCTCCAATTCCAATGATCTAGAAGATGGAACTCATACATCAGCAGTAACGTGCTGGTCCTTACAAGTCCAACTCCTTCTGCAAATCATCATCAACAGAATCGCCATCATCGACAACAATGTTCAGAGAATTCGGACCTTGAAGTACAGCGTTGCCGCAATTGTCACTGCAATCAACATTTCTGTGTACTGCATATGGATCCCTGCGCGTCTTCAAATATCGCCCGAGTACATTCGAATCAATAGCATTTGGGACCGATGCGAGAAGGTTCTGTATTTGGTTGTAGATGCATCACTGAATTGGAAATTCATATACACTGTCCAGAAGAACTTAGTGAGGATGGGTTTGGAGAAATATCGGAGTCTTATGCATGTGAACATTGCCATTGTGCTACTATCACTGTCTATGGATGTATGTTCTCCTGCCTCTACACCCAATCTACGCAACTAATATAGGATAGGTTTTAATCATTGGAATGATGAGTCTGAAGAACACCTTCGTGTACGCCTTCGCATACCCGTCCGCTTTGATTTTTCTTTTTGAAGAGGTTACGCTAATAACATGTACCAGATATTGCCAATTCCACCCCCTCGCCTACATCGTCAAGCTCCACATCGAACTACACCTCGCCGAACTAATAGCCTCCATCGCCCAGCGAAAAGACCACACCACCCACGCTTTCCCCGATTCCAACCCCGAAATCTCGAAACATTTCAACATTGCCCTCGAGCGCATGGCTACTCAAACCCATAATCGAAATTCCGTGCGTGAAGGAATCAGGAAGACTCAGGATATCTGTGTGGAAACATATTCGATTGGAAAGGAAAGCAATGCGAGTGGAGAAGGCACTGGTTTCAGCGGGAGTGGACAGGCTTCAAGCACGATTGTGGGTGGAGTGTGGGCTAAGAGCAATAATGGGGATGAAGGTGATGAGGAGCCGTTGAAGGAAGGGAAGACGTGGGATACGGCGCAAGAGGTTAGGAGTGGTGGATTTCCTTCCTAGAAGACACATGACAGTAGTCTGCTCGAATTGTCGGCACACGTTTCCCTTGTCTTGTCCTCAGATGTCTCTGATCACATAAAAGTACTTTTTTGGACCACATTTACCATAATAATATATCTCTTAGCCCAGTTTCCGTCCTATTGTTCGGGGCTGAGCTCGTTGACAAAGAATTTTTATCTTTGTTGCATTCATCCACCCGAAGTCGGTAGCGCTCCCTTTGTCTGGTGGATTACAATGTATTGCTTTGTTCGCGGAGGCTGGTATTTACTTTTCGAGAAAATATCAGGAACAAAGAAAACTTCCAAGCAGCCGAAAATCGGTCTAAAGTCTTTCTGTATATTCTCCACGTTACATGTACCAATCTCCACCATATCTCTATTTGCATCATGGCGTCCGCAAATCCCCCGCCTGATGATCCCCCACTCGGGAATTATGGCTACGATGAAAAGGCTGTCGCTCGAGGGCTCAGCAAGCGCCGACAATCCGAATGGCTAGAGAGGAGCAAAAAATGGCCAGATCTCCCCGCGCGTCGATGGGCTGCACGGAAAGTCATTGGAAAGGGTGCTTACGGTATCTGCGGTCAATGGGACTATACAGGCAATGATAAAAGCATGCCGCGCCAAATCGTCGTCAAGCAGTCCATAGGATCAACCGCCAAGATTCTGAGAGGCGAATCGAAGATGATGCATTTGACTACCTCTACCGGCGCGGATTATGTTGTCAAGCTCTATAAGGGATGCCATAGAGGAGCAGGTACGGGGACGAGTGATATTGATCCGTTGCCTTATAATAGTCTTGGCATGTATATCCCGCATCAGGAGGTCGTGAGGATGTACATGGAGTATGCGCCTGGTGGAGATCTGGATGCGTTTTTCAAAAGACTTATCGCAACTCCTGGGGCGAGAGTCATACCCGAGGAACATTTGTGGAGGTTGTTACATTGTCTTGCTAAGGCAAGTATGGCTCTTGGTAGGTTTTCACTCCTACTTCAAACGTTCCAAGGGCATGGTAAATCATGGAAGTGCAATTTCTTTGCGTAACGGACATTTTAAAATTCGAAAGAACCTTGAGATCTTAGCCATGATTTGCCAAAGAAGCAGGCTAATATTGTCTTTAGAATTTGGCACCGAAGATCCAGCAGCTCCACCAGCCAACGTCGCTGTTAGGGTCATGACTGCTGCAATTCCTGCTGTTGGACAGCCGGGCGAAGAAGGTTATACTCCTACCGTGCCAGCTACTGAAACCATTGGTTCTGCTCCGTGGAGTAAGTGCAGGTCATAGACTAACTGATTGTATGTGATAACTAACCAATCTTGGTAGAACCAATCTGCCATTTTGATATCAAGCACGAGAACATCTTAATCGGAAACCGAGACCAAGGAGAGCACCAACGGCTAGAAATATTCAAGATCGCAGATTTCGGACTCTCGAGATTTGCACCGCTGACGCGGGAACAACGACGAAATCCATTGTGGATCAAAGGAACTCAGTGGCGGGCTACTGCGGTGTGGACATCACCAGTAAGTTCAAGTTCTCGGCATTGTTAAGTCTGAGCTATGCTCATACTTCGAACAGGAGCAATTTTACGAAATACATTACAATCGCGATATTGGGGTGACGACCAATATTTGGGCAGTTGGTGCTGTTATAAATAAATTGATAATTCGAGAAGATTTGGATCTCACGGCTTCGTTCATGCACACGAATTCTGCTACTGGTCTTCCAATCCGTGAGTTTTTTCTCCCTCTCTGTTCAATCAGTGAAAGTACATCCAGAGTACTAGTCCTGACAATATGTGCTAATTTCTGTTCTAGGTGTGTCTGGCTCCCCCAAAGTTCTGCTCAATAGGAACAAGTGTCCCTATAGTGCTTACTTTATCAATACACTTTGCAGGTGCCTTGCTTGGAATCCAGTAAGCTCTCATTCATCTTCCGCTCTCCTGAGATGATCGTTGCTGTCTTTTAACCTTTCAATCCTTTCCGAACACCGAGCTTTGCGAACATGAATGGATGTTGAATCTTTTATAATAACATCGATCTTCTATATGTAGGCAGAACGAATTACCTCCAAGGAATTGTATCAAACTACACTCTACATACTCGGCTATTTCGACTTGATGAACAGACCTCTCCCGCCCCTCGACTCACTCTACACCAATAACGAGCCATCATTCCATATCCTGCCTCCCGGACCAGACGCCACTTTAGCTTTACAAAACTTTGCTATACCTAAGCTCATCCGCGAAAGGGAGATTAGAGAAGCGTTCACGATTGTTGATAATGGCACCACTGAAATCAGCCCCAATAATTTAGCTTTCAGATTGAAAATGAAGAGGGGAAAACCGGTTGTGAGAGTTGAGCAAAGCGAGTATCCTTTCACTGCATTGTCCGCTAGCCCGGTTAATCCACCTACGAACTCGTGAAGATCTTTCATAGAGGACAAGATTAAAATTCTGTGCAAACAAATCGTTTAGGGAAACATTACATTATGTACGAAGACATGCGTGTACTAGCTGCAGGATATATATTCATGACGCTTGAATGCATAACAACCTCTCTTCAATAGCTTACTTTCGAACTTCATGAAACCTCACTTTGACCCCAGTTCCACTTCTATTCTCAATCGCAGTGTGTAGCTTGATTTCTCCCGGACCTTCCATGTTCTCCACAACATCGAACCTCTGCAGCATTCTCACAATACAATAGCTAGCTTCTGTGAACGCGAATTGCTCTATAACAACAAGATCAGTAAATATTTCATCGATGAAAGTAAGGAAGAAAAAAACTCACGACCAAGACACTTCCTCGCTCCCCCTCCAAAAGGAATCCACTCCCACCCAATCCTCCGTCCCTGCCATCTCTCCGGTCTAAAATCCTCCGCATCCTGACCCCAAATATCAGGTCGATGCTGAATCGCATACAACGGAATCAAAACCTGGATCCCCTTCCTGACAAAGATCGGCTTACTCCCATCCTCGCCTCCGCCTCTCGGCAAAGTAGTATCTTTAAGCGCAACACGCTCGTTCATGGGAATGATAGCCACGATCCGAATCACTTCATGAATCACCCATTGCAAGTAGTCGCATCTCCTCAAGTCTCCGAAATCGGTGATGGGATTGCTAGCCGAGGTCCCGAACTGGTTGAGTACGATTTTCCTTAGTTTTGAGAAGATGGCTGGATGTCGGGCGAGGAAATACCATACCCAGCCCAGCAGGGCGCCGGTGGGGTCCCGACCAGCCATCAAGGTGTGGAGCGTTTCGTTTCTTAATTCTTTCAGATCTTGGGTTTCTTTGGCAAGTTCGTCTAGTAGGACGAATTTCCGCGTTCCTTTTTCTTCCATAGACAGAGGATTTTTTTTGTTGTCCAGACGGTCTGAAATCATTTTGTCGATTACCTCGTGGATGGCTTTACAGTGCATCTTCATCTCGCCCATTGGCATGAGCCAGAAGAACTTCCCCAATGCACCGCGTTTATCGACGAGGTGTTTCGCGGCGCCGAAGTGGTGGCTGAATGCCGCGCCATCGATGCCGTTCTTGCTACTTTCCAGACCGGCAATAGCGGCTTGCGAGTTGACGGATTGGCCGTACAAGAACTCGGTCGCGGTGTCGAGGGTGAAGTAGAACATCAGAGGCTGGAGATCTACCGTTTCCGTCCACCCTTTCTCGTTGACTGACAGGACTCGCATGAGTGTTCGCACATGTCGTTCCACAAGGTCGAGATTGGAGATCTCTTCTCGGGAGAATTGAGGTCGGACTAGAGCTCGAGAGTGCTTCCATTGTTGCCCTGTGCTGGTAAAGATTCCTTCTCCTAGTAATGGCATGAAAGCACTCGAGCGCGTGGCGCTGATGTCGTATTCGCCTGATTGGGTGCTGAACATAGCTTTCACGTTCTCCGGGTCTCGAGTAACCAGCAGTTCATAATCGAGGATAGGGACGCGGACGGTGTGGATGTTGTGTCCTACTTCGTTCATAGCTGAGACAACATATTGAGGCCCCCGATCCTCTTTTGTCGCCTTGATTGATTCTTTGAGGCGCGAGGTGCCGAGGAGGTTGTTGCTGTGAAGTGTTGGTGCTGGAGCGCAACCGCGCTGGGCGGATTCTGTTCTGTATTTTCGGGCATTGAGCTTGGATGTGATGATTTTGTAGATGATGAGGATGAGGAGAGTCAATGCCACTCCAGTGCCAATGGAGCGGAAGCCGAATGAGGGTAGACACAACATCGTGAGATAGTTGAGTAAACAAAGTCAATACGTGAGATTCAAAAATTCAGAAGAAAAAAATTGATACTTTCGTGGAGTACCCCGCAATTGCATGAGCAAAAACAATTCCATGAACGAAATGTCAGTCAAACTAGCACATGTTGATCGCATACCCTCGGTACTCAAGCTTCAGCAGCTGCATCAGGAGAGGGTCCAACAAGGATGAATTCCATTTCCTAGATGAAACTCTTTCAGCTCACCGCCTTCAAGCCTCTAATTGCTGGGCTCGCGATCATCGCTCCAGAATACCAATACATTACGGAAATCAAAGCATCCGTTGTCGATCCATGCGTCATACGCCGACGATAATGTAACCCAAGTTGAATTTCAACTTACATTGGGGTTAAAGTAGGGTCTGTGAGAATATAATATTGACCCAAAAATGTTGAGCAGGGGGAGATATTTAGCGTCAGGTAAACTCGCCAAGAGAATTTACAGACAAGGTACAGCGGTAGCACCAAAAGCTCGCTAAACTAAAAGGGGCAGCAAGCGAGTCGTGCATCTTCAGCCCTGACCCGCCGCCTTAAGATCTCCACGTCAAATAATCCCAACGCTGATCTCTATCAGGCCAAGTCCGTGGCGTTGGCACCACCCACGAACCCTGCGACTATCCCGCTCGAATTCCCTGTCTTGGCACAACCGGACTATTATGCAAGCCATCAGCGCCCACCGAAACGTACACCAAGCCACCAAGTCTGAAAACGGCATTCGTGCTAAGCTGGACGGAGGTATCGACGGTCGACCTGTCAAATCGGAGATTCAGAAAAGCGCCAATCTGGCACCTTGTCCGGTCTTTCTTAGACGGTCGATGGTATAAACGCCTATCTACGTGGAACCGCATGCAGATCTCTGTCGTCAGCCTCTTCTAGAGGCTCTTTCCTATTCCCGCTAAACCGCTTTCTTATACCTACCAAGATCGACATAGCAGATATGTACTGTAGCCATGACCGGCGTCGTTTCCGCTAAGATAGTTCCCAACCAGCAGCGGCCGGCGGAACGTAATCCCCTCAAAGTCAAAAAGCTGGCCCCTACTCAACAGATACGAAGACCCCTGAACCTTAATATGAGGTGTCCAAAGCAGGATGATCGAATGCTGCATTCCCTAAGCTCTGATGGTCGAGTGGCCGAAAATGGAAGGGGACCAGGGTACGGCGGTACGAAGATGGAAGGGAGCAGCGCGCGAGAAGACGTAGGTGGCTCCTGGACTATCGACGCAGGAACTGCTGCTCACCGCCTGCAGGGGAGGGGGTGGTTCCTTGTTTATTTTTGTTTTTTTCTGCCGTGGAAGTTATCTTTGGATTGCGGGGAAGGAAGTTTTCTTTTCATATTCGTAACTGAGATTCACAGTTCACTTCAAGTCCAACAATCGTTCAATTACTCTCAAGAACATCTAAACTTCGAGGACATACTCATAATTCATAATCACCATGAAGTGCACAATCGCTATCATCTCCTCCCTCCTCGGCAGCACCTTGGCTCTGCCTCTTGCTCTCCCATCTCCAGTCGTGAGTACTTTCTACCCTGAGAAGGAAAAACTTGCAGAACGGAACTTATTGAAATCTTAGGACAAGCGAACATTGGTGACCTTGGATGTTGACCCAAGCGTCAATGTTGACCTATTGAACGATTTGTGCGTTGGAATCGCTGTCTGCAATCCAGTCACAGTGACAGACTCTTGAATGCCGAGAATTGGTGAGGTACAGGGAGTTGTTGCGAGGATTTGATCAAAAACATGTAATTTCGATGGTTGTTCAGGATAATTTACGAAGTAATGCGCATTGGGAGGAGCTGATGGGACTGTCATTATAATTTGAATACCAATTTGATTGTTCTGGGATCCAAAAGCCAAATCTCCAATTTCTCCCTGTTTTCTGTGAATTGCGCCGAGTTGAAAAGTTGTGGCGCGTGAAGAACTTCAAATTTTAGAAAAAGAACGTGAGCGTATCAAGGATCCCAAGGGCGTTGTTGAAAACTGAAATGACACTGGAACGAAATCAGAGCCCGAGGACGGTGTATAGCATGCTACCCAAGTTGAACGTGGGAATTTGCAAGGCCATGCAAAACAGGACTCAGCCATCACATACTCGTCGCACTCAAAAACAAGAAACATGACGGATTAGAATGTGCAAATTTTATGATCAAATTGATGTTACTTTACTTATCATCAATCATACTTAACATACCAAAGTACCAAAACATATACGCCTCCATCCTACCTCCCACAAACAAACCTACAACTGCTTAACCTTCAAACTAACCCCATCCCTCGGCCTCAACACCAACCTCCACATCTTCAAACTCTCCGGATCCTCCACACTCTCATCCCTCGCAAACGTATACATACTCAACAAACAACACACCAAAATCTTCATCTCCGTCTCCGCGAACTTCCTACCCACACAGCCCCTCGGGCCCTGCAAGAACGTCATAAACGCATTCGTGCAATACGTCTGAGGCAGATGATCCCAGCGATCAGGATCGAATTTATCCGCCGTAGGGCCCCAGTACATGGGCAGACGGTTGATGGCGTTCGCCAGCACGTAGATCACGGTCCCAGCAGGCACGTGGTAGGAGCCAAGCATGTCTGGAGCGAGCGATTGCCGCACCGTCATGGGGATGGGTGGGATATAGCGGAGGGACTCGCGGCATACGTTGTCGAGGTAGGGAAGCTGGTCTGCGTCGGCCTTGGCGAGCTCAGCTGGGTTGTAGCGCGTAGCTGGATCGAAGAGGAAGGGCATGTGCTGTTGGATTTCTTGTCGCAGACGTTCTTGGATCTCAGGGTGGGTAGAGAGCAGATGAAGCGTCCAGGCAACGCCCGTGGCGGTCGTGTCGTGGCCGGCGCCGAGGAAGGTCATGACTTGGTCGCGCATGGTTTCGAAGCTTAGGCCTTCTTCGCCGGCTTCCTTCATCTTGAGGTTGTCTTTGGAGATCAGGGCGATGATGTCTTTGTGTGTGGTGTGGGCGATGGCTTGGTTCTCTTTCTCGGTGATGATGTCGGTTGCTTTGTCGACGATGATGGAGCGCGCGGCTTCCATGTCGCGGTTCATCTTGGCGGGGATGTATTTTGTGCTTGGGATGAATGCTTGGAGGCCGTGGAGGATGCGTGACCCGATGTCGAAAGCAAAGACGAGACGGTAGGCTTCTCGGATCGGTGTATCTGGATTCTCCAGCGAGTTGATATCCGTGCCGAATCCAGCCTGACCGATGATGTCGAGTGTGGTCCTGTTCAACCATTCCAAGACTTCAAAGCATTTGGTTGTGACACGTGATTCGGCCATCTCCTCTTTCCAGAGACTGGCTAGCAGGAGAGATTTCTGCCAGAAGACAGGAGTGAGAGCTCGAATGGAAGCGATGGAGAAGCCAGGTGCCAGAGCTTTGCGTTGGTGGACATGTTCATTGCCCTCAGCAAGGAGGACGCCCTCGCCCAGGATTCGAACCATCCAGAGCTTCGCGCGAACAGGCTTGGGGTAGTTGTATGGGTTCTTGATGGTCATTTGGTAGATAGCTTTGTCGTCTGCGATCGAGAGACGCTCAGCGCCAAATGGAAAGAAGTATCGGATGATAGGTCCATGTGTCTCGTGCCATTCTCGTTGACAGACACCGCATTCGGTGGTGATGATGGTGAAGAATTGGCCCCAGAGTGGGAAGCCCGGGACGGTTGGAACATGGCGCAGTTCGGAGATGTAGAACGGGTAGATGTAGGAGAGGTAGATGACAATATAAGCTGGAATAGTTGCGAAATAGATCCATGGCAGGACCGTCATGAGAGAGTATGAAGTAATCTTTGAGAGTACAAAGGCAGCGATTGTGCCAGCTCCAACGAGATGGACGAGACCGAATTGGAACACCATATTGACTACTTGATCAAAGGTGGAGAATTGTTCTTGCGGGAGAGAAACAAATCGAGATGAGGGGACTGTCGGGAGAAAAGATAAAGGAAAGTGATGAAGTCTGGAGATAGAGAACTCAAAACTCGAGACCGCCACCGACGAGGTGGGATTATTTTGCCAAAGTCTAAGAGCTCGGTGAGAGTTGTTCCTTGATCTAAGATCGACATTACATTGGTAGTCAGAGATCAGGGTATAGCTACTCTCGGGACCCAGGTCTGAGCTGAAGGGTTTGATAGTCTCCATGACGATCCTAGAGATCCACAATGCGAGTAAGTGGCAAACCATATATTCCGAAAAAGTTGGGTCAGCGAGGGTGTTGTTGGCACCAGTAAACAGTAAATGAAACTATGTTCAGGAATATGATCGGCATTTGGTTAAGCCAAGGTTGGGTTACATTGGAGAACCATAGTTTGAAATTGAGTTCCTTGAATTGAGTTGTTGACCACTGGTGAGATGGGAACGTTTCAGTAATGCATTGTATTGAGTGTTGGATGAACATATCCGTAGAAGATCGACCGACACACCCGTAAAACCGGGTTGTTGAGCCAAGCGGCATGTCAGAGAGTGCTCAAAGTCGGACGGCTTGTCGGGAGGCCATAGTGTTGACTGTAAACTCTCGGCAGCTGATGTGGGTGCCAAGAGAAATCTTCGCAGCAAGGAATGTTGGTGGGATGCAGTAACCAGGTCGATCATCGATGACAGATTGCATTGCTTGCTGTGATCAGCGTTGAGCCAGCATTAGAGCTTTGAAGATGTTGAAGCGTCAGAGCATGGACCAATCGGGCCTTTGCGAGGCTACAAGGCAAAAAGATTATGCAGGTGAGGCTCCACTCGTCTAACCACCCGCTAGTTTTCACATGTCTGTATGAGGTATCAAAGTATTTCTTATGGTTTAGATCATTAGGGTAGACTCACCCCAATCTCGCATCATTCTCTTAGAACGAGTCAAGGATAGATGCATTTCTGACAGTTACATGTCGATCGATATACCGAAACAGACGGTCTCCTCAACTTTCGCGGCCCACAAGCATCATTCTACGTTTTCATATGCCAGAAGGTCCCCGAACGGTAAGCCCCGATGCAGCCCTTTTCAAGGAATCACCTTACAGCTCATGCTAATGTTGAAAATCCTTCTTGTCACCGAAATGTTAGGCTAAGCTTTGTTCGCTCAAATTGACCTGAATATCAACATGACGAACGTGGCTAATTCGGAAGAAACCAGCAGATCTTTGCCTTCTGTACAGAGTTAGAGATTATCTCTTATCCATTTTTGTATCCGGCGATTGGGGTGATCGTCAAAGACCAGGATCCAAGCTTATGGGATTTCTGACAGCTTTAAAATCTTTTGTAAACAAACTCGTTCCCCAGCTTTTCAATTCTTTTGAACATCAATCTCTTATCACACGAGCATAGAACAATCTCCAGAGACACCAACTTCTCTCTCCTCTTCTCATCATGTCTTTCTCCAGCGGATTCTCATCTCATGGTCCAGTGGTCATCGGGCCCATCAGCTTGTCACCATGGACAAATTTTAACAAGCTGTGGACTTCAGTAATGGGCTACCCAGCTGAAGATTTCAAATTTGTGCCTGGGAAAACTCCTTTCTCGACCCTGACCGAGACTGTTGCCACAATCATATTATATGTTGTGGTGATTTTTGGAGGCCGCGAATTGATGCGCAATCGACAGCCTTACAAGCTCAATGCATTGTTCAAGGCACACAACTTCATGCTCACAGCAATCAGCGGATCATTGCTCATTCTATTTGCTGAGCAGCTGATTCCAACTCTTTGGAAACATGGTCTTTATGACAATATCTGTGGTTCTAGTGGCTGGACTCAGCCATTGGTGGTTTTGTACTATGTGAGTGTCCTCGAAAACAATTCACATCGAAGTGTCACTGATTTTCTGAATAGCTCAATTACTTGACCAAATATGTTGAGCTCATTGACACCGTTTTCCTGATGGTCAAGAAGAAGCCACTGAGTAAGTCATCTCCAAAACTCGAAAGCATATGAAGAATATCTGCTGAACTGTAAACAGCCTTCCTCCACTGCTATCATCACCCAGCGACAGCGTTGCTGTGCTATACTCAATTGATCGGACACACTTCTGTCTCATGGGTTCCAATTACACTGAATCTTACGGTGCACGTTGTCATGTACTGGTACTACTTCCAGAGTGCTCGTGGAATCAAGATCTGGTGGAAGGAGTGGATCACCCGTCTTCAGATCACACAGTTTGTGATTGACTTGGGTATGTCTGAACGGAAGCATCTCCGCCGTGAACATCACTGACATGTGTGGTTTAGGCTTCGTATACTTTGCATCATGGGATTACTTCACCAGCACATACGCTCCGCAACTCCCACATGTGGGCACTTGTGCCGGAGAGCCATTTGCGGCTGTTGCAGGTGACGTAATCCTGAGCTCTTACCTGTTACTGTTCATCTCTTTCTACATTGCAACGTACAAGAAGATGTCCAATCGCCGAAACACAGCAAAGATCGCGCAGAAGGCCGAGCTCAAAATGGAGAAGACGGAGGTCCCAACAATGAAGGAAACAGCAGAGAAGGCCACTCAAGTGGTCAGGGCTGCCAACGAAGGCATGCACAATTTCAGCCCAAGTGGACCATTCTTCTAGGCGGGTCCAGATCGAAGATTTGATCAGTGCAGGGATATTGGCGATTGGTGGGGTTGAGAGAGTGGGGGACTGCGGAAGGAAATCATCGGAGAATAATTGTAATTATTTCGTTGTTCGGAATATTCTCCGGCAACATGGGGATTCACATGCGTCGCAACAATACCATACTCGACATTAAACTTATGACGTTGTAACATATGTGCATACTGTGCGTTGATGACAAAATGCAGCAATTGTGTGTTCTAGAAAATGATTCGGTCGGACAACATGCTCACCCTTGGCCCATGACAAAAGACTAGACTAGCTCCTCCGATTGGCGAGATCTCACTTGAGGCATCTAAGTTAGTAAGAGTCTTGTCTTCAGGGTTCCTCTGTCTTGACAGTGGACTTCAGCGGTACGGTGAGATTGGCGCAGTAGAATTGGCCGAAGCCGCACAGTGCAGTGCCGTGGGAGGACGGAACTTGTCACCCTTCACGCATATACGTATGCAGCGGTACATTGACTCGAGCTCGTCGTCGCAAGAGTGCGTAGTACAGTGGGCCTGACGCTCGTCGGCCGTGCGTGCAAAAGGTGCGACTGGATAGAGGTTGTAATAAGGTCTGCGCCAAAGGCACCAAAATAAAAACTAGCGAGCTAGTCCGATCGAGGGCGCTAGTCTGTTTGTGGAAAGTGCAGGTAATTACGAGAAAATCGGGAAGGCTGACAGGGGCTCGGAATTCCTCCCTGCCGTGCTCATGAATCATTGGATAAGGATACCGTCCGACCTTCTGCGCTATTTTCAGACGTTTTACCGTATCAAGCGAAGGCGGTCAGTCAACGACATCTGTTCTGCTCGCGCCCCCTTCGCCCTTTCGCACAATTCCAAGTCTCACCAGCAGAAACCATCACCTCACCATACCTCAGCTAGACATCGTTCAAGTAGATCCGTCGTCGATCATGGTTTATCAGCCGCAGACGCTTGGCTATTCTCAGTTCGAACAGATGCCCCGTCACACCAGAGGTCTTCTTAGCATCTTCCAGAGCTCTTCTTCCAAGTGGACGCCTCCGGCCATACCAAGAGCTGAAGTCATCCCTGTGTGTATAGCACAGCACTATCGCACCCTATCTGAAGTACTATCACAAGCTCTCCGCTGTCAACGATTCAAGAGTCCCTTCAGGGTCCTCAGCCAGCCCCATCTCCAAATTTGCGTCTATCATGCAGCTAGGCTTTCGATGATGTCGAATCATGTTTCTGCTCTTCCCAGCACGCTGTACTGTCGTCTACTTTTGTGTCCTTTCGTATCCGAGTTTTCTTATTGGATACTGTCTTTATACTTTTCGTTAACCGTGCAAGTCACTTCCGTTTGCGGGTGGCTGCGGCTGGCTGTATTTGCATGTGTGAACGGTTTTTGTTGCGAACATACCGATAAGCGTCAAATTCTCAAGTCGTCATTCTGTTAAACTGCTTGTGTACTGAATAACCTTGATCTGGAATCAAGTACTGCTTTAGTCGGCACATATTGCAGTAGGGAAACTAATCTCGTCACTGTGCTCAGATAGATGACTCTGCAGGGTCCTCCCTTCCCACGTCGCTCAAATTGACCGATTCTGAATAACAGAGTCATCGACGCTGCACGCTCATCACTATGCACCGACCAATATGAGCCGCGCCCATTGACTAAGCCCTAGGCGCTGAGCGCTTCAGGCACGCCGATGTTCATGCCCTCCGCTCATTACGTCAGGCGTTATCAGGTTTCATCCAAAGAGAAAACGTTCACCTCCTTGTTTCTGTCTCCGACACCTTCACCGTCGCAGATCTCCACTTCGCACGTCTGCCGTAATTTGTATTTGGAACTCTGTTATCCACTCAGCATTGATGGCGAAGGGTCTTGCTTGATCGCACTGCAATGCCAGAGGATGTTCCAAGTGGAACTCAACAGATACCGGTGTACAAAACTTGGAGGAGTGGATCATTCAAGTGCTTTTGCCACCTCGGCGACTTTCCCTTTTGAACGAGTTCAGTACGATCAGCGCTCTCGTACTGCACTAAGATGATACTTGGAAGCAATGTCTATCTTTACCAGAGTCGGTGATCATGAATGCTTGAGCTTGGGAGCATTCTTCCGTGCCGGTCAGACTTCTGAGTTGTGCCGCTGGTTTGAGAAGGAGCAGAAGATGGTTTTGGTGACGCCGTAGCAGAGGACAATCTTCGTGAATTGCATCTACTTATCTGATCTTTGAATCCTTCAACGCGGATTATATGTTATTGAGGCAGGCTGCCATCTCAATTGTCCATTATCCCTATCTCCTCCACTTTAATTGTCTTTTGTCTATGACTTGCAGCCGATGATGTCAAATCTCAATAATACCATCCTTTATCAGGTCTCTATGCCTGCAAATTCGAGTCAATATGAAAGCTTGAGTCCTCCAGGCAACGATGTTCCATCAGTACTTTCACAAATATGGTCCCTGATCACAATATGGAGATTGCTGGTTGCATTTCTTTTGATAGGAAATATCAAGAATATTCCCTTGATATGGCACGTAGGTACATCGCTGCACTGCCACGCGTTCTCCATCTAACAAGATTTCTCCAGATGCGGATCGTCAATGCTTTCAGGTTCTGCCTGCGAACACAAAGACCGAAGGTCCCTGTTACACATGAACAGCTATTCAGACCTCTTATCACGACGACTCATGCTCCATTGATGGAAATTGATTTCAATCTCCACAGTAAGGACTACTCGTCTCACTTCCAGGTACAAATACTCACTGCTCTTCAGAGACAAATTCATCATACTTCTCCGACATTGACATCGCCCGAACGCATCTAGTATGCACTCTCTTCTCCACTGGTATCGAACACATGCGCGGCGGGACTGCAGCCATCACAGGAGCCAAACGACCAATTTTTGGCCTTGCCCTCGGTGCCGTGAGTTGTTCATTCAAACGTGAGCTCAAACCTTACGAGTCTTATGAACTTTGGACGCGAGTTCTGTCATGGGATGAGAAGTGGATTTATATCGTCACACATTTCGTTCGAAAGGGCGCTGTCATGCCGAAGAAATACACGTTATATCCTCAACAAAACTCTGGAGATGAAGATGAGATCAAACGACGAGACAGCACTTCAAGTGTTGATAGCATGGATGGTAACGAAGCCGTCGTTGCAACAGCGCTGAGCAAGTGTGTCTTCAAGCAAGGCCGTCGGACAATTTCTCCAGCCTTCATGCTCAAGCAATCTGGTTTACTACCCACGAAATCACTCGACGACGTTCTTGCTACTGATGTCGAGCCAATCTCTATTGATTCGTGCTCATCATCAGATTCTGGAATCGACGTCGGAGATTCGAAGGAAGAATCAGACCTCGAGAGGATCGAGCGAGAACGTCAGCGTGGCATGAGGGTAGCATTCTCCCTTACAAATCAACCACAGAATGCGCTGGAGATGGAATTTACAGCTGAAAGCGAGGCATTAGGCAGACATACGGATGGCACCGGAATCACGGGTGTGGTATCAACGCTCGCGCAATTGGCACATTTGAAGCGAAAGCAAATCCTGTAATCTCTTTTCATTCGGATACTTTATTGGTAGTTGTAGCTATGATATCCCAATCAGCGATAACCAGGCATCTTGGCTATATCTCGGGGACAAGATTTTGCTGTGCAGTTGGACTCAACGAATGAACTGGTGTTGGGCACGGATGATCACTGTCCCGTCCTGAGCCTCAATGTAACCTATGCCGCAGTAAGCAGTGACAACACATGCAAGCCCAAATTTCCTTATCCGTCCAATCCGTGCGGCACTGAGTAAGAATTGTGCCGTGCTGCACGGCCGAAAGTCAATATAGCCCTAGTATCTAGCCGAAAGGAAAATACTCCTAGTGCGAAAACAGGGGAGCGAGTATATTATGATCTCACCCTGCAGCCGAGCAGATCTTTCCCCATCAGAAAATCCCACCCAACTAAGTGATCGCTACGTTGGATACCGATGGGGGATCGGAGCAGGGTACGCACCTGTCATAGGCTTTCTAGGCACGACCTATGATTTTGAGGCTGACCTGACTATGAGGGTCCTCGTTCGTTGCCTATCCACAGACTCGTACCCTCCTTGCATCACCGAGGAAGTTCCTTGCTCGATTTGCCTTTGAGGAGGAGAGCTTTCCCCGCATTCACCATTTTTTCCCATGTTGAAGAGCTTTTTTGAATGTTCATCTCTTCTTTCATGTTTCATGCCCCGAGTACCTTACTCGTCTTTCACCATAATTTCTAATTGAGTTCTAATATCACACAACCTTCACCATGTCCGAGAAATCCTCAACAGAAATCCCCAAGAAATCGGAAGAGACAACACGATCTCGAAAATCAGAAGAAGCAGGCAAACATGAGAACGAATCTCCCAAAACAAATCATCCGCACCTGCAAAACTTCATCCAAGAAGTAGTCGACGCCACGAACCCGTCACTCCGTCACCTAGCTTCCCAATCATCCTTCAACTCCCAGAACTCCAGAACGCCCAGCCACGCTCCCTCGGATCCCCGTTCCCAGATCACGAAACGTTCATTCAGACCCCTGAGCACGAATTTCGAGGAACAGAGACACCCCGGCAAACCCACTCTGAGCATTACCCGGAGTACCAAGCAATGGGATCCCGAAATCAAAGAAACGGGCAGCGTGGCCGATTACCCGAGTCTCAAGCAATATCATGAGAGTATCGGGAGTGGGATTTATGGCAGTGATCAAACGACGCTGTTCTCGGATCCGAGGAGTAGTTTGATGTCGGCGTCTGGTGCTGGGGCGGTGCCGAAGTATAAGGAGATTGAGATTTCGCACCCGATCGCGGAGGGCGCGAGCTCGAAAGTCAGCACGAGTGAAGGTTCGAGTCAGCATGTGCTTCCTGATGAGAAGGAGGGCGCCGAGGAGGAGGAGACGGTGTATCCTGGACCGCTTGGGTTGTTTATTTTGATTACTGGCATTGCGTTGAGCGTTTTTCTGATTTCTCTTGATCGGACGATTATTACGACTGTGAGTACCTGTCTCCTCCAATTGTGTGGAAAATAATTTGATGGCAAGACAGGCAATTCCATATATTTCCGACGAATTTGACTCCTACGACGATATTGGCTGGTATGGATCAGCTTACCTTCTAACGGCCTCTGCTTTTCAACCTTTATATGGTCGCGTGTATGGGCTGTTCAACATGAAATGGGCATATCTAACCTCGCTCTTCATGTTCGAACTTGGAAGTTTGATTTGTGGCATTTCTCCAAATTCCCTTGCGTTGATCATCGGTCGATCACTGGCTGGCCTGGGAAGTGCGGGTATTCTGACAGGAAGCTTCGTGGTGGTTAGTCATGCGGTGCCGTTGCAGCAGAGGCCCGTATTGACTGCTGTTGTGGGTTTGATGTGAGTTCATCTAACGCCTCTCAATACAACCGAGGAGTATTCGCTAACATACCCTCAGGTTCGGAGTCGGAGCAACAGCTGGTCCCCTCCTCGGAGGCGTCTTCACAGACCTAGTTACCTGGCGCTGGTGTTTCTACTTCAACCTCCCCGTCGGCGGCGCCACCGTAGCCGCCATGCTATTCTTCTTCCACCCACCCAAGAAGCACGCCTTGATGGAAAAATCCTTCCTCTACCGCGTCATGGAACTCGACCTCATCGGCAACGTCTTCCTCCTCAGCGCCTCCGTAATGCTCTTCCTCGCCCTCCAATTCGCCGAACTGCAGCAACCGTGGGGAAGCGCCAAGATCGTAGGTCTCCTGACCGGATGCGGGCTCATGTTTATCGTGTTCTGCGCTTGGCAGTGGTGGAAGGCTGATGGTGCTTTGATGCCGCCGCGGATCCTGAAACAGAGGACTGTGGCTGCTTCGTGTGGTGCGGCGTTCTGCATCTATTCTGCGATCCTGATTCAGTCTTATTACTTGCCGATGTGGTTCCAGGCCATCAAGGGCGATTCGGCCATTCATTCGGGTGTCAATATGATTCCGTATGTGGTTGCGAATGCCCTGTTTTCGCTACTGGCTGGTATCTTTGTTTCAAAGAACGGATACTTTGTTGCACCAGCCATTATCGGTATGGCGATTGGGACCATCGGCTCTGGACTCATTACTACTTTCGACGAAAACACATCATCTTCATACTGGATCGGATGTGAGATCTTGGCATCAGCAGGTATAGGCATGGCCATCCAACAAGGCTTCACAGCCGTTCAAATCGTGCTCCCTCTCGAGGAAGTAGCCATCGGAACCGCAGCAGTAGTAGCCTTCCAATCCTTAGGCGGCGCTATCTTTGTCTCGGTCGGAAACACCATTCTTCAAAACACGCTCCTGGATGCGAATCTCCCGGGAGTCGACATCCAAGCCGTGATCGACGCTGGTGCTTCCGATTTCCGCAGCAAGGTTACAGCGGAGCAACTCCCTGGTTTGATTGCGGTGTACAATGATGCTTTGACGAAGGTGTTCATAGCCGCTGTCCCAATGGCGGGGTTGGCGATATTTGCTTGTGCGTGTATGGAATGGAAGAGTGTGAAGGATGGGAAGAAGGGGGATTTGGAGAGTGCGAAGAAAGCACAGGGGAAGAGGGGAGAGATTGAGAAGGCGATTTTGGAGAGGCATAGGAGGAGTGAGATGAGTGGGATGACGGTGGGGTATGGGTCTAGAGATTAGGATTCCAGAGATGTCTAAATTGTATGTAATGAGAGATTGAATGTAATTCAATCGCAGGAAAGACTTACCAAGTGCTAAATTTTGAAGATTTTGTCACGACTCATACACCTGAAACGTGATTAGCTTCTCGAGGTGGACATTCACAGCTAGGACACTCGGGGATTTTCTCTGTCCAATACCATCATCTCTCCCCAAGTCAAAATAACTACAACTCATCTATTACACACTGTCAGTTGATCTGCCATGATTCCCATAGCATGTAAAAAATTCTCATCTAAGCACTCTCTCCAAGTTGACTTCGTATACACTCATAACATATCGCTGATTGAGATCATCTGATTGTTGTGCTTCCCTTTGGGCATTATGCAAAAAGATCTTGAGGCGTAGCTCCAAGTAGCGATGTACGATTGAACTTACTGCAGAGAAGACATATTCCCGTCTGAGTATGAGGAAATCAAGCTCTAGAAGAAGTTGTTCGACCTTAGTGGAGGTATCATAGCCCCATAGAAATGGGACGAGAGGACGATCAAGTTAGTACATCATATAATCAACTTCCTGTTCGGGCTAATCCTCGTTGATCCAAATATGAAGAGCATTCCCCTCTTGAGCTAAAATAAGGAATGTTTACTGGGTTACTCCTTACTTAAGAGTGCATTCTTTGGCAACATACTATGCAGTTATTTCTTTTTCTTGCGCTCTTTGGTTCCTCCACTGTTGTCTCCCTCGGTTGGACAAGCCCCATGAAGTTCAGTTTTTGTTCGTAATTCACTTACCTCATGCTCAAGTATAGTTAACCTCAGATCGCAAGTTCACTTATGTTGGGTATATTGTTTCGCTTGCATGAAAGCTATGATACTTATGATCCTGGTCACTGCCACAGATTTGTGAATAACATCAAGATAACAGTCGGTGACCATGATATCAAACGCAAAGATTTGACTTGATCACTAGCGTCTTAAACCTCAGACAATAACAGCAGCGCCATTCTGCTGTCCCTGATTCGCTTGATACCTCCACACTCTCAATCTTTTGAACATCTTTGCAGCAGCACCTCAATCACGAACAATCTTTGAATGGAAAGATTATAGAACGCAGTGGCTATAAAAAACTCCTCGAGGAGCGCTTCTCCTCATTCGACATCATCCTCACACAGACATACAAACACCAAACAGTTCCTCAGACAACCACACGCCAACAATCCTTAATTGAACCATTATTCTAATCCAACTGAAAGACATCATGCAATCCCTCTATTCTTGGATTGCCATGGCAATCATGGTTAGCTTCTCTGCCAACGTCAATGCCATCCCCGTCTCTTATGCGAACGACCACAACACTAATACTACTCTCAACACATATGGTCCTCACCCATTTGCTCGATCAACTGTATGTCTCCTTTGCTTCTCACAATAGTACTGACTAATTGTTTGAATTTAGCCAGCTCCACTCTGTAACCCCAACACCAGGGGCTGGGGAGGCGTGGAGCCTGAATGGCTCAGTACAGGTATCAACTATCTGAACGGTGCTGGTAACAATGGAGCATGCGACCTTGCAGCCAAAACGGGTCTTGCAGTGAGCTGCGCCACTGGAGTCAAGATCTGGATGCAGAACAATGTTCGTACTTTCCTGAAAGTCAGAACAGAAGTTTCATACTGATGGTTCTTGTAGAACAATTTCCTGGTCAAAGTTGACTGCGGGACTGTTACTAGCTACGTTACTGCAATTGCCGGCTGTCCTCTGATCAAGGGCAAGGTTCAGGGTCAGGTGTTTGATAAGTATTGGGATGTGCATATTGAGGCAGATCAGTGTGGGAGTTCGTACAAGACATCTTGGTAAGAGAGAAGGTGAAGCGAGTTGGAAGTTGTTGGGAGTGATGTAGAAAATATTTGTTCTTTCTGGGTGTACGGGTTGCTTCTCGGATCTTGCTGGCTAGGGTGAAGAGTAATAAAGCATACGTGGTAGTTTTCGGGCCTGGCTTTGGCAGGTTAGCATAAACATGACCATTTACCCTTCAATAACCTTTGTGATTTGTTTTCAGGAATGGGAACCTAAACTATATTGGAGTCTCCGCCACCAAGGCAACCATAAACTAGAAATTTTATCATTTCTGTAACGTACTCAATGCATTACTCATCTAGACTCTCAGTCAGCTAGAAGTTGCCTTGATTCCTGGAGCTTAAGCCTTATCGTCCCAGAGGTCTCGGGGTCTCTGACTCCACTGTTCCGCAGAAGGATCCCGACTTGTCACCAACTCGAAAAACAATCGACTCTCGTGCGAGAGATCCAATTCAGTCCCCCGAGCTACAGGTACCAAGCTATCACCTCCAATAACAGCACCTTCCCCCTTCTGCAACTTCGCACTCCTCGCCTTCTCTTCTCCTTCTCTCCTCCCCAACTCTGTCCAAGCCCGCTGAGCCTCTCTCTTGGAATACTGCAACAGAACTTTCGTTTCAAGTAGCTCTTTGATTACATCCCGCTTCTCCGTTCTTTCCGTTTCAAGATTGACCTGAGTCATCGATTGTATGTGTTGGATCCTCTCTTGCTCAGTCTGAGCCTCGAGAATCTTCGCTTTGGCATCCAACAATTCTTGTGTCGCACCACGCTTCTCAGCTCTTTCAGCTTCAAGACTAGCTTGGATCATGGCTTGTATTTCCTGTGCTTTCTCTTGCTCAATCCTGGTCTCGTAAAACCAGCGCTGGAATTTACGTTCAGAGGAAGCGCGAAGGCGCTGGAGCTCCACGACGGCGTGGAAGAGATTAGCTCCAGCGGCTGACAGATCGGTCACTTGTCGGGAGAGCTGCTGGGTGAGAGGTTCGGAGTTTACTTGTACAGTGTTTTCTTCTAGACGCCTGAGCCAGAAGCTGGTGAGACCCTCCCAGTGGGCGGAAAGAGTTTCCCATCTCTCGAATGCTTGAGTTTTAGGTTCATTTTCCTCGTCGTCTTGTTCATCAGTAAATGAAGGTCTCGAGTGTTGCGAGGGCAGCGGTGGAGGTGGAGGTGGAGCATGATTTGAGCTTCGAGAAGCAACCGTGTCACCAGAAGGAAAGTCTGCGTCGAGAGGAGCACTAGCTTGGTTTAGTACTTCTGAGTTGGCCGACCCTGGTCTCGAAGCAGTTGGAATGAGTTTGTCCTCAACTGAGTCTGAACCTGCGTCGTGGAAGTGGACACTTCTCGATGGAGTCCTTGTCTGAGATCCTGGTGCTCTCTCAAAAACACTTCTAGTCGCTGGTATAGCGTCCTCTGTTACACTAGATACGCTAGACATGCTTGATGCCGAATCGTGAGAATGTAGCTCTGACCACTTCATAGCTGTGGTTGTATCTTCACTGTCAAGTAGATCTAGATCATGGTTCCTTCCTTCCGTTAGCCAGTCCGGCGCTTGACTTTCGCCAGATTCCTCCGGGCCGGGGCCAAAGTCAATTAGATCTCCTTCGGTGATTTCTTCTTGGACATGCTCCTTGTCAATACTTTGTGCTTTGACTTGCCGCGCTCTGCGGTACACCTGTGTATTGTTGACCAGCTCGGTGAATTCGTATGCTTCTTCCTTCGTTGTTGATTCGTGAGAGGATATATCCACATCTCCGGGTATATGAAGAAAAGAGTCTGCAAGAACAAGATTGGAATACCGTTCTTTGAGGGATTTTGTACGATCACGACTCTGTTGAACAGTCGCTCGATTATTGACCATAAAACGACGAAGGTCGGGTATCGATTTTCTAGTCAAACTTAGCATTTCGAGTTATTCTGAACCAGGTTACTTCGACATACACTTCAAAGCTCTCCACGAGAACGGACACTGCTTGACGTTGATCCCACAGCCCTTGGATAAGTTCTTCGAGTTCATCCGTCTTCCACAACACTGCTTCCTTTCCACTCAGGCCCGAGAGTTCGTCTCTTGCCAACCTGCAGCTATTGACCAGGCTCCAAACTTCATCTTCAAGACAGTACAAAACAGTAGAACAACCAGTAAAGACAGTGTCTGCAAAAGACAGGAATTGGGGATCGGTGAAATCTTCCACGGATTTGCCAGTCCATTCATCTAGAACAATGATCTGGAGTTGCGAGAGTACACGGCTGGTGAGCCTCATCTCAGAACATAATGAATTCACGACTGGAGGCGCAGCCTGGTGGTCGGTGCTTAGATGATTTAATTCTTTCACGATTGTGAGGGAAAGGCTAGTAAGGCCTCCTATTCTGGCGGCGACCGAGAGAGCATCCATGATGTGGAACTAAGTGATGCACGACGATGCAGAGTGAACAGATAGTGAGGATATGTTGTTCCTTGTGGGGTATATGCGACAGCCTCACCAAGTCTGCGGGGTTCTGACGGCCATGCATGTTCGCAGCCTCATTTTAGTGTCAGTTGCATAGCCACCCCCACCACCTCCAGTTCAATGGGGTTGATTCTATTAATAGCGAGCACAAAGCATTGTGAGCATGCTTTGTTGACAATGAATGAGATTACATTATGACGTTTCGCAATCGAGAAAATTTTGACTTGTGATTTTGTTGAAGAAGGCAATTGTGTTCTTGACTCTTCCAAATCAAAAGCAAAATGATTCCTCGGGAGCCTTGTCATTATTGCAGATTGTCACTATTATCTGCGCCAGCCTTGTATCTTTTATTTCAGAGTCTAGAGCGTCGAACGGAACTTCTCCAAAAACAAACGACTCTCGCGCGCAATCACCTTGATACTACCAAGGAATATTTCAAAGAAACACAGCATGGTGGAGACAGATACAAGCCAAGACGTGAAAAGGCCCCGAAACTAGTTTTGAGGGTAATCTGCGCTGAATCTTAACTAGGGTAGTGTCTAACGCGGTTAGTTAGCATCGTTGCTCTGCTTGGTGGCTCAGGCGCTACTCACCCTCGCCTCACCCTCTGCTCAGGTTGCTCAGTCACGTCTGCTCTGCCTTCCATTGACTAATCATGATTACTTATCATTCGCTTCTGCCGTGCGAAAAATTATCAACTCTACACAATTGCGACTCACAGGGAGCTTAAACAAGAATATGTCCTTCGATCCCCTTAGGGCTCCTTTCATGGATCCTCATTTGCCGCCACCCGAAACCATTTTTAGCATTTGGAGTACTACAATTGTGAGTATGTCTATTTGAAAGGTTGCGCCACGGAGTGGTTTCGCCTGAAGTATAATACATTAACGTATTACTAGACAGCGCATGTGCTTTATTTATACTGCAATTCGGACTTCTTTGGCTTTAAGTACACTAATTCGGCCTGTTAGTAATATAATGTAGAACCGGCTGAGAATCTACACCAAAACCCAAGCTAACCCCGCTTATAGTATTGAAATCCAGAGTATTTCTAAGTTAGCACTGTGTGGAATGCACTTTCCTGCTTACTCCCAGATGTGGGCATTGGCGAAGCATAAGCGCTATAGCAAGGGCCATCTTTAAGATAGATGTATTCCGTTGTTATTGTAATTTTTTAGTTTAACTGTTTAAATCTAGTCTATACGTGCAGTCACGAGCCCCGCTCCGCATTTAAAACTACAAAAGAAATCAAATTAAATCAAATTAATAAAACTTATATGTGATCACTATGCTAACCTCGCTTTCCGCTTCTGTTGTGTTGAATTTGTATGATAGGCCTTTACAGGGCCTTAGTTGGACCTATTATTACAATCGTCGTAAGTGTCTCTCCGGCTGTCCTTTCATTCTAGTCGTGAGAGTGTGTTCGTGTATGTAACACACTGGCTTAACAAGCCTATAGCATGAATAATACTGCGCAGAAACAGAAATTGTGTGTCTGAGAGAGAAATCTGGCATCAAATGTATTCTATTGGAACGACTTCCTGGAGTCCAGCTCCTTTATGCCCGATATTTCAGGCCATCTCACATGGGTACTGTAGGCTAAGGTTCCGCGCTAGTGGGATCTCCCGCTGCCTTGCCTTGGCCGCTGCTCAGACCTGTGCCTGTGTTGCTTCCAAAGACAACAGCTGCCCCAAACAACCACAATATACACAGTTCCAACCTTAAACAGCTGTGTGAACAAAGTAACCAAAACGGGCTCTCACTGACTTGTTATTACTTTATTTCAACGGCACTAGAACTATCCTAAGGACAACATAGCGATGACGGGCGATACTTCAATTTCAGATACCTCTGAAGGTATGACTGCCTCCGTTCCCTTGTATGGGATCTACCACTAAAAACGCTAGGTATCACCTTAATGTCGAGTTTCTCACGCAAGGTCATCCGCTATGGCGACAAGGTCGTGAAATCCGGCCCTGGCATACTCCCGTTAGAAGCAGAGACCATGCGATTCATTGCTGCGAATACCAGTATCCCTGTTCCTCGAATTTATGAAGAGGAGACAGGACTTGTACCCAGTATTACCATGGACTATATCGAAGGAGAGACATTGGAAGCCGTGTGGAATGGGCTCCCCGAGGAGCAGAAGTTAGATATTGCGGAACAGCTGAAAGGAATACTCTCCCAGTTACGCAGCTTGAAAGGACAGTATATTGGATCAATCAATCGTGGGGAAGCAAATGACGGGAGGAGATTCGATTACAAGGGCGGTCCATTTGATACCGAAGCCGAGTTTAACCAATTCCTTGTGACCGACAAGATAAAAGGTTGTCCTACGATATTTTATGACATAGCATTCCGATCCTTACGAACAGATCATGAGATCGTCTTTACTCATGCTGATTTCACGCCCCGAAATATTATTGTTAAGGACGGGCGAGTGGTTGCTCTCCTAGATTGGGAATATTCGAGGTGGTATCCAGAGTACTGGGAGTTTGTCAAGACTTTCAAAGGAGCAGATCACAGGTGCAGTTGGTACAACTATGTCGAGGCCATATTTCCAGTGTGCCACGAGACCGAGTACATCAACGATTGCTTCCTTAGATCAATCCTTCGTCACTAAAGTGCTGTTTTCAAAGGATGACAAACGATCTTGCATTCAATAACAATCTTTCATTGATTCATTCATTCAACGACAATCCTATAAAAAAAAGCATCCCGAAAAACAAAAAAAAAACTAAAATCTTGCGACAAACAACGACCTTGCAACAAACCATATACCTTAAAACCAAAACAAGACTTAATCAAAACCAACCTTGTAACCAAAAACTAGCCTTCGACCAAAATCAAACCTTCACCCAATGTCAGTCGTTCAACCAAAGAATCTCATTGCCAGTACCGCATGGATCATTCGGGATCCTCCATAGGTGCTTCCATCAGGACATCAACCATCTGATCTGCGGCGTTATTGACAATATTCTCTGGTATAATATCGGCCTCCTGTAGCCTCTTCAAACCATCACCAATCCAGTGTTGACAGTTCCAGGATCGTTCAGTGTTGTTAATTGGAGTGTTGTAAAGTATGTCTCGTATGGTTAAGTCCTGGGGAGTACTCGATTGAATTGTCGCAACTGGAATTCCACGCTCAAATGTCGCACTTTGCTGTGGAGGCCTAGCTTCGTTCCATCTCTATCGAATTCGAAGAAGCCAGAAGCTCCTGTGATGTAGCTAAGCACATTCGAGCCATCCGAATATTCGATGTAGAAAGCTGTGTGGCGGTTCAAGTGTGAATCAATCGGGTCACCTCTGTACACTACGATGGACAGGGTCCGGCTGAACACTTCGGGTGGGGCCTCTTCTTCACGTTTGTCGCTGTGGCTGTATTTGCCCCTGGAGTGGTGTCCACTACGGCCTTTCCTGTTTGACGTGCTCATGGTCGAGGTTTGAGGAATGATGTGAAAGAGAAATTGTACTGGATTGCCAAAACCGGTTTAAGCTTCGAAGCAGAGGAGATGGTAAGGAATTTAAACTTCAGAGTTGAAGCAAAAGAAGAGATGATAATTGGCTTGAGTATTGAAAAGAGCAAAAGAAGATGATGGGTTGAATTCTGAAGAGGGAGCAGAAGTGATGGCCAGACAGCTTTTATATAGACAGTTCCACCAAGTGGCATGTTCACATCTTCTCCGTGAAACGAGCAAGGCAATGCTACGACGCAAGAATGTTCAATCGTTTCAAGTGTTGCCTTTGAAATAACCAATCAACCACGGTTGGTATCTATAGGACGAATAGATACTAAAAAACTGTTGGTGAGTGACGATAGTGACCTGCATTTGTCAACACTCCAAGGCAGGATACACGTCGCCTAGGTCTTCATCCTGATAATCTGCAAGGTTTTGGGCGGCTGGATAACGAGCTTTCCAGCGGGAAAGGCAGATCTTTGGGCTGAGGAGAGGAAGCTTCTAACATCAGAGATTTGATGGCGGATATGGTAAGTTGGTCTGACTAGCTTTGTAGATGTCAAGGCTCACAATGGACTTTACTAGGGCTTTCTGGACCAATTTTTATTGGCATAGATTGGAAATAAGGCTGGAATTTTCGCAATTAGGTAAAGGTACTCACCAAAAGAAGCATTTAATTGACGTACTATCCTTGGTTCCCAACTCAAAGGTTGGCAGATTTACAATATTCTCAGCTTTGTTCCTGCGGTCATTTTTTGGTCGGCGGCAAAGTAGGACCGACAAATTGTGTACTCTCGTTTGGGAGTAGCGCAGGCGCCCCACAGACGCCACCAACCTGGAAGTCTGGGGACGGAGAAATCATGCAGTTGAAACGCCAACAATTTGGCAGCAGGTCGCTGAAAAGTTGTGCAAGATAAAGATCTCACGTTGCGGGGCATCGATCGGATCCCGCGGCAGCGGGTTAGCGCCCAGCAGGCACCCAGCAACCCGGATCCGAGAGAACCAGGGCACCTGAAACACTAAAATTTTTAATTCAGGCCACTGAAAGGCTGAGAGACATGGTGAAGATCTCCCTCTGTGCAACATGCCAATCCTCTTGGGGTGAACTATCGTTTGTGGCTGTAGGACCGCGCTTGGTTTTGATGGGTTCCATGAGACTTCTACGGCCTCTTCCTCCATACCGATATGTTGGCTCGGGCAGTGTAACAGGAATCGCGGTGGTACTGGTTTGCGAAATGTGGTGATCGCATCTTCCGTGGTCTAATGATCCTGACCTCCACCATAGACGCGCCTGCTGTCTCTGTACATATTGGAAATGAACTCAAGAGGCAATAGTGTTGTTTTTAGAGGCCTCGAAAGTCATCCCCTGGAATCTAGCACTGGCAAATTGGGTGCATGTGGCAGAAGTGACATAACTGCTACTTTGAGAGAGCGTTGTAGTACTTCTAGAGGCTCATCCTTGGTACTGAATGGAGTATCCAGCGCTGTCTATCAAACGACAAAATTCCAACAATAGGAAAGGAAAGGCGTAGAGTTCAGCCCAAATGATGGCCTGAAGCGCCTTGATGATGGTCGCACTCTAGACTTGCGAGAATCATTGAAGTGCCGCTCACATCGGTTGGCCAAAAGCCCAAAAGATAGCCCAAGGCGCTTAGGTGTTGTGGTGTTGTAAATTCTCAACAATTGAAGTGTCGATTGAAGAAATTTAGTGGGTTTGGTCAAGCGCCGAAAATGTAACGCCTCAATGTTTGAAGTCTTAAGGACGGGAGTTATTGATTGAGGATACCTTGACAGATTTGACCAAGAGCATGATCCGAGGCGCCTCGATTTGCAAAGCATAGTAATGTTTGCCGTAAACGTCGCTGACTGGTTCTCAAGCCGGTAGATAGCGCGACATGACGGCGTCTCTGAGATTAAGAACCGCGGTTGATGAATCAAGACATATGTGAAAATATTCAGCAGGCGCTTGATTGCGTTTCATGTGTCTTGATTTCTAATTATTGATAAGTTGCTACTCCGGGGTGTTTTTCTAGCCATTCGGAGACTATATGTATCCCTCTCTCGTGGAGTTCACAAGAGATATTTTTGCATACCGACAAACTTCTTTTCCTATTGAACGTACATTTCTTCAACTTATCTCCTTTTTCCTTTCCCACCACATATATTTCAGACATTTTCAAAACTACCGGAATCTGCGGTGCTCAGTCGAGACATGGCTATTAGCTTCCACCCGTCGGGTATGAAGTCGTACTACTCTGCAGTTCTGGCAAAAGCCAGCTAATATCTATGTAGAAAGTGTTTTTGAGCGCGGGGGGCCCATATACATTCTTGCAGTTCCAATATTACTCTTTTACAGTGAGTAGAACCTTTTTCCTAAGCCTTGCTCTTTGTGCTTACCTCTCATAGGCCTATCGCTAGTGGGATGTATTTCTGTATCACCAGGGATTCCCGGGATATTCCTCATTCAGCTGCAAGATAACACTGGTAACGGCACCCGCATCCAAATTGGCTACTTTGGTATGTGATCGACGACGTTTCCTTGCTAAACGTAATGCTGATCCTTACTAGGTGTTTGCAGCGCCAGCAATTCCAGTGCTTCAGCGTTAGAAACGCTTTGCAAGTCCACTTTTGGTACATCTACCGCTGAGCTCTCTACAGGGTTATCCATACCCCAGGACTTCCTCCAATATGGGTTAGATGTCCGGGATACAGCCTTTCCCTCATTTCTTCCAGTTGGGGCAGTATGTTTTCTCCTAGGAACACTAGCTTTCATTTTACTTAAAATGACCCTGAGGACTCTTGATGATATCACGGACGACGAAAACAAGGAAGAAAAAATGGAGAGTCGTGCTGATCGGCTTTCAAGCGCAACGAGTGGCCTCCTCTGGGCGTCTGTAGGAATAGCATTGACAGTTGCCTATGCTTCTACAGTCACACTGTCTGGACTGGCCTTCGTGACGGGGACGAGGTTTTCCACGGCAACTCACGTAGTCCGAGGGACAACCCTGGAGGCTCTTCAGTGGGCAATTGTTGGCCTTTCTGCCCTCTTTGCACTGGGCGTAAGACACATGATCCGGTCGAACGACTCGAGCGATGACGATGATCAGCACCAGAATCCAGCAACAAAGGCACTGTCTGGATCTAGTACAGCACAAGGTGTCTCTCGGCCGAGACCAACCCTCCAATCTGGGGCGAGATCTGCGCCACCTCCACCCAAGGCACCGATTCTTGGGCTACCTGCCAAAAGGTAATGAGCAGCAGTTCGGTTTAACACAGAATGAAATTGGGCGGTTGAAATAACCGTGCAAAGGGGACAGAACGGAGGTTAAGTTTCGTTTTATGGCGCATATTTTCTCCTTTTTCAGTGGCATGCAAGATAGCAACGAGTCAAACAATTCCAAAATGTTCTTTTCGCAGTCTGCGTCTAGATTTGTACTTTTGCTCTTCTCGCCACCTTTGCCATGTGGCGACTGCGACACAAACTTCTACGGGCATACGCATATATCAAGCAACTGTGAACGACTTCTGGACAAAACAAGGGATGGGTGTACCAGAAAGGAGGGATACACTAGCCGAGTCGTTAAAGTCAAAGGGGGCGGCATAATCGACGATATAATTTGTCTGTGACAGAGCGGTAGCTTAAAGAGCACTGAGAAAATAATAGATTAACTCGAGTTATAAGAGGAATTTCCCATCCCAGAAAAATTATTACACAAGTGACATGATTGATTACAGAAGCTCAACTGACAACGGAGTACTCTACATCGTTGCAAAAGAAGGTCAACTTTTGAGATGCTTTAAGGATTGAAATGAGTCTACACTCAGAATCCTAGAACCTGCAGCTCGATAAACTTCATGACTTTGTATCCTGGAATCCGCGGCCTCTTTCGTGTTATGTATACGCCGTTGGAGTATCTCATATGGTTTTCAAGATGGCACCCAACAAAAGCTTTTATACTCTTAGATAGGTCTCTGTGGTTGATTTCTATGCTTCTTTCATTCGCAGATTCATCGAAAGCTAAGCGTAGAACCTCAAGGGCCTCAGGTGTCTATAAATTAAAGTTAATATTCATTTCAAATTTGAAATTTCAATAAAGTAATTAAATTTTTTATGCTAATTATTCATTTATATTGAAAGGAGTGTCCCTGTAGGGTGTAATGACCACTCTAGACGGGACAGAGCATGATGGGAAAGTAGCAGGTTGAATCAGAGTAGATTAACTAAAGAGCTAAGAAGGTTGGGAGTTGAGGTTGAAGATATTTCCCTTAGTATAGATCACTAAGCTAGTCCCAACTAGGCTTGGCTAGATGCGAGCCGCAATGCAGAGCCTCACGGCACCCTGCTTCAACAATTTAAATAATTTTTTTGCGGATTCTTTTTTGCGGACCTTTGCGGAGCTTTTTGCGCAACTCTTTGCGTTACTTCGTTAGTGCTGACCAAGGGCTGATTACGTAATCCTTCCTTCACCGTATAGGTATCATTACTGGTGGCATCTTCCGAACATTCTCTCTTCATTCGCCAACCTCCCCCTTTTTCGACATGTGCATCAGACGCGAATCAGAGGGGCCTTTGAGATCATTTCATTCGTCTGAAAAGATCCGAGACATTCGCGACTCGTAGCGTTTCGCAACAACTTCTTCTCAACGTTCATCTCAACCTTTGCGAAACAACGCCCAGTTACTCGCCCATCGCGATTCGATGGCAGGAGGATCCAGAAGTAGAAGTGGCTGCTGGACGTGTCGACTACGAAGGAAGAAATGTGATGAAAGACGTCCAGGATGCGAGACATGCGAGAAGCTCGGCATCTCCTGCCACGGGTACGCCAACCGTCCCGACTGGATGGATGGCGGGGAGCAAGAAAAGGCAAAGTCGGCTGAAGTCAGACGGGATATCAAGAGTGCAACACGCCGTGATGCTGGTCCGACTGCAAGTCAACCCTCAGCGTCGGTCCATGAGCCATCCCCACGGGTCAGCCCTACCCTAGAGAATGCGACCCACCACGAGCCTCGGCATTCTCCTCAGGAGATCAGCACCACGTTGCCAACGGGAACTAACCAGAGCGACCGGCAGTTATTGAACTCTATGCTCGGTCTCAATGTCGTTCTAGTTGGAGCATCGTCGTCTGGTTCATACCGAAGCAATGGGGCCCAAGGATTCGGACGGACCCAAACTAGTGAAGGCTCAGGAGACATCGAGCAACGCCAGATGCCCGTTATCAAGGAACGCGATGCTTCACTACTGATGTACTACATGGATTGTGTGTTCCCAATGCAGTTTAAGATGTACAACCCGGCGCCAGCTGAAGGAGGTCGTGGTTGGTTGCTGTCATTGCTTTTGCGCACGCCGCCCCTATACTACATGAGCCTCGCTTTGGCTGCTCATTGTATGGAGGTCTTGGAAATTCCAAACGGCTCGGACGAAAGCAAAGGGGTCACATCGGCCCAACTTGCATCGGCTTTACAGAATCTTCAACAGTATATCACCATGTTCAACGAGCAGCCAGGCCCTGGGAGTCTGGAAGAAAACATCAAGGTTTTGGTCTGTATCATGCAAATGATCGGCTTTGTCGTAAGTTACCGTCTAGACAAATTGACTTGATAGCTCACTAACAATCTTGGCAAAGGGATTTGCGGGCGGCACTGAGAACTGGCAAGTTCACATGAAGGGAGCTTCAACAATAGTGAGCAGATTCACAGACATCCTATGTTCATCGAACAGTACCAGTCATCTATTCGAGAGCAATAGATCTGGCACAGTGATGTCCGTGGAAGAACTGATCACTGTAAAATTCTTGGTCAGCATATTCTCGTGGATCGAGATTGCCAATTCCGTATCCTCGGGGTCGTCTCCTACTCTTGGATATATTCACGATCGACTTCTTGGCGGCCAAGATCCTCCAATCCGTTTGGACAAAGTCATGGGTTGCGATAATACAGTCATGATACTCATAGCAAAAATCGGAGCATTGGACGAGTGGAAGCGAGATGCGCAGGCAACCGGAAAGCTGAGCATGATGGAACTCGTTACAAGAGCGTCGTCGATCGAGAAGGAATTGATGCTGGCTCTTTCCGGCATCCCTGGCGGAAGGCCCCCTTCAGCAGATTTTCGATCTCTGTACGGCCTCAGCAGAGCGACGCTCTCTGTGTATTTCGATTACGTTACTGAAGCATACACGCTTTCGGCCCTCGTTTACCTCCATGTAGTAGTCTCTGGTCCGCATGCTGAACTTCAGGAAATTCGTAACAATGTATCCCAATCCGTTGAGCTGTTTAGACGTCTTCCGGAACCTATTATCGCGCGTGCGCTGTACTGGCCAATTTTGGTTACTGGTTCCATGGCACTGCCCGAGGAGGAAAACCTTTTCAAAGAAATGCTTGCGGAAAGTGGTGTCAAGCCGATATTTGTTGGACCAGGTTGGAATATCATCAAAATTCTCGAGGAATGCTGGAGACGACGACGAACAAATGACCCATTACCTGTGAAAGAGGGATATTGGGCCGATATTATGTCTAGCCTGGACACCACAGTCCTTCTACTTTAGTAACGGGGCAGCACTCGGGGATTATGAGTAATCACGAGCATGCATTATGGTTCCTGCACGTTCCTCACGTTGGAAGCAACCCGAGACCGCGGCCTGTGCTGACATTGGGAAAGGCGGCAGCGTAACGCTGCGAGTCGCTAAATAATTTAACTCCGAAAACGCCTCTTCTCAACAACTCCATTATGAAAGGCAGCGAGATGACATTTCCTTCCGATACAAAAACATCCACAGATGTTTGCTCATATATCAAGTCGATGTTCCTTTGGTGCGGGGGGTGGCTCAGTACAAAACAATCGGCACAATGCAGCATCCTTCAGAGCCGGCCATGGAGTCGCCCACCGCAGACGAGGACACCAAAAGAAACAGCGATGGAATCGAAGCGACATTAGGAACTCGTGAGAAGATATCCTTTTTGGTTCTTATGATAATGTCGTTCTATGCCGCACTGGAATCAACAAGTATTGGTGTCGCTCTACCAGTAAGATTTCCTGTCGCAATCACACATCAATCCAAAGACTTACTAGACTTCTTGCAGAACATCGCAGCATCTACTCGCGCATCATCGACACAAGCGTTTTGGATTGGAACATCGTATCTCTTGGCCAGTGCTGTCTGCCAACCACCGTTCGCTGCTTTCTCACACATATTCGGACGACGACCTGTCATCATTTTCACGCTGCTTCTGTTCATTGCAGGCTCAATTATATGCGCATTGGCTCACGATGTTGCAGTCATTCTGGTTGGAAGAGTACTTCAAGGCATTGGAAGTGGTGGCGGACTTTCACTTATCGAGATTATCATCACCGATTTGGTGCCTCTCAAGCAGCGAGGAGGATACTTCGGCTTGATCAGTCTTGCATGGGCATTGGGAAGTGCTATCTCTCCGCTGATTGGCGGGGCTTTTACACAGAAAGTGACTTGGCGATGGATATTTTAGGTCATGCTACCATTGTAAGTCTATCACAGGAAACAGCGGTTCTGGATTCCGACTAAACCCGTGCAGAGCTGGAGTATCTCTGGTCGTCCTTCCGGTGTCGCTTCGACTCGAGCCCAGGAAAGGCGCCATTATGAACAAGGTGAAGCAAGTGGACTGCATCGGCTGCTTTTTGCTCGTGTCATCAGCAACATCGACGCTCATCGCCATTTCTTGGGGTGGCATTATGTTCTCTTGGTCGAGCGCGCATACTCTTGCTCCACTTCTCATTGGTATTGCAGGGATAGCCGTCTTCGTTCTATGGGAAATCTACTTTGCAAAACACCCACTCATCCCTATGAGTATTTTCAACAACAGAACAGCAGCGACGGTATACTGGCAATCCATGGTCTCCGGGTTTGATATGTGGGCGTGTGTCTACTATCTTCCATTGTATTTCGAAGCTGTGCACGGGTACTCGCCAATCCTCGCAGGGGTCGCTATACTACCCACTCTACTATCCGTCGCTCTTGCTGCAGCTGTCACTGGCTTTGCCATTCGAAAAACTGGAGCGTATCGCAAGATCCTTTGGCTTGGGTGGAGCATCACCGTACTGGGGTCTGGACTGATGATGTTACTGGATGTTCACAAGTCTCCAGCTCAGTGGGTATTCATCGACCTCGTCGGCGGCCTCGGAGTTGGGATGCTGCTTCCTGTGATGAGACCTGCAGTGCAAGCAAGTTCGTCTGATGAAAACATGGCGGTCGCCGCTGCACTAACCATGACGATGCGGACATTAGGAATGTCGCTCGGTATAGCCGTCCTCGGTATCATCTTCCAGAACGTATTCCAGCACAAACTCAACTCTTCCGGCTTATCTGGATTCGAGAATGCAGCAGCTCAGAATGTTCTTGGTTTTGTGAAGATCGCCAAAAGCCTTCCCGACCAATCACCTGAGAAAGAGATCTTGAGGAAGATCTTTGCTGATTCGCTGAAGATCATTTGGGCCGCGATGTTGGCGTTCAGTGCTGTTTCATTACTTTTAAGCTTCCTCACGGAGGAGTTGAGTCTGGATAGGGTGTTGAATACTGAGCAAGGAGTGAAGACAAATTCAAATGGTGTCTTGGAGCCGGAATCTACTTCCACGGCTGAAGCAGATGCGTTTGAAGAGAAATGAAAACCGATCGAGGGTTCACGGGAGCTGAAGACAAAGAGGTGCCCTTGGAAGAAGGCATCATTTGATCAGGTGACTACAAAGTCACGAGTTTTCCAGCATTGAATTGAGCAGACTCTCTAACATGCCCCCATATTTTGATTCTCACGCCTGCTTGTAATTTAATACTATATATCTGTATCACACTCCATTGCCTGGAATATTCAACACCAATCACGTGTGCCAATGGACTTGATGTCATCGATTCCCCGCAGCCATGATGACAGCCATCGCCACCCATCTATGCATACAAATCTCAACAGTGTCCCAAACGCAAGACTCGAAATATTTTCCATTCCAAAACATAATCTTTAACAGATCTATTCAAAATGTCAGACCAACCAAGCTCAAACAGCCAAACTGGCAGTGACTCCGTCCAGTACGTCCCTCTCTCTCCTTAAGTTTCTCTATCCTTGTTCCTCTTTGATTCAATAGCTAACAACCCCCAGACGCGGAGGCGCAGGCATGGACAAGACGCCCGCCAACCCTGATGGTGGCAAGCCCGATACTCCTCAAGCTACGACGACCAAGGCTTTCGTAAGTCATATTACTCAGCTCTCTCATCATCTATCACAAAGATAGAGGGAAAAGTGTGAATGATGAAAGGCTAATGAGATACAGAATCCTGCTGATGAACCCGATTTCGCGAAGACGAAGCCGGGAAACCCACCTCATATTTTGGGGAATGTTATTGAAGGGTAAGTCGTGATGTTCGGGGGAGAAGGGGGAAATGCTGATTTGGGTAACAGGTTGACGGCTGGGACTACGAGGTCTTCCTAGGTGGGAGGTGGAATCCAGGAGTGAAGACACTTGGAGGCCTACGTTTGAGAGCAAAATGCAAAAAATGTATTGATGGGAAACATCATAGTTCCAAGATGTCACAGCTGCTTTGACGTCTTTCGTGCTTCCGTTCATTGATGCAGTAGCAGAGTAGCTTCACGTGATATCTTTCAACGACAGCGGCAAAGCTCTGGTCAACCCATTTCCCTCTACTTCGAACAATCCATATTGATGAATATTTCTGCACGCTATCAAGATTGAAAATTGTCAATTCCTTCCCAGCTGCATTAAGCACGGGGTCTGTCAGGGGATCGCTTCGATTGCCGCATTGAGTGAAAGGGGTACTCGTGACCTGAAACTTTGGTTGAAGGTGAGAGGCTCAGTATTGCGGGAGATTGTAGCTTAGAGTGAATCCATCGGTGCTTGCAATGTTAAGAAGCGATCGTCGCTGCCTTTGTTGCTCGATTAGGGGCTTGAAGCAGCGGTCGTCGGCTAATTGACTTTGTTGAGACGATAGACAAAGGCTTGGGAGTGTGTTCTTTTGGTGCTGTATGATGTGGAAATTGCTGGCACAGCCAAGGATAGATGAGCATCAGTGCTTCTGCGGACAGATAGTATAGTGACATGTCGCTGCTGCTCAACTTGCACCTGTGCTTGCGCTCTTTGGAAGATAGAGCAATTCAGACAAAGAAGCGTAATGAAATATGTAAAACAGACAATTTGATGACCCAGGAAACTTTGGACTAGAGCATGTACTGGATTGCTCTAGTGTTTCATGTCTGCAAGGACGCTGAAGTTGCTGTCTACATGTGCAGAACGTGTAGACCTGACTTCTGATTTCAAAGCATGGATGCGGATCTGGAAAGATGTGGTTGGCATATTTTGGATTTATGTATCCTGGGTGGCAGATTTACAATGCTTCACGGAGGACCAGAGAAAGAAGATCTTGGCAATGTGTACCATGCGTCTGGAGATGGACATCTAGCACAGATATCTTCAAGTCCTTGCACGTCTGTCCGCAGTATTCTTTAATTATCTTACAGTTTGCAGTTCGACAACTCTTTGTTAAGTGCTGTGGATAGGAGTGGTGGAAATACAGCAGGGAGATCTTCAAGTTGCAATGTACTGCTCCATGTTGGGCCTTTCAGACTGTGTCTCATCCTGGCTAACAGAGCTGAAACTCCATGATAGAATTTCGTGCATAAAGCTCATCCTGAGGACCAATTTCATTATGGCAAGGATGAAGAATTGCGACCTATACAAGTATCAGAGTCTTGTTACTTTACGTGCTCTGGATAAAATCGGCACTTTAATTATCCTACAATAGCTTGGACAATTCGGGATTGTCAAGTGGCATTTACTGCTCCTTATCCCGACTTTCTAGAGTTGTAAGCACTTGAATACAATATAATTACCACGACTCTTGAGGGCACTCAGCAATGATAATTGCACTAAGCGGGTCCGTAACGCGTCATTGGTCGAAAGTACGACAAGGCTCAGTAGGTGCCTTCCCCACGAATCTGTATTTTCAGTTCTCTCCTTCCTCAAAGACCAACAACATAAAAAATTCAATTTTTTAAGATGGCTTCCTTCTTTGGCTCTCTCTTCCGCGCCTTCCTTGCTTGCATCTACGCCGAGTCCTCTCCTCCTCCCTCACCTACTTCTATTGGTGAGCAGGGGGAGAGGACTCGTATCCCCTCCTTCACCCTCCCCCCGCCCCACAAGATCGGGAGGGAGGATGTGATCCGGCCTCCTCCCTTCTGATAAACTGTCAATTTGAGCCCGTCGCGCTCCCTCCCTTGTTTCCCTGGAGGTCCGGGATCCCAGTTCATATCCCTGCTGCTGCGGGATGTTGATGTCCAAAGCGCGAGGCTTCTATAGCGCGTCGAACCCTCTGTCGTTGTGAGTACTTGGAGTCCTTTACAATCCGGAAACTTTGGGTAGGTATTTCGACCCTGCTGAATGCTCAGAAGCTAATTCAAAACGTTCAGCTCGGCCAAATCACCATCAACAGAGGTACAATTGAAAATCCCACCATACCTCAGCTACAATCAGTTAACAACGGAAGGATACCGGCTTCTACAGCCATCCTGGACTGTGGGCAATAAAGTCTGGGAGCTGCAAGCTCTTGGTAAGAACAACCTTGTAAGTATACAGGTATGAAGGCTAACAGCGCAACCTAGCAGCCAAGCTCAGAACTACAGTACTGGTCTTGCACCGTCTGGATATTTCGCAAATCAAAACTATCTCCCCTCCTACTTTCAGCAGCTACTGTTGTTGAGCTATTAAAAACCCCCACAAGGGCCGCAAGCTGCCTACCAACACAGACAAGTTCTGGTAAGGCTCCTTCCTACTCAAAATATCAAGACCTCTTCTAACAAAGCGAAGTCTGTTTGAAAAGTATTCAACCTACCCCGCAGGCTTTCAGGGAAAAGTCTGCTGGATCTGAGTATAAAAACTGATAGTCCTCTCTCCAGAATACCATCAAACTTTTGGGTTTCTCTGATACTTCTCTCCAGGATGTGAGTGTTCCCGGCTCCCTTCTGTTACTTTCCCTTTCTCCCAAGAACCCGGTTCGTTGGGTGCGGCTTGGACCTAAAAATCTATCATTCTACACATATCTCCTTCGCTGTCAATAAGAACCCTGTTGCCAATCTGTAATTTTCAAGCAACGATCCATGACCCCCCAGAGTAATGAATCAGATCGGGAAAAAGCTAACGAATGTCCTGGGTAGAGGAAGGAACTGATCGTCAATGAGATTATGGTGATGAAGGACTCAAAGCACAAGAACATCGTCAACTTCCTAGACGCATTCTTGCGAAACAACAACACTGAACACATCGGACTCATTGGTGGTGAGATTTACCTTTACCCAATTGAGAAGGAGGTTGAAGACCGTTTCTCAACTCAGTGAATTGCTTTGACTAACATCTATATCGCAGGTTGAACGAATAATTGAAGCTCCAGAAGAAGCACCTCTGGGAGCGTGCTCGTCGTGCTGAACGTCGTAAGATGGAGCAACGTCGAAAGGACGAGGCTGGTGGCTTAACACGAGGGGTAACAGGGGGATATGAGAACCTCCCCGGTGATTATACAGATATGGAGGAGTTTAAGGAATGGTCCTTTGATTGTGTTGATTGCGAAAAGGAGGGTTGGAGGAGGATATTAGATAGACGCCTGGTTTGATAGACTACATGGACATTGAAGTCGGGATAGGGTGCAGGAAACAATCGAGGATGTAGCAACACTTGGCCATGTAAGTCGGGATAGTAGATATCTAGTTTTAAAACTTTACTTTTATCCACAGTGTTCCTATGGCCATACCTTATGAAATGGTTGTTGAATTTGCAAGCAGAAAGTAAATAGGACTGACTCCACTCGAAGTAGCAGGAAAATTGCAAGCTATTATCATTGTAATGCCAAGTGCCTGTTACGTAGGTGATTTTTGAGTTAAGTAAGGCAGTAATGGGTGGGGTAGAATGTGACCTGAAAAAGGCCCCTACAAGACCATAGCAACGCACGGTGTACCACGCTCAAGCTAACTCTATTCGATTAGCTGGTTGCAGGGTACAAGAATGGGCACGCTAGTACAGAGGAATGATGACACGTGAGCTCTCAAGGAGATTAGATGTGGAGCATTTCCCTTCTCCCTAGAGTTCCTTCACCTTCACCTTCACTTTCTTTCTTTCCTTCTCCCTCTCTCTTCCAACCACGCCCATCAACCTGTGGAATAAAGCTATACTAAAAGTAAACTTTTGGCACTAATTCTAATGCTTTTGAGTACACTTTTATGGTGTGGAAGCTTATTATATGGTTCATATACCGAGCTTTGGAGAACATCAAAATGCTGAGATTTTGAAGCTAACAAGGGGAAGAGACCAAGAGGTCTCAAGTCCTTGTCAAGTGCTGACACCAGATCCTGGCGAGTGGAGACTGACTTCCTGGTAAGTGCTCTAAGCCCTGGTCAAGGGAGAAGACCATGAGACTGACCCCCTTACTAGCTCATCTACTTAGCTTACTTGGCGTCTAAGCCTCATTCTCAGCTTATTTAGCTTCCTTTTCCCTTGCACCAGCTCTCAGCAACCCTGCATTAAAGTAGAATTGTGAGAAACTCTCTTCATAATCCTTGTTTTTACCCCTACTCTCATACAAAAGTCTCTGGAATTTCTGAAGAAAAGTGCAGAAATAAGAGCTGGCGTGGTACAGTGTACCATGCGGCATGGTACAGTGTGCGTTGCTTAGGTTTTGTAGGGGCAAAGTTCGCATTCCGGAAATCAAGCAAGCAAGCTTTGTTTCTTGACTTTCAACTTCTTGCCCCTCTCTCCAGAACCACCTTACGATCCTTTAGTCTACCATACAATCCGATTCGAACAGTACATGCATCAAGGAAGCCATCTCCACTCATCCCAGCTTCCCCAGAACTACCATGTTCTGGGATGGTTCAAGATTACTAGCGCGTAGCGCGGGACCGAGGTGAAGATATGGAAGGTACGACTGGAAAAGATCACCTGCAAATACCTAACCCTCATCACCATCTCCAGCCTCTAACAAGCAAATTCTCTGCGTGTTTCTGTTCCATGGTGAGTGGCGCCGCCAGCCCTGACCTGCTTCCCATTGGGACGCGACCCGATCCCATTTTTCCTAGAGGAAATCGAGCTCAAGACCCTTCCCTGACTACTGCCTCTGGTGGAGACCTGAGTTGCGGTAGAGAACTGTAGTACTACTCTGATTTCAGATGTCAAATATGGATTTCATTGCTGACTAACTTCCGCTTTTCTTAAGGACTTTTGCGCAGCACCGTCAAGGCCACCCCAAGCGACTGCTCCCGCGCGAAGCTCAGCCATCTGCTTCAAGCAGATCCGACAGTCCATACCAACTACTTCCCAGAAGAGCGCATTTTTCCTGAGATCCCGGGACTTTCAGTCTTTCCCAATATTCGAGATGCTGATCGGAACTAGAGAGGATATTGGAAGCTTGGTAAGGGACCACGCCGCATCCACACCTCCAATAGTTGAGCCAACAGCTTGAGAGGAAAGTTACGTGATCTCTCTTCAACACTTCTTCCAAATGCAGTGGAGACAACATATCAAAAAGTTGAAGGTCGATAAGATCACTGCTTGTTCGGAGCGTCTCGCTAGTGCCAGTCTTCATCGTGCTATCAAGCACCTGAAGTTTTATGAGAAGGGCTCGAACACTACGTCGGGAGTAGGAGATAATGAACACGGTGTTGGCGCTCTTCGTGGTGAGTATGGTAGTGGATTTACATCTCGTGGAAGACTTGCAGGTACTGATTTTCCTTAGTAAAAGAGCCCAGACCATGGAAGAAGTGTCCCTTAAGATGCATATGATGGGTTCTGCAGCGACGGAAAGCTTCCCACGATTTGGCAAAGAGGAATTTCGAGACGCTACACCAAAGGGCTTACAGTGAATGCTCACATACGCCAAGCCTTTCGAGCATCTGGGGTGTTGGTCATTCAAGCATCGAAGGCTTTGTAGAGCTTTGTTATCGAGCCAAAACCTTAAGACTACCCATTTGTACTAAGGGTTAGCCGTATTCGGTCTTTCGATCTCTCTCGTAAGTACTCATGCTCCACTCCAAGCTCTTCTTAAGAACGGTGTACTTCTCCATCGATCGGAAGAGGATAATTCACAATGGGGCTAAATTATCAGCGATTCAAGAATATGTGAATGGAGCGTTTCACGGAGCGACCCAAGAGATGAGAGAGAGGCAATTGGCGAGCTTTCTGTTGAATCTGGTATGTACGAATGCAATAATGAGAGTGTACTCTCGGGGATACACTCTAGGGGACGAGGCTTGAAAAGAAAATAGAGAGATAAAATTGACAAAAAGCACATAGCTTCCCCTCGCAATGGAAACTCGTCAACTTACGAAATTGTCCTCAATCCATCGTAGTACTCCGATGGGACTTCAAGAGTCATTAGGTTTACTCTCTGCCAAAAATGATCAAGTTGGGTACGGTGAGGGATGCTTGGTTACTGTATTAGTAGTATTGATGGAATTTTATTGGATTTTGTAAAGTAAATAGTAGGATCTAATTGTGGTCATCATTCTCTGATTCCTTCGTCTTGCTGCGAGATACAGACTTCGTCTCCATTCTTCCCTCGGGCTTGCCTCATAGCTACCGAAGTTGCACGGAAGGAGCCAAACAATGAAACTTAACCTGGACATGAAGGCATGATGGTTATGGCCTTCTTCTTACTCTTCTGTGCATAATTGTCCGGGGACGTGGACAACGTGAGAAGGGAGGATCATTATCTCTAACAGAAATAGAAGATCACATTGTCCTTCTGGTATGGAACAAGAAACGTCTTTTCTCACTGAATGTCGCTTTTATGTCCGTAACGACTGGTTTCATTCTCAATCGTTCCTTCTTCCGCAACAACGGCACCCGCTCTCAACAATTCACCACTTATGAAGGACTAGGTAATGTATGCAGCAGTTTTATGGGGATACAGAAACAGAAAGAGGTCGCATTGAATGGAAGATCTCTTGTAGAAGTAGATGCTGATGGCCAACATTGCATAGCATGCATGAATGAACCTATCCATATTTGTAAATGGGTAATTTGATCATTCTGTTGCATAGCCTCCTGATTGAACCTTCTGTATGAAGCACCGTACAAATGATTTTCTATCACACGCGTCATTGTCCATTTGTGCTGCACACGCGTCATAGGCCTTTGTCGAATTTTCCTGGTGGATCAAGGCACCTGCCACTTGCGACCACTTCAATTTCTTCACCTTTCCTTCCACCTCCAACCTCCCTTCTTCACTTCAATCCATCCCACAGCGCAACCACCCATGACTCTCTCGGGTATAAATACTCTCGACTACCATTCAAGATCTGCAGTTCTCCATCCAGGCTGCCCGTGATGCGCTGGACTTCAGTCCACAAGGAAACGTGGTCAGACCTTCAGCTTCTGGGGTTTTCCCCTGGTAAGTGACAGAAACCTTCCTTTGTGGCGCCCGGCTCGAGAAGCTCTCCTCCAAGATCAACTCCTCGATCTGCAAATCCCATCCAGCACCGTTTCCAAACGATAGCTTCAATTATCCTCGCTGTCATTTGGATTTTCGCTGTCATCTCAAATCATCGGGAAGACTCGAGTCTCGAACACGCAAAAAGCTGTTCAACTAGATTGATAACGCTAACTTCGCTCTATCACCAGCTCCAAATTGTCGTGGGAGCAAGTTAGCGCAGGCGGAGGGTTCCCCATGTGGGAACCCCCGCAACTCAGTCAAGCTCTGGGTTATGACTTGTCCCCTCTGTGACCGCAAGTTCCAAAGTGCTCATGGACTCTATGGTCACTTGGCCCAGAGCGACGAGGCACATCTGACTGTGTTTGGAGGCGAGAAGACCTTCACCAAGGCTGTTGCTATTTGTGGCAAGCGCATCATCGATGCTGATAAGGCGAGCGTTGAGGCACAGAACACCGAACCAAGAGAGAAACCATGGAAGGCACCCCTTGTTGGGCAGATGCCGATGCACTTGCATTCTCAGAACATCATCCACCGCGACATCAAGTCTGACAACGTTCGCCTCGATACTTGTGGCAATGTTAAGATTAGTACTACAGATCCTTCTATTTATCAAGAATCTAGCTGATATAGAACTAGCCGATTTCGGTTTCTGCGCCAAATTGACCGAGTCGAAGAACAAGCGTGCGACTATGGTCGGAACTCCTTACTGGATGGCCCCTGAGGTCGTCAAGCAAAAGGAGTACGGCTCTAAAGTTGACATCTGGTCGCTTGGTATCATGGCCATCGAAATGATCGAATCGGAGCCGCCATATATTAACGAGGAACCTCTTAAGGCATTGTATCTGATTGCAACAAACGGATTTCCTCGCCGATAGTCCCCAGAGAAACTCAGGAAAGCAAGGAGAAAACCTTTTCCGGTTAGTCAGCACAAAGCCTCGAGATTAAAAAGTACTAACGGTGATCAAGGATCTTGTAGCTGAATTTGACGTCTATGCCCATCTGCTCGTGTAGGTGATGGCCTCGGCCTCTCTAAGGTCCAATACCTCTCCATTTATACACCACCATACAAAGCCTCACTATGGTTAGTCCTCAACGTCCAAGCTATGAACCGGCAGATATTCTGACCACCTGACTAGAACAAATACATCCTCGTATGAATGGCGTTTCGGGCTATGTCCAAAAGGTATGATATATGTTGAGAGTATAAATTGCGGTGCTGACCAATGACAGATTTCTCTTGTGCACGAGAAACGAAATTCCAATTCAAGACTTTAGTATCCTCTCGAGACAGGTTAGTAGAAAGTGGAAGGAAGGATGGAAAGGTCGAACAAAGCATACACAAATAGAAGAGCGATGGACACAATGCATACAATCGAACAGCGAATTCGCCTCGAAACCTCATAATAGTCAACGTTTTGTCAACCTATTTCTCGAACTGTGGCGGGTAAGGACAATTGGTAGGCTACACAGTAAGTTTCCTCGGTAAGTAAAGTCTCCACTTTATTCTCCCGCTATACTACACCTGTCAGAGGAGTACGGCTGTTTCTATTTGACCTTGAAGTGCTACAGACGACGTAAGTGTTATTTTCAATCATCTTGCAGGGCTGAGGGGATCTTGGTCTTTGGTAAGTCCTGCTTTTCCTTTTCCAATGAAAACCCACTTGGTCTCGGACACAGAGACAGATTGCTTGATGTTGTGTAGATGCGTATAGATCTGTGAGTATCAGATATCCTGAGAGGTCTAGGAGGATTGATGGAGCCTTGGAGGATCAAGCGGAGGTGCGAATCAGTGTTTGAATTGTTTGGTCTGGTTCTTAAGAAGTTCGAGAGCTTAAATTGAAGAGCTTCGAGAGGGACATATGGAAAGGATCTTCTTGGAAGAGGTGAGAGAGCGAGGGATCAAGTATATTGGTTGGTACTGGAGTTTTGTGGACTTCCTCTGGAAGCTAGCAAATTTGAAAGTAGATAGAAGAGAGCAGTCTAATACCGTTAGCAAAGAAACCCAGATTGGATTAAAATTTACAGATATTCAGTTCTCGTGGCTATCAGATCTCGAAGGAGCTGGACCATTAGTTGTAAATTCCAGCTCAGATATGGCGCTGTTGGATTGTCGGGAGCGTGAGAGATTTCTTTGTACAGTTGAAGCTTCCGGTAAATTTGCAATGGAACCTGGAACGAAGTGTGTCCGGACCAGGGAGGTCACCATAGGGCTTTTGAGGCCCCTGCCCTTGCTTTTCTCAGTGGTTTGAAGGTTTAGGTCCACGTGCCAATTTTGCCCACACAAACCGGAGCTGTAGGCGATCTCGGAAACTCTTCCCTTCTTCGTGCCACCAACCTCAAACCTCGAACCCCATCGCCCATAACTTTCCTCAGCAACACCTCATCTCAATCACAAACTCTTCTTTCTTATTTGGAAGGAAGGGTACGCAGTGAACGTATTCCCATTCCCTCCTCTCCTCGTAAAGAGGGGATGGTGAGCTGCCCATGCCATGGGTGCCTGCTTATTGCAGCTCCTGCGTACCCTACAACAACACCACCTCAACAAAATCAACAGCTGCAACAGCAAAAGTAAGTGGGATTACCATCCTGAACAGGATCCTCGGGAGAAACAGGAGCTAACGGCAAACAAGCAGATACTTTCGTTCTGATCTCTCAATATCAACGCGAATTAACTGTTAAAGACTAGTCCTCTCAGCCCAGCTTCATACTCTGGGCTGGGAGGACTGTCTTGAGCGCTGTGACGCGCTGCTCTTGACTTCAGGTATGCAACTCTCCCATATACCAATGACGATGATGATGAAATTCTGATCTTCGTAGAGCATTGAAACTCTGCAAGACTACAACTCCTCACACCAACACCAAGACAACCACAACGGTTCTGCCGAGCATGCTTCTACAGCTGCTGCTGCTCTCTCACTGGCATATAGCCTACTATGACTGTTCCGCAACCGACCCGCACCAGGTCGAAGCACTGATTGATTTTTATCATACCACGCCATCACCATAAACGCCGAGCATGGTGAAGTACAGGTTATGAGCCTGCTGGTATCACCTTCGGTATTATCCTCTTCTGCTTTTTCAATCAACTTGATCTAATTCGTTCTTCCGCAGGCCAAGTCGGCAAGGTGCTTGGTGAGCGCTGGAAGGCTCTCAATGACAAGCAGCGTGCCCCGTATGAGGCCAAGGCTGCTCAAGATAAGAAGCGGCACGAGGACGAGAAGGCTAGCTAGGTCCATCAAAGGAGGGAATAAAGCATGCTTTTGACATTGGATTATCATACCCACACACCCACCATAACGCTATCGCACAACTGTGCGTGACTACTGGAAGTCGATCCTCCGGAGTATGGCATCGTGGCCCAAGATACTGTCATCCACTGCGAGGGGGAGCCTATTCAACGTGAGGATGAGGAGGGTAACCTGAACGAGGTTGGATACGATGATATTGGAGGCTGCAAAAAGTAGATGGCACAAATCCTGACCTGGTATCAGGTAAGTTCACCGCTCGTTGCTCAAATATGGAAGAGACCAACTTCTATCAAAGGCACATTCTGGATTTCCTCCGCTGCTCTCTTCTCTTCGAACTTATGTTCCGTCGCCATATTCCAGTCCAACCCCATCGGCGGCCTCCAGCTCCAGTAGCTTATGTTGCTCAGCCACCTTGCTCCAGCACCTCCACTAGATTCTCTATACACCTACAACCTCGAAAACCGTCGAATGGCTTCTCTGTTGTGGCACTCGCGGTATGGATTTTACAAAGACAGAAAGATGAAAAGGGATGATGGATAGCTGTGTTGATAAATGTCATGTGGGAGCGCTTGGGCAGGTGTGTATGTGTATACTGCTGAAACAAAATTCAAACTGTACAATACAATGAATTTCTCAATCAAGATGAGAGTGCTTCAAAGGCCGAAAGAAATGATTCGTACAGATAGGTACCAGAAGTCTTTGATCTGAGCTGTTCATGATCAACTGCTGCATGTGCAGACTTTAAAATTTGTAATAACTAAAAGAAGACTGAATATATCTCGCGAAGTCGCAGCAAGCAGAAACACAAACAATTCCCGATCTGAAGTATATCAGGTTGGTGGATCACTTATTTCCGCAACTCTGGTCATTACAAGATAGAAGAGCAGGGAAGGTCAAGATCGAGAAGATATTTTCAGCGCTGGGTGCACGGACGATACAGTAGCCTAACGCTTTGAAGACTAGTGCAATTTCAATGACAGACCTGTCATCTTGAAGCTACAACTTCCACTTTCTTTATTTTAACGAGCAGACGGCAAACTAGGTGTTGTTTTCGGCGGGTTCGGTCGCTGCTTCCGGGGGTCAACTTGCCAGAATCCCGTGCTGCCTTGGTGGACGGCTAAAGAAGTAATAAGCTAAGCATAAGTATAAGACTAGGATGATGGGTTTTATTTAATTAGCAGAGAGCTTTGAGATTGAGAGTTTTGATTTGTATTTTTCTTTAACGTAAATTATTTTCTCTTCGACAAGAATAATTTCCTTGTCAGTTGGAATTCCATGGTATCCACTTTGATGCGCCGTTTTAGGCTTAGCTCAGGAGCTCTTAGTGCCAGCTGTCAGCACTCACTTATATCCTCACTCCTGCTGCAGGACTTCAGCTCTTTAGACTTATTAATAAATTCTTTACTGCCCATATGATTTCCGTTACATTCTCACACTTCGTCTAACATCCGTTCTTGTCACAAAGGAGCCTATCCGAAATTTTAGTACGTATTGTGGAAGGAATTGTTATTGCTATAGCTAATCTGAAAGCATAGTTTCCAAAGCATTCAAGCATCTGTCACGTCCTTAACCCGTTGCACATCCAATTTCTTGCCACAATATGCCGCAACACTCTCAATGACCTTGTGTATAGCCTCAACCTCCTCGGCTTCCAAGCCGACCCTCAAGCAAGCCCGCAGATGCCAGTACGTCGGTCCTTGTAGATTCTGCGTCATGATGGCCGGGAGAACAACCAGTTCCGTCTCCTGCATGCTCTGTATTCGATGATCGGAGAGGAAGAGACCGTAAGACACGTTCTTGGAGATCCATGCTGTTGGTTTTGAGTACGGCGCTAATGGCTTTGTCGGGGCAACTTACGAATATCCCGGTGGGCTTCTAGAGTAAGCGCATGGTTGCCGTTCTCGCTTTTATATAGCACTTTCAGAATCTTCGATGCTCGCTCTGTTGTTTCTGGGCCGATTTGCCAATCCTCTCTGTAGGTATGGTATCAGAACCAGGCGCGGCTTGTACGTTCGGGATTATTACTCACCGCGAGGAAGGGAAATCCTTATCTTCTGGCTTTTCCACTTCATTGATTGATGTCACGGCTTCGATCACGACGGGTATCCCATTGATGATGATACACTTGACCAAGGCCTCTCTCAAACGACGGACCAAAGCTTGACGAGCCGCCGAGGTCTTGTATTGAGGCTGAGCGACCAAATGTTCGTATAGCCGGCCAGCTAGCTTCTGCTGTCCAGTGCCGATGAAGGATGCAAGCTGTTTTAGAAGAAGGAAACATCCCCGAATTAGCTTCAGGATCTCCAATTGAGGAGGTGAAAGGGCGAGCAAGGGCATATACTTACCACCGTCAGATACCAGCCATGTTCACGAAAACGCGGCGGGAAGTTGGCTTCAGCTTCGTCAAACAGCTTCGTCAATGGATCCTTCGCAGCAGCAGCAGCCGTTGAAGAGTTGCGATTGCCCATTGCCAGTGATCTGTAAGTGTTAGAGTATACTGGCCTCGAAGAAATCATTCCGCGTTGAAAGGTCGGTGTGATTCCCTGCACCACGGCCCTACCGCATGTAAGAAGAGCAGTTTCTATTTTCGATGGGGGCACGCAGCGAGATCGGCATTGGAGAATGCGGGGAGGTGCCGCAGTAGCAGACCATCGTCCCGTATTGAGGAACAACATGGTGTGGGGTGATGTGATGATGGAATAGGTATGCTCCCAGGTTGTGCTCATATGCTGCAGCGGGTACATATATTTGCTGGAATCTCAGCTCTTAAACGAACGATTCTTTGGCAATCTAGGTAACTCCCGATAGTCAGCTTGTCGGCTTTCGATCACGTGGGGGGCCTTTTCAATCTTGTGGATCTTTGGGATCAGGCTGAGCTCATTTCACGATGGTAAAGCAGCGAGATGGCATGTCTGATTTCTGGCTATGCTATGCAACGTTGATATTTTTACGCTCGATAAATACTATAAAACACTAGATTATAAGGGTCGTATAAATCAAAATAGCTTGCACCAATAAAAGCAATAGGCGGGTACTAGCTTGACTAGTATACTGCTAATTTAACCATTGCAACTTGTGGGGTATTGGGGCTAATATTTGGTACTCTTAGTATCAAACAGTTTCTCATTCGAGTTACAAAAGATTCTTTTTGTGTGATTTTTTTGGGTGTTAGTCGTTTTGACTTCGGCTCTTTCCGCCTACAGTAATGTAGCCCAAACCGATCCAATTAAAGACGTACATGGGTCCGGTTCACATACGGAGTACACCCTCGATCTAGTGTTTCTTAGAAGTGCGCGCGCCTTGCCTAATGTGGGGATCGCGGTTTTATAATGCGGGCTTGAAGTCTGGTCGGTTACAACATTTTTACAAAGTTGATTAAAATGCTTCCGCTTTGTCAGTTCCGAATTCATTCAATATTCTTCACAACTTTGATATCTAGATCTACAGCAATGGGGGACCTGCCTATTTCTGATTCAGTACTCTATCTCCTTTCTATCGTCCCTCCTGATTCTGAACATCAAGCAAAATTTCTATATCCTCCCTCCATCCCCAATACAGCAGCAAGAAGACCTAAACTCCATCTCCCTCACCCCCAATAACCAACCCATCCACCCCCACCCCCATCAACCTTCACTCTTCTCACTAGGAATCGTCACCCCCTCCTCAATCCCCCTCACAACCCCCCCCACCAACCCCTCCAAATTCCTCTCCAAACTCCCCTTAATAACCCCCACAATCAACCGCGAACAACTAACCCGACTCTCACACCTAATCACCAACCCCTCTCCCTCCCCCTCCCCTTCCGCCCCTTCAACCCTAATCACCGTCTCCGTCACAACACTCAACGGGCTCTTCCCCCTTAGAAAAATCCCATCCGTCAAATTCGTGTACTCGCCCGCACTCTCGACGTCCGAGCTCCACAGCCCGCCGGGGACGTCGGCCACCTTGTCGCGGATGGTGTAGATGCGCGTTTCGGCTATTTTCTTGGATTGGTGTTCGGTGGGGAGCGGAGAGGGCGTAGAGGTAGGGAGGGAGGTGTAGGAGGTTAGGTTGCTGTCGGCGGAGAGGATGAAGGCGTGGTTGTGGAGGTAGGTGAGGGCTGTTGAGCGGGTGATGGAGGGGGGGAGACGGTGCGTTTTGGTGAATGTTGCTGTGTGGGGGTTAGTGGGTGGGGTTTTGGAGGGGGTGGTGGGGTTACTGGTCATTTTGGATGAGGAGGCTGATTTCTAGTTCAAGAGGGATGCTGATGATGAGAAGACAAGAGAGATTCGATGTATGTCAGGATAGAGCAGTGCGGCTAGCTTTATTCAACCATAGCGCTGGGGCCATGTTTCTCAAACAAGTGTCGTCGACGGAGACCCGAACACAAGCACGATGCGAGCTGTTTCTATGAGCATGACATCCGATCCGAGAGGCTGTTAAAGAGCTAATCGCCATGCGTTTCATCTGATCTTGCCACCTATAATCCGCGATCCGTCATTCTGATCTGGCGTTTTGAAAATGAACTGGATCGATGTGCAGATCTATTAAGGTATTCCGATACTTAGAAAGGCACGGAATTTCACCGAACTACTCGCCAAATGATCTACAGACCAAGAGATCTTAATAAGCAAAACCCTTAAACAGCAAGTGATAACTATATCTCCCTCCAACACATGCAACCAGCCTTAACGCCATCCAATCCCCTTAGTCTATATCTCAACTTCCTTAACCCCATCAATCAACTCTTCCTCACCCTCAACCTCAGAAAAATGATCTCTGGCAAATTCGATGCCTATGTCATTCCAACATTTAGACTAACATGGAGCTTCATCAACTAAACAAAACATTTAAACATCACCTAATAATGACAACATATCCCTTCTACCATCATCAAGACCTCCTCAACGCCACCCAATCTTCCTACTCTATCTCTATCCCTCCACCCTCAACCCACCACTCAATCACCCCTTCCTAACCATCAATCTAACCATCAAGGGCCCCTTATCCCACAAATTAAACGGCCGCTGCCCCTCCAACCACCCCTCCCCTCCCTCCGACAACTCCATATCGAAATTCCAAATCACCCTCGCGAGAATAAGCCGCATCTCCGTGTACGCCAAACTGTATTTTACATCAGCCACTCTTCATTCCGCACCCTCATCCCCAACCCAAATCCAATCCAAACCAAACTAAATCAAAGGGAAAAATAAAATAAAATAAAAACAAAACTTACTTCTTCCCCAAACAATTCCTAGGCCCAACATGAAACGGCTGCAACGCCTCCCGATCATCGTCCTCGAACCGCTCATCGCCAAGGAAGCGTTCAGGGTGGAACGAAACCGGGTCCTTGTAGATGTTTGGGAGGAGACTTACAAGTGCTAAGACTTTGGCCAGATTGCCAGGTGAAGGGAAAATATCAGGAGTCATTGTGATGGAAATTGATAAAGCAAAAGTATTAAGGGAAAAAGAGGAAGGTTTTCAGAGTGGAAGTTTAAAGAGGAGGTAAAGAAACATTTTAATCATTGCATGAGGGGCAACAAGTGATGCACTCTCAAACTGGCTTGAGCTTCCTCGCTTCGTGTTCGTAATCAGGTTCAGCATGGATTACCCTCGTCCATTCAAACTGGACGATAGGAACAAGATCAGATGACGGATAGTTTGCCCCAATCACATATTTCGAGTACTTAGAGCACCATGAAGCCTGGTAATGTAGTATATCGATTGGATGAAACTCTGAAACATCTCGCATCGGACTGTCAAACCACCGGCACGAACCGAAGTCTAACCTCTCTCGCGATTGGGGTGTATGCTGTTATGGGGACCCTGTGGCAAGTCTTTCCCCAAAGAAATTTTGACATGGTTCGTGTTTGTTAATTTGAAGTTTCCATCCTCGAAACAGTGGCAAAAGGAGCATGAATTCCCAAATTTGCAGACAAGGCGGAAAGTTCACGACTAACATAAAACAAAGAATAGAGTCAGAGTACTGAGCTGTGGATAGCAATTTGTCCTAGCAATTCCATTCGAAATAACCCAACAAAACATCTTCGAGAATTCATGAATCTTGATCAGATTATATATAGACTCTAGGCATATGCAAAGAATCAACGGCAACAGACCTATATGCAATAGAGGTCGATAGAGACCTGAGTTGATATACCCCTTGTGAATCGCTTGTCTCCACAAGTTTGGTCATTGTACTGTACATTGCAGGAGAGCAAAGACTTGAGATCCCAAAGGGACTTTTGGGAGAAGCGTGCACGGACGACAGGCTAACGCTTTAGGGATTAGTGGAAAGGAAGTAGAAGAGAAGCAGAGTTGAATTCCCCACCTAGGTACGCTGCTGTATATTACCTCCAGATGGTAGTCTATCATTGTCCTTCTCCAGGTGCCGTCCTCCTCTGCTTCGCCGACAAGTAGTGTATCTTTCCTTTCCATCCTCGACCAGTCGAAACTATTGTAAATGGGTTGCATCAACGATCTGCAGTACTGGCTTATCGTTATCGTTATCGACGTCTTATCGTGCAGCAGCATTAGCATTTCTCGTCAGCAAAAGGCCGAACCCCCAAGCCCAAGAAAGAAACAGACGGGAAATCCATTCCCTCTGCATCCCACCATTCCTCTCTCAACATCCTCCCACCGTACAAGATCCATCTATATATCGCGCGCGCATCGTGGGTCTGAATCAAGCGGTGTGACATCCGGCTCCATCTTGCTTCTCATCCCCTCTTTGTATCCGTTCTCCTGTTTGTCTTATCGCTGGCAGAGCCCGTGCTTACCCCTTCCACCCTCTCCCGACAAGGACAGACGGCAGAATGATTTCAGGCGTGATGGCTGGGAGCGGGGGTCCAAAGAGCCCTAAACAGGCAAAGAAGCAGATGTATAGCATGGGAAATGTATGTCTCTGTCTCTGTCTCTGTCTCTGTTCTGCTCTCTGCGCCGTGTGTTCTTCGTCGTTTTGCTTCAATGTGCCTTTGTTGTGTTTCTTTGGCTTGGTGATGTAGAGAACGCACGTGCAGAACAAGGCGCATCGTTTGGCTGCTGCAGCATCCACCACCATTCCAGCATGTGTTGGGTTGGCGGTGAAGAGAAATGCAGCAGAGTTGAATGGGGCTGCAGTGCCTTGCCAAGATGCAGACCGGGAGAAGTATGTTCCAGTCCAGTGCAGTCTGCTGGTACTTGGGTGTCCCTCGACCCGACACTCGGCTTAAGGGACGCTGAAGTGGAGAGGTGGAGAGGTGGAGAGGGCGTGGTATTAGTGTTCCAGGAACCCGAGGTTGAGGATCTCAACAGTTGTGGTACAAATACAGTACCAGCCCAGCACCGATACCTAGGATATCGGGTATCTGTGACTACAGTACATCCAAGTCAGTGCTCTGTTACCATTGGAGGGGAAGAGCGCCTGCATATACAGTACTTTCCCATGACCCCAATCTTCTTGTCTTAGTCTCCTGATCCAGTTCGGCGGGACAGCTGATGTTCCCACTGGAGATGCCGAGATATTGCGGTAACGGGCGCTGCTAGCTGCAGCGCAGTAACCGTCGATGAGGAGATTATTCGACGGATGGGCGAGAAGAAAAAGAAATGCCCACAAATAAAATGCACCTGATACTCGAATACTTCTGGAAGGATTGTGCATGCGTGGAAACAAAGACAGATGCACGTCGAGTATATGCTCGAATATCCAAGTATGAAGTAATGAGAAATAATAAGGAGGGAGATGCAATAATATATGTGATGGATATGTGATGAATACTGTACTGTAGTGAGTATAGGATTCGCAGTCGCAGCCGCAGCCTCGTGCGGGGTGGGAAGGGAAAGTAACGGGGGCCAAGAGGGAAAGGGCCACTGGCACTGATTTGACACTGAGGGGCTTTTGATCGTCATAATCTCGCAGGGGCCCCAAGCCGCCGACCCACAGGGAAGGGAAGCCTAGCTAGCCTCAGCAGTCCCCAGTCCCCAGTCCACCCACGCCCGAGGGAAGTTGACCCGAGCTTCCACCACCATTTCCATCACAACTTTACAGTAAAACTTTCGTTCTCCATTCAACCTTCCAGCGCTTTTCCTCTCCCCTCACCACCACACGATATTGCACCCCCCAACACATTCACGAGTCCAGTCAATTATCAACGGCTACATGGAATCGTCATTACATTGCACAATTACTTTGCACTCGTAATCAGACCGTCGACGGCGGGTCTCGCGATTCAGAGCAAGCCGCTCGAAGCCGTTATTTCCCGGTCTTCTTGATACCTCACGCGATCAACTCCACACATCATCCCATTCTACACCTCTTCTTCAATTACCCCGAACACCTTTCAATTCTTCTCCAGCTTCTCCTACAACTCTCCGCTCGTCTGAAAATTCCACAAAAATGGAGCTCGCACGTCCCTCCAGAAAGACTAACGGCGTGGGCGTCCAGGTCGGCGACACTCAGGTCTGCGTGGTCATGGTCGGTCTGCCAGCTCGAGGCAAGTCATTGATCGCACAAAAGGGTAAATATCTCCCTTTTCTTGTATCACAGTAACTCGCAGATCTAAAACTGACGTCCTGCGCTCCCAGCTCAACGTTACCTCAAGTGGCTCTCGATCGATGCTCGAGTCTTCAACGTAGGCAATTACCGACGAAAAGGCGCCGCACAACCTACTGCCGATTTCTTCGACGTCAACAATGCAGAGGGTGAACGTGTCCGACGAGCTGCGGCCGAGGCTGCGGTCAATGATATGATTAAGTGGTTCAAGCACGAGCACGGAATCATTGCCATTCTTGACGCTACCAACAGCACAAAGTCTCGCAGACGCTGGATCAAGGATCGCTGTGATTCAGAAGGCATTGAGACCCTTTTCGTTGAAAGCAAGTGTGATGATGAAGATCTGATTATGAGCAACATTCTTGAGGTGAAGACTACTTCTCCGGACTACAAGGGACAAGATCCTGAGAAGGCCGCTCAAGATTTTCGTAATCGCATTCGCAATTATGAGAAGATCTACGAGACTATTGATGAGTCTGAGCAAGATCTTACTTATCTGAAGATCATGGATGTGGGCAAGAGATGCATCATCAATGCGATTCAAGATTACTTGCAAAGTCGGGTTGTCTACTACTTGATGAACTTGCACATCAAGCGCCGATCTATCTGGCTTTCACGAGTAAGTCTACCGTCCCGACCTCAGGACACAGCTAATTATTCAAGCACGGTGAATCAATGTATAATGTTACTGGTCAGATTGGTGGTGATGCAGATCTGTCTCCTCGAGGTGAACAATATGCTTCGAAGTTGCCTGAACTGGTTATGCAATCATTTGAAGTAAGTTATCTCTGCCCAGACTAGATCCTTTGCTTATTTTGCCAGGGACAAGAACACCCTCTCACTGTCTGGACTTCAACTCTCAAGCGTACCATTGCGACCGCTCGACACCTTCCTAAGGAATGGAACCAACTCCAATGGAAGGCTCTCGATGAACTTGATTCGGGTGTTTGCGACAACATGACATATGCTGAGATTGCGGAGGAGTATCCAGAAGATTTTGAGGCTAGAGACCAAGATAAGTACAACTACCGTTACCGAGGCGGCGAATCGTAAGTCTTCTCCTCTACTTCTGTCGTCTCATGCTGACCTCTCCAGCTACCGTGATGTTGTTATCCGACTTGAACCCATCATCATGGAACTCGAACGAAGCGAGAATATCCTGATTGTCACCCACCAGGCAATCCTGCGATGTATCTATGCCTACTTTATGAAGGAAGACCAAGAACGATCACCATGGCTCAACGTCCCTCTTCACTGTCTTATCAAGTTGACCCCTCGAGCATACGGTACCGAGAAAGTGGTTTACAAGGCTAACATCGATGCTGTTTCGACATGGCGCGGCAAAGGCAGTAAGGCCCTGCATGAGGATCCAACCGAAGAGACGGAGAGTTTGGCGAAGTAGGTTAAAGGGGATGAAGAAAGACGAGAGTTCGAATATTTTCATTTTAGAATATGTTTTGCTGATCTAGTTTTTGGTGTTTTCATAGGCTGGCTGATGTTCACGTTTCTCTTCAAGAAGATGTTTCCCTTGTCAATGGTCCCCAAGCTTCTTTCGTTGCGTCAAGGGAGGGAAATATCACTATTGAGTCTGAGTTTGTTAAATTTCCTACGCATTACGCATACGGTATGAAGGCAGACGGTATGAAGGTAGACGGTATGAAGAAGGCATCCTGGGTCAAGGGGATAATTACGTATCCCCCATACCTTGGGGTGACACACTTTGAGAAGACCATGAAGGAAAACGAGAAGCCAGTGGAGGAGTCCGTTGGGGTCTTGGGATGTGGGGTCTCGCTACCTTTGGGTACACATTACGACGGGCTGCAGCCAAACTACAGCGAAAGAATGCAGAAGATGTTTGATCTGCAACACGGATCATCCGAAAACTTATCGGCTGCCGATATGAAGCTCAAGGAAGAGTACTCGAGGATGACTGAGGGTTGAGTTTCGCTCTGTGTCTTGGGTCCTTGTACACTGTCGCTCTCTGGTTCTCTACATTTCGGTTTTTACACTTCTTCGACTTTCTTGTTCTCTCGACGATCCCCGCTCTCGGTTACTCACTTACGACTTTTCGATTTGTTTTCTTTTCGGCGCGCATAAAAGAATGGATGCATGGAAGATGGAGTTGGCGGTTTATCTGTGCATGGCTATGGAGTCTGGTGCGGTGGGGGTGTTGGTTGGTTGGTTTTTCTTGTGCATGAATGATGGAATGGGGAGGAATAGTATACATAGATGCTTGCAATGAAATGCTTACGATAAGGAACGAATACTACTGCGAAAAGACGAATATCAGGCTCAGTTTTGCGGTTGTCATACTTGGTGGGGATTAAGGCTCTGCTTTCGTGCGGTGCTGGCTTGGTTGAGGTTCCGTTTGGGATTGAGACTGGGCTGGTGGCTGCGTGAGTTAGCTGGTAATTGATCCTTGCCCACATTTTGTTGTTCTTGGTTAGGTGTGAGGGTTCGTGTGTGGTAATGTGATGTGATGTGACGTGATGTGATGTGACCTTTTCACCCTCGCTCTTCTTGTGTCAGTCAACGCAGCGCAATCAAAGTCTTTCTCATCAGCCCCTATTTAGTGACCCGTCCCAGCTACCCTTCCTCCTCCCATCCTCTTCTTATTGATATCCGACACTTGTCGAGATACTCAGACTCTTGGGGTACGAATTAAGTGATCGAGAGTCATCCTAAGATTGACGCGGCGTTGCATCCATAAATCTACTGATAGGTGGCATTATATTACCGCAACGTTTGTGAGGAACGGTAGGTAGCAAGGACCGGGATTTCCAGTTGAAACATGTTTGTTGGAGTGAGAGGACAGATCCGCGGAACGTGGGTCAAGAATTTTTCGGGGGACGGAGATTCGGGGGGGGGGGGGGGGATCGCAGGAAGGAAAGTGGGAAGTTTGGTTCTGGGATGTGATGTGATGGGTTTGCGGTCGTGAAGTTATATTTCACGTGTACGGTTTCGATCCAAGGTCTGGAGGGTTATAGAAGAGAAGGTTAATGGGATTTATTCTATTTATTCTATTTATTCTATTTATTCTATTTATTCTATTTATTCTATTTATTCTATTTATTCTATTTAACGAATTTAAAATTATTTTATTAAGAACCGTTTTTATGTTTAGAAAAATCTTTATTATTTTTTCAGAAAATTAAAAAGCAACGATTTTTTTTATTTTAATTAACTATGTTTTCGCGAGAATCAACGATTTTTTTTATAATTACAAAATGCGACATGCAACAAAACTTCCTAATCATCGTCTTCAGTCAAGTCAATGATCGTGGATGATCCAGACTTTCCGCTCTCCTTATGTCCGCCCGCCGCCAGACTATTCCAGATCGCAGTAGCAAGGTCATCATCATAGTCACCGCGGGTCTCGTCCCATCCCTTTGGTCGCATTTCTGGTGCAAATGCGCTCCAATCCTTACCCTTGCCTTTGAGATCGGGCCCCTTAAATTTCTTGGCTGGTGGACCGACATCGTCGCTGTCACCATGTTCGTCGTCATGACCGTACTTGTTCTTTGGCTCTTGTCCGGTGAATGCATCAGGACGAACATCGGTCGAATCCTCGACATCCTTCTGACCAAAGTTTTGCTGGAGGCGAGCCATCAATTCTCCTTCATTGGTAAGGAACGAAGCATCGGCTCGGACGCCAGTTTGGAATCGATAAGACTGGGATTCGATGATGCCGATGACTGTAGCGATGATCTCTGGGTTCCTGGTAACTCCTCCTGTAATCATCGAGTTAAAATGGAACGCAGAAGGAGGGAGGGGTAAACACAAACCAGTAAAAGCCTTGCCCATCAGTACCTCGCAGTCCTCGCAGAGATACAGACCACATCCCTTGACCGTTACCTCTTCTCCGTCACCATTGAATCCGATTTGCTCCTGGCAGCACTTGAAGTCGGCCAACGAGGGACAGATGCTGCACCACTTAGCCTCCTTAAGCAACTTGCCAGGCGCAAAATCCCTAGCAAAGCTAGCCTGAGCTGCCTTATTGACCACTTGGGGATCGAGTAACGGGGTATCAGCGACCGTGAGTGGCACAACTTGATGCTTGAAACAAGTCATGATCTCGATGCGAGACGTGGTGCAAGCTCCGCACATCTTGGTAGGCATAAGTCCCAGCTCCGAGTAACCACCGGAGATCTCTTCGAATCCGCTGCCATCAGGCCAATAGAAGCCCTCTACGTTCTTGGGACCGCCGAATTTATCCGTCAGACCTGCCTGTCCAAAGAAGGGAGATTCGCAGAAGTGGCAGACTTCATCCTTAGGGGGACTGATGGTTGTTGACTTCTCGCCGGTTTGTAGTTCGAAAGGCGAAAACTCGGGGGGAGGTTGGTAGTTGAAGGTAATAGGGTGGCAGAACGAGGTCTTCATGTGGATGTGGCGAATGCCTGCGGTGATACCTACTAGCTTCGGGCTCTCGACAACGACATCGCAGCTTCTCTCCTTTCCCTTCCCCTTTCTGGTAGACGATGATGTGAGTTTCTTGTCTTGCTTGCGCTTTTGCCTGCTGGTGTAGCGTTTTTCGATCTCGCCAGCAAGGGTCCTGGTGTTGGTGTTCGGGGTATGCGGCTCGCCGGCTTGGTCTCTGCTTGTGAAGCCTTCTGGAGTTGTCTCGCGGTTGCGTATGTTTTTCTCTCTGAGGATCAAGTTTGGTGCGAGGGCGCGGAGGGAAGCAGGGAGTTCTGTATACTCTCGAATGGACGTGAACTCGCAATGTTGATCGAGTTTCTTGCAATAGGAGCATGGGCCGAGGGCTTTCTTGCCAACGAGGCTGCATCGTACCTTCTTGTATCGACATTGGTTACAGCTCACATATTTTCGGTCCTTAGCTGCTAGACGTCCTTTCCTCAAGTTCGTGAAATACTCTCGTTCTTCTTTACTGCGAGAGAGGACATCGTTCATTCTTCTGCTCAAGGTATCTTCGTCTCTTGGACCAGCACAGCAAGGAAGCTCGTCGTCGGCACATGCTTGACAGCTGTTCTGATACCTTCCGGCGTCAATATCGTAGGAACACTCCATCCTAAGAGCCTTACACCGCTCACAGGCTTTCTTAAACTTGGGAGGGATGATGAGCTCGCAATCGCCCTCGCAATCATCACATGCTTCACAAGGATATGTGTGGGGATCTTCGAGGAGGGAACATGCATCGTTACCGGAAAGGAAGCATGCCTTGCAACCTCGGCGTTGGGGATGACCAGCAGTGAGATCGTCGAGGGTCAATCCATCGTCTCTGCTGTGGTGTCAGTGTCTGCATGTTTTCTGAGATGATGCTGTAAACTTACCTCGTAGATATGCCCCAACGTTGAGGCTTCTTCACAGTTCTCCTGGACTTCTTTGGGAAGGAAGCTCCATATCCAGAACCATCTTCAGAATCTTCACCATCCGCGTGTTCGCTCTCGTTGCCATCTTTGATAGATCTCAAGTATTCAAGTGAGTTCGCTTCGGTGAAGTGAAATGTGACAAGCGAACGATATCCCACCATGCTTCTCTTCCTGACAATGAGGTTTCCATCTTCGTCAAATTGATCGACTTTGACTCTCTTGACCTTCGGGGCAGATGATGGCTCAGGTGATGGTGTGAGATGACGGCGCTTGCCCGACGGATCGTATGTGCCAGACTCATCTTGATCAATGTATGCGCTTCCACTTCCCGTCGGATTGAAACGTGCCTTGTGAGATGCAGCTCGGCGATGTGAGTCGATGAATTCCTTGAGCTTTCGCAGGTCGCGTTGTTTCTGAAGCCATTCAGAGCTTCCATAACCTTGAGCGAAGAATTCATCCTCAGGAGCATAACGAGCTGCTCCGAGCGCAGGGGTGGGGGAAGGTTCGCGTTCGTCTTCGTCGTCGCTGGGTACCAGTGGTATATCTGGACGTGGTGAGGCTTGTTCGTCCATGATAGAGGCTCGCGAAGAAGGAAAGGGGGTGGTAGTTGGGATCTCGGATCGCGGATAAACTTCGGAGTTTTGTGTTTCGCCGAGGAGTTGAATTCGTGAGGAGGAAGATCTGGGGAAGAAGATAACCCAGACCACTAGTGCGATTAGGTTTTTGGAGCTAAGACCGTTTTGTCCGTCCCCATACAGATCAGCGGAAAGGTGAATACAAATCGGTGAAAGTGGAATGAGATCAGCGAAAAGGTGAGTACATCTCAGTGAAAGTAAAATAGAGACCAGCGGAAAAGTAAATACCGATTAGCGAGAATAGTGAATACAAAGTAGTAAGATGGTGAAGACTCCAAGGCACAGTATATTCCCTTGGTCATATGTTAGTTTCTTACTACTTTTTATTCTAATCTAAAAAGGATAGGACTTATCCCGTTTCAAACTACCGGTTTGCTGACGGACTTTGTATCAATTTGATTTGTACACTTTCTTTCTAGATTCAAGCAAGCTAAAATATAATGAAGGAAGTTTGTTTGCATAGTTTTGTCCCAAGTTTCTATAAAGTCTTAGCGTTTCAGTATATAAAGTATAGTGTATTCCTCCGATCAAGTGTTAATTTCTAGTTACTTGATTATTCTAATTTAATCTAAAAAGTAGAGAACTTATGCGGTTTTGAAGTGCTCAATTACTGACAGACTTTGTGTCTCCAGTCTTGATTTTGATTATGCACTTTCTTTATATTCAAGCAATATATTTCTATATGTTTGATGAACTAACACGTGATCAAAAAATACATTGTATAGTCATGTCTAGAGTCTTTACAAGGTCTTAGCTTTTTCCTCTAATCATATATTAATTTCTTGCCATTTTTTACTTCAATTTGAAAAGGAGAGAACTTATGCTGCTGTAAAGTGCTCAATTGCCGCCGGGCCTAGTATCTTCAGTCGTATATTTGTTCATGCCATCTCTTCAACTTCAGGTAACATGTCTCCATATTTTGGCAAGCTAACATACAAGGGGGGTACACGTGCAGTGTTTCCGAAGCCTTAGGTTCAGTGCCTTACTCCACGCAAGTACAGTGTACGCGTTGACCATAGGTTGATTTCTTGCCACTTGATTATTATACTTTAACTTGAAGACGAGAGAACTCACACCGCCTTAAAGTATTCAATTGCTGACGATCTTCGCTAAAGTCCTGTTTCCACTCCTCCCATTCATCGTCATATAAATCGGCAATTGTTTCCAATTGCGGTGCAAAGTTCTTTTGCCTTGGTCTCGGTGGTGGTGAACTGTGACGCTTCCTTTTCATCTTTTTAGGAGACCTGACCTTGCTGGACTTCACGGCCAGCATGAGAGTGCACTCTTTTCCCTCCGATACTTCCTGTAAGCTTAGACATGATCAGGGAGTATGCTTTATGGGTGTGTTCAGAGTGCTCATAAAGCCATAATATAGTGTACCTTGATCCTATGTTAGTTTCTTACTGCTCGATCTTATGCCGCTTTAAAGTGCTCCCTTGCTGATGGACTTTGATTCTTTATACAAATTATGTTTATGTACACTCTTAAAATGCATGTCTCCATATTTCTAGCAAGTTAGCATATGATCAAGGGCGGGACAATGTATCGATATCGCTTCGAGATAAAAAGGGGAGATCTCGGTTCGCGGGTAATCTCCGGGCGTCCTAGTTTGTGGAGGATCTGAAATCGCTTCGAGAAGAGGGACCGAAGAGATAGCTGAGACGGCCAGTGTACTCAGAGACATTGAGGCTACGACTGCTCAGTCTCCTCAATGCAGACCAGGGAAAAGGTTGACACGAACTCACTTTCAAGCTTGAGCCAGTTGATGACATTAATGACAAAGGCCCGCACCCCATCAGACTTCTTTGAAAGCGCTATGTTTTAGGGTCCGAAGGATCTGCTTCTCCTAAACAGCTTAGAAAATGTGTTTTGAATAGCAGCTTGGTAAATACAGCTATACATCGTTATATTCTGATGGATGTGCTAAGACTATCTAATCGTTCTAACATCAATCAGCGATAAAGCGAAGATATAAAGCTGCTCCTTGTGTTAAGAAGTATCTACAATAAACTACGTCTAATGTATCGGTTTGTAAAAGTGTCAATGTTCGCCTCTCTCCTAGGGACAACGGAGAATGAAAACAGTCGCTAGAATTTGTGTAATGAAATTATTACAACTGAGACTGTCTCGTCTTTTGGACATAGATCAGGAAAAGGTGAAGACTCTAAGGTATGATCTGTGTGCAGGAATTCTAATGAGTCCTCAGGCTCTTACTCTGTAAAAGTATTGAACTCGCTTCGAAAAAAGGGGGCATCGCCTCGCGGGTAATCCCTGGGAGTGGTAGAGTTGAGGTCGCTTCGAGTGAGATAAGGGGAGGCGCTAGCTCGGCGGAGTAATTCGGTCAGGTATTTTGAGGCCAGGACTGTTCCGTTGCCTGACACGAATCAGCGAAAGGGTGAATGTAGAGCATTGGAAAGGTGAAGATACAAGGCTGTGCTTTGGTGATGTGATTGATTTGATTGATTTGAAGTCAAGACTAAACTGTCCTAGCTACTTGTAATCATCAGCGAATATAGTATTTACGAAGAAGTACGTCTCAATACTGTGATTCATAAAAGTGTTGAAGTCGGCCAAAGGAGACTGAAGATGACCGCTACAGCGACTACTGTAGTGAAGTCTTTGAGACTGTTTTGTCCCTATAGGACAGATCAGTGAAAACTGAAGACACAAGACTATGGTTTACGTGAATAGTTAAGATCATTTGCGTCTCAATCTTTTCATTTGGATAGGTGTCAAAAGGCGGCCTATGATAGAGAAGAAGAAATGAAGATGATTGCTCGGAAAACAAAATCTGAGGAGTGTCTGCACTTAATTACCTAGTCCTGCGTCATCCGGCTAACGCAGATCAGCGAAGACAGTGAAGGCAGAATACTGTAGTTGGTGTGCAACGACGCTTACAAAGATGTACGTCTCAATCTCGTGGTTTTTGCAGGTGCCGAAGTCGGTTTTGAAACCTGCTTGTAGAAATTAAGAAACTTGTGGAGAAGGACAAAGAGAGAGAAAGATATCTGATCAAACCACTGGTGAGAAGTGGACATTCGATCCTGGCTCAATCTATAAACCGGCGAAAAGAGCGAAGGTAGGAGGTCGTCGTAGTTTATAGAGATGCTGAACTTACTTGATAGAGAATGAAGAAAAAGGGTCAGACCATGAGTGCAGTAAGAAGTCAAAGCAACTTTATTGTGCTGATAAAGATCAGCGAAGAGGGGGGAGATGTCAGACTACGATCTTCCGGGATAAGGGCTTGAAGTCTGTTGTAACGATTCAAAGAGCGTCAACACTTGTTCCTCACAGCTGTAAATTTTCAAAGGCCGATTGCCTTTTTTTATTATTAAGTGAAGCTACATAAAGATACACTGCTGTCTCGAGTACTCCCCAACATCTTGCAACACGTAACAACTTTTTGGTGGAGCACTTTCAAATCAGTATAGTTGGTGTTTAGCTTAAGTCACTGAGACAGCATGATGTCTACTGACGCTGAGAGCTTGTCTATGGCAAAACTGATTTGATGGCAAAGGTATGAAGGTGCAAAAAGGGGAGAAAGAACTTGAAACAATCTCAATGGAACACTAATCTATGATTGCAGACAATAGAAGGAACTTTCTGTGAAAGCATCAAGTTGGTAAATCCCCTTTTTGAGCAGATGACGTAGGCGAACCTCTGAATGTCATGTAGAATCAGGACTATGATAACGGCGTTGCGAGTTCATCACTAAATGTGTCAGGTACAGGTATGACTCGAAGAAGGAGTCATGGCCAACATCTTCAGCAGGAACAAACCAGCGCCGAGATATGGAAACCGAATCAGGTAAAGCTCGGGTTGTAAGTTTTCTGAAGCTTTAGTGGTCATCAGAAGAGAACAGTATTCCCCAGCCAGTTGATTTTCATGAGATGACCATAGTGACATAGAACCTGCCTAGTTTGATGGCTGAGACGAGTGGCCACAGCGAAAGAGGGGGGTATCTAACACTGGGCGAAGACTCTGAACGTCAACGTTTACCAAGCCTGTTTTCCGAGATGCAAGGAGTTCCAGCTCGAATCTCAAAGAGAAGTATCTGGTTGTACAACTACAATAGATGATGTTATCACAAGGATAAGATGCCCAACTCAAGTTCATCAGGATGGAAATGTAGCACGAGGAACAGGCTGAAGCCAAGTCTTGATTCAAAATATCTAGGGACACAAACGACATCGAGACTGAGACTATTTGAATAAAGGAATATAAATATTGGTAAAGCGTAAGTATAGTGCTCATCTGCAACAGTCAAGGAGTAAGTGTACTGCTTCGCGCATGCTTGAGCAATGAGCCTGGGCAATGGCAGGCTTGAGTCTTCCTTTCTTCAAGAACGAACTTTCCCTGAGGGCGCTATGAGAATTTATCAACCGCTCGTCCATCTCTGGGAAGATAATACGTATTCACTAGACAGAATGCACAATGATAGAAATTGGGAAGCCATGATCATTGTTGGTTGTCATTTGAGGTCTGCAAGCAGCTAGCCCGCTGAGGTTAGCTCGCACGCTAAACAATTTGTACTAAACTTCGAAAACTCTGGTGCATTTCTTCATCCTAAACCATCATCCACCAAGCATGTCTTTTGGCTGAACAACAACGAATTCCCACCCCAGGTGGCGGGATGAGGCTCTTCTTGATCAGGCACGGCGAGACCGTCGATAATGTTGCAGGGAACTAGTATGGATCGCCCTTCTCAGGTAGAAACTCTTTGCTAACAAATATTCAGCGCCGGTACAACAGATTCCGCCCTCACCAATCACGGTGTCCTTCAAGCCAATCGTCTTGGATCACATTTTTCTGCGACAGACATTCGTGTCACACATATCTTCTCTTCCGACCTCAAACGCGCGTTCAGAACCGCTGAAGCAATTCGCGAAGCTCAAGATCCTGCACCCTCGAAGACGACGAAACTCGAGATATTGCGAGAGCAGGACTTTGGGTTCTATGAAGGCAAACAATTCTTCGAGCGGCCGAAGGAAGGGAACAAGACTGGGAAAGACGCACATCTTGAAGCTCATCGTGACGAGCCTGGTTTCCAAGATGTAGAGAGCAAGGAGAGTATGAAGTTACGAATGGAGACATTCGTCGATGATCATCTTGTCCAGTTGCTACATGAGGTTGAAGCACATCATTCTGTGGTCGTTGTCGCACATGGGATAATCCTGAGTCATCTGTGGAGATTACTGTTGAAGAGATTTCCTCCTGGAAATGTGGCCGTGCTGCCAGGTGTGCAAGCTGCAGAGAGGGGATTCAGTTTGGAGTACCTTGGCGGGTGGTCCAATACAGGCTACTTGGAGCTGGAAGTCAAGGCGAAGCAGGAGAAAGTTCACGAACACACTGCTAAGGGCGAAGAATCATCATTGCCTTCTAAAGCCAATTTGCCTGAACTCGAGTCGAACTCTGATCCTGCAGAAGAACCAATGCCATCCACATCCACCGCAGAGCTGTGTATCGAAGCTTCGAATGTTCCCCAGAAGCCGTCAATACCGCCTCCTCTCCCAGTCAACGCACCACCTGCGCCCTCGAAACTGCTCAACATGTCACTTCTCGTGATGGCAGTGAACAGTCAAGTACATCTGAAGGGTCTGAAGAAGACCCGTGGTGGCATTGGAAATTTGAAACACGATTCCAGTCAGAAGACTATGGACTCGTTCTTCAAGAAGCGAAGACTCGAGTAAGCTCTGGGTGCACGACGACGCCTTGAAGAGATGCCCGCGCGAATATACCAAAGGAAATATACGTGTTTAAAAGCTTATCTGGGTAAGTCTTGTCTTTTTTCTTTACGAGCCCATTCCAAGTGACATGATGATAAAACCCATTCACAGACCTGTTCTGAATTATATGTGGATCAAACGTTTCCAGTAAGTTACAAACCTTCTTATGCCCATCCTGAGTAGCCGTCCGTTTCGCTGCATTGCGTCTAGAGAATTAACGCTAACTTGCTGTTGTAGACTGCTGTCTGATCACTCAAACATGCTCTCGCATCTTGTTGTCTTCACATACATGACAAGATAGCTGACACGATCGCAGGCCCAGATCCATACAGTGCATATATCACCGAATTCCCGGCCACACAGCACGACTAGACTCGAGCGAAGATCAGGGGCAGATTGGATAATGGGGTATGGGGTATAAGCATTAGTCATATCATAACTCATAAAACACAAATCAAAATCCCAAAACTCCACCCAAAACTCCTCGCTCCATCGTTCATCATGGTCATATACTGCATCCATCATCATCATCCCTCACAACCCAACACAAGCCCCAACAACAAAAACCACCAACGCAGCAGCACTAACCCCCTCATTCCTCACCGCAGCCCCTGTATACTGACTCGGGCTTGCCGTACTGGTCGCATTCCCATACCCAGGCAACCCGCCGGTTCCGGTCGAGTAAAACGTACTAGTCGTCGTTCCGACTAACGTAGTAGATGTAATGAAGTCCGTGCTGGTGCTCGTGGGCGTTAGAGTGGATTGCTCAATGGATATTATGGAGGAGAGGTAGGAGGATATCTCTGCTGCTGTGGAGGTCGAGGTCGAGGTGGAGTTTAGTGCTGGACCGCCTGGTGTGACGGTGCTTAGTGTGCTGGACGGTGTGGGTGTTAGGGTTGGGGATCTGCTTGTTTGTTAGCTGGTGCGCAGAGAAGGGATGGAGGGAAATGTACAGAGTTGTCGTGGTGGTCGTTGATCCGGATAGGAGGACGGATGTATCTGTCGTGGTGGTAGTAGAGGAATAGCTCTCTGATGGCCACGCCGGCAGGACAGCCGTTGTTGAGACGCCATCTGATACTATGATCGTAGTGCTTTGGGCAGTTGCTAGAGCTGCTAGAAGGAGAAGGGAGAGGAGCGGTGCCATCTTGACAACGTTTGAAGAGAATTGATATTAGATTATGGCTATAGAGAAACGGAAGCACGCACAAAGGAAATGAAACGGGGAAGAGAGACAAGATACTTATCCTCCCCAACCTCGTTGCTAGTTGGCATCATGCGAGAACATGAAGACGTTCAAAATGCCATCATAAACCAACCTCCAGGGGCCGTTCCATGGCCATGCACAAAATGCAAAGCTTGGCAACGATGGTGTCCGTTCAACAGCTGTCAAACCTACCTCTGCGCGTGCGTGGTGGAAAACTGGGTTGAAGAAAACCAAGTGGCTGAACAGCATAAAGCCACAGCGATCGTCGCCTCAGTTTCCTGCCTTTTGCACATTTTCCTCAATGTACAACACTTAATTGGATGATTGAAGTCGACGGAGAGCTTTCAAGAGGGGAGAAGATAAAGAACGTGGCTGGTGAGGGGAAAGGTGCGTCATGCAGCATGAGCGTTGTTAGCCGAGATGCTGACAGGGGAGTGTACCTTGATTTGTGCGTTGAAGCCTCACGATACTTGAGTTTTGACGGAAGAATAATTTTGCGGGACATCATTGAATTGGATATCCAAGGTCGATGATAGTCAGTGAAGATGCGAAAGGGTAATTGTAATGCTTTTCATTCATGATATCTCGTCTATCATTTCATCTCAACAGGAAAGCAACAAGTCATGATATCTGTCAGCCCAGCCACTCCGATTCACAAACAAGAACTTCACATCAAGCATCCACATTCTCAAAATGGAAGGTTGGTACTCCAGGAACAGCACCCTCAGCAGGTTGCGGCAACGCCTCGACCTTCTTCTCCTCACCAACCACAACTCCCATCTTCCCACCCTCATCCACCTTAATGACTTCTACAACGCTCAAGCCTGCAGCTTTCTTCAATCCTAGAATCATATTCTTCAAGGTTTGGATTTCGTCAAATGCTAATTTGCGCTCAAAGATCATTTCTGGCTTCTCGCCTGCTACGAGTCTCTTCTTCAAGGTTTGCACGAACGCCATTGCTTTCTTGGCCTCGCCCATCTTAGTGATCTTGCCATTCAATTCCTTGTCGTTGGCTGATTTAGTGGCTGGGTCCCAATATTCACGGAGAAGCTCGATGTACTTCTCCTGCCACGCAGGGAACCTTGCAGCGGCGAAGATGGTAAGCTTCTTTGGCTTCTTGAGATCATAGCCAATGTCCTTGCCCTTTGCTTTCTTCTTTTGTTGAGAGGCTTCAGCTGAGGTAATGTTGGAAGATGTATTGCGGACATATTCACGTGCTGCAGTCAAGGCTGGGACGGCAGCGGGTGTCTTGGGGTAGAGGGCATTTTGAATAGTGTGAGGCTTCTTGAGGACCTCGAGCCAGATGTATTCTGACCAGTGAGGTGCGATGACGGCGAGAAGAAGAGCTTGGAGCTCAATATATTGCAAAACGAGATCGCGGTGCATCTTCACACCTGCTGCGATGCTAGCTTCGCGGTAGAAATCCCTTGCGCCGGTGAAATCGTACAGGGCGGATTTGAGAGCGAGCTTGTAATCGGTGTTTGCGTAGTGGTGTTTTGCTTCATGGACGAGGGAATTCATCTCATTCTCAAAAAGAGCGTCGAGGAAGTCGTTCTTTGGACCCGATCGAAGATTGTCTTGGTCCTTGACTTGTTCCTCACACCATTCTCTAAGAGTGAAAAGACGGAGGATGTTATTATCAGCAACATCTTCCTCGAAGTTTGCATCTGCAACTCCATCGCCGGCATCAGCTAGAGCAATGCGGCTTGCGTCTGCTCCATATTTCTTCACTAAATCGTCCAAGGTCATGAAGTTGCCAGTCGACTTGCTCATCTTCTCTCCATTGAGGAGCAAATGACCATTGGCACGAATGCCCCTTGGCCAGTACTCAGGGTCGAACATTGCAATATGGATGTAGAGGCAGAAGGTAAGATGGTTGGGAATGAGATCCTTTCCAGATACTCTGAGATCCATCGGGTACCAGTATTCGAATTCTCGTCTCATGGTTGCGAGGGCGTCTTTCGAGATACCACTTTCCTTGAGCATTTCGTCACTGAGCTCTCGTCGAGCAAACACGTAATCCCAGACTTCGTCGACCATTTGATCTGGCTTGACACCAAGAGGACCGGGAGTCTTGCCAAAGATGTCTTTGTGAAGAAGATGTGCGATGGTGTAATATGCCATATAGATGGTACTGTCACTCAAACTCTCAACCAAGAATTGTGGATCCCAAGGGAGTTTCGAGCCAAGACCATATGTTCTTGCGCAAGCCCACTGATTAAGCCAATTGAGAACACCATCAAATCCGTTCTTCGTCTCTTGAGCATATGTGTTAAGTCCCTTCCCATCTGCATTATCCACATATTTAAGGGCAGTCTGCTTCCATGACTCTTCTCCGTAGTCGAGATACCACTGGTCCATCAATGCGACGCAGCAGTCGTCCGCTGATCTGCTTACGACTTTCTTCTCTGGTTCAGCGTAGGCAAAACCTTCATTGGCATCGAGAAGCTGTTGTCTGACTTTTGGCTTTGCTACTTCAACCTTCTCGCATTTGAATTCGCCGATCACCATGACACCCTGGTAGAAGCCCTCCTTGTAAGCAAGTTCCTTTGCTTCCTCAAGCTGCTTGGTATCTTTCGGTGATGCAATCTTGAGCTTCTTGACCAAGAAAGGTGCCGTCAAGTCGCCATAAGTTGGTGTCTTGATAATAGGAACAATCTCCAACTCAGCCCACTCCTTCCTGATACCATAGTATTCCGCCTTCTTCGCAAGATCTGTGACAGTGGCGAAATCATCTGGACTGTCAGATGGTACCGACGTGACAACTCCAGTGCCTTTCGTAGGAAGGACCGACTCCATAGGTAAGATTCGAACACCGTCCTTGTGAACCGAGAGAGGTGCATTGACAAGTGTACCAACGCAAGCTGAACCAAGAATCTCCGCAACCTTCTCGCAAACGCCATTTTTAGGGAAAACGCCTTGATATGACATATTTCGTGCTGCCCGATCCGTGATGACATAAAACTCCTTTTCTGAAACCTTGAAAACGCCATATGTAATCTTTGGTCCAACAAAACAACAAGTCTGTCCATACATCGTCTCAGGTCGCAGGGTTGCTGGGACGAAGAAGATGTCTGCTCCCTCTGGGACTTTGCCTTTGATGGCTTTCTCAGCTTCTCGTGCCCACTCCTTGACCTTCAACTTCAATGCAGTGTACTCCTGAGGTCCAACACCTTCTCCTTCACTCCGGTCGTGATCCATACATGGTTGTCCGTCTTTAGGTGAGTAGATTGTGTATCTCTTGCCGAACTTGATCTTCTGCAATTCCTTGAGACGGTTCATTTGCCAGCGTATGAAAGCATCATAGTATGGATTTGCGTCTGTCGTAACAAATGATCTTCTCCAGTCGATTCTCGCACCAAAGTTCGTAAGATCTCGTTTGCACAATGGAGGGAAGTAGTCCAACCAATGTAGAGGATCAGCAAACTTGTGAATATCCTCCATAGGTATCCCAACAGCTCGCATGATCTGAAACTGGTACTTCATCTTCACAACCTTGCTGGCAGCCTTGCCCTTCTTCGCTGTGAACTTCGTCACATCTTCATGGTGCGTACTTGGCGTTGGTGTATTAGTCTTGTCTTCCAGAACATCGTCGTCCTTGTAATTCTCAAAGTTCTTCCCAAATAACTTGACCTCGTTTATAAGCTTGTCCGCACACGCCTTGATAGGCATACCCGTGCAGTGAAAGCCCATAGGAAACAGTGTTCTCTTGCCCTGCATACGTGCAAACCCAGCTGTAAACTCGATTTTACTAACACAGAAAGTATGTCCAGCATGTAGGGTCCCGTTCATATATGGGTAAGCCATGGTGCCAAAGAACTTGGGTTGCTGTGCTCGAAGGTCGGCGGGGGAGATTGAATGGAGGGGTATTTCGGTGGTAGAGGGCGCGTCCGGTTCGAAGACTCCATCTTCTTGCCATTTCTTCTGGTATTTCTTCTCAATTGCAATAAGGGTATCTCTTTTCTCTGTCTGCAGACTGTTAGTATAGGTAAAAATGAAATGGCGGGGTACCTACGCCTTTCAACTCCTTGGTTTTGGAGATTGTGGTTGTCTCCAAAGCCTTGGTGGTGGCGTCAACAGCTGCCATGATCGCAGTTTACTTCCGGAAGGAGTGGATGGTTTGTTTTCGAGTCTTATACTCGTTGTTAACTCCCTCACTGAGTCATCGAATAGCTTGGAGTTTTGAGACGAAGAGACAAAATTATTTTGGTGGGGTAAGATACTGGTGCCTGAATACTGAGGCTTCAATTCTGATTCTACAATACTTCAATGTTCGAAGACAACCAAGACAATCAGTAGACATCATCAACATGTTCTCGACATTAGTGCGGCGGTCTGCTCAGCAGAAGATTCCCTTCGATATCTACTCGAATCCATATAAAGCCCAACGATTATGGCCTCCAGACTTCACGAAGATATCCCGAAAGCAACAATTCAGACTTGAGAGGAAATACAAGAGGAGAGCGAAGCTAAAGTGGGCAAGACCGCGATGGACAAAGTTTGTCAAGACGATGCAATTGGGGTCTATTCTTTGTATGCTGAAGAAAATTGTCGGGAAGACTTGTACTAATTGGATATGTAGTCATTACGGTGTATGGCGTGTTATTCTTGGACTGGAGCAAACAAGGAAATCCGGAGCATAAGCCATTTGAAGGGGTGCGTTGGTGGAATGAATACGTTCGGGATATTCACTGATGCTGTGCAGATTCGAACATGGTTCTTCGGCTTGGGTGATTCCATTTGGACGAAAGATCAAGTACGGAGGAAGGTCGATCAAGACGATGCTTCTCCAATTCCGAAGGCTGGGAATTGATGTCCTCCTCGAAGCTCTAATCCTACGATGGCTTTAGATCTCTGATCTTCAATGTCTAGCCATCTCCAGGAGCTAGCTGCTGTGGTGGAGTACATTCTGGAGAATTGAGCTCAAAGGAAGATGTTGGCTGACCAGAGAAGGATATCAGCCAATGACGCCCAGCTGTTCCTACTGGATCTCACAGAAAGGTATCTTGCATAGGTCTGTCGGGACTGGAAAGATATGGTCGAATGCAGCTACTTCAAGGGGTGGGTCACAAGCTCTCTTGTGTTAGCAGCAGCTTTTGTACAAGATAATGGTTCACCGAAGTTTCGGTCTATCATGTTTTGCATTTCTATGGCGTTAGGTTGCATGAGATACCTAAGGAGCATCTTCCCAGTACGGCGATTTGTAAAACACATTTTTGAAAGACTGAAATGGAAACTCTACTCCATATAGGCTTGTGTTATTGTATTTGCGAGTGGCTTTCCTTGGCGGGCTTTACCTAAATTCTAGCAATTGTACAACAACGAACTTTGGTTATGTCCAGCTCTTCTACAGCGTTTGCGAGCCCCCATCTATGACAATGGCAATGTCCCTTGAACTGAAAGTTGGAATGTGATATCAACTCAAGACTTTAGAAAGCATGACGATTGCAGTACTCGAAGACTATGGGCAGCAGAGGGAGAGTGATGTTTATAGAAGAGCAAGCGTCAAACCTCACAAAGCTTCAACTTATACTGTCATATGTGCCTGGTTCTATTACAGCCCGCTTGTCTATCTTACCAAAATGTCCCAAATACTACCTATTGCACTTTACGCGCTTTCGGCAGAGGTAAAATAGTACTTAAGCAGCTTAAAAGTCAGCTTTCCTAGACAGACAATGGGGCTTTTTGCACATCCCACTCACTACACTCGCATCAAAATGTCCAACGGCAGTCAGAACATGAGATTACAATCTACATCCCATACTAGAGTATAGAAGGAAGAAGGGTGTTGCATGGCTGCGGTCTACTTGGTAAGGACGCTTAGGGAAAGGCTAGGAGGCAATAACAATTGCTTCTTGAGCTATTGATCCATTGTAAATGGTTATTCTTCCTCCTGGTATAGCCAAGTTATAACCAGTACCAAGTCCGAAGCACTACCAATTCTCTTCTTCTCTTCCTCAAGCCCACGAAAGGCTTAAGGGCATGTGCCTCTGGCCCCGTCTCTGCACCCAACTGCTGCTCTCTACACTGCTCGCAAGCTCATACCTTCTTCAGTCTGAGTGATCATCGTATGCAACGACAACCTATCTCTCTCAAAATTCCAACACCGTTCAGTAAAAGGTACCAATACCAATCTCCTCCATAGCACTTCACCTGCCCGCCCACCCAAAATTTCCACCCATGCCTCCTAATGCTACACCTCTGCTCTCATTGACTGGCCGCTTCGCCACTCGCCCTTGGCTCTTCACACCTTCCACCACTCTCTCCAACTGTGTCTCCACCACTACACCTCCTACTATTATCTCCGCAAGACATGCATGAAGCGTCTCAAAATTAAAGATCAGATCCAGTTCACACACGTTCTCGAATAGCCTGTCCAGCGCCTCGACATAGACTTGTATCAAATCGATAAGTGCTAGAGGGGATTCGGTCGCCGTGGATATTATGATGAAGTAGAGAGTCGCATAGTGGCGATAGGTGACGAGAGAGGGGATGTCGTTGTGTTCGTGGGGAGAGGAGGAGGATGAGGTGCCGGAGCTGGCGAGTAGAGGAGGGAGAGGGAGGAAGTTGCAAGATCCGGTGGGACGGTGGGAGACGAGGGCAAAGATCTCGGAGATCAAGCGTTGTTGAACAGAGGTCTCCTGTGTTTGTGTTAGAGCTGTTCTGCTATTTCATGGTGGGGTGAACAAACCAGTTGTGTGTAGAATTTGGTCAGGCGGGGCTGGCCGGCATTGTTGAAGACGAGAACGGCGTTGATCATAACGACTGGAGCTTCGTATCCTTTGGAGTCACTATTTAACGAGTATCTGTTGTTTTGTTGTAGAGTCGTAAAATAAGTTGAGATGTTCGGAAGGCCAATAGCGCTAAGTTAGCCTAATGTGGGGTAAAGCTTCCGAGCTCAGATCATGAACAGAAGAACATCAAAAACCACAAACGCAGCAATCGTACCACCATATCGAGTTTCCATCTGCGCCACGTTGTGTTAAGATCAATTCATTGCATTTCAGCTCAGCCATTCATTCAAATCTCGTCAATCCCTTCAAAATGTCGAGCACAACACTATCAAAGCTCACTCTCCGAGCCACCCGCCAAATCCTCCCTTCCTCTCACCGTCTCAGCTCAGTAGCAACCAGACGTCCCCTCTCCATCCTTCTCAGCATCAGAACAGCCATCCCAGGTCCTCGAGTGAGCATCCTCCGGGTCCAGGCCAACAATGCGGTGCTTGCCAGGTCATTCTCCGCCAGCAGACCAAACAACAAAGGTCTGTCCCCGGAATCAGAGAACCCGCCCGCCAAAGAAGCTGAAGACGAACCTGTAGCTTCCCCTGCGGAAATCAGCACGGAGACATACCATGAGCTGGCCGATGATTATATGAATGCCCTCGTCGAGAAGTTAGAGCAGATGCAAGAGGAGACCGAGGAGGTGGATTGTGAATACAGCGTAGGCTTTCTTAATTCGTTCTCAAGTCTATGATTCGACAATTTGAAGGAAATGTTACTAATGTATCTCTAGGCCGGTGTCCTAACCCTCGCATTCCCTCCGAACGGTACCTACGTAATCAACAAACAGCCTCCCAACAAGCAGATATGGCTTTCATCGCCCATCACCGGTCCCAAGCGATACGACTACGTGGTTCTCAGCGAAGGCCAAGACGCAAAGGAAGGTACTGGTAGAGGAGAATGGGTATACATCCGAGACGGCAGCACATTAACTCAACTTCTACAAACAGAGGTTGGCGTCGATATGTCGAATCTTTACGCACCAGTAGAACATCGAGGTGATTGAGGAGCGAACAATTGTGTCGAGTCGATTGGATGTATGGATAGGAAAGCGAAAATGATCATGAGTAGCGAGCGGTTAGTCTGGGTCATGTGTTACGAGATTTCCCTACAAGTTCTTTCTCTGGGATGGAGTCAGAGGAGCGTAATGGATGAATGAATTAGGTCTGGATTGTTCGTATCACTATCGAGTATTTTCGAACATGTCCTCGGTGAGTTCGTTGGTGGTGGTGGCTTCACTGGCGCAGCTCGTATCAACAATATTTTGAACAGGTAGGTTGCATCAAACCTTTCAAATGGTACCATGGGGCATTCTTCTACCCAGACATCAATGAATACCCCACCAATAGCGGTGCGGTGACATGCCTCAACGTGAGGACTGTGCCTAGAATATATTGAGAAGGCTGCAAGCGAAGTTGGGCGAGTGCACTTCCAACTGAAGTTCAACCCTTGTCCAGCTGATCGGAATTGTACTCGGTAACATTTGATACCTTGATCAACGTACTGTTGCCCAATTAGGCTAAACCTCTGAAGTTTAACTTAGTTTAAGTCAAGTTCAAGCCCCTCTGCCTTGATCTGCATTTAAACTTCTCAAGTCTAGACTCGAGATTCTGGGACTCGCCTCATCTTAGCTGCAAGTGTTCGGAGGAGTTCCATAATACTTGTTTTCTAAATCAGAACCTTATTTTCGTTTTCCCTTAGTCAACTCATTGTGGGATCATGCCTCATTTCATCAAGCCGAATTAGGTCGTTCGGTTGTCCCAATCCTTTCAGAGCAGGGTACTGGACGGTGCCGTAGAGGGGCAGAGTGGGGAGTAGGACATTGGGAAAAGGAAGAAGGCATCCGATGCCTTGCAATAGTAGCAGAGCATGGGGAAACTTTATTTTGGGACACCCCGCTCCAGAAACCTTATTTCCGTTAGGGGAAGCTTAAGGGGACGTTCTACTATAACCCTTGCTGCCTCGTTCAGGAATGTTGGCTAAGAAAGTAATATGTCCTTGTAGCTAAAGAATATTCCCGGTACATCTAACGTGCAAGAAGACGTGAACACAATTGTCAATGATCTCAACTGGGTCAACTCTAAATAGTACGTCCTGTCACCGGATGTGTTGCAAACTTTGTGCTAACAGCGCCAAGGCTCTGAATCCCATCATCTCTCTTCTTTCTGTTCATCAAACGATCATTGTGCATTCACCTGCAGCATTGAACTTCTCTAATCGTTCGCACTTCGTTCTAGCACACTCAATTACATAATCCGAGCGAAGCAGCTCTCACTTAGGTCCCCCATGTCAAACCTTTCCTTCTGCCTCTTATTGGGCTATGCTACAAGTGCCAACGATATTTATTCGTCACTTCCCTAATTATCTTCTTTCTTTACCGTCATCACTCGTTGATTGGCTAATTCACAGATTATGACACTCTTCCAAGAACAGAAGGAAAATTTGTCTTTTGATGTATTTCCATTGCCACACTAGAACGACTATGAGCTAACTATCAAGCTGGATCTCACTCTTGACTTCGACACAATCATTTCTCAATATGCTCTTGATGCAAGTCGTTCATGCTGATGATGACCCATTGAAAAAGCCATCGTGTCAATTTCTGAGCTTCAAACAGGTCGCTCTTAGATCCATTCCGTTTTATTTGATACCCCTAAATTCTCTTTCACGTTGGACTGTAGAAAAACTCACAACAGTTCAGTATCCGCTCAGATCGGGAGAGTGAATTTTCTTTGCTTTCTACATTTGTTCAGGAAAGTGACCACTTGACCCAATGTTCACATCTTTGATTGCCAAATCCTCTTGGGTGAAATGAATCTCATCTCCTTTAGGACCCAAGCTAGTAAGGGTTGATATCATTCATCGTAAGATGGGATGAATCTCAAGCGCAAAGGTCTTGATTCGGTCTTGGACCTTAGAAAGCGATGTCCAGAACAAGAGCCGATGTGAGAAGCCCAAAGGGGTAACCGAGCGCCAGAATAGAAAGCATGCTGATCAATCTGTTTAGAAAGCTTCGCATCGACAATATCTTGATGAGAAATTGAAGGTGCTCCTAGGCAAATATACATGGCCTTCTCATGCCTGCTGGCTATGCTCTATACCTAGTGAAGGGGCTGCATGACTCCATTGGACAGACCAGCGAAACCGAGAAAGCCAAGCATGCGTGGACATAACGCCCCAAAACCAACGTCCCATCTTTCGTTTCTTCACCGCCTGGCAATGTGATTGCGTTACGACGACGAATGTGAAACACCCGAATGATCCATTGCATTTGCGGTGTCAAGAGCCCTGCATGTGATGTGCATAGTATCCGGGTATATTTCCATGCATCCTAGCAAATTTGTATGTTGTCCACACCAGTGATGATTTTCCTGTACGACAAGCGAGACCCGGACATCTGGTACGCCAAGGTAAACGATCCTGAACGGGAACGAGGCGTCAGATGAGCCTCCACAAGCCAATGGCAGATGAAGGGAGCACTTGCGCCGTCCGTACTCCGTACTCCAGATATTCTAGAAGGAAATGACAATTACGGACGTACATCTTTACGTAGTTTCTGACGATGCACACGCGGCGAAGCGCAATTTCGGTAGCACAGCTTGGGAAAATACAAGGATTGATATTGCATGCGCCTTCGTATGCGCCTAGTTACTCAGACCAGGACAAGACACCGAGTATCAAATACCGATAGACGAAGAGGGAAGATAAGCGATACGTGGATATCACGTTGGACCCCCTCGGGACGAAGTCTTTCGATGCTGGGACACTTGACGGCGGCTATCATCATGCGGTATGCAGTGTGACTCGGTGTTCAATTGACCGTGCTTACTGCACCGCCATCCTGTGCCATAGACAGGTACCGAATTTCCCCAGGAATTTGGCCAAGAATATGGGATGTGGCTCGTTCCAGTACCGGAAGCCAAATGACATCGGGAGTTTGTGCTGCAGTATGTGACTTTAGGCATTGGGACCGGTTGTAACCTGCCAGCCGTAGTCGGTATTAGGGTTCGAACCGCAGGTATGGAACGTTGAATGCAATCTGGGCTCGGAAAGCGATGATTGGTCTAGATACGAGATGTTCGAGCTGGATTCATGGCAATTCGGCTTGCATTTCGGTTTCTTGCATATTTCGTTACGGCCAGGACTTTAGGATATTGCTACGGCCGAGACTTTGGGATTCCAGAAGAGAGAACCGCTCGCTATGATGGGCGCCACATTCGTGAGTCAAGTGGTCGTCCCATTCTCTTGCCTATTTGGTAAGATCATGCTGCAACCGGAATCTGCGCCGCATCCGCAGTACTTGTCTTGTCCTCTTCGGGTTTTGGGAGGGAATCCTGAGAACAAAGTATCTGTTAGCTACATGATGGCTCGGGGCTCGAAAGAGTCCGAACTGAGCCGGTCGATTGTGGTTACTTACCACTTCGAAAATAACCCGAATCATCAAGCTGCAACTTGGGCAAACCGCAATATCCTCATTGTCTCGAAGATCCGCAATAGCGATCTCGAAGCGGTCACCACAGGGACAAGGGTAGTGGTAAATTTCCCGGGTCGCATCGTACGTCATGTCCTCAATTTCTATCTCGTCGTAAATGTTCTCGGCCATCTCGGTGAGCGATTTGCTCCAGGAACGAGCGCGGGTCGTGGATGCGGATGCGGATGGGGATGTGGATGGGGGGGTGGACGTGGATGTGTCGGAGCGGATGCGCTGCGGTGCGGGACGCAATGCTGGCTGCAGATGTGCGGTGCAGTGTTAGAGTATCGCAGGCGGTTGAAGATATTGCGTAGCGTAGCGTTGGGTTGGGTTGGGTTGCGATTATTGTGATGGTGATGATGGTGGGGTCCAAGAAGGGGAAGATAAATTTCTTTGTGATATAAGCGGTGAACGGCGGCAGTATTAGTAAGAATAGCAGCCTGATGCCTCAATGAGTCATGCCTGGCCTCCAAAAATAGCCGCAAAGAGTGAATTCGTTTATTTTCAACCTTCGTCTCTCGTAAACCTCTGAAACTCTATTTCGACCTTCAAATAGCATTGTCCGCGCCTGATACTGTCTATATCTTCATATCTGATGAAGAATTGAACCTTTCCAGATCGTTCAGAGCCATTTGGACAACCAGCAAGTGCTGACAGGTACATTCTCGCTTCATCTGAAAGTACCCCGATACTGCTGGTTATCGCGAATGCTTTGTCAGGTATCTTTTTTGGGGCAGCCTGTTAGTCAACACTCGTCCAGACTGCTCAGCCTTGTTGCGCCTTATTGGCCCATCTTCCCCCTGTCCATTTTCTCTTGCTGCCAACCACAAGCAGGATCACCTCCGATGCGCCGTTGGCTCACTTCATCCACTTGGTCGGCACATCGCCCAGGTCGATGGAGCGGTTCCCAAGTGGGTGCCAGGCGGTGGCCCGGTCTGGCAGCGCTCCCGCTATGTTATGCGGCCATTTGTGCAGTAGTCATTATCTTATTGCACAGCCATTAGCCCCCAAGACGTGCCCTACCGACTGTTGTCGTATCGCCAGCCACAGACCGGTTTCACCTCTTGGCAATGTAGATGAACTTGATATTCGATCAGGCGGTATAGGTGCATAAAATATATGAGTTCTGTGGCATTGTTGTGGATGGAGTCATTCAGGATGCTCGAGACGGACACGGGTTCGACGCTCCACCCCCGCACCCTCTCAAATCCACCTACAACTCCCACATTATCATACTCGGACCATTCATATAAAACCCCAGTTCAACCACAATTTCTTCGAGGTTATCCCCAATGAAGCGATCTTCGACGTGTACTCGTCTCTATCTTGCATCATGGACAAGAATACTCAGCAACGTCCCGGCCCAGCAAGAAAGAGAGCCTCGACACCAAGATCAAAGACAGGATGCACAACGTGCAAGTGGGTTCCCCTCCGTCATTTTAGTTGACCACGCTGATCTTCTTACTGTAGGATAAGGAGGCTCAAGTGTGGTGAAGAACGGCCTAGTTGCCAACGTTGCGTCAGGTCTGGGTGGCAATGCGATGGCTACGATCATGTCGCCCCGACGTCTCCCTCCCCAGAGGGAACCATCGCGTCTTTACTTCCACGCAATTCGTCAATCTCACCTACTCCAAATTCACTTGTCATCGAACCATCTGTGCTCCATCCTTTGAACGAGCAGGAACAACAATATTTCCGAAACTGCGGGGAGGAGGTAACTGGCCAACTCCAAGGAGAGGATATGCTCTTCTGGCGAGGGGTGGCCTTGCAGGAGAGTTTAGGCTCGTTCTCTGTGCACCACGGCCTCATTGCTATCGGTGCGTTGAAGCAGAGTACCGTCATGAGGACAGGGCGTTACCAAATGGATGCTGTACCAGGCACTCATCGTGAATTTGCACTCCAACATTACCACACAGCTATTCAAAGTCTTCGCGAGTCCATGACGAATATGAGAGACGAAAAAGAAGTCAGGTCCACTGTGGTGGCTTGCATGATTTTGGCGATCTTCGACGATTTCATTGGGCATAGAGCCTTTGCTCTGCAGCACATGCGTTGTGCTCGCGATATACTGCTTAATTCGAACTCTCTTCTATCGGCTAGTAACGCCCTTGGAGGCTCGGATGATGCCAAACTGGCGAATATGTTTCTCCGGCTGGACGTGCAAGCGATGTGTGCTATAGGCGTCAGCGAGTACCAGACCATGATACCGTTGCAGACACTGCCTCAGATATTCGCGCTCCCTACTCGCATATCGTCCTTCGAAGAAGCACAGAATTTGAGTACCGTGGTAGCCTGGGAAGGCTGGAGATTCTTTTATCACAACGCAACATACCAACTTCTTCCAAGGCACCAGATTCCCCAGAATATTCTTGACCTACGCGACAACCTCGTCAAACAACTCTACGATCTCTGCCTACTACTAGCCGATCTGAAAGAATGTGAACCAGGAACGATACGTCATCCTCTGGCATGTATCAAAGCGTTGAGTCTTCATCCGGTCCTGGCCCTCGTCAGACTCGCTTCTACCTTTGGTGCACCAGAGACAGCTTGTGATGCCCTTCTCGATCAGTTCACCTATCTAGTGAGCCTGTCCAAGGAAATTATACAGTTCGAAGCACTGGAAAACCCGGAACTTATGGAACAGTCTAGCTCCTGGACCCCATTTCCGCAGCAGAACGAGCTCCATCCATCCCTCCCGATGCCCTATCCCGATCTAACTCGCATCCCAGTCGCAGAAACATACTCGGCCGAGTTGCGCACCGTATCTCCTCTCCTCCTCGTTGCAACCAAATGCCGAAATGCCACATTACGTCGCGAAGCTATCGCTCTTCTCCTCTCATCACATCGAAGGGAATGGATGTGCGACTCTTTGTTGTCAGGACAGATTGGCCAGTGGATGATGTCTCTTGAAGAAGAAGGCATGGATGCCACTGGATATATACCGGAACACGCTAGAGCATGGGGAGAAGCGGTCGAGTTAGAGATACAAGGCCGGAAAGCCAAAGTCAGATGTAGACAGAACTTCAAGAGCAGGGTCACAGGAAAAACCGAATGGAGGTGGAGAGAAAAGCACATTTGCTGGTAACAACCAACATTTTGATACCACAACAGCATATTTGCGCATTTTATTGCTCATTAGATCTCTATCAAGACCTGCTTCGTAAGTCTGGTCACTTAATTTTTAATCTTAATGCTTTCAATGTTCATACTTTTGATATCAACACTCCATCTTCCTAAATCCGATCGAATTACTTCATCATCTGCTCGTTCTCAATCTCGCTCAATTGTGTCATCGAAGCACGCGCCATAACGGTACAGAATGCTAGTCAATTCAAAGTTCTCACTGCATGCGTTTGTTCTTCGTTTTTACAAAATTTTCCTTGCGCCATGCAGGGGCCAGGCACCGGTTAAATATGAGGCGAACTCAGCCCCTTTAAGGTACTGTACCGACACGATGTTTACTGCCACCCCCAACTCGGGGCGCTTTAGGCGGTCTGCGCGGTCTGCACTATGATGACGGCGGAAACCGATTCCTTGTCTCCCCAGAGTTGCGGCGTTGGGGCCGTGCGATAACAGTTCGTCCTAAGTCCCCGAGTGAGGCTTGGATTTGTGAGGCCGGAGGAAACCCGAGTTCCTGTGCCCCTAGATATGGCTGTGAAACAACCCGGAGTTCAGGTCCTTGCAAGCCACCAGAGAGGGGAACGTCCACAGCCACGCACCGAGGCCAATAATATCTGGGAAACATCATTGTCTTTGTCTTGTTCCTAGAATGCATTAGGATTGTTAACAGACACTGGAACCTTTTATCGCTTTCTATTTCTTCAATCGCTGCAAGTTGAAGGCGCATTCGCGAACTACTGTATTCGCATGTCACCACATGCTATATTTTCGTTTGATCGCATGACAATTACACTATCTAAGTCCTGCATTCTGCAATTATATTTTCGAATTCAAACATCCTCACGTGGCTTGCCCCTTTTTCTAAAACAAAAAGAGAAGGGGAAAAAACACTATATCGATTCCACATGGCGCTTTAATTTCAACCGCTTGAGGTTTATAGATCTTGTCCCTTCGCCGTCAGTTGTGGCTCCTTGAAGTAGCCGAGACCATAGTTGGTCTTGATGCTTCACTCTTCTCTGAAACCCACTAGTTGGCAATTCTTTTTGTCTCAATTCAGCTCTGGCACTTCCTCTAAAAAGAAATCTCACATCAGGTTTGGTCTAGGCAAAAGCCATGATCTTAAATCCGACAAAGTTATCCGAGAATATTCCTTTTTCCCGAATGTCTCTCCAGAAAATTTTGTTACGAATACATACAAGAATTGAAAGATTCGTCACAAATGCCAAGCTTATATTGATCTGTACAATATCAAGTGGATGACCACGCAATCTCACTTATCTGCGGTTCTATTATTCCTGTTAAACTTTGAAACCTTTTACTTTTCGATGACCTCCTTTACATATATCCTCGCACGAGGAAAGAGTTTTCTCACTTCTATTTCGAGAAACCGGCATCGATATCAAAGACAAGTTGTTCCTTGCCGAATGCAATGTAGGGACGGCTTGTCAATACGGGCTTGTTGAAGGGATTCGACTGTCTCACTCGAGGGCCTTGATTGGACTCCATTTCAGGGGTCTTGTCGGTGGCTTGCACCATCTTCCGCACATAGAAATCTTTCCTTTTTTGGTCATTAAACTCAACGCCTTGTGCGAGGGTAGCATCCAAAAGGGCGTTCTGAGACTTTTAATCAATGAATGAAGCCTCTCAATCAAAGTCTCATAAAACCTTCTTTCCCCATGTCTTCAGGAACCATCAATCGTACAACTTTTTTCTACCTCACATCTTTGATAAGATTAAGATTGAGATCAAAGTGCAATTATGAGGGCAGCAAATCTCATCGCTGCCGTGGCGAGTCTCTCAATTTTCAGCGTAGAAGCTTTGAAGCTTGCGAAACGAGATACTCCTGCTGTCTTGAAGCTCGACCTTCAAAAGAGGCGTTCTGGAACCTTTGCAAACTCGACGTTAACGAAAAAGCGACAAGGGACTGTGGAGACCCCAGATATCAACTACCAGACGCAGCTTCTTTACATTGTACAGCTGCAAATTGGTACCCCGCCACAAAGTACTTATGTGCAACTCGACACTGGAAGCAGTGATCTGGTTGTCGAGACTGATTCCTCGAATATCTGCTCTCAAGCACCGCCAAATCCTTGCACCAACTTTGGATCCTGTAAGAAAAGTATCAAAATTCACAGCGGCAATTCTGACTATTCTAGACGATGCGAACAGCTCATCAACCTATGAATACTCGGATAGCAACTTTCAGGTCTCGTATGGAGGTGGTGACGGGGCTACCGGAGACTGGGGTTCAGACACTATGATGATTGGCGGCGCTGTCCTCCAGAATACGCAATTTGGTATCATGTATCGTACGACAGTACTTGAGGGTATTGTGGGAGTCAGCTACCCTATCATCGAAGGTCGAAATACCTTTTCCGGAGAGCCAATTTACGACAATTTACCTGTTCTTCTGGTGAAACAAGGATACATTGCATCCAGAGCCTTCAGTCTATGGACCAATGACGATAGAGCTTCGGCAGGCACTTTGCTTTTCGGAGGTATCGATACATCAAAGTTCTCTGGTGAACTTGTCACTATCGACTTGGTTGCATCTGGATTCGATGGCTTCCCCGGTGTAGTGGACTTCACTCTCGCCTTGAATGGCGTCTCAGGAACCGATGCCAGCAGTAATCCAGTTTCCTTCGTCGATGGTGCGAATACTATCAATGTACTAATGGACTCTGGAACAACGATCACGGGACTGCCTCAAGATCTTACGACGTCAATATGGGCTTTCGTTGGTGCAACACCGGATAGCAGTAATCCCACATCAGCCAACATTCCATGCTCAGCTGGATCTTCCACGGAGACTATCAATTTTGCCTTTAACGGAATCACGATCAATGTTCCATTGAGCCAATTGGTCATCTTTCCAGATTCCAACAACGAGATCTGCTTCTTTGGTATTGATATATCCACTGACTACATCATTGGAGATACTGTGCTCGCAGCGATGTACGTTGTGTATGACTTGGATAACAACCAAATCTCCCTTGCTCCTACGATCTTCGATTCGACTGCTCCGGAGAACATCTTGCAGATCATGGCGGGTCCAGGTGGCGTTCCGGACACTTCTTCATCGTCTGCCGCAGTGCCGTCTACTGTGTCTTCCAGCGCGCCTTCAAGCACCATGTCTAGCAGTGTCGCCACTTCAGTGTCATTGAGTAGCACGCTATCTTCCAGCTCAAGCATCGTGAGCAGCTCCGGCGCAGCCCTGTCCTCTCTCTCATCAACCTTGTCAAGCGTTGTTTCGTCAGTCCCAACGACCTCTGAAATAAGTAGTTCGGCCTCCTCGACTTCGAGCAGTTCAAGTAGCGCACTTTCTTCCCTTTCATCAACTTCCTTGGTGTCGAGCTCCTCCAGCGGACCCTCTAGTAGTATGCTCTCCTCAACGACTTCAGTCGTAGGCGGCCCGTCTTCTTCTTCAAGCGGCTCAACAATGCTCACTTCCACAACAAAGCCCACAACCTCAGCAACAGTGGTTAAGCCTCTGAAGTGCAATATGGTAAGTTCTTAGCGTCTACCTCCATGTACTTTCAACACAGCTAAAACCCTCCAAGGACAATTGTCTTCGTGCTATTATCGGCATTACTAGCAGCGGTTTCTGTGGTGCTTACTTGGCAAACATCCCAACTCCCACGCCAACAGCAATCGCCAAGGGCTGCCAGTCCTTGGCATCCAGGATTTCAAGTGGATGTGCTTGTGTCAATCCTCCCACGGTTGGCCCACTGTCTTCAACGTCCTCTCTATTCTCGACATCAATATCGCTCTCTTTCTCTTCCTCTTCCTCTATCCCGACAACAATGGCAACCGCAACTGGAAGCCAACCAAAGCTTAAATGCAATATGGTATGTGTTGCTGAACTCGAACCAAACCCAGAACTCACATCTAGTTAGGATAACTGTCTCCGTGCTGTGAAACATGCTACCGCGACAGCATTCTGCTCGGCATATGTGACTGGCGCTCCTACCCCTGTACCGACGGCAATTGCTAAGGGATGTGCAACTTCAGCTTCGAGAGTGTCGAGTGCTTGTGATTGTTACATTTCATCTGCTTGAAAGATAACAGTGTTGCAACGTTTTGTAGTCTGACAATGAGATGCTAGCAAGCACCCAAATAACCATTCTCTTCTGAGTGATATAGCGGTTTCACAGTCTAGTTTTTCGTTCTGCTTCACTTCCTTTCCGTGTTCAGTATCTGGACGGAGCTTTTATCTTGCACTGTCTGCGCTGTCTGCGAGACCCGTGCGTTGTGCGCGTTTTGAACGTTTGGCGCCCACGCTCTCCATGTATTCAACAGACGGTGGTTATACACCTTCAACTAAATATTCCTGGCAAATTGACATTCGATCCTCGAAATCACGTTGTCACCCATCGTATAAAGGTATCATCTCAACCTCTTCCACCCGCCTGCCTTCAATACTTTGTGACTGACCCTTGAACTTTTGTCATAGGACGACATGTACTGTACACGAGTAGGCAACGGAGATTATTTATCTCCTTCGGTCTTGAATTGTTCGAAAAGTTATGCTATTCAACAAACCGTGAAACTTTACATATATATTTTCTTATAAATCATTCGGCCATTGAGACTAGATCCTAGTTTCAAATTCTCCGTCTCGTACTCCTCCTTCGCTCAGTCGGGCCCCCAGGCTCATCAGCGAACCTCCTCGGTTGCCTCCTCAGCCGCGACGTACGTCTTATAACTCCCGGCGGCAGACGGAGTGTGACGATATATGATTGGTGGTCTTCTTCAAAAGAGTCACTTCGTTCTGGTTCATTGCAGCCCGTATGCAAAGACTCTTGCTCTTCTAGAAGTTGTGCTGAAGGGCTGTCGTATCCACTGTCACTTCTTTCAGTTCCTGCTTGGTCCTCCACTGTCTGATCTATTACTGTACTTATCTCCTCAGTATGATTGGAGGCGCCTTCCAAAATCTCGACGTGATCCAACGTCGCGGTCTCACTGATCGCGTCCACCCCCTCTTCTGTCTCCTCCTTATCTTTCACCGACAATTCTTCCATCCACGGCGGCCCTGTATGGCCCCTTATATCTCCAGCATCACTCTTACTTAATACGGAACTATCACAACAACTATCAAAAACATGCTCCGAATTCCTATACCTCCCATAAAAATCTGGAATCTCCCTCACATCCCTAAACCACACACTACACAACGGACACTTATGCTTCTCCTTCTCGCCTGCCTTCGTCCTCTTTTCGAACAGCTCTACAATGCAATTATAATGAAACGTATGCCCGCAAGGCAACGAACTCGGCGGTCCAGACTCTGCTATCGCTTCCGAAGAAGAGAGCGAGAATTGGCACCATGCGCAATTATCGATTGGAACAGGCAGTCCTTTTATCGACACCTCGGTGTAGAGATCCATGTGCGGATTTCCGGTAGGGGTCACGATAAATGGCCTGGAACCGACTTCGACGTGGGCTTTGGTCTTGGCATATTGCTCGGCGCGGATATTTCGAACCCATTCTTCTGTTCTCCTCTTTGCGCGGAATCGGCGAACGTCCCAGCGATCGAGCGTTCTTTCTCGTCGTTTGGTGCGTAGCTGTGCCAACGATAAAATCGGTGCTTTGCTGTTGAGAGTTGGGAGTGCATCGATGAGGATGTTGTATTGATGGACGGCGCGGACGTAATGTGCATCGTATTCCTCTTTTGCGCCTTCTTCTGCTGAGCCCACACATATCTTCCCACTTCTCACTAAACCTTCGAAGAACCGCTCTCTATCCCTTCCTTTACTGTCTTCGGGTATTGTTTGCTTTATTCCAATTCCGGATTGTGCTCCCAGTCCACAATAAGAGCAATGACTCCCCTGGTCAGCATAGAACCAGTAATCGTTTCCGCGATCGTAGACGCAGTTTCGGTTGCATGCTGTTCCAGACCATGTATTTAGGTGCAAAAGATGAGAGGTGGCATGACTGCAGCGCGGGAAATAAAATGTGAATTGGCCACAGTGGTGAAGCGACGAAGCGCTCTTCTTGACAATTATTGGAGTGGGAGGAGGGGTGAGGAACGGTCGAGGCTGCGGAGTTTGAGGAGTTTGAATTAAGGGAAAGGATCCTGGAACCACTGGTGATACCTGGGGCGAGATTGGTGATTCTATAGGAGACGTTGGTGATGAGGAGACCATGTTGCTCGCGGCTGTGGTTACGCGGTCGAGAATCCGATTTACAAACGAAAAGAGGACCCCAGTATCCTCTTCTGGATCGCTATTCGGTTCGTCAGACATCGCGAGATAATCGATTTCTTGTAAAGATGGGGGCTTCGTCGAGGGACCGGAGTAGCGCTTTCTTTGTCCCTATTATGGATTCAGTGTTGAGATGGAGTTATGAATTTTGAAACAAAGAAACTTGCTCGCCATTGTTGCACCTAAATGCGTTTAAAATTTCCCAAGACTATCGGTGTACATCTTCTTTGTCCAATATTGACAATAGCTTCTAGATGTCATGATGACTCCTGCAAGATTAGATGCGACCTGGAAGCAAACCTGGAAGGAGGCTTGAGATCACGTGAACATGTATCAAGTACCTAGGTACCTATTGTACTGTACTGGAGCAGTACCACAAACAAGGGAGAGAAGTAAGAAGATACGCTGAGAAGCTGTGTGGTAACTCTCAAAGATCATTTAAGGAGGAGAGGCGTATACAAGGACTTGTGGCTTGAAGGCAGGCCAGCATGTTGGCGGAGGATGAGCAACTTTGATCAGGGTAGCTATCATCAGCTGAAGCTGAAGGAACAATAGCACGGCAGAGACAAAGAACCAATCAAGAATATTGAGTTGTAGATTCTACAGAAATGGAAGCTTGAGCTTGCCCTCGAATTAAATTTGGACATGTTTCTAATTGTGAAATGACCAACAAGCATCCAATCTAAAACGAGACAACATTTGACCATTGGTCATCATTAATCATTAATGCAACTCCATCATCTCCAACCTTTCGCCTCTACCCATAGACCAAGTACTCAAGAGTAATACGCAATTGTGGTATTGAACGACGCTTCAATCGGTGCCAACAAACTCAACGCCTGCGCCTGAAAAGCAGGAGGGACCTTCGCCACAACAGCTGCCCCAAAGCGCTCCGAGGCCGCGTTTTCCAGCTTCAGGTTTACCAACACGACCGGAGTGATGACTTTTAACTTGTCAAAGTTGGCCTTTGTTCGCATCAAGTTACTGAGAGTGGTCGACACAGCGGTTGATAGGTTGAGGGTTGCTTGTGCGACCTCAATGGTCTCGGGTAACGTCAAGTTGGCGGATTGAGTCGCGACAGTGACACCGTTGTTGATGTCATCTAACAGATTGACGGAGTCGACGAGCAGAGGGGCAATGTCTCCAATTGCAAGCTCTGGATTGCTGGGGAAGGAATTGAGGGTTGTATTCAGCGCCAGCGTGGCATTGGTGATTGTAGTCATAGCCGTAAGAATTGAAGCTCCATCAGCGAGGACCTGAGTTATCAGGAAACTGACGCCGAGAGGGAGGAGTGCAAAGCGCATCTTGAAAGCTGTAGAATGTCCCTGGAGCGTTCCTGGGAGATAGCATAAGGATGGGAAGGCCCAAAATAGGCGGATGCGGGGAGCTGTTGAGATTTATTGTCCTCCCACTTTCAACCTAGATTCCCTCCAGAAGATGCCGCTCTCTCGCTGACCTCACATTTCCCTTCGTCATCCCAGCTACCCCGCAGCTCCAGATGATTTCCTTGTGCAATCTCCAAATTCGCCATCATGTCCGGGACCTCCTGGCCCTGTCAGACAGTCATACCAGACGAAAAGTTTCTGTTAATGGACAAAGTTGAGGATGTGGCAGTGATTGGCGGAGGCAAGCATCGGAGATGGCACCAATCGAGTATGGCAAAGTGAAATGTCGTTGAGTGGCCCAGGATGCTGCAGGAACGGAACGGGATCGACGTCCTTTCTTGCAAAATGAGGGGATTTGTCCGGGGAAGCTTGTGCACAGGAACATCCTAGTCTGCCGAGGACAATTGTCGATCAGAGGCATGTGATGGCTCGCGAGTGCAGATACACTTGTAATTTTCATTTCGAAATGCGCAAAAGTGCAATTGCTAGATTGCGAAATGAAAGGTAGGTATATATTTCGCGACCGCCTAAGAGGTTGACAGGAAGCTGACTGCAAGTGCTTGCGTTTCACCATCATTTTTGCATTGCCGAGGAAGAGTCGAATTGATTCTCTTGGACAGCAGTGGCTTATCTCGACATGGGATGATGATTTGCAACGCACAATTCTTCCCGTCGAATCACGATCTCGTCCCATCCTGCATGCGACTTATCGGCTCCGAGGTTCAACATTGATGCAGGGATTGATGGGAGAGCCTTTTTGCAGCTGGAAAGAGAGAGCTTTTGCAGAATGAATGATAATGTGCAATAAAACGATGCTATCAGCAAAGACGAAAAAGTGGCACTCGCCGTATGCTGCAAGGAAACGCCAGCTATCCATGGATAAGGTTGAGCTCATGAAGTTTCGTTCGTTCTATATTCTATGTATTGAGATTCCGATGCCGTGGTCTCTCATTGCGTCGGAGGTACACCCATCCCTCGGCTTAGTATTTTGTACTGAAAGCATGTGCTTCGGTGTCTCAACCAGTAATGTACTTGATCACCGCCCCAGGACTGGGAAGTAACACATACTTTTTCTTCTTGTACTTGTCGGGAAATTCCGTCCGCAGAGCTCTCTCTTTCTTGATCGCCCATTGGTTCATCTGCCACCATGCAACAACATCAAAGAGAGCAGTACTGGCGCTCTTAGTCACAAGAGTGATGCCAGCCCATGCAATGAGCTCAAACAGGTAATTAGGGCAGGTGACAAGTCCAAATCCGTATCCTTTGGGAATGCCACGTTCAGTGCCTCCAGGACTTCGCAGATTAGACAACGTTTTGTGTGTATGAAGGTTGCTGAGCTCCCCGAAGACGAACAGCACAAGCCCTGCAGCATTGATATAATTTATGATGGAGCCTTCGAGAGTGGTATAGGAGTTCGGAGCATAAACCCAGTATGCGATATTAAATCCAGACAAAACCCAGTAGTGTGCCGAGTTCTTGAAAATATTGAAAGCTGGCATTGTTGCTAAGGAGAACCTATGCACGAATAGTGTCTCGTACTCGCGCTTGAGGAAGTGTAGTATAACCATTGCCATAGATAGGTATTGCGAAGTGGTGAGAGGAGGTGCGGAGGAATAAATATAGGGTCGCAAGAGAAGAGGGGTGATAAGGTGGATGAGGATAGGACCAAGGTATTCGATAATAAAGACGGTCGTCCATGTTATTTGAGGTCCTGCAGATGTGAATTAGCCTCTTTCGTGGAATTTCCGAAGGCAGGTCCTACCAAGATCCTTCACCAATATTTCCTTTCCAGCCATCACATCCTGCAATTGACTGACGATGGCTCTCCTGTCCTTCAAGAGCTTCTTCTTCTCTGCGTCGAAGAGACCAAGCCGTTCGGGGTCCATGCCTCCAGCCTGCTTTGCCAATAGGACCTTGACATCCTGAACAGTGGTCTTGTCAGTGACATCAATGCTGGTGGGGAGCTTTTTGATGGGCTTTTTCGCAGCTGCGAGAGTTGTCAGTCAGGGTGCGCAGAGTTGTCCAGAGATATGGTGCAGCGTACATCGATTAGTGATCTTGAGGCTCGTTGGAGAAGCCATATTTGTGTTTTGTGGCCAGGCTGGATGTCTTCTTGTGAAAAGTTTCAGCTATCTTCGAATTGTTGAGCGAGCCACGATATCCAAATCAGGAAAGGTCAATGAGTCGATTCACGTGACTGATGTTAACTGCCCAGGTGTGCAGTTTCCAGGTTCTCCGTTTTTGCTCCATCCTCCTCCTCACTCCTTCAATATGACAAGTCATTCGTTATACTCTATCATCGCAGGTCATGAGTCATCTCATGCAGCTTAGATGTCCTGCATTTGGAACAAAACCAGTGCTTTGCTGACGTGCAGAAAAGACATCTCGATCTCTGGAATTCTGTCAGTATCTGGCGGGCCGATCCTCTCCAATCAGTGAAACTGTGGAGAATGATCGGTGAGATGATTGGAAAATACTGCTGCGAAGTTTGGCATGCAAACATTGGTTGTGATTCGACTCCCTTGCTTTCGCGATTTTCCGCCTTGTATTTTGTTTGACGTTACTGATCCTCCTCTGAACATTTATGACCTCTGTAACGTTGATGCTTTCTCATTTCTGCTCTGAAGCTAGTCGTTAATGTGCCATGAGGAAGTCGATTTCTTTGAGGCTACAGCTCATTTTGCACTTGGACTTGACGCAAGGCGTTGTGTTCTACAGTAGCCCTCAAGAAGCATCCCTTGCTTCGAGAATCAGCCATTTCATCATCATTCCAATCAAAAGTCTTGATTTCAATGGCGGTAGTTTCACTTCTGTCAAATTTAAGAATGTGACCACTCGATCTCCGAGGGCTCCTGATCTTAAAGATTCCTTTTCGTGCCTTCATATATCGTGCTTTAGCACCATAACCCCAATTAAACTCTCACTTCATACTCTCAAACAGCATCAAAATGGAGCACATGACATCTCTGTTCGCGAGCAAAGGCAAGATCACTGTCGCTGACAGTACACCCGCTCCTCCTCCGATCGATCCAAAAGACGGGCCTGATCACAGCATCAGTCCCTCCGAGGAAATCCTAGCCACACTAGACAGTCTTTCGCAACTTATCCAATTGTCCAATAGACCTTTGAAAACCGGCACGGGCGATGGGTCTTATGCTGTGACTTCGAAGACAGGAGGCTCTGCAGCTGATCTACGTGCATTGGGGTTGACAGACTATGACAGCGTTCACAGCCTCTTGGAGCAGGAGCTCGGTACATCCGAACTCACTGATGATAAAAGTTTGTTGCTGGAGCGTGTCATACAGGTAGTGTACTAAGAGAGATTTGAGAGATATACATACTAACTATTCTCAGCTTCTTGCAAAACTACCAGCCGACTCAGACAACCGAATCTCCTTGACGAATGCCTTGATCAGAAATCTATGGGACTCTCGTTCCCATCTGGCTCCATCGCTGTCGTATTTCGGCGATTACTACAACCACCGCCAACCAAATGGATCGTGAGCTGCCATTTCCAACGTGTTCCTTGAAGCTGACGAACTCCTGTCTAGGCATAATAACACCGAGTTTCCGGATATTGGCAAGGCTGGAATGGAATACTGTCGCAGTGTGCAGCCGAAAATTGCACAACCCAATCCCAAACCCGAACCAGGCCTGGTCTTTGACACTTTGATGAGTAGAAAGGATGGTGGGTTCAAACCCGATGCCAACAAGGTCTCGAGCATGCTCTATTACATGGCGACAATCATCGCTCACGCCTTATCACGATGATATGACTTACAACACGACCTCATCTTACCTGGATCTGTCTCCGTTGTATGGGAATACTTCGAGCGATCAGATACATATGAGGACATACAAGGACGGTCAATTGAAACCGGATAGTTTTTGGGCAAAGCGTCTTCTAGGGTTTCCTCCAGGTGTTGGGTGCATTCTGATTGTGAGTTGCAAATGAAGTACATTGACCTTAGACTGACTATCATAGATGTTCAATCGTTTCCACAACTACGTCGTCCAGAATTTGGCTGCAATAAATGAGAATGGCCGTTTTAATAAGCCTGCGAGTGACCTGTCTGATGACGAAGCTGAGCCACTTTGGGCGAATCGCGACGAAGAGTTGTTCCAAGTTGGTCGCCTTGTCACATGTGGCATGTATATCAATCTCATTCTCATCGACTACTTTCGCACGGTCCTGGGTCTCAACAAAGTCGAGTCGACATGGTAAGAACTTCCTTAGACTGAAATAGAGTACCTTATTGAGTGGAATAGGAACCTCAATTCTCGTGCGGGATTAAACAGCAAGGTCACGCCCAGTGGGACTGGCAATCAATGCAGCCTGGAGTTCAACCTGTAAGTAGCCTTTCGTCGGCTGCAACTTGGCTTACTTGAGAATAGTGTCCATCGTTGGCATTCATATGTCAGTCAACGAGATGAGAAATGGTCTCGGGATTTGTTTAAGAAGCTCTTTGGCAAAGACCACCAGGAAATCACTGCTCGGGAACTGCTAGCTGGGCTGAAGAAACTTGAAGCAGAGACTCCGGATGACCCACTCTTGAGAGATTTCGAGGATCTTAAGCGAGGCACTGATGGAAAGTACAACGATGATGACCTCGTGGACATTCTGATGGCTAGCGTCGAGGAGGTTGCTGGATCGTCCGGTGCCAACAATGTTCCCGAAGTTCTCCGCGCTGTGGAGATTCTTGGAATGGAGCAAGCTCGGACCTGGAAATGCGCAACATTAAACGAGTTCAGGTCATTCTCCGGTCTCAAGCCATATACTAGCTTTGAAGCTTTCAATTCTGACCCTGCGGTCTCATCGAAGATGAGGCAACTCTACGATCACCCCGACTTTGTGGAATTATACCCTAGCCTTGTTTGCGAGGAAACCACGAAGCCAATGAGTCCCGGTGTTGGTGTTAGTTTGTCTTACACGACCAGTCGTGCTATGCTGTCCGATGCCGTCTCTTTGGTCCGTGGTGATCGATTCTACAATAACGACTATCATCCTGGAAACTTGACTAACTGGGGATATCACGAAGTTGCGTACGATACCTCTGTGAACCAGGGGTGCATGTTCTACAAGCTTATCATCCGTGCCTTCCCGAGCCATCTTACATTCAACAGCATCTACGCTCATTATCCATTCACTATACCATCCAAACGCGCCAGATAATGACCGACTTGAAGCGCTTGGATGATTTCAGTTGGGACAAGCCGGCTAGGATCCCCGCCCAGATAAACATCTCGTCGTTCAACGGCGTTCATGCAATATTGAACAACCCTCAGGCATTCGGAAATGAGCCATGGCGGCGAGGAATTGTCTTCCTAACAGGAAAACCTGATATGTGCTGAAACCTACTGATATACACTTTCACTGACAAATTAGGCGCGAACTACATGTTGTGCGGAGCTAGTCCGTTCTTCTCAGCGCGTAGGGAGCAAATTAAGCAGTGCCTGTATGCAGAGCAGTGGGCAGATAAGATCAAGGCTTTCTATGAAGACATCACCTTGAAACTCTTGGAGAAATGGTCGTATGGGTTAGGCGGCAATACCAACCAAGTTGACATCGTTCGTGACGTTGGGAACTCAGGTGAACATGCCTCCGTCGTCTTCAAATTGCCTGCCTAATGACCGATAGCACATACCTACTTCGCTGCGAACATCTTCTCGCTTCCACTGAAGAGTGAGGCTCATCCAAAAGGACTTTTCAATGAGCATGAACTTTACATGATCCTAGTCGTAAGCTGTACGCCCTTTCTAAGCTGATCAAACTAACAAATTGCTTGCAAGGTGATGTTCACACTTATCTTCTTTGGTGATCGCGATCCAGCGACAACTTTTGCTCTACGATCTGCAGCCCTGCCTCTATGCCTGGCACTTGGTGCTCTTGTGGAACAAAACGTCAGCATCATCAGCAAGACTGGCCTGCTTTCTGGTTTCCTTGATCCATTCTTCGAAGAACACAATGCACTCAAAGATTATGGAGTTCACATGATCAGAAACATCTTAAGCACTGGGCTTGGCGTTCATGCAACAGCGTGAGTTATCCCAAAGGTTGATTGCACCAACACTGATGTGTGACAGATGGGGTCAAATCCTCGTGACCTCGTTCGCGGTGGTTTCGAATCAGGGTCAGGTCTTTGCACAAATCATCGATTTCTACCTACATCAGGGCAAAGAACATCTCCCAGAGATTAATCGCATCGCCAAGCTTAACACCGAAGAAGCAGATAAAGTTTTGCTCCACTATGTGATGGAGGCACTCCGTGCGTCTGAACATGTCCTCTATGGTAGAAAATCCGAACGCTGACATAATTTAGGGATCGCTGGCACTATCGCCGTATCTCACCGATGTAATAAGGACATCATCATTAAAGACGGCGACAAGGACGTTTCCTTCAAGACCGGGGACAACGTCTTTGTCTCCTACATCGAGCTCAATCACAACCCCGACACCTACCCTGATCCTGATGTCGTCAAACTTGATCGTCCGATTGACTCCTACACGGTATACAGCATTGGGACGCACGCCTGCCTCTGCGGAGGTGCCAGTAAAGTCTCGTTGATCGCCATGCTGAAGGTTGTCGGGAGACTTGATAATCTCAGAGCTGCACCAGGTGAGCAGGGTGAGATCAAGAAGCTTCCATTACCCGGCGGGTTCTGTCTCAATATGGACACCACGCAGAGTTCGTATTTCCCGTTTCCGACGAGTATGAAAGTTCGATGGGATGGAGGATTCAATGCTCCTGTTTGAGAGGGTGGTGCTTGCTTGATGGAAATTGCGAGGTGAGTTGAAAAGTTAAATTGGGCAGTATTGGACTCAAAACTTGGCGAACAGTAACGGTTTTTATTTCCTATTCTAGGTTCTGATATGAATAATCCAATTTCTTGAGCAGGTCGGCCGCAACCACCTGAGCACGTGACACAGACAAGATAGAGGAAGATGAGTGTAAGGTGGGACGACCCAGGCCCAAGTCAGATTGGAGAGCCTCGAAGACGCGCTTGTCTAGCATCTGGTTGCTTTCTCAACACATGACTGCAGATAAGCACCCGTTGTGGAGGATACTATTCGATGAAGCAATATGTTGTGTAAGTACATGCACACAGAGGCATCGAGTCATGAGGCGCGTTACCAAGTACGGCTTTTCTTCCCGGATCTGTGGCAAGCAATGATTTGTCGAGAAAGAGAAAGGATGACAACTTTCGCCAAGCTTATCACATCATCTGCGGACCCACCCGATTTCCTCTTCTGACTCTACTGACATGACCTTCAAAAGGATGAGCTCAGGGCATGAACTGCTCTATCCCATTGTGAAAATCGGACACTTCCATTGAAGTCATTGGACGTGGAGGCTCATGAAGAGTGGGGTTTACCGTGACAAGTACGCTCTCGTCCCTATTTCGCCATCGGAATCCATCCTCGCGTTTGACCATGCTGCACTATGCCATTCGTCGACCTTGCATATGCAGGCCCGGGTGATTATAACGTGATATCTGCATTATCTCTACATGTCCCAATACATTTCCTTATGAAAATGGCAGCTCCAACCTTGTCTGACAAGTAGCAAATCGAGTGTTTGGAACTGGTTTGAGAATGCCTTCGTTCAAGCGTGTAGCCGTGATAGGAGCAGGACCTTCTGGTTTCGCAGCTGTGAAAGCTTTGTCTGATGAGAATGCGTTTGATACAATCAAATTGTTTGAGAGGAGAGACCGTGTTGGTGGGATATGGTAATCTCTCAAGTCCTACCATCTCGGTATCATGGGAAAGACTGACATCTCCAGGCTCTATGATCCAAAACCAGACGTCTTTCCTACTTCGGTTTCAAGGCGCCCAAAAATAAACGCTCCTCCTCAGCAACTTCCCGCATTCGCTGAGCCACTAGGTGAAGATATCGGAGCAAGAACTGGCATCTATGATACCTTAGACAGCAATGTTGGAGCCGAAGTCATGGCTTTCACACATACGCCCTTTCCCAAGGACAACTCAGCAGATTCCGTACGCCGGTACGGATCAAATAATCCTACACGACCGTACCAGATCATTGAAAGGTACATCGAAGATGGGTTCAAAGAGTACCGTCATCTATTATCATTGAGCACCACAGTTGAGAACGTAGAGAAAGTCGGAGAGGAGTGGGTTTTGACTCTTCGAAAAGCGAACGAGCCACTACGGGGCGAGCACAAGGATTATTGGTGGCAAGAGAAGTTCGATGCTGTAGTTGTCGCTACGGGGCACTATAATGTGCCTTTTATTCCAGCGATATGGGGCATTGATGAGGCTGTGAAAGCGCTGCCTCATAAATTCGAGCACTCGAAGTCGTTCAGGTCACCAGATGACTATGTTGGGAAGGTGAGTTGGAATCTCGACTTCCTCAAAGCTGTGCTGACTTGGCTTTAGAAAGTCATTGTGGTAGGAGGAAGTATATCAGCAGCAGATTTAGTTGGTGATCTCGCTGCTATCGTCCAAGGGCCGTTGTACCTTTCTCAGCGTGGTAGGAACGAATTACTGGATGCTGCGTTCACACTACCTGGCGTTGTTACTAAGCCTCCCATTCGAAGTATCTCAGCCAATAATGGAGGAACTGTAGAATTTCAGGATGGAAGCACGGTGAAGAATTTTGATAAAATCATCTTTGGAACAGGGTATCGATTATCGTATCCGTTTCTCAACCCGGAGCCAGTTACGGCACAGAATAGACTTGCGGGCTTTTATCAGCATGTGTTCAAGATTGGCGATCCCTCATTGACGGTTGTAGGACAGGTAAATTTCGAAGTCCCTCATCTCCCTAATACATGTTGCTAACACAAGCAAAAAAGGTCAAAGCAGCGCTCAGTTTCCGCGTCTACGAATACCAAGCCGTAGCCGTGGCTCGGTTCCTTGCAGGTCGAGCCAAGCTTCCCAGCGTTGAGGAACAGAACGACTGGGAGACGAAGAGACTCGCATACAAAGGACCAACGAACCTCTTTCACGAGGTTAAACCTGATTTCGCGGATTATTTCAACTGGTTGAGAAATTTTGCTGGAGCACCGGCAGAGGGAACGAAGGGCTATGAACTCCCGGCGTGGGATGATGGGTGGGGACCATTGGGATTGAGGATTCTGTCTTTGAAGGATGCGTATTGGAATAGGCTTAAACGGGAGGCGCATGAGGGTCAGATAAGAGCGAAGCTTTAGAGAGGCGAGATTTGGATGGTGTGTACAGTTGCATAGAAGATGAGTAGAGTAGCAGTTGGATTGAAGGTCTTTCCAGGTGTTAGATTAGAATGCAAGTTGCTCAACGAATGTTGATAAATACCTGAGGCTTCCCAGTTCCAGAGCTTGACTGAAATGCGAGGCAACAGGTTGTTCAGCAGTTTAGTTTTTCGATTCAAAACCCTTTTGCTGTTCTCATGGGCTTTGTTCTCCGCTTTGTTGGTCCATTGTTCTTATGTATTGGTGTTTTTATGAGGGGGAAGCGCAAGAGATTGTATTTTCAAGGCGGCGGAGGGGCCGAAAAGAATTTTGATCTATAATAACATGTTAGCAAGTCAGAAAATTGTTGTTGAGCAGTTATTCTGAGATATCTAATAGATTGGAAAGGGTATTTCAAGTATGGGAAGTGGTTGCACTTCGTTGTTCGAAGTTAGCTTGAGTATCTTGGATCTCATAGAGGGAGAGACGCAAAGAACTTCCGCAGGTGATGGGCAGATAGTGTGAGTGACGCATTTGCTTTGCTTTCGTGTGACGTCTTCCTGTTGCTTCTTGTTAGCTCCTACATGTCAGAACGGCCAATTGAATCTTTCCGTATGGGGGAAGGGGAAGTTATTGGTAGTTTGTCTAACCTCGAAAACATACAACTAGGCTACAGCACCCCATCGAATTTTCAAGAGGATCTTCTACTGAATAGCAACTTAGTGCTGATAATACTGTGTTTGAGTTCTGTATTGCAGATCAAGAATCCTGCATCTCGGAAGCTCATGTGCGTGTTCGGCTTCGGATATTCCTTGATACAGCGACGTCAACAAGTGGAGATCAGGCTGGCCAACCAGTCAGTCGACTGGTCAACTGACTGATAAGTGAGCATTTAAAGTCAATCAGTTTACACATTTTGAATCGTCTCAGTCTATCAGTGATCCAATAGTCCAATTGGCAGTAACTGATCAGTTCAGGGATTCGATTTTTTCGATTTTGGAGTCATTTTTGAAGCCTTTTGGAGAGGATTCAGGGGCGGATAGGCCAAAAAAAGCTTTTTGATTGGCTAAAAAAAGGCGGTGAAACGAACATTTAACACTTAGGATTTCCATTATGATAATTTTGATCTTTAATCCATTACTCCATCTATTTAAAACTCTACTAAAACACTAAGAATCATGCCTTTTATTGAGCTAGAGTTTAGTCAAGTCCTTAGTATTGATTTTATGGTTTCTCAGCCCTCTTCTAGGACTTATGAGCCGTCTTAAAGCATGCAACTGCACCCGCATCCTCTCAATATGCATTCTTTCAGCATGTACTCTCTTGGTGTGTACTCTTTTATTGTGCTGTGCAATTTATACTTTTACATTTTTTAATAATATATACTCTAATAATAACCTAGTAAAGCCACTTTTTGGTAGTGTAACGTGATCAAAAGTCACATTTTTTTTAACTTATCAGCACTTATAAGTGACTGACAGTCGATCAGTTGGATGCCTTTATTTTGATCAGTCTATCAGTTGAAGAATTAGCTCGACTGATAACTGACTGACTGACTGGTTGGCCAGCCTGGTGGAGATAGACTTCATATCTTACAAACATACAGTCTGAGAAGTATGGAATGGATCACAAGCTCCGTAACTCGTTCTCAACACCGCAAGGAAGGCGAACTCATTTCCTTCTTCGACTTTAGACCCCACCGACGCTCCACTAGAATGATCCTTCTCGAAACTTGAACATGGAAAATATTCTAGCCCATGATATTCCATCATCGATGGATCCTTCATAGCAAACAAGGTTTTGCAGAGGCCATAGCTCCCTCCTCTGTCGGCCTATAACACACCCCATCTCGTACATAAGGCTGTGGTAGCCTTGACCAGCAGGCCGAGGCGCAGGCGATCTACCCACTAAAATTGCCGGGGGGCCAGCGCAAGGCTCCAGTAAGGTTAACCTTACCGGCACGGTTCGAGCGTGGCGCAGCTGCGGATGACAAAAATATCATCATAACAACCCGCCAGCGCCTATCAGATTACCACCGCCGTGTTGAAGCCTGGAAATGGGGATTAGACGGCGTCTGTGGCCATGGTTCCGGGTGGGATAGACGATATTCTTGGGTGGTGGCCGCGGGTCGAAGCCCCATTTGACGCCCCGTAAGGTTAGGGTTTCTGACAGCATCAACACTCCTCGACTTCCCCGCATCACCATGTCTTGGAATGAACCAGACATGCGCAATGAGGAAGTCCCATTCTCTCACGGGTCGACAGGGTTTTTGGCTCATTGGTAGACAACACGGTGGATGGTAAGCTGCTCCTTCTGCTGAAGAAGCTTCTCCTCGGTCGCTGAGAAATGTCTCTGGTCTTTTGGGGGCCACACACAGTTGGCTTTAGGTTACCCTAAAACAAGCAATGCAGGTCGTGGCATGCATTGGCAAGCTTAAACATACCCAACGACCGCCGAGCTTATTTTCGCCTCGATGTCTCTGATGAGAGATCATTTGGCCGGCCGCCTTGTAATGAGGCTTCTATCAAGAACTTTGTTTTGGTCGCTGTTCGGCCGACCTTCTGCTCAGCGCGCAGTCGGGTAACCTTATCAACTTGGGCCCTCATTGACTTCTCTCCGCGCAATGATACCCGCATACCCAGTCCGCAGCGAGAATCTGACAAGCTGTCAAATTATAATGATCCCCATACTTCAAAGTCACCAGGTGCTAGACAGAATAAGATTTCCCCTATTCTAGAAATCGAGAAGAAGCTTGGTCTTGGCACGGCAGGCTCTCGTTTGCGGCTGAGCAGGATGATCGCCTCATCGAATTTCCAGGAAACTTCGCCGCACTCAGCCATTTCCTGGTCTTGTCAGCCAATAACATTGAGTGTCTCGCCTTGTTTCCCACCAATCGGGATTTTAGCGTAGCTCGATTAGCCTTCTTTCTTACATACTGCTGTCAGCCTTAACACTTACATCCTGTCTGCATAGACCATGTCAGATGAACTACCCGATGACAACACAGCCTGAAGGAATTCCATCTTGTCTCCTGTTTGGATGAAAGACAAGCCTCGGTGAGGAATTAGATGATCATGGCAAAGTAGTCTACGATGTCAAGAACAGATATATATTCCGAGGTAGGACGCCATGAAGTTGGACATCTCATCATCAGCACCATCTTCCTCATCTCCTTTAACATTTCATTATCTTTTCCTATTGTATTTCCTTGCGTTCGTTGGTATACCAAGGAGCACTCCTTCAGATTTCCATCATGCGTGGAATTTCCACTCTCGTTGCGGCGGTGGGAGTCCTCGCTGCCTGCACAGAGGCAGCAGTAGTGAGGAGGACGACATCTACTTCGCCGTCTTCAACAACAGTTCAAGCTGTCAAGGCTACAAGCACAGCAAGCAGTGGATCGAGCTCGGCTTGCGCAGCTGTCAGCGAGACACTTGGATCAGATGGTACGTATTTTGACGAGCCTTTGAGTACATTCGCTGATCATCTGCAGGTGATAGCACTACCCCGATCCTACCTTCAGATGCACTCGCATGCCTTCAGTCTGTTCCACTCGACGTCAAGCGATCGAGTGACTTCATCGACTTTATCGAACCATACATTCAATTCCAGAGCACTCTCGCATACTTGGAGAACCCTCCAATCGGATGGACTCTTCCGGGTGTTGATGTTTTGGGTGGTCTTGCTGAGATACAGAACAATGTTGAGAATGGAACCTACCAATCCCAATGGGATTTCGAGGTGGATCTCTATGCCTTGGTCAACATCTTCCCGCATGATTTCCATTTCAACTTGCCCATGCCATTGATTAGCGTTTTCGAGTTTCAGACTATTGAAGGCTCGCTTGTCTCGGTCTCCAAGGATGGTCTAAGTGTGCCAGATGTCTACTTCAAGTGTAAGTGATACTGTGACTACGCGAGAAGCATGTGTTAACATCATTTAGTTGATCTGGACTGGGAGTACCTCGTTGGCGGTTTGAACTGGACTCCCTCTCCTCTCGTTTCTATCAACGGTGTTGACATTGCGGACTATCTTCAATACATCACCCAAACTACAAGCGACTACCAAGATCCCGATGCGATCTACAATCAAGCCTTTAGCTCTCTTGCCTTCGATTATAATCCCTTTGCATCACGCGGCTCTGGAAGCGCCTTTGTGATCGGTGGTCACGCATATGGTTTCTCGGACGATTCTTACACCTACAAATTCGCAAACGGTACTACTCGAGTATTCGACAATATTGCCACGACTAGCATTGATTTTACCGATATCGCGACTGGACAAGATCTCTTCGATGCCGTTGACTTACCTCCTACGGAACACGCTACATCGTCAGCAGCGGCCAGTAGCATTACAGCTGCACCTTCAACGACCGCCGCAGCATCAACAACCGCCGCAGCTGCTTCCAGCTCACCCACCGTGTCATCCCTTGCTGGCTACCCATCTCCAATTGTCATCCACCCGGATGGCTACACCTCCGGCTATTTCCTCCCAAACAGCACGATCGCTGTTCTTGCCATGCAAGGCTTCGTTGACGAGTTTGAGACTGACGAGAATGCTGCTTTCTTTCAACAACAGACTATCAAGATCTTCCTCGCAGCAGCTCGCAAGGCTGGAATGACTAAGCTTATCGTCGACCTTCAAAACAATGGCGGTGGGGATATCTTCAACGGTTTTGATGCTTTCAAGCAACTCTTCCCTACTCTCGATCCTTTCGGAGCCAGCAGAATCCGTGCCACTCCCGAAGCCAACTATTTCGGTACCATCTTCAGCGCAGCTGGGGTATACAACACTACCGTAAACACAGTATACCAATCCCAATCGTCTCTCGACGTCAACGACCACGCATTCAACAGCTGGAGTGCAGAAGACCCTCCAGTCACGATCTACGGTGACAACTTCACCCAAGAACTCCGCTATAACTTCTCCGATATCGTCACCGAGTCTGGCACCGGTGGTATCAATGTCACCGGCTACCTGAGCAATGCCAACCCTCCTCCACAACTCTTTAGCAGCGAAGACATGGTTATCCTTTACGATGGTTCCTGCGGCTCAACCTGTGCTGTCTTCTCCGAGCTCATGAAGAGCCAAGGTGGAGTTCGCAGCATCGCTCTTGGCGGTCGTCCCCAACTCGGCCCCATGCAAGGTGTAGCCGGTTCCAAAGGCGCACAAGTCTACACCTACGGTAACATCGCTCAAGTGGCCTCATTCCTCCCAGATGCGCTCGACATCCTCAAGAGTAAAGGAATCGCAGCTCCTCCCCTCCCACCAGCGGAATTCATCATCGACATCGAAGACCCATTCCCACTCGGAGACACACAGAAATTGGCAGCCGGCGCCCGCTTCAACCTCAGAAACAACATGCACGATGGAGATGCGACCCAGACCCCGCTGCAGTTCGTCTACGAAGCCGCTAACTGCAAGCTCTTCTACACAGCCAAGGATCAGTACGAGATTGCGGGGCTTTGGCAGAGAGTTTCTAATGTCGCTTGGGGAGGTGCGAAGTGTGTTGAGGGATCAACTGTGACGAGTGATAATACTTTCCCCGCGGGCGCCTATGATACCGTTCCGTTTGGACAGAGTGCTTATAGTACGGTTGAGCAACCATACCAGCCTGGGTTGATTGCGCAGAAGTCTGATGTTTAAAATAATTTTCCTTTTGGCATTGGGAGGCTTGGTGCATAGCGTGGTGTTTTGAGTAATAAGAGGGGCATGTTTTACCTTTGCATTTAGATGGGGTTGGTAGTAAAAACAATAAAATCGATTGCATTTCAACAATGAGGAGTTGACTTATCTTGTATAACAGTGACAACTTCAAGAAGTGCTTCCAATTTGTCTCCTATCCCCCACCATATACAGATCAACTTTCTTCTTGCACCCTTTGGACTCTTTCAATCTGGTCACGTGCATTCAAGTGTCATCACAGGCAACAGTCTGCCCGCCCTTAGGTATGCAAAATATCACTCTCTTCATGGCCTACGTGGGCGTATTTCATCGTCAGGAAAGCATGCTCTTAACTCCAGACCTTATATGAGGAAATTCCACGACTTGCATCGGACTCCGACAAGGCGGTTTTAAGCTCTGCGCTAAAACCGGCTAGGCATAGAAGTCCGAAGCTAATCGATCGCCACTTTTGCCTAGCAGAGACTAGATCTACGTGAACCACCCAATCACGAATTGATATGATCTTAGCTATTGCGGGGAACATCGAGCATCAGGACCAAAGAGAACCTCTCAACTAGGTATATAAATCCACGAATGTCTCCTACAGAATACCATTCTTCAGACAAGCAACACTCCTACAGAACTTCAAGACAACTATCATCTACAGTACATACATCACTATGGTCACCAAATCCACCGAAGCAGCTTCGCGAACTCCCCAAGACCATGCGTTGATCGGAGAGGCAAAGAACATACCCATCAATTCTTCAGCTCCCGTCGTCTCAGTTAGCCCGATAACACTACCTGCACCAGGTTGTCTTCTTGATTTACAACTCCGAATTTCTTTTCCCATCACGGGAAACAATCTCCCTATCATACTCCTCTCCCACGGCCACGGACAATCAAATAACCTCTCTTCATCAAACGGCTACGGTCCACTAGCCAGTTTCTGGGCAGCTCATGGCTTCGTCGTCATTCAACCTACGCATCTGAGCTCCAAGTCACTGAGTCTCGACCCAGCTACTCCTGGCGCTCCCTTATTCTGGCGTTCACGAGTCGAGGACATGAAACTTATCATCGACCAGCTCGAACAAATCGAAGCTTCTACTCCCAACCTCAAAGGCCGTCTAGATCAGACTCGAATTGCAGTCGCTGGTCACTCCTTAGGCGGACACACCGCCGGTATGCTGTTAGGCGCCCGACTCAAAGATCCCGAGAACGGAGAGATTGTCGACTTGATCGAACCGCGCATCAAAGCAGGTATCCTGCTCGCGGCACCCGGAGACGGGAATGGAGGGGCAGATCTAAGTGAGTTCGCAAGAGGAAATCCGGCTTTCGCTTTGTTTCGAGACCCCAGTTTTGCGAAAATGACAACACCGACACTTGTCGTGGTCGGCGATGCGGATATTTCTCCTCACTTGACGGTCCGAGGTGCAGATTGGCATGCGGACCCGTATACGCTCAGCCCGGGCCCGAAGTCGTTGCTCACGCTTGTTGGCGGCGAGCATGGGCTTGGTGGGATTTCGGGGTATGATGCTGGGGAGACGACGGATGAGAGTGTTGAGCGTGCGGCGGTGGTGCAGAGACTCACGTGGGCGTATCTTCGTAGTCAGCTTTATGCTGAAGATAAGGCGTGGTCTGATGCTTGTGTTGCTTTAGAGGGGCTTGGTGGGCTGGGAAAGGTTGAGAGCAAGTGAAGGTACTTAAGTGATGTGTAATTAATGTGACTACAGTGACACATCGTTGCGTTTGCGATTGAGGAATAGCCTCAATGTATTGAGAAAATTTGAGTTCTTTGAAATATATGATTACGAATTTTCTCTTACTCCATGATCTTCTTATAGATTGATAACTTGCGTGGCGGAAGTGACTGTTGATTGAGACGCTTGACCGCCGACTGGTAATATTGATCACTCTTCCACCCACTGACCACGACCACCGTATCTTCAGCATTTGTGTCGGGAGCAAGCCCTTTCCTTCTCCTTAATATAGCAGGCCATTCATCCTTCCCACTCAATGTCCCGGTATTTCCTTCCATTCCCTGCAAGAGACTCTGTATTCCTTTGGAACTCTTCTCAAAACCTGCTGCACCGCCGCCTTGACCTTGACCATACAACCCAAGCGACACAAACGCGTCTTTTATAGGTAGCTCCGTAACGTCTCGACTAAGCTGAACAATCCCATCATTCTCCACGAATTCCATCAGTTTAGGAGCATGTGTCTTCACGTAGAGCGAATCCGCCGCATCGGTGCTTTCTTGGCTCGGGTAACCGCTGATGAAGATCAGGTTCTTGGAATCGTTGATATCTTGCCATAGCGTGTGACCTGCTGCTTCTTTGCCGGATTGTTGGTTGCAGAATTGGAGGACGGTGGTCCAGATATCGTGGAATTCTGGGGAGTCTGTTTTGGTGGAGGGTTTGATTTTTGCGAACCATATTTTGGTGATGGGCGGCATAGTGGAGAGTTTTTGAGCTTTGGTAGATGCGAATATTAGCCTTTTCCGAGGGTCAAGTGCACATGTCTTGTTTATAAAATGGTCCTGATGATGGAAGAATCTCCAACTGCGGGGCGTGTGGCTTGGATTTCACGTACGAATGTGGCTGGATTTATACCCTTCTAACAGCAACAAAAATAGAAACACCTCGACTGCGAAGTGTCACTTTCGTAGCTGATGATTCTTTGGGGACTAGAAGCGAGCCCCACCCACCAGTCAGGGGTAAGGGGAATTCCTCGCTTATATCATCTCGGCGTGATTCAAGGCTGCGCCGAGGTCAAACTGTCATGAGAGGAATTCTCGTTTCACAATAACAGTAAATACTTCTCGAGATATAGTCCACAATCATGGAATCCTCTTCGGGACCAAAAGTCCTTGTCACAGGATTTGGTGTCAGCTGCCTTCACAATACGCAAGACATTGCTGATCGCTTCACAGGCATTCCAGGACATCAAAAACAATCCATCCTGGGAAATCGTCTCTCGTCTCCCTGACATGATCAATGGTGTTCGTATCATCAAGGACTCCGAACCTCTAAAAGCTGTATATCAGTCTCTTCTCGAAGTCCCGAAGCTCCTAGAGAAGCACAACCCCGATGTCGTGATCCACGTGGGACTCGCGTTCGACAGGAACTATTTCGCGATCGAGAAAGGGGCAGACAGAGATGGGTATCACCAAGTCCCCGATGAAGCAAGGAAGGTTGTCACGAGAGCCGAAACGAAAGCGAGGTGGGGCATGAGTCCTGCAAGGTTGGACACAACGTTCAATATTGAGGATGTGCTGGCGAAGTGGAAGGCGAATGCTGTGGCTGGGAGCGGTAAGGGAAAGGCGAAAGGGAAGGAGTTCGACTTGAGGACATCGGATGATGTTGGGTGTTATGTTTGTGGGTTTGTGTATTACGCGAGCTTGGAGTATTATTGGAGGCGAGATTGATCACAAGGGCAGAGGAGGGTTCTGTTTCTGCATATTCCCGATCTCCAAGGCGAGGCCGAGATACAGAGAGGTCGAGATATTTGCGTCGCTTTGGTCAAAGCTGTGTCCGAGTGTATTTAGGACTTGACAGCAGCTCCAAGGGAATTCAGCCAAGAGCACGTGATCATCCGTGAGTAACTTGTGATTGTCTACGATTGAACAGTTGTAAGGGCTAGTCAGATGTTCAGCTAATTGAGAACTGTATTCATTGAAACTTTCACCATCCAGTGGACCTCGCAGACAACAATCTCTACCTCAGTGTTGTGATCCCCAACTGAGATGCGGGGTTGTCCATTTGCGGTTCAAAGTTTGTTTGCTGCATATTTTAGTTGTGTCCTACCTATCTTCTCTAATATCACAAGAAATATGGTACGTTATTTCCAAACGTTGCACAGCTTTCTCCGAACTTACAGTAGGTTGCCGGAACTCAAGATGCACAGCAGGAACGGCTGGCAGTAGTGATGACACGGAGAAAACAGAGTTAAGAGCTCCAATATTTCTTCAACAGTGCGAAACTGAAGCAGGAAAGCAGAGAAATTTGTGCAATGCCTATCATAGACAACACACCAGTATCTCCATATCAGGACTATGTCAGTGGTCTGGTTCCAAATAAACACGGATATCTTGCCGAGTTACTCCAACTGCAGCGCTCAGGACCTCAACCCACCTCCAACGATGAACCGGTATTCGTGAACGAGTTCCAGGTCTTGGATATTGTGGACGGAAAATTCGCATGCCAGGTTTTCAGACCAGAGTTAGTAGGCCCCGTAGATCAGCAGTTTACTCGGCTCCTAGAAGAACATCCGGAAGGATTAAAATCACGCTTCTTGATTTTTCGTCATAATTCCATACTACGCCAACAACGAACCGCTCCTCGCCTCGAAATCAATGGAAACTATCTCAATGCGATCAGCTCGAGGTTCGAACTTGATCCTAGCTTCTTGGAGAAACATTTTGCATTGTGCGAACTACACCAAAATAAGACGATTCCAAGGCTTGTACCTGTTCCTCTACCCAAAGACGGGTCATGTCTACAAATTATGTGCAACTCTGCCTGCCACTTTACGATGTGCAGAACTAAGGCAGATGGCCACAAAATTGGTTTGTAGTCTTTGCGTCGTCCAAGAATACAAAGCTTACAAGTGTTTAGTCGTCATCTTCGGCTTTCACTATTATGAGGAGACCGAAGATATTCCGGACCTGACAAACGGACCTTTTCAGAGTGCTACAACCGGGAAAATATCAATTGAAGACGTTCTTGCGATTCAAGAACAACCTCTGCATTTGCTTTATAACACGATATTGGATGCTTTACTTGAATTTGGGATGATTTGCTTTCGAGCAGAATGGGATCCCAGAGCCAACGAGCTGACGGCCGAAAAACTATTGGAAAGACGTCAAAGACTCAGAACTGAGCATCTAGCTTTGGCAGCCACACGGAGGAGTTTAGGAATGTTCTCTGACAAGAGTCGCATCAATCATGGGGCATCGGATGCTAAATGGCGAACACTGACAGATAACCTTACAGCTCTCCTCGAAACTTCTGATAAAATCAACACAGAGCTCAAAGACCATCTCCAGTCTACGCATAGTATCGACGCTATCGAAGAGGCACGAAGAGGCCTGCGACAGAACGAGACTCTTAAAAGGTACTATTCCCTCAACCAAGATGCAAGAATTTCTGACAAACAAAATCAGATTGACTATAGTCGCATTCATCTTCATTCCAGTCAACCTTTCATGTGCCTTTTTCAGCATGAACGTCAAGCAGCTCAACAACTCGAGTATGGACATAGGTTACTTTTTCTTGGGCATACTCGTCTCTGGATTTCTAGCTTGGGCACTTGCAGCAGCCATTTCTTCCACCTTCAGAGCTTTAGCACGCGCTCGGGCCGAGATTTCGAAGGATGGACGGAAGCCGGTGTCTCCAAATGGCGGACGTAGCGAGCCACTTGAGAAGAACAGAGTCGCCGATGAGGTACCTGTCTCATGGGTTATCTAAGAATGGTTGCTGAAACACTCTAAACATTTTCTGGCTTGTGCTAAGCTTTGGGCGTAAGTGAAGCTGGAACTGAGCGAGGAGAATGGAAATGACGATTACCGCTGGGAACTGAAGAGCAGTGGGCCGATTCCAAAATGGAAGGCATTTGTCAAAATATGTCATCATGTTCGTACGAAAGTACATGCTATGGCAAGGGCAAGAAATTCTGCCTCGGTAACTGAGCCGGCAACTGGGGGCACTGCTGAACCATGATACGGTGCTATATTGCAGTAAAACACGTATTAGACCTGATGATACTATGATCTGGCGAGTTTCAACTGATTCGGAGGCGTAATGAATGAAAATTTGCAAACATCAAATGGTATATCTCTCCTGTCAAATGACCTAGTCAGCCCAGCCCCTACACATCTCAACAGCTTTCTCCCATCTTGCAAACTTCTTATCCTTCTCCTGTGCTGAGATCTTCGGCTTAAAAATCGTGACACCAGCTGTATTGACATTCTTCAACTCCTCAAAATTCTGCCAGACACCAATCGCGAAACCAGCTGCGATAGCTGCTCCAAGGGCAGTAGTCTCAAGCATGCGGGGGCGTTCGACTGGAATACCAATTAGGTCTGCTTGCGTCTGTGATGGTTGTCAGGGCCTGAGAGTAGGCGAGAGAAGTGGGATGTTTACCTGCATGCAAAGATCGGAATTAGTCATTCCACCATCAACAGCTAGTTCAGCTAGAGCATGGCCACTGTCCTTCTCCATGGCGTCGAGAATTGCTTTTGTTTGAAAGCAGGTGGCTTCAAGAGTCGCCCTAGCCACGTGTCCCTTTTGAGTGTATGCAGTGATGCCAACTCGGAGGTTGTTAGCAACTTTTCAAAGAGGTTTCTGAGATGGAGAAGCTCACAGATTGTGCCTCGTGCATCATCGATCCAGTAAGGTGCAAAAAGACCACTGAAAGCGGTCACGAAAGTGACGCCGCCGTTGTCCTCCACGGTCTCAGCCAAGACACTAATTTGACTAGACGATTTGATGAACTCGAAGTTATTCTGAAGGAACTTGACACTCGATCCTGCGACAGCAATACTTCCTTCTAGGGCATACTGTGGAGTCCCATCGAAGTCATATGCAACTGTGCTCAAAAGTCCATGTGTGGAAATCACAGGCTTGTCACCGACGTGGTAAAGTAAAAAACAGCCGGTGCCGTAAGTATTCTTCGCTCTTCCAGGAGAGAACCCTTTCTGGCCGACCAAGGCAGCAGATTGATCTCCGAGACAGCCAGTGATCGGCACGCCCGAGAGGACACCTGTGGTGAGTGTGCCATATGCTTCTGCATCCGAGGATCGAACAATCTTGGGCAGATGGAGCTTATTCATGTCAAAGCGGAAGAAGTCGAGGAGTTGCTCATCGTATTTCAGAGTGTGGATGTTCATGAACATACTTCGAGAAGCGTTCGTGGGATCTGTGACGAAGATGTTCTTTTTGGGACCGCCGTTGAGACGGTAGACGACCCAAGCATCGATAGTACCAAATGCGAGAGTGCCTCTGGAGTATGCATCCGCAACCTTTGGTTCGTTCTCGATCAGCCATAATAGTTTGCCAACTGATGGGTATGTTGAGAGTGGGAGACCGCATAGTTCTTGAAGCTTGTCGGACCCGAGACGAGCTTTGAGTTTTCTCACGAGAGCTTGTGTTCGGGTATCCGTCCAGACAATGGCATTATAGAGTGGCTCTCCAGTTTCGTGGTCCCATACTACAGTTGTTTCTCGTTGATTTGTGATGCCAACAGCTTTGATTGCTCTCGCTGCATGGCCATTGTCTTCGAATGATTTCACGGCGCCTTCAATACATGTCTCGATGGATGTAATGATTTCGAGTGGGTCGTGTTCATGCCATCTAGTGCTTGTAAGAACAATTGGTTGCAGAACACGCTGGGAACTTACCCTGGGTGAGGATAATATTGCTTGAACTCGACTTGATGTGAAGCAACGGGTTCCCCATCGCGATTGAAGATCAAAAACCTGGTACTGGTGGTACCTTGGTCTATAGAACCAATGTATGCTTCATGTGGAGCAACGAGAACTGGTGAATCGCCCATTGCCATGAAGTGATCGTGTGTGTATCGTTGTTTTCTTCTGATGTTTCTCTAAGAATATATGAAGGTATGGTATGACGGAAAAACTTGGACAATTCCGAGAGCTGGGACTCCATGACCCCGCACTATCATCTGGACCCTTGCATGTGAGCACATGTGATGATCCCAAGGTCAGAAAACTGCTAAGCCGCTCTCCATGGGCGAGGGCCAAAAGCAGGTGTTCCGAAGGAAGAGCTAGAAGGTTGCTAGACCTGTCAATATCTTACCCACGTCCATCACTTGCATACGAGAGGTTCTGGACAAGTATGGTGGCGTGCTGGACTACTTGGATAACGCACGTATCGGTCTAACAGCAGTGGGCTCGGCGGTATGCATGGTTCGAGCTAATCATTGCATCTGAATGAGCCCAGCCGCGGAATACTGCCCGTCATGGTTGGCCTTTTCTTGCATCTCTCGCTGTAATCCAATATGATGCACAAAAGAGATTGCAGATAAATTGACTAGACAGCGAAAACTGTTGTGGAGACAGCAGAAAATTGGGAATTTCCAAGCCTGCATGTCTCGTACGACAAGGAGAACTGTTGCCTTGGAAAAGACCGGATGAGCCTTATCTAGCCATAGAGCAGCCAGAGCAGCTCCGCACTTGCATAACGAGATAGGAATGAGGGGTACCATCCGCGAGGTTCATAAAGCGACGGGAGCCGCTGAGTGTACGAAGGTACCAAGGTCTTGTCAGACGCCGTCAAAGAGCGGGGAATTGACTCGGGCTTGCGGGTGGGCGTTTCAGGGCTGCGCCTCCCATGGCACGACGTTGAGAATTCTTAGAGTGAGTTCGACTCGGTGAAATTTGCGTGTTCAATGAACTATAGAGGTGCTATATGCCGTTGTATGGGTCGGGGAGGAGGGGGTGGAGAAGAAGGGGAGAGGAACTGTTCCCCAGATTAGAGTGGACGTTGGAAGAGTCGCTGGATTGAGACTAGTGTAGCTTTTAGCTCTCCTCCTCCCATATGAAGCTAGTCTGCACGTAGAATTGTTCCTCCGCCACCGCCACAAACAGGCTTGATCTGCAAGCCACACTTCACGCCTTCAAACTCAACCTCAACATCCCTCGATCTTCAACCTCCATACTTGCCTTACATGCACGAAATTGACCAGGCCAGTGTCAGCGAAAGGCGCCCCGAGATGCTTTTCGATTGCCTCATGCAGATTCTTCTCGTCCTTTTTTCTCGTCTCGTCTCTGCTGATGCGCTGCCTGCCCTGTCGGCAGCTCTGGCAAGGTTTTCACGCTCTCCCTAGCTGCGGACGCAAGTGTGATTGGCCTTTGACTAATGATACATCGGGACAAGTGCTCGTCTCCAACGTTGGAGGCATCTGGGGAGCGGGGAAGTGCTGAGATGCCCCTCTTCTCTTCTCTTCGAGTCCTCGCCATCCTTCTGCATCAGCCGGGGTTTGTCAATTGGCCTTCGATCTCCTGTTCTCTTTCTCTATCTTGATACCCAAGGGCCGCGTGGTGGTCACAGCGCATATTTATTCCCGTGTTTGGAACAATTTTGGACAACCGTCACGACCTCGAGGGGCCAGGTTTTGGGGACAAGAAATCCTGAACTGCTCGGTCGAGTGACCGAATCTAGCGCTGACTGTGCTGAGTTCTTTCTGAGGGGGCAACATCTTGCATGAGGTTCGAACATGGCACCTGGTCACCTCTTGGCAGGATTGCTCGTAACGTTTAGTCTGCCGGAAACAACGGTGCTGGCTTAGTGCGGCACTCCAATCCTCCTCTGGCCTCGGTCGATATCGAGCTTGACAAGACCAACAGATTTGGCTGACCTACCAATTGGAGGAGCGGAACGTGTGCGCGTCGAACTTGGGTCATAGTAATAATGCATAATGCGTTACGGCCAAAGTACTTGGATAAGTCGGAAGCAGTGCTCCAAGAATGATGCCATTACTTACCTCGGCATGAAGTGCACTGCAAGTCGGGAAGAGGATGAGAGTCCTGGACATAAATTTGATGATACGAAAGTACCACAGTGACTGAATTGGCGTCGTCAGAGTTGTAGTCGTTCTCGTTTGGACTGATAGGAAAGTTCAAGTCGTTCCGCGACGATAGACAGGATGGGATCGTTAGTCGAGACCATTAATTGGATGAGCAGTATGGCGTTGATGAGTACCCCTCAAACGCCTCCTCGAGTCATAGTTCACGCTTATCAGTCGCTCTACTTGTTGATATGGCCCAATTGTGTCCATTTCCGTTGATCCTGGCACCAAGCCTTGTCAGAAGAGAACTGGCCAGGATGTTCCGCTAAGTGAGCCTGATGGCCAGATTTTGACGCAAGCTTAACAGAATCTCGGGATTACTGACGCTTGAAGGAAGGTGTGCCTTCCCTCACACGAACCAGTAGAGCCGTTGGTCTATGTGCAGAGACTTGTGTATCCTATGTCGATCTCGTATATAGCTCCAGAGGGAGTCTAAAGCAGTCTGATTTTGACACCATTCTAACACTATCATTGCTATCCTTCTTCTTTCTACTCCATTCATCACCTCTTTGTTCTTCTGAATACCGCCTGAGAATGTCTTCAGAAAAGGTCTTACCATTGCCAAGTCCGACCTCGGTATCAAGCCCAACGTTCTCCCACGATGAACACGCGAAACACCTCATCCAACCTCAAGCAGAAGGCAGCTCATCCGGCTCAGAGCATGCTTATGAAGAACATGGCCCAGGCATAGACCACAAGATACCTCAAGAGGATGCTGTGCAGTCTCATCCTACGTTGTGGTGGAGTCGAACCAGACACCTACTGCGCGAACCTTTATCTGAGTTCTTCGGTGTCTTTATTCTTATTTTATTCGGCGACGGGTAAGAGATGTTTGGATTTCAGACATGGCAGCAGCATATCTAACCAGGCTTCAGAGTCGTTGCTCAAGTCGTTCTCAGCGATGGCGAGAAGGGATCTTACCAATCAATATCATGGGGTTGGGGGTATGGCATCTCACAACCGTGCGATTTACCAAGCTGAAATTTGAGATAGTATCGGTGTGATGTTGGGGGTCTATGCGTCTGGGGTTAGTTCTCCCCGCCTCGTCACGAGCCAAACGTCATTAACCGAGAGTAGATCAGCGGAGCGCACATCAATCCAGCAGTTACGTTCGCGAACTGGTGAGTTCCCTCCAGTTCTACGCTCCCTACTTCGGAAATTGTACTCATGAACTGACCCTCGTCAGTGTTTACCGAAAGCATCCCTGGAGGAAGTTTCCAATCTACTTCGTCGCACAGGTTCTCGGCGCCTTTATTGCCTCAGGAGTAGTTTATGGTTAGTCTCCGGAACTCAGGCCACGGATATTACCTCAGTGGTTTTCCTCCTGAAGAATCATTACCGGCTAATCATATTTGCTTCTAGCAAACTATAAATCTGCGATCGATGTCTACGAAGGAGGCACCCACATCCGAACTGTCCCAGGTTACAGCAATCACTCAACAGCTGGCATCTTCTGTACCTACCCCGCCGATTTCATGACTAAAACTGGACAATTCTTTTCCGAATTCATCGCTTCCACCATTTTGATGTTCTGCATTTATTCTCTACAAGACAGCGGCAACCTCGGAGCTGGAAACCTGACGCCACTTGGACTGTTTTTCGTTATATTTGGCATTGGTGCTTGCTTTGGATGGGAAACTGGATATGCCATCAACCTTGCCAGAGACTTCGGTAGGCGCATCACTTTCTTTGAACGTATTTGATCATAAGCTAAGGAGTTTAGGTCCACGGTTGATGTCTTACTGTCTCGGCTATGGACCAAACGTCTGGAAAGCTGGCAACTACTACTTCTGGGTTCCAATGGTCGCGCCGTTCTTTGGATGTCTATTTGGTGGCTGGCTGTATGACATGTTCCTGTTCACGGGTAAGTTCTTCTTCATTATTGGCAAAGCGTCTCATCTGATATCTAGGAGGCGAGAGTCCTATCAATACACCTTGGATGGGCTTCAAACGTATCATTATGGGTATCAGAGGTCTGGTACAAGGCAAACCTTCCAAGAAAGAGCCAGAACACGTGTGAAGATCCAGCCAAGACAGAAGCTAGACGGTTCGGATTTCGTTCAACTACCGCTCCCACATGTTGGAAGAATACTGGATTTACTTTTGGATAGAAGCATGGTAGACCAGAGGAAAGCTCAAGCTTGAGCTGAGGCCGATTTTCATGGAAGATAAAGACTAGGCGGGGGTGATTCGCTCTTGGATAGTGGTGGGCCTGATAAAATTGGAGGAAACAGTACTCCAAAATGCATGCTACTCCCCGTCAGTTGCCGTACGTTCGATGAACCCAACCATTGTGATTCCAATTACACATGCCCCTGCACTAGGACAGCCAAAGAGAAAAGGTTGCCAAGCATCTGGAGATGAGAATAGACTTTTGAACCCGAGTTTGCGCCGAAGAGTTTCCTCGCTCAACCCACTCACATGTCACGAAACATTTTAATTGGAACGCATTCGCAAAATCCATGCGTGAGCAATCCTTCGAAAACTACCCCGCAATGCAGTATGCATGCATGCATTCGAGAAGCAAGGGACGTTTGAAGTGGGGGAAAGCGCCAAGAGGCCACAGGAATTAAATGAAAGGCCGAGGTTGATTTATTTTCCATCACCCAACTCGCTTTACTGGCCCAAACGATCCTAGATCTCAGCACAAGTGTACCCCGAGAGAACTAATTGCTGGTTTCCAGAACAAAAGAATTCCCAACCTGCTTCAATCTCATTCAAAGAAGAATATTGACTTTCATTCTGATCAATCTCGGCTATATGTCCTCCAATCTTGCTGCAGTGCCATTATCTCCCATCTTGCACGTCCCTTCAATCTGCAATTTAGGTTGTGTAGCGATAAAACGGGCTCAAGTCGCCCAGCTCCAACAGCTCTTGCTCGGTGTATCTTGCTTTAATAGCATCCTCACCATCTCTTGCCAGCAGCTCATCTCGCTTCCGATTCTCTCGCTGGTATGCCTTCCGCAAAATCCATGCGGCAACGATACCGGCTGCGCAAATTCCCAAACTTGTTCCAAACCCAGCCGGGTACTTGGGCTCTTCAGCCGCGAAGTATATATTGCTTCCGCAAATACCACCCATGTTGCCAACGGAGATCATCAGTGCCATTCCAACTGCCCGCTTAGAGCTTGGGGCGAGGTTGTTCCCGACAAGAGTGACGACACATGTGAATGGACAATATAACCCAGCAGCAACGAGGAACAGAAAGAAGTAAGTGACACCCGGGTATTTGGGATGTGGAATTGCAAGTTCAGCAATGAAGCCCACCACGGCAATTGTAAATCCAGCCATGATGAACGGTGTACGCTGCTGATAATAATCAGATAAAAACGCCACGACGACTGTTGCGATCAAAGCAAACACGTAAATGGGAATCGTCAGCAGCTGTGCGTCCGCGGTTTTGTACCCCATCTCCTCCAATACAGATGGTACCGTCGCCGTGAAGCCGTAGGTGCCAATACTACAGGCCCAGAACGGAACGATGGCCATCCAGACCTTCCAGTCAGCGAAGCCAACCTTGATGCTTTGCCAGCTGATTTTATCGGCATTTGTAACACGGCCCTGACCTGAGCCTGTTTGTAGTGCGATTCGGTTTATGACGAATTCCCGTTCTTCTTTCGTCAGGAACTTGGCTGTCTCGGGTCGGTCGGGTAGCAGGAAGTAGAGGAAGAAGGAGACGACGACTGGAACGAGACCTTCGAGGATGAAGATCCACTTCCAACCCGCCAGTCCAGCGATGCCGTTCATCTTCTCGATGGCGTAGGCCAGGAGGCCGGAGAAAGCACCTGAGAGAGAGGCGGCTGCGTAGAAGATCGCCATACGTCGTTGAACTTCGTAGCGTTTGTACCCTGAGATGCTAAGGTCAGTAAAGAATAGAGTATATACGGAAGTAGCTTACAAATTGTGAGCAGGTACGTTGCAGCTGGAAAGAAACCTGCCTCAGCAACGCCAAGGAAGAATCGAGCAACGATAAGTCCATGGTATGTCGATACGACGCCCATCAAAGTCATCACCAAACCCCAGGCAAAGCAAAGAATAGAAATCCAGATCGATGGGCGAAGAATCTTCAGGACGATGTTGCTAGGGACCTCAAAAAGAGAGTATGGAACGAAGAATACCGTTAAAGCCGTGTTGTATCGCATCTTGATCAAGTTGAGATCGGTGGCCATGCCAGCAATCTTGGCATTTCCGATGTTGCTTCGATCGACATATGCAATTCTATTTCCTTCTGTCAGGCCAAATTCGAGGCGCAAGGGAAAAGCTTACAGATACAAGAAGCTGAGTAGCGGGACCAGGCGCAAGTCAATTTTCCTAAGCACTCTTCTTGTCTCTTGTTCTTCGGCCAGAGCCAAGGCCTGGTCGGCAGAAAGTCCTGCATCCACTGTGCGAAGGCCATCTTTATCTTCCAAGTCGGGAGATGGCGCGACTCCTATGTGTTTCTCATCAATGCCATGTTCGAACTCTTGTTGCTCAGACTTCTCTGCCATTTTGGGTGCGACGGTGCTGTTCTGTTTTCCTGACAGCAAATCGTGGAGAGCGGTCAAGAAAGGTGGGGGAGAGAGGGATATATCAATATTGCGCCTGCTTCTTCACGGTTGATTCGATCCTCCCTACCAAAATCACCGGGAAACTGGGTGCTACTCAACACAAGCTTTTACCCCTGTATCCTCTGTCGATTCGCGGGGATGGTAGCAAACCGAGACAAACAGCTCTGAAATTTGTCACGAAGATATCAAGTTAACCCTATAGAAGCTTTCCAGAATCGCGCACACGAGAGGGTGTAGAGAAGTGGGGCACAGCGATAACTCCATGTAACCCTGTGTGGCCAACGAGCTCTGGGTAAATCCCGGGCTTACCACTCAATGACCTTGCCGCGTGTGCAGCCAGCTTGCTGTGCCGGAATATTCTACCGGTACGCCGAGGCTTTTTCCAGAATGGGAATGTCACATTGGGCGATTAGATGCTTAGTAAACACTTCGTCACAATCAAATTGAAATAGGAATGTACTTGTAGGTTGAGACTGGAACAAGCATATATTCCGCAACAAAGCAGTCCTCTCTTCCCAATTGTTCGAATACTGGAGATAATTCATCTTTGGAAAACTAGTCAGTTAAATAGGTTTAGTGAAGACCATCCTCAGAAGTGGAAAGACCCAGAGTGTGTAATTCGAGTGCTAGCTTTGACCTCTTGGCAATTTAAGCTAAGGCGGTGGAAATAGATCAAACTTGTGGACCGAGAAGAAAACATTGCCAGATAGGGAGAAGGCAATGGCCAATTCCATAGCAGTTTGCACTAGTTGATTCTACGTGACGATAGGTAGGAGAGCATTTGTGTATAGAGGACGAGATGGAAACGTTCATTATTGCAACTATGAAGATAAATTGAAGTAAGAAATATTGTTCATGAGTGAGGCCAAAACACCCGCAATTTCAAACTGCACTGTCTTCTCCCCCATTCCACAATTGACGAAGTTGAGTAATAAGTTTTGACCAACAGTTAGACCCTGTCCTTTTCATCCACGGCCAAACTTTATTCAACTGGTCGACTCTGAACGCAATGTAAATGAGTACAGCAGTGATCATAGCTGAGATTGGGACTAGGGTATCGAGGGTTAGCACTGTAACTAGTATCAGATCACTATGATACATACACATAATCTTGGACACATATCCTAGGCTGAGGAAATCCTTGTCATCGCGGTGGAAAGCGGCGATGTTGATCGCGAAGAAAGCGGCCATAAAAGACAAAGGCAGCTGCACGAGTCAATCAGAAGTTCTTAGACTAGAAAGCCCAGTGGAGGCCTACAAAAATGATTGTAACGATCGTGAATACCATTAGAGTTTTGCCCTGCCTCTCGTTCTCTTTGTTTATCTCGACCGTCACACCTGTCAATTCAACCAATTTCTGTGTCATCTTGAGCGATCCTTCCGTTTGTATCCTCGCGGAACGAGCATCCAACACGCTACTTTGTTTCTGCTTGAGATCTACAAGAAAGTCGAGCTACAAGAATAAGTATTAGGCCTTTAGCATGAGAAACAGCTTACGGCTTCATTGGCTTTCTTAGCACGCTGAAACATACTCCCAACTTCGTCGATGCTTCTTTGAACAATAGCAAGAGGCAGGTTGCGCTGTTTGGAATTACTCCACGTTTCCAAGAGCTTACTTGCCACCTGATCCAGATAATGTTTAGTCGAACGATGGTTCTCGTGCGCTTCCATGTTCAACTCGGTAATTTTGTCTGACACTTTTAACACTCCTTTGCCTTTTATCTCTAGGATGCTTGGCTGTGGAGTATTTGAAATGCTCGAAGACTCTGGGTCAGGATATTTCTCATGGGTGCTTGACATTCCTCCATTAGAGACTTCCATTGGCCCGCGGTCCACTTCCTTCTGCTCAGTAAATGATTCATTTGCTGGAATTGTGTTTTCTTGAATATCATCAACGAGTTCGGTACCAGGCGTCATCTCACTGATGATGATCTTCTCGTCGGGCTTGTCCTCATCGAGGTCCACATTCTGTTGCATGAGAGCCTCCACTTTGGACCGGATAGCAGCTTTGGATAGTATGACACTTTCCAAGGTGGTCAGCACCGTCCTTTGGTCCTCGAACAGTATTGACATTATAGTCAGTTCATCTTCGATGTCCTTAATCTCGCGCAATTTCGAAACTTCCCTTGATATGTCCAAGACTTGAATACGTCCAATCTTCCTGATAAGCTGCATCACATCATCCCTCCCATAATTTACCATCGGGTCATCTAACATATCAATGCTAGTTGTTGTAAGTGGCATGTGAAAAGGACTGTCGCGAAATTTTCGACACAGGCCGATAAGATCGAGAAGAGGCAGAGGCTGTGTACCTGGAGCTAGAGAATTTTGAGCAAGAGCTCTAGCTATGTTTTATGTGAGATCATTTTCATCATCAGGTGCTTTCGTCAAGACATTGAACTCGTCAAAAAGCTTCGACTCTTCGTGCATCTTTGTTCTTCTCGTAAGCATTGATACAATGAATCGTTGTAATGTCACTACTGACCACATCACTAATCGCCGTCTCGTATATTTCCGAGAACCCTGGTGTCTTATCCAATCTAGCGATGTCCAAATAAGCCCTTGAACATTGACTAGCAATTATACCTGCCAGTTCAAAGCCTGTCATGAAAGATGATTTCTCATTAAGCAAGTGTAGCTTGATGTTGATCAAGACGTCAGTGAAGTCGTAACGATCTAGGTCTCCGGAAGACCTATCTCTCTGAGGAAAGCAAGTAATGACAGTATCTGCACGGTCACCTTCTCCAGCCAAGACCCATAGCCACAACTGATCTACCATCGTTATCACCTTTGGTTCCAGATGATACTTTTTTTGGTAGCGGGTGACAACTTGGTCTGAATCTCGTTCTTCAGTACTTTCCATTGCATAGTAGTAGTATTGATCTAGAGTGCGCCTGATGTGCAATGGATGAGGGTCTCGCAAGTATGCTCTCAATAGACTTTGCGCTTTAGTATCAACCGAAATGTCGTTGCTCCCCTGATGTTGATTGATGCTCGTGTTGCTTTGATTATCTACTGTATCCCAATGGAGAAACGGCATCTATGTCAAGTGAGAAGGAGATACAATCATCACAAAATGTGTTCATACAAATAAAACCAAACATTCTCTAGAATGGTCGTTCAATACCGGGATCGTGGCAGTGCCCGAGGTCGCTTGATCGACAGAGAAAGCGTCAGCTTCGTGTAGACTCGGTAGGATAGGAACACAGTAAATATATCTTACGATTAGAGAGGGCCTGAAAGGTTTGACAGAGTGGTTGCATAAATCGTGCGTGGGGAATGTCGGAGAGACTATGATGCTGCCGACCAACCCACCGCTCCCCACTCAGAAAACGGTATGCTTGGGCCGAATTGTCATAAAGCTTTGATACAAGAACCTAGCAAAGTAAGATAATGTCCATTTCTTGAAGTTGATTAACGCAGTCACCTCGACCCATCTCATCTGAACACATCGTCAGCTCACATATTTCCTCCCGATACAATTGAACACCATACTCACATTATTGGCTGGAAGGTGAAACCATCTCAGTGATACATCACTATCCCTATGCTCACCCACACCGAGAGGATTTACCTTATCGAGAAGGTCATAGACTGACATAGATTCGACATTGTGCTGATAGGCATCCGAACTGCGTGTGAAAGTAACAACCTCTGCCTCGAAAGCTTGATCAACCGAATGATCCAATTTCTCCGTCGTTTCGGCAAGCAATCCATCCTTCTCCTTCTCGGCCAGCATCTGCAAGATCTCACGATGACCTCCTTCCTCTGCAAGCTTTTTGGGTGTCTTAGCCATAGCATTCGGTTCGGTGAAGTTAGCACCGACGTCTAAGAGCAGCTTTACCACCTCTCTTTTGCCCGCCCAAATCGCAAATGTGAGTGGACTGTCTTTGGTTTTCTCGGTCCGGAAGTCCAGCTTTGCACCAGCCTTCAGGAGAACATCAGCGACCTGCGCGTGTCCGTTCTCTGCCGCTGTGCACAATGCCGTTTGTGAGTCGCCAGTACCATTCCGATGTAAACTCTCAACATCCACCTTGTGCCGGATTAGTATCTGCGCCAAGGCTTCCCATCCTCTTTCTGCTGCTTTATTCAAGTATCTCGGAGCCCACAATTGCCATCTCTCAAACTTCTTGGAGTTTTCTGACTCTTCGTTCAGTTTTTTCTCTACCAGAATGTGCATGACTTCAACATGTTTGTTTTGTGCAGCTCTTGACAAGGGTGTCTCGCCGTCACGATCAGAAAAATCAAAATTCCCAATTACATTCACTAAAGCCAGCACGATATCAGTGTGACCTGCTTCTGCCGCATAAAAAAAGTGGTGTGCGATCTCTATTATCGGGAAGGTCTGGATTAATCTCGGCTTTCTTTGCCAGAAGCATTATCACAGTCTCGTCGCAGCCATTCTCAGCCGCCCATGATAGTGGTGTTCTGCCTTCGTTGTCCCTTTTGTTGATATCTGTCCCTCCTTCATTGAGTAGGAGTTCAGTGGTCTCTTTCTGGCCGCTCCCCGCGGCCCATGAGAGCGGAGTTCTTCCGATTTTGTCTTCTTTGTCAAGACCCGTGCTTTTGCTTTGCTTCAAGTACTCTATCCATCCGTTGGCCGCAGCCCACGATACTGGAGTATGCGAGCTTTGTTCTTCGAGTCCATCCCAATCAATCTCCTCAGGTGTTTCCAACGGGCGTCGCTCGCCTTTTGATATCAAATTCGCCTCTAGTTGTATTCTGATTCCTCGAGATTCATGCCCCCCGTCTGCTAAGTAGGGTTTGACTAGGATTGCAGCTTTAAATCGTAGAGGATGGCCTCGGGAGACATTTAGTATGCTCAGAATGAAAGCCACGGCGGATGAGGTTCTCTTCTGGCGAATCTGCAAGTTGCCAGATGGAAGCGGCACGTATACTTCAGCACCCTTGGTATGCTCTGCAAGACGGAAGAGTACAGCATCTAAGATATGTCCTTCCGAAAACCTGAATCTTCTTCTCTATAGCATATCTCCCATCAAACCGAACATTCCTTCTGTACCTTTTGTCAAGCGGTAGACTCGAAATTGACAAATCAAAGATGAAGAGATTCTCGGGACGTTCAGGCATATCCCCTTGCACAACGCCAGTAAGTAGTACTTTGACAGCCTTTGAGGCGTTGTCTAAGACAGAGAGCAGCTCAAGTTCGGTATCCAGCTGTTGTATCGCGTGGGCTAGTGCTTCTTTACTTTCAGCTAGTTCTGCCCTTGCTCGTGAATCATCTAAGCCGCTCTTCATCAAAGTGCTCTTTATCAAGTTTACTTTTCGAAAATCTACCTCCTCTTTGAGATGGTGCACTTTGTACCTCGCTCGTTCTGCCCTTGCACTACTGTTACTAATGTTGCGGAGAATCATGATGCTGGAATGTCGCGGGGAATCGTTAGGATTTGGTAGTTGTTAAAAATGAAGCATATATGATAATGAAATGGAACTAAGCACTGATGATATGGCCGTTCAGCCACGTATCATACATCACGGCAGCAGATTATCAAACACCAGATTATTACCAAAGTGAAGATAATACGACAGCAGCGGAAAGACTGCTTTGGAAAACAGGCTTCATTTCATTCAGCTGAGTCACAACAATTGCAGGAAGCCACATATTTGGACCAATGATAGGATCTCGATAACCACCAACCAAAGCATGCATGCAGAGAATCACAGTTACACAACAGTTAAAGCTGAAAATAAAGGTGACGAATGAAACTTGAAGCAGCGGGGAAAGCGGTGCAGAATTTCCAATCAATGCAAGAAATCTTGCGACTGAGCTATTATTGCAACAAATATAACACGTATTTAAGCCACGGATCCGTCAAATAAGGCGATCGAGACTTGATAGGACGACATCCGCGGGTCGCTCACAAGTTCAGGAGAACCATTTTCCCAGCCTCGGTATGCTCACAGCGGTCCTAAACTGTTACCTTATGCAATCATAAAAGCAATGAGAGCAAGATGAGAACTTAGAGACGAATCCATTAACAAATCAATAGTTATAATGATAATTATTTCCTCCCGAAGCCCTGCAGCAGCTTAGGGATTCAAAGGTCCCTTACCATCTCCAGTCCAGCCCTTTACCCCCCGACTACCACCACCACTCGCACTATGGTCTTCAAAGTCACCTTCCGGCATCTCAGCAGCCTTTTTCGATCTGTCTACATCTGAGCCCTGAATGGTATATATCAGTAAAGGATGTTTTGATCCCGGTATGCTTAGGAATATGCCTTGGTATCTGATCCATGAACAAGGTTGCCCAAACCAGGGTCTGCTTTCCATTCGGAGTCAGCGCGAGAACTGTCTGTTCGCTGTGGTTCTTCTGTTCTTCGTTCCATGATGACTTCATTGAATTTTTAATGGTGAGATGTAGGAAAACTTTGAGGACAAAAGTCGCTGGAACAGCTCAATAAATAAATACTGGAGTACACGGAGCTTTACTCCGGATGATGTAACGATCAATTCATTTTACTGCAAGATTTCGTCATGCTCACAGGGTTCATTTCGACTTCGAATGAGGCGGTTGCGCAAACGTCACAGAGTCAAAACCCAGAGAGCCTTCCCCTCAATTCATGCTTACCTGGCCGAACCCCACCGAGTCACGTGAGACCAGACTGCAGGGAATCTACCTAATTCAGCTCAGCACCCTTAATGAGTGTGGTTGGATCGCAACCAACAAGCATATTCTTTTACAATAGATTGCTTTCCCATTACAGATACCTGGGTAACCGGTCTTAAAAGCGAACACGTGACCTTTCTGGAACCAAATTGAGATGAAAATCAACAATTATATATAAAAGAGTCCTTTCACAAGTCCAACAAAACCATTTTTCCAGCCTCGGTATGCTGTTCAGCAACATCGAAAGCCTTCTCATAATCCTCAAGACCAAACTCGGCAACAACTTCATGACCAACAGAATTCCCAAGCTTCAAAACTCCAGCCTCGACAAGCTTGATGAGACTAAAGACATCTTCTCTTTCGTACATATATTGTCCGCGGATGGTGAGATTGTTCATAACAGCCACCACGTACGGGATGGGAATGTCCTTCATTGAAACACCCATCAGAGAAACTCTGCCGTATTGCCTCACTGCCATCATGCAGCTGCGAACGTGGGTACTTTCATTCGCGGCAAAAGGCGACATGTCGAGGTATGCGTCAATCACACCGAAGTTCTTCAGCCCAGCGAGATCTTCCTCTACTTTCCCTTTCAACTGCAGAACTTGAACCCTGGGAACGAGAGCTGCGAGCTTGTTCAGAGCCTCAATGTTCCTACTAGCGGCGATGACTCGAGCACCCATCGCCGAAGCAATCTCCACAGCGGCACCAGTGTAGATACCAGTGGCTGGAGCTATAATGATAGTTTCTCCAGCTTTGAGGTCGATGCTTCGAAGTCCACCGTAAGCTACAGCATACCTCATAACAGACGCCAAGACTGCTGCAGAATATCCAAGACCACCTGAAGAAGGACTTCCCATGAGAATAGACTCGTTCAGAGCATAGCAATTCTCCAAAGGGGCTCGTGCGTATTCCGCATACATGCCATTCCTCCACGACCCCTCCATCAAGGCATTAGCTGCAGGGTTTCCTCCGAAAACACCTGCTCCCCAAAGAAGCTGCACGTTTGAATCATCACGGCCTCTGATATGAGGATCTAGAATGACGAATTGGTCGAGTTTGAGAGAAGTGGTGTCGGATCCAATCGCTGCGACACGTCCGATAGCTCGCGTCCCTGGGATGTAGGGTGTTGGGAACCACAGTCCTGGAAGCCCCTCAGAGAAAATGCTCTTGGCTACAGGCTCGACAACGGCGCTGATGATTCGTACGACGACGCTTCCCGGTACTGCATTTGGCGTTGGGACGCTCTGCACTTCGACATGTCCCTTCTCCAGGCACACAAGTGCACGACAGGTTTCGGGCAGAGATTGAGATTTGGTGGTGGCCATGTTGAGGATATTGATAAGTGGTTTGGAATTTATGGTCAGAGATGCGAGTGAAGATCAAGATGGAAGATGATAATTCAAAGCACAAAGAAGAACATTGGTCTCTGTCTTATATACCACACTGGCGGCATCATAAATCGCTCTCGGACGCGCTGGACAGACTCGTCCTTTCTCTTGGACAACCCAGGATCGGCAGCGCAACATAGATAAATCCGATATCTCCATTATCACTACACAGAAAGGTTTTGTAGAAGCGTCATAGACGCAGTCGGAGAATGAAATATACTTTTGAAAAGTTTGAAGGTTGTGAATCCGACAAAGGGTTAGTGTGTCTCCTATCCGAAAACGGCCAAGCGTCATCCTCTGTCCGAAAAGCGGCTTAGCTCTGTACCAAATACGAGTTGAGGTTAGCCGCTTTTTTCATGGTGGGGCAGCCACTCCAATCGGGACTACTGATTGACCCGCACTTAGGTCCGAGCCTCCAGCCATCAACATCATCCATTTCATCTGCGGACATTCTTTCCTCACTTCGCATTCATTCATGTATGATTGAGGCTGATTATGGTCATAGCCACTCTCTTGAACTCCTGTCTCGTCTTATCCTGCTGGAAGAAGCTATCACTGCGATTCAACCATGCCATCAAAAACCATAGGCCCGCAGAAGCCAGCTCCAAAAGAGGGAACAGTCCGTAAGAGGCGAGCACATCACAAGTCTCGAAGAGGATGTCGGAATTGTAAGCTACACTTGACTATAGATATATGCACATCGTTGACCATCTCTAGGCAAACTTCGAAAAGTCAAAGTAAGTCCCGAGCTCTCTTCAAATTCAACAAGTATACCAACCGATCAGTGTGATGAAACCCGCCCCAAATGCGAGAAGTGCGTCTCTTTCGGGGTAAACTGTAACTACGACTCCGGTTCTAAAGCCTCCGACCTTCAACCGTCCTATGACAAGCAAGTAACACTCTTAACTCCGCCCACCACACCTCCATCCCAAGGTCTTGGCCCCAGGATCAAAATCCCGACGACCTTGTATCCACCTATCATTACCGGAGACGATTTATCGAGTTTCCAGCTTGATACAGAGAGTTTGAGTCGCCTAGACAGGTTCCAGCATAGGACTGTAGGGACGATTGGGACGAAGAGTGCAGGGAAGCTGTTTGCTCATCTGACCGTGGATCTTGCACTTGCGGTATGGTCTACCCTTTTTCCACACTCCCTTCGTTTCTTCGTTCAGAGATTGAGGCTAAGACTGATGATTTTATATCTAGCATCCATACTTAATGCACGTAGTCCAAGTCCTGACCGTCATCCACGACCGCTACCTCTCTCCCAACCCTTACTCCAAACAAACTCTCACAGAAGTCTTCCACCTCTCTCGCGCCGCCGCCCTCTTCAACCGCAAACTCTCCGAACCAATCCAGCTCCAAGACCGCGACGGTCTCTGGGCCACTGCCGCCCTTCTCGGTCTCATCGCCTTTTCTCTCACAGATGCTTCCGACGCCGAAGAATCTTGGCCCCTGGCCGTAAATGAAGATGCTGATCCCCTAGAATGGATATCCATCGCAGAATCCAAGTCCGCGATCTGGAATCTCACGAATCCGCTGAGACCCGATTCAAGGTTCTCCATCATGAAACATGATTACGAAACCTCGCATCCAGCGTTCAAAGTCCCACTCCACGGTATTGAGGGAATCCCGCCACAGTTCGTCGAGCTGTATGATCTCAATGACTGGGTTTCGGCAAGAGTCAACCCATATTATACTTCCGTTCATATCATGATGCCTCTCTTACCCATCCCGTGCGAGAGAGCGAGTATCATTCGCTTCCTAGCGTTCGTCGGCCACATGGATGAAGGTTTCAAGAAACTTCTTCGAGCTCGAGATGCTCGCGCGCTTTTACTACTCGCGTACTGGTACGCCAAGGTCTGGAAAGCGGTTTGGTGGATTGAACGGCGTGCGGTTCTCGAATGCAAGGCCATTTGTTTGTATCTGGACAAACATCACAAGGATGATAAGTTGTTGCAGGAGATGTTGATGTTTCCAAAGAGGAGGTGCGGTTTGGCGATTGATACCAATTGGATGGGCGAGGAGGAGCGAGTGCGATTCAATACGGGGACAGGGTCGGATGCAATATTGGCGAGTATGGAGTTGTTCAGAGCTAGGTTCGAAGGCACTGCGACACAGCAGGGATTTTCAGTTGTATGGCCGGTGTGCAGTACTGAAAATCGTACTGAATCTTCATGAGAATCGGAGGACTTCAGACGACTGACGGGATGGGGCGAAGAATCGGTCATCGGGCGCTGTTGACCTTGCCCCTCGAAGGCATGGACGAGATCACTAGTAAGACAACAATGTCGACAGAACGCAGACCAGTCGCACAGGAATGGTGAAAGATTTGCGCACCACCAAGAAGCAAGAAGAGTGACCACTACCTGAGATGATAACCCTTATCATTTCTACGAGTCAACCTTGCAAGGGACTACAACGCTCTAAAAGAGTACAAGCTGGCAACTGCTGGAAGCGACAATGGCCAGCGGTAGAATGAGCTATCACGAGAGAATTTTTTGTATGCATTTGAATAACAAGGCATCGAACAAGAATGGATATTGTTTTCAAATCATCTCTTCATATTCACAAGCTTGCTTTCCCTTGCGGCTCAAATGGCAGCAATGCTACAAGACATCCAGCGGCTATGAATAATGCTCCGCTGGTATAGACAGGTGCAGATGTTTCTAAGTTCGCAAACATGGCAATAATTGGCTGAAAAAAGTCAGTGTTCATTCTACGTACAAAGACAGGGAAATGAGGCGTTGAACTTACGGCCATGATCCCAAATATTCGATTTGATGTTGCTGTCAAAGCATTTCCCGTCCCTCTATCTTTCGTCGGGAAAATTTCAGGCGTGTAAGCATATAGAACAGCATACATCACATTGCTGCAGAAGTTAAAGGCGCAATTCCACCCGAGCAGTGCCTCGGATGTCAGAGCCGTTGTTGAACAATATAGAAACACTCCGGTCAAGACAGTCGACACTGCGAGCGTCCCTTTTCGACCGAATCTCGGGATCTCTACCAGAACACCGCCCAGCAAGGCACCAGGAATGCCGAGAGTAGCGATGATGAGAGAATTTCTGTAGGTGAGATAAGTCGAGCCATCGCCGAACTTGGCACCCCGAATGGCTTGGAGGTAGGGAAGGAAAGCGTTGTAGAGTGGATAGCCGAGACCGATGAACGCCCAAACAAGCATTATGAGCGAGGTGGAGAAAGCCAGTTTCCTGGAGGCGAAGAGAGCTCGAACGTGGGAAAAGTTCAGAGCAGAGAGTTTTCGTTTGAGTGCAGCCTTAGCTGATGTTTGTTGGGTTGAGCCACCGGTCTCACACGCCTGAAGGTCTGCAAGAGTGACTGATGCTCATTAGATTAAGTAGCATTGTCCTTGAGGAGAAAATACGTACGACTTGATGTCTTGCCATTTCGTCTTGCCACTTCGTGCACGACTTTGACCGCCTCTTCGTCCAAACCTTTTCCCATGAGGTACTTCGGAGACTCGAAAATTGTGAAGAACACAACTCGAACGAAGAACTCGATCAGAGAAATTCCTCCCATGGCAATGACAAAATATCTCCATCCCATGTTTTCGGCTCTAGTACACGTAGTAGCAGTTTCTTGGCATGTAAGATTGCCCAGAAGGGGCCAAGCGATGAGCGTGGCAATGACTTGAGCAATTGCCCAATCGATAGAAAGCACCGTGAGGAGATATTGATGTGAGCCTGGCAGGAATTCGAGAAAAACGGCAGAGTCGACTGGTAGATTTCCACCAACGCCAAAACTCCACAATGCAGCAAAGGTGCCGATCGTTGCGAAATTGGGAGATGCGGCTGCGATGAGGCCAAAGACAGCGGTGACGCCCAGGGTCAAGTTGAAGGCGTGTCGTCTACCAAATACGTCGCATCCAAACCCCCAGAACATTGCTCCAGCGAGAAGGCCAATATTCTGAGCAAGTGATAGTAGTGGCGGCCGTGACGGATGAAACTCGTTGGTGATGGGCGTGACTTGAATCTTCAGCAGGTTTCCAGACAAGAAGGCGGTAGACTCACAAATGAGAGAAGTGACAATAGGCCATAGATTATCATTTGCCCATCCGAACCCCACCACGATGAAGAGCTGCCACTGGTACCAGCCCATCCCAATCTCCTGGATCTGGAGGATGTTAGTGAACTGTCACGTGAATATCGGAATGATCCCATTGTACAGCATGATTCAAGACACGAGCTTTTGCTTCGTATACAGGATCAATGGTTCCTTTTGGTATCGCTGCATCCGTACTACCAGGGGCAAGGTATTGATCGGCGTTGGCATCAAAGGCGTCGTCCGTGGTGAACGTTCTCCCCACCTGGTCAACTTCCCCAGCCTTGCCCGGCAGCACACTCTCGTCCATGGGTTCCATAGATGTCATGGGGATATACTGATGTCTGTCTGGCCGTGGCCGAGATGAAGAAGGAAACATGGGTGTGTTGAGGGAGGGGCAGTAGATATGGAATTTCGAGGTGAGAGTTGGCCTGTAACAATGTGAGAAACAAAGATAGCGTCATCTGGGGAAGATATGGCAAAGACAAAGTCTGATCCGTGATTGGAGAAGTGTGAGGGATCGTCCCTGGGCGGCAGTGCCACTACATGAACCCGCCTGCTAAACTTGACCAAGCTGGGGCGGGAGTGTGTGACATGGCATTGTTAGGAGTTTGGCACGCGGAAAGAGGGTGGGATGGCTGCATACAAGTTTTCGTGCCGTGAAGCGAGACGAGGGGGGATCAGATTGAGAGGAATGATAAATTAATATTGAGTAATATGTAAAGAAAATATACGGAGAAGAGAGGACATATGCATAGGTAAAGAAAAATGCGGTCGCAGAATTTGTGGGGTCTGGGGGAGTGAGGTTAACCTTAAAACCTGGGGCTAGGCTGGTGTGGTGTGGCTTGATAAGGCTGAGTAATTTGAGCTTTTCAGCTTCACTTGCAACGTCTCTGCCACCAAGACCACCACCTTAGTAGCTGTCTCTGAACACCTCTGCCTTTATCTTCGACATCGTCTCCAACCTTACCATACGATCTCCAACATCGGAAACACGTTTCTGGGAGGGCGTGCAACGAATCTGCGACACCTCGAGTCTTTGATCGAATCGCCCTAGAACAATAACAAAGCGACCTAACTACGTGGTGGATGACAGATTTCGAGAGCCATGCCTACTATACGCACGAGAATCGATGGGGACGAGATGGAATGGCTGTTCGATGCAGATGTACAAGCAAGGAACGAACAATTGATGCACACTCCTTACCATTCGACGACACAAAATCGCAGACTCGCTCGCATATCCTACTGCCTTACCTTCCACCCTACATATTGCTATATCGGATAGAACCGTCATCGAACATCCTTCTCTACAAGGACGCGCTTCCGAGGCCATTTGCATCTAGAAGAGGGAAACAATGCTACATGGACACATGGAAGGCCCTGGTTGCCAAGAGCACGGACAGCTGTCAATACCTTCGAGTGGAGAGATACAGTCTTCTTGCATATTATGTACATTGCACTCCTCTTTTTCCTTCGAAATCTCCCATACTTTGGACTTCCAAGTCTCCTTCCAAGCGTATACAGCTGCTCTGTGGCATTCTTCGTGCTGGAACTGACACTCAAGCATCAATTTGCGCGTATAACACCTCCCATGTTAGGCTAAGAAGCCCTCCTCGATCTCTATCTCACGCTTGCTGTTAGGCGTTGGGCCATTGTCGCAAGAACCCACTTTGGCCGGGTTTTGTCCATCTTGAGTTGCTTGAAAACTGCTCGTGTGGATTCCTCCTTGCTGATCTGTCAACTTACTCAGTACGCTTGCGATCATCTGATTCTGCAACCTTTGCTCCTCCAGTGAAGCTTGATGCAGCGCTATCAGTGTGTTGATTTGATCGTGCTGAGATTGACACTGAGCCAGTAGTTGGTTCTGCGTATGTGTCAAAGTATCATGGGTATCGGATGTAGCATGACCTGGCATGCTACGGGAGTTGATAACAACGACGATCGTCTGAACGAATGGAGTGTTCAGCGCATTCCAGATATAACCCTGAGGGTCTTTTTTGAGCTGTGCGACTTGTCTGTAGTAGACGAGGACAGCATTGTAAGCAAAGTTTGCTGTTGTACTTCCAATTGCAGCAGTACAGCGTTGGGTAAATCTAAATGGCTTTGGTTAGCAGAGACAACGGTGTTGCAGTAAGCACTTTATGAACTCACCCGCAAAGACCTCGAGCTTCTAGAGCATTGGTGGGTTCTTGTCTCAAGCAATCCACGCTACCATCAAACTCAATGAGAGTATCGTTCTTGATGTGGATGCTGTCGTCCCAATCCTCTGGCTTTAGACCCGACCACTTTCGTTTGGCCACTTGATGCCATTTCCATAGCTTGCCATTATACTCAGACTCCAATCCGTGATAATAGGGCGAGTTTTCGACAGCTTCGTGCTAGATCGAGAATAGATTTGCATCGAAACAGCGCAGCGCATTCAGCGCAGTGTCGCAGGGAAGAGTTTACCCAAGCAGGAGCATTTGTTCCAGTTAGAAGATTTCCTTCCTCGTCTGTTTCATACCCGGTAGTCTTTCGACCAGGTGCTCTAATAGAATTGTTGCGTTTCCTGCGAGCACCTCCTGGCTGTCCAGAGATGACATTGAATGAGCCGTAGCTATCGCCCGGCCCATTGATCTCAACACAACCGCCCTCGTCCTGAGCGGTGACAGTATCGATATCACAGTTGTTGGAAGTGTAGAATACCACAGCTAGAGTGTATCAGTAATGAATGCTAAGTAGCAAGAACTGTTATGGGAGTGAAGGGGACATCTTACCATCGTTCTCTCCGTCACTGGCCTCTCGCTCGACAGTAACTCCTTCAGCAACTCCAAAACCCATTGTGTTGCATGCATCACCTAGTCTAATTGTCCCACCTCCTGTCGATCGAATCAGCGCTATAAGACCCTAGCACTCAAGAAAGCAGTTCAGGAGTTGAGAAGTGTCTCGAGACCTGGCAACTCCAATTGGATTCAACTTACCATCTAGAGCTCCGGCACACATTGGCTCTCCCCAAAGATTGTATTTGAAGCCAAAGGAGGTATGAAAGGTTGCCAGAAAGCCAAAAAAGCAAAGCTTGAGACTTCATTTTGCCTTTTGTCCAAGATATAGTCAAGGATGAGGAGAATGCGGTGCAGATTACGAAGACAGTTGCTTTTCTGCTTCGAAGACGAGGATCATTCCGGCTTTATACTTCACAGTACACGGTGACTCTTCGATCTGTGCCTCCTCGATTGCATCATATCTTGAAGCTAGATTCAAGAGATCGACTATTGTTCGGGGTTCGTGAAAGAAACATTGCGATGAGGATGATGGGATACTTGCCAAGAGCCGCTTGATTAGTAGAATCCTTCAAGATTATCACAGGATCATCTCAAGATGCAGTTCATCGCAACGATGCTTCTGGCGTTGAGATCGGGCTGGATTTGAAAATCCAAATTGTCGAACTACAAGTCCAGACGATGTCGAAAAGTCTCAAGCATCAAATCTGTAAATGTGGAGCAAGCGCCCACTTTTTCAGTGTCATGGTGAAGACAGCACAATCAATTTTCGAACATTTGACATAAAATTGTCTAAAACTCGGTAGAACCTTTCCCTAGCTGAGGCAACTGTGCCTCACTGGCTCTCAATTACTCGAATAACTAAGGGCGACGATGTAGAGCAATATATTTCGTTCAAGATGACGTTTCTAAAGCATCTCGATAAATGATCCGATGTACGTACTGTACGTGAAGATAATTACCTTAACGACAGTGATGTCGATGTCAAGATCTTGAACTGACTATTGCAGCAAAATATCATAGCAACAGAATTCGAGAAACAGAAGCTAACTGTGGCACAACAAGGGCCAAGTGGCACTTCAATTGCCAAGCATGCCGAAATTTAAGCTTATATGAACTGTCCGGGGCAAACTCAGATCACTGTAATCTTGGCATGTCAATTATGGCCGTATCCAGCGAGTTTCTGAGAATAGTCGTGTCACTGAGCTGGTGGGTTATACATTTGGCTTTCAACCGATGCGGCGTCGCGGCGTGTGAGCACTCCCTTCTCCACGAAGTCCCGTCTATCCGACAGACGCGATGCCGGCACTGACATGCGTCATTGGCTTTTCATCCTTCTGACTTTTGAAAATGTACGCATCTTATTCGGACAACTGTCAGTACTCACCTTATCGACTTGTCACTCCTCATTGCAGCTGACGACTCAATTCCTGTCGAAAGGCAAATACAATCCATCCGACATGTTGACAAAATATCTTCCAACGGAAGCAGCAGCCCTTGAAAGTTGGCCAACTTTCCATATTGGTGCTTTCTTCCTCGGCTCGCTCTTCCTCTCCTTCTCTCTCGGCGTCTGGCTCATTGCACTTGCAAAGGGTATTCCTATACAAACAGCCGCCCTCGAACGGAATCAACGACCTCACGTTCCTCTATACTTGCAAGAACGAGTTCCCGTACATGGCTCACGACCTTGGAAAGCTATTCAAAGCACATTTGCCTTCATGGCGATGTTGTTCTTCGACACACTCCTCTATCAGTGCTTGGACATATTCAACTCGTCCTACAGACGCGAGGAGTATGTACTATGGATGCCGTCCTTTATGGCAGTGTCGTATCCCCTTGCTTTAGCAGCAGCATTCTGGACTTTCTGTGGAGCTGGTTGTTTTCTGCAATTAATGGTTGAAGCTTTTCTTGGGCGTCCGGTCGACGTTGATGTGTTCTTTGTTCCTGCTTCAATCATGGCTTGCGTGTGGACTTGTATAGCATGGCCAATGGTTGTGGCCAATAAACTCTTTTCCAGTGTGTGGAATGCGAACGGTGATTCCAGACAGTCAACGTCAAAAAGCGAAGTAAGCTCTGAGAAGTTGAGCTAGAAGAGAATGCCTCGTATGTTTTGGATTGAGAGATCAATTTGGGGCTAGCTCTGGAATGCTTCACCCCACCACGAGTTTAACTCAAAAAACGATCAGAATGCCATGAATTAAAATAACTTAGACGATGTATTGCGTCATTTTCAGCGTCCAGTTATCTGAAGGGCGGGTTGAAAGCTGGTCGTACATGATTCGTCAATCTCCTCCATATTAGCGCGATATCCCGCCCCACTTCGCATTTCATCGCAATCTTTTCGGACGTTTCCATTCCAATATACAATACTGCTGACACTTCAATAGAGCTAGTAGAATGTACATTTTAGTCTACATTTCTTCTTCTTGAATAAAGGGGTGTAGCTGTCTATTTCACGTGCCGTATATCTACAACTCCGAGGTTAAATTTGTTCCGGTTCATTGTGGCCGGACACGAATCCGGTCCCACCGGCTCAATCGAGAATGCCGTTCGTCATGTCAACCTCACGATAATTCTCAGCTTGCACCCAACTTCAATCAAAGAGCCGTCAAATTGACCTCAATTCAAGTCCCAGGGTAGTGCGACAGTACCATACTTTGCTAGAACACCACATCATGGGTGAAACTACGACAAATCCTCGCCATATCACAGCTCTAGGGAGTTCGTACGCCGCTGGTCCTGGAATACCTCCACAAATCAATCGCTTTGCTGGAAGGTCTGGAAACAATTTCGCACATATTCTCGCGTCTCGACTGGGCGCAGAGCTCACAGACCTCACGGTTTCTGGTGCAACTCTCAACAATATATTGTCAGAACCTCAAAGTAGACCTGGTCATACTTTCGCGCCTCAGATCGCAGAACTCCCTCAAGATACCGACGTTGTTCTTGTAACTGGTGGCGGAAATGATATGGGCTATATTGGTGGCGTTACCAAAGATGCCCTCAAAGGCACATTGCTGGGTTACGTATTGTCTTGGATCTATCCGGTCATTAACGCTGAGCCTCTCACGGCCAACGACGTCACGAAACGTTTTGTTGAAGTAATCGATAGGATTCGAGAGAAAGCGCCCAATAGTCGAATTTACCTCGTCGAATATCTGTCCTTGCTAGGATTGAGCACCAAACCAGGAACGGGCATCAATCTGACAGATGAGCAACTCCGATATCATCAACAAGTTGCTGAGCAGCTAAGTTCAGTCTATAAGCTTGCGGCTGAAGCTCGTCCTGGCTGCGAGGTTGTTTCTGTGCATGAGAAAAGTCGTGATCATGGATTGGGATCCAAGGAACCGTGGGTTGAAGGGTTTAGCTTTTGGACAGTGTGGCAAGGAAATCCATTTCATCCGAACCTGAAAGGCATGCAGGTTGTTGCAGATATGATTCAGGAGAAGATGCAGGACATTCAGACTGGATCATCTTAAAGAAACTCGAATTAAGGAAACTCGACATCACGTGTCCACGTTCCCCCATTCTTTAGCCGTCGGGATTCACCCGGCATCTCGGAGACACTCACCATTCCCAAACAGGCAGCTCTCCCTTTCTATTTCTCATCACGGCAAGTGATCTTCTATCGTCTATCTTGCCTTCCTGCCCGCTTTATGCACAACGCCTGGCAATAATGTCACACAGGACCACACACGGTGGACGGACGCATGCTTCCGGTCTTGAATGGGTGATATCATGAACATTATTATCAAACAGAACTCGATAGAGGTGTCATTTCTATCGGATTTCCGCTCCAATACCATGCTGGTTCATCTGTGTACTGGTGCCATGGTCTTGGTATCGAGTAAGTGCATTTAACCTATATATAACGTCGCGCAACCTTTAATCAACGTTTTGTTCTTCACAATCATTATTTTGCGTTGCGCTGTCTCATCAGAAAGCCCCAGAGATGGCGGAACAAATACCAGCAGAGAAACCCTTCGCAAATTTTGATGGCCGTCAAGCATCAGTTGGATCTGAAGAAGGCGTCACGACCGTCGTTGATCTCGTGGACGCCGATGAAGCCCTTGCATTCTTGACGTCTCACCCCAATGCCGTTGAAATTGCCATCCAAGGCAATGCGATTCTCGATGACCCAAAGCAGCTTAGGAAACTGGTTCGCAAGATTGACTTCACGATTGCACCACTCCTAGCAGCAGTCTACTTTCTCCAATTTCTAGACAAGACAACTTTGAGTTATACAGCTGTGATGGGTATACGCACGGACACGCATCTGAAGGGACAAGACTACTCTGATCTCAGCATGTTGTTCTATATTGGTGAGTTCACCAAATCAAGACGGACATTGAAGAGAGCTTAACAACAACAGGTTTTCTTGCAGCCGAATTCCCAACCCAGTATCTCGCTCAACATATCTCCAGACTAGGCCTCTACCTTGGTTGCAACATCATGCTTTGGGGGTTCGTTCTCGGCTGTCACGCAGCGTGTACCTCCTTCGCTGGCCTAGCAATCTGCCGTACCCTCCTCGGAATCTTCGAGTCCTGCGTAGCCCCTATTCTCGTCCTTATCATCGCAATGTGGTACAAGAAAGAGGAACAAGGTCGTCGTGTTTCTTGGTTCTATGTCTGCAACTCGCTCACCCAAATCGTTGGAGGTCTGTTGGCGTATGGTGTTAGCTTTGCGAATACAAAGTTTGCGAGTTGGAGGATCTTCTTTTTGGTCATTGGCGCATTGACGATAATCATTGGAGCACTAGTCTGTGTGTTCCTACCAGATTCTCCGGTCAAAGCGACGAGGTTCAGTGATGCCGAAAAGGTGGCAGCGTTGTTGAGGACAAAGGATAACCAAAGCGGGACGCAGAATGCGCATTTGAAGAAGGCTCAAGTAAGTTCCTCTCCCTTGATCCATCATAAGCAAGTCTTAATGTCCGCAGGTTCTTGAAACATTCAAAGATCTCCGCGTCTGGCTGGTTTGTCTCTGTACAATGCTTAGCTCGATTCCGAATGGTGGCCTGTCGAACTTCTCCAGCATCCTATTGACCACTTTTGGCTACTCATCAAGACAGGCACTCTTAATGAGCGCCCCTGGCGGTGCCGTTGGAGTCATCTGTGTTCTTAGTGTTGGCTACCTTTCCGATAAATGGCATGACAGGTCCTCAGTCATGCTCATCTGCATTCTGCCCACTATCCTGGGTGCTGGGTTGATGATCGGTCTCGATCCAAATGGCGTCCCTAAGAACAAAGCTGGACTCCTAGCTGCGAGCTTCCTGACTGGTACATTTGGTGCTGCTTTCATGCTTCTCCTCGCTTGGAATGCTTCGTAAGATGTCCACTCCCCTTCTCGAACCCCCTCGCTCACATCAAATCACAGTAACATAGCAGGCCATTCCAAGAAAGTCACCATAAACGCTTTAACTCTCGTCTCCTTCGCTGTAGGCAACATCCTCGGAACCCAGACCTTCCAAGCCAAACAAGCGCCAGGCTATATTTCCGGCAAGATCTCCATCATCGCCACCCTTGGCGCGCTCTGTTTCGTGATTTTGATCCTACGGTGGTACAATGACATGCTGAACAAGAAGAATAAGAAGGCGCTTGAGGGGATGAGCGATGGGGAAAAGACGGAGATGGGGGAGAAAATGGCATTTGCGGATCAAACGGATAGGACGAATCCATTCTTTGTATATACGCACTAAGTGGGGCCGTCAAATATCAAAGTGGTATGTAGAAAACACATAATGGATTCTACCAAATCAAAATGCAGTTTGGAAATTGGTGTGGGCATGTGAACTTTAGCTCGGGCAAGTGACTCTATACCAGATTTAGCACCAGCTCGATCTGCTAACCTCGACTGTCTTAGCTTGCCAACATGACATCTACTTTTCACACAACCGCACAATCTAATTGTCTCACATCAGTGTCCATACTTCAACTTATAACAGGAACAACTATGCGTTTGTTGCAAAAACTATTTTTCTGGTTCAGGAAAAGCTCTGATATCGATGCTTCGTATCTACTCCAAGGCCTTCCACTAGACATCCTACTCTGCATCGTGGCCTTCCTTCCTGCCGAATCGGCTGTGGCTCTCTCGCTCACATGCAAGCAACTCAAGCATTTGCTCTGGGATGACCATTCCCCAACATTGGGTTCTTCACCCAAAGCCAAGGTCGCACTGCTCGAACTTCTTGCTCTCGATCTACCGAACTTCATCGCCTGCTCCCCATGCGGGAGACTGCACGATATTGAAAATGTCCTCTGGTACAACAGCTCAACATATAATTACAATCCTCGGAGTCGGAATCGGGAAAATCGTCTGCCAGCCTGTATACAGAGGGACCAAGACAGCGATCTTGACGACATCACTTACACCTTCGGGACAACTGCTTTCAAGATGGCAGTCAAACGATACCATCAGAAACCCGACTGCAAGAAAGTCTTGAAGCTGATGTCCAGCAGATCAGTATACTTTAGCAAGTGGGATGAATGGGTGGTAGCGTGGCGAGAGGAGTGCCGTGTTGTCGGGGGTTCCTTGATGCACTGCTGGCAGAGCGTTCACATCTCAAGCAACTACTCATACTTGGCGTCGCATTCGGTGACTCCACGCAACGTGAGAATTTGCACGCATGTCGCGTTCAATGGGAGCACGAAGAAGTCCGGTATATGCTGCAGGTGCCGAACAGAATGGAGAATCGATTCAAAATACTACAACCTTCGTGGTAGGGCCGTGTTCCTCACGTGGAAAGATCTGGGCACGGGACCAGAAAGCGAAGTATTCCGGCAACACAATACGTATACGCCCGAATCAAGCTTCTTGCGGTACTTCTTCACAAATCGCCAAGAAGCCCAAGCCCAAACCCAAACCCATTCTAACCAGCTCCCTGCGGCTGTCGGCGTAGTCGGTGATCTGTCTTCTGCTTTTGGGGACGGAAATCTTGAGTTTGACTCATGGCTAGATTCGAGAAGCAGGAAGCAACTCTTTCAATACCAAGATATATACCGGGCTATGTCATGGAGGTAGTTCTGTTCTCGTATGTATAGAAAGGTTAAGAAGGGCGTCCTCCTTCCAGCAGTGAGGTACCGCAAATGGAAACTAAAATCCTGTTGCTCTGGCCAAAACAAGAAGATCGATTACCCCCTTCCCTGACAATGTTGAGTAGAAATAATATGCACTGAGCTGGCACTGTTCCCCAAAGTACGACTCACATGGCACCCATTCAGGTATTCAAGATGTATCTTATCTTTCATAAGTTTTGATAGTCCATCCAAATGTGAAACATTGTCAACACCAAAGAATGAGCTGGGATTGTGGTCTTTCAGCCAACTCCATAGAAATTGTCGGGGCTAGGCCGGAGTTTCCATCATCTTCAATGTACGACTTGGATCTGAGCTCGAGGAAGTTTCGCAAAGTCCAAGAATGTAGCATGTACCATACCTATCCACAATCTACCTTCTGTAAATACATCCCTTCATAAATTTCGTAGCTTGGGTATACCAGCATCCCACCTAACTCCAAATGAAACCCAAACGCCAACGCTGATGCTACAGAACTCCATCCAACCTGCATGCAAAATAGATAGAAATATGCCACACCACACTTTAACTTTTAGACGCCGGAGCTGCCTTCACAGCAGCAGCTTTCTGTTTCTGCGCAGCAACGAACTTCATGTTATCAATAAATTGTTCCTTCCTTCTCCCCATGATATCCATCTTCTGTTTTCGAAACGTGAGTAGCGTCGCCAGAACACAAGCTCCCGAAATAGCGGCGCAGACTTTCATACTCTCGCTGAAGGAGTCGGAATATGTTTGTCGGACAGCCGAAAGCTGAAAAGGCGTCATATCTCGAACGGAGTTTTGAAGAGTTTCAAGTTGAAAGGACGTGACGATGTGGGTTTTGATCAGCTGGCTGTTTTGGTGAATCCCGAGGATAGCAGTGGAAGCTGCGATGCCGATACTGCCCCCGAGGACGCGAGATTGGGCGACAATTCCTTGGGCAACGGCTGGAGAGGATTAGCATCATAGAAAAGCAAATTGGAAGAGAGAACATACTTCTGTCTTTAAGCTCGCATTCTAGACTCGCGCCCATGGAGACAGTTGACACCATCAAGCCGAAGCCCAGACCAACAAAAACTTGGAATCCATACATCTTTGCCGGTAGAGCTACAACATTCTCCAGACTCGAAAGAGTTGCGGTTCCAATGGTCATGAGAATCGCCCCGGCGAGTAATGTAATAAAAATAAAGTCCTTCTTGCTATTGACCATCCCCGACACCGTGCTAGCAACAGCCACAGCTCCCAACATAGGCATCAATGACACACCAGCAGTAAGTTGACTCCTTCCATTCACAACCTGGACCCGAAGTGGCAAAGAGTAGATGACCATAAAATAAGGGAACCCAGCAAGTAACGTCGTGACGAAATGTCCCATAAATACTCGCCGTTTAATGAGTCGAAGTGGAAACATAGTCATAAGTGTAGACTCCCATTTCCGTGCAGCTACAACTTCCCACCCAAACAGAGCGATCCACAGAATTATTCCAACTACTAGGGGTGCGATAAAGATTGCGTTGTTCCATACATCGGCTCTGAGTCCTGCTTCTTGGAAAGAAAAGACGACGAGCACCGAAGCCGCGATAATGAGACCTGCTCCTAGGAAATCGAGCTGTTTTAACGATCGTCGTTCCGGATGATGAATCTGATGCGGTTTTGGCCAAGCGATGATAAAAGCTATGAGTGGGATGATGCCAATTGGGGCGTTGATCCAGAATATCCAACGCCATGTCGTCCCATGAGTAATCGCTCCTCCTACCACTGGTCCCAAAACTCCAGCTATAGCTACTACAGCACCAATGACAGCACCGGTAAGCTGCTGCATTTTCGGCTGAGGAGCAATTTCAGGAATGATCACAAAAGCAAGTGAGTAAAGTCCCGATCCTCCGATTCCCTGCAAGACTCGACAAGCGATGAGCTGGTGGAGTGTTTGAGAGAAGCCACAGCCTAGTGAAAAGGCAAAGAAGATGATGAATGCTGCGACGTAGGCGTTTCTCCGTCCGGTGACGTCTGCCATTCGAGCGAAGAGAACTGCACAGCCAAGATAACTGAGGGTGTATGCGAGTGCGACCCAATTGATAGATCCTATGGCTTTCAGATCCTCGCCAATCGTAAAGAGCGCTGTCGCTACGATGGTTGTATCAATGAGGGAGAGGAAAAGCCCAAAACAGACTCTGTGGATGGTCAGATGGGTTCAAGCCTTAGGATGCAATGTGGGCTTACGAGACGAATAAGCAGATGAGCCGCCATTTTGGTAGGATAGGTTCATTTGGTGCTCCTGGAGGGCCGAGTATTGGTGGTCCTTGCGGTGGAGCCCCTTCTTCCATCATTCGAAGGCTATTGCTCGCCGGCGTACTCGATTCTTTCTCGGACATAATTATGATGATACTCTGTTGAACAGGATGTGATGGCAACCCCAAAAGCTAAATAAACCAAGAAATCATGGGCATGAATCAACTCGTTGAATCAACCCAATGACTCAAATAACAAGGTAATTCGACCTTCAAAAGTCCACTCAGCAATATTTGATTCATCTCAGGCCATACGGCATTCCCTTATATTCAGAGTGCTCGAGATGACGAAAGGCATAGAATTGAGAGTCGGAGCGGGTAGATCTTCAACACCGACAGCGTGGTACAGATAGATCACCATTCGATCTTTGGCGAATGCGATGAGGCGCGGGTACATGGCGCCATCTTAAAGAAATTCCGGAACTTCAAGCTCTGAGACAGCATCAGTGCGGGGGGCCACACACTACGCACGCAGAGCCCCGGGTTCAGCTTAAGTCGCTAAAATGCTGCCAAACGGGTGGCCCCGAAACGGGAGACAGCCCGAATTGGGGTCTGCACCGACCCGCCTAAGTAACCTGGACCCTGAGAAGGGCGGTGGGACATGCACGACAAACGCTGAAGATGAAAGACTTGTACAGTACGGACGCAGGATTCCGAGGCAATTCGCATTCTCGTGACGGAAATGAGGGGCGAAAAGCTGCAAAGTTGCGTAACAAGTGCAATATTGACGGTGCTTCTAGAGGAGGACGTCCTTCTCGCGTGCCAGACCCAATAATGAGTGCAGATTGGAATGTCTTTAAATCGCTGTCAGCGAATCCTTAGGCGAATGCGAATGTCCCGCCATGAGGGAATCTAGTAAATCTAAGCGGTCTGGTCGCTGGCCTGCGGGAAGCACGCACGCCCCAGGCGCAGTTTTTCTTTAGGCGGCACGGTTGAATTAGATGCAAGATGATGGGAACGAATGAGACGTGGAGAGGTCTGATACGTTGTCGCGACTTATCAATGGGCTAGAGGTCGTAGCGAAGCAGCGAATTATACCTTCAAAGAAGCATAAAAGGATGCGAGGACCTGGTGTACTGACATTCAATTGGCCTTTTGAAGCGAATTTCAACGACCTGCGTGTGAGCTGAATTGATCGTGGTAAGTTGCATTGCATCGGAAACATCGTCTCTTGGGTCCATGACTTCTCCAGCGAGTCGGCACTCATGCTAGTAGGAAGATTGGCCTGTCTCTCATGTCGTTGAAGTGGTGATTGGATGGATGCCATTCTGAGTCAGTAATAAGGACGTCAACTCAAACGTCCAGTAGTAACACTATCCCACCCGATAGAAGTTCAAGTCAACACGAGAGGAATAATACCGCCATTTGTGGAGTTCTCGCGCTAAAACAATAAATTCAAAGAAAGAAGGAAAGCAACAGATAGCAGTATCAGTTTGATGGATATGCCAAAAGAAAGCTGCATCTTGTAGACTCCCCTATTCTCGGACAGCTTGCCCTCAGATGTAGTGTCCTCGATGACAGCACCAATATATAGTCCAATACAGAGTAGCCAAAGCGTGGACAAAATAGAGTGAATGTCCTGACAAACGGGACGACTTTTCAAGAGGCAAAGTTGGAACAAAAGAAGGGACATCGAGTAGATGTGTAGGCAGGAGTGCACTTGTCCTGCCAGGAGTCAAACTGACAGTGAAAATTATGTCTGATTGAGAAATCCTCGAACAATGCAATCACATTCGGAGCCATGTTCCAAACACCTCAATGCTTCGCCTGCTCTGCCTCCTTTGTCTTCTTCTTGACTGCCGCATCAATCCTCTGATGGCATCCGTACCCCTCAATAAAACAGCTCACAACCCACATCCACCACAACGATGTCCCTCTCTCCACTCCATGTTTCCTAAGCCTTGTAGTATCCATCATATACGCCTCGCCCAAGTGTATAGCAACAACTGGTAGTGCAATGGTTCTCGCAATCCACACAAACACTTCTGGTCCACCAGGCCAGTATCGCAGCGGCACATCGTAGAACCACGTCCCAGGCACGATCTTGTTCCTCATAGCAAATACGCCGAAGGTGAACAGGCAGATACCAAACACGAAGATATGGAATCGTTTTCGGGGCGGCTCGTAGGATGTGATTCGAATCGATGAGACATCGAGAGCGGATCGTGACTCGCGGTCCATGTCCACGGTTCTCGTGCGTGCCTCTGCCCAGGAGGTCATAGGAGGAGTGAATGGGATCGTGTGCGTCTTGTTGTCTACAGTGCGCACAGTCATGGCAGAGAGGGAGATATCGGAGAGGGCAGCTCCTCGCGCGGCGCGAGGGGAGAGGGAGCAGTAATGTTGGAGGTAGTAGGAGACGGAGTCGGCATGGTCTGCGTTCATGTGCTTGATGATTCGAGCTTTGGCAGCTTCGTCTTTGGAGGATTGGTCTGCCATCGAGTCTGCGGGAGTCGTCGTTCGTCGTCGATGTTGATGAAGCAAAGCAGGTCTTGGGGCGGAAGAACCAATTCGGCTGGATGAGGTGATGTTGGTTAATTGTTTTGGTAGAGCTTCCAGATTTTCAACTCTTCTATCCTGAGCTAACTAATTTCGGACCCCACCTTTTCCAAGTAACTCAAAACAACTCTTAACAACGCTACATTTTCCTTCTGTCGTTGGACTTTCAAGAGAGAAAGTATTCACCTATTCTGGAACAATGGACAATTCCCGAATCAGTGAATCTATGTTCCTTCACCCGTACTCCACAACTGCACACCTCACTAATGTTCTAGGCAGCGATATCGGCTACAGGGAAATATCTGCTCGGCATGAAGGATTACCTAAACGCAGCCAGTATCGAATAATATCCCTCTCCGGTCAAGATCTTGAATCGGCATGCCGAAGGTACATGCCTAGGTACTTTATTAGAGTGCCAAGGAGTCATGCTCTCTGCCGTTAAGTACCTCGATTCAAAAACTAGTATCGAATAGAAAACATCTCCGCCCGACATCTTTGGTCGGCATACCGAACCTACACGTCTTAGTAAGTGCTAAGCAGCGATATCGGCTGCAGTTAACCATCTCTATGGATCAAGTACCTACAGATAGTTGGTGAGTTTAGCTACTACTGAATGAAATACATCTCCGGCCGAAAGCTTGCATCGGCATGCCGAACCTACATAACCTAGTAAAGTACTAAGCAATGATATTGGCTATTGTCAACAATCTTCGATCAAGTGGCTGCTAAGTTTCAACTAGTATTGTAAGGATTGATCTCCGCCCGAGATCTTTGGTCGGCATGCCGAACAGCATGAATCGTCTCTGAATCGGAAGCGGCTCACTGGTCAATGCAAAACCTAAAGCCGTTTGTTGACTCAGCGCCAAACATGCTGCACCAAGATATTAAAGACAGCAGCAACCCATGCCCTTCAAATCATCTACCATACTTGTCTCATCGGACTATTCTTCTTTGATCTTTCTCTTTATCGCTGATTTCAACGTCCCACCACAAATGCATCACAAACGAGCTCCCACTTTTGGTGCTCTCTTTCGAGCAGACTCGAGCAAACTGTTGCCAACTTCCGCATCTTCCGATGACCCTCTTCTGGCTGCTTTAACTACAGTCCAAGAGCAATACATCACTGCCAATGATCAAAGCCATAAGGCTCATGAAGAAGCATGCCATGACTTCCCTGGTGGCAACACTCGGACTGTCCTCCACGCTAGTCCATTTCCATTGACGTTTAGTATGCAACTGTTGTGCTCAACTCATATCATTGATACTGACTGTGGGCAGTCAAGGCAAAAGGCTGCGAGTTGACGAGCTTGGATGGCACGACATATGTTGACTTCCTTGGCGAGTATACAGCTGGCATTTATGGTCACTCAAATGAGAAAATTGCAGCTGCTGTATCAGAATGCATGAGTAGAGGTTGGAATTATGGCGGGCCAAACATTTACGAAAGGCAACTAGCTCGAAAGGTAGGTGTTCTCATATATGTCTCGGGGTGAACATCATACGAGCTAACACCACCCAGGTTACAGAACGTTTCTCTCCCTCTGGCATCGAACTCGTCCGCTTTACCAATTCTGGGACAGAATCGAATACAATGGCTATTGCTGCTTCTCTTGTTGTCACTGGCCGCAAGACAGTTCTCGCATTCAAGAACGGATATCATGGAGGAACACTGTCATTCCCTATCACACTGAAAGATATCAACGTCAATCTTCCCCATGATTTCGTTCTTGCTCCTTATAACGATATCGAAGGTACGAAAGCTGTCATTGCAAGTTTGCCCAAAGATTCTGTAGCTGCAATTATTGTCGAGTGCGTTCAGGGGAGTGGTGGCTGTATTGTTGGGAATGTGGATTTCTTAAGTTTCTTGAACAAGGCAGCAAATGAGCTGAATGCAGTCTTCATCGTTGATGAAGTAATGACGTCTCGCCTGTCCTATCATGGATACTCGTCCGAACTTGGACTTCGACCAGATCTTGTCACTCTTGGAAAGTGGATTGGTGGAGGCATGACCTTCGGCGCTTTCGGAGGACGAAAAGACGACGGTATCATGAGTCTCTTCGACCCTCAAGTCGGTATGCTAGGCCATTCCGGGACCTTCAACAACAATATTGTGAGCATGGCTGCTGGATGTGTAGGAATGGACATCTACAATGAGGAGCAGGTAAAACGGTTGAACGCTCTAGGGGAGAGCCTGAAATTGAAGATAGAGGTAGTGCTGGAGACGCATGGAGTACATCCTCCTGCGACCATGAAGGCTGGTACATCCCCTCTGAACCAAGAAGCAGAGTCTCCGTTCACAGGCTTAGAATCCGAACCCTCGCTTGCGAATGGTGTTGTAGCCGAGCTTCAACAACACGAGTCAGGTGGAAGAGCGAAGAACCACATGTGGATCACGGGAAAGGGTAGTATGCTTTGTGTACACTTTTCTGGAGAATGTGAGATGAGTCTGAAAGCCCTGTATTGGCATCATATGCTGGATCATGGGATCTACATGGCGCAGAGAGGGTTCATGGCACTGAACATTGAGTTGAACGAGGAACATATCGAGAGGTATGCGAAAGCAGTTGAAGAATTCGTGGTGAAGTGGAAGCCAGCTCTCAAATGAGGCATTGATATCTGCTAGCCTGACGCATACTTTGAAAATATATCCCGCTCAGCGACTTCGTACTCTTTCATAATTGTCTCCCTCCTCTTCTCGCTTCTGACAGTGAACTCGCAGTTGAACGGATGCGCACAAACCAGGAATCCTTCGCTATATGCTCTGATCGGATCCACATCGACCTCCTCACTGTTCCTCACCTTTCCGGTTTCGTCTCTTCCAGGCGTTATGTTGAAACCCCAAAGCAGCTTGGCCATTCCGAGAAATAAGTTTCTCTCTGCAAGATGGATTCCGGGACACATCCTTCTCCCGGACCCGTATCCATAATGATCTCTCTCTTCATAGTCCGCCGATGCGGCAAGTTCAGGTGCCAATTTCGTCACGCCTAGGTAGTGGTCTGGATCGAAGACTTCTGGATTGGGGAAGCGTTTCTCGTCATGGTGCATGCCCCAAGCGTTGATCAAGACCGTTGTGCCTTTGGTGAGGAACTTGCCATCGACCCAATCATCTGGTTCTGGTTAGTAGAGTTTAACTGTAGAGATGAAAAACATACCTTCCGCCAAGCAATGTGGAAATGCAAGTGGAACCACAGGCCTCCATCTCATGGCTTCTTTCACAGTCGCAGCCACGTACGACAGGTTCTCATAATCTCCCCACGTTGGAGTCCTGTCTTCACCAATCACTTTATCAATCTCAGCTTGCGCCTTTCTCATCACCTCCGGCCATCTCGTCATGGCGTGAATGAAAGCAATGATGATAGATGAACTGGTATCGCTTCCACCTTCCATCATCACCCCGCCAAGAAAGTAAAGTTGATGCCGACTAAACTCCAACTTCTCATTCTGGTCCAGGACCCGATCCATGAAAGAGTCTTTGTGGATATCCCTCGCTCGCCGACGGATCACGATGTCTAGGTATTGTGCGTACAATTGATTCATCACCTTGTTCACATCTCTTGCTCTCGTTTTCCAGTTTCCCAGAAAGCTTTCGGGGATATAGTTTAGTGCTGGTATGATGTCGACAGGTGGTGTGTTACCGGTTTCCATCACCTATGAGTGGTTAGTGTAAGTGCTACTAAGTTCCTGTTTTGAGAATAGTCACCTTGCTCCAAACTTCCATCATATCATACAACTTTGTCATGTGTGGCGTATCAACTCGTGGCGTTCTAATGCCAAAAACTTCTTTCTGTTAGTAAACACTTATCTTCGAATGTATGAAAGGGGAACAGACGTATACTCATTACAACAGAGTTGCTAAACCGCTTCGGATGCTTCATATGCATTCCATCCCCATTCAGAACCATAAAATCCCTACACATCTGTACAGCCTCCGCATCAACGAGTTTCGTATGTTCGTTCACGACCATACTCTCCATGAAATGCTGGTGCACAAGCTTCCTGAATGCTCGCCATGTATTGCCATACTGCATGACTAGAAGATGATCACCACCGGTGATGATTCCATTGCCGACGTAGGATGGAGGCCGGTTGCTGTAAATGGAGGACTTCTTGTCGATGAGATTCTTGATTAGGCGGCGGTCCGTCAGGACTACCATGTTGCCAGGGCCAAGTTTGAGGGTGTAGATTCCACCGTAAGTCTTGGCCCATTCTGTGAATCTGAAGTCTGTGAGTAGGATCACAGATATAGAGATGTTACGACTTACTTTAGGTGTGCATTCTTGAGGGGTATTTGGTGGAGGTTGCCAATCAGAGGAAGAGTTGGTGGTCCTGGGTTGTGTTAGTTGAGTGATATCGATGGAGGTAAGATGAAATACCACTAGGCATCTTGCTGCTGCGAGAACCGATTGTGAACATTAGATAAGCCAGTCCAAGAAGGACGAGCAGGCCGATAATGGAAAGAAGAGCCATCGTCGTGACTTGTATTGAAGGAAATGTTGTAGTGGTTGATCAGACGAAGAGATCCTTATTTTTATATGGAAGACAACCACACCTCAGAAGAGGGATGTTTGAAACTCAGGATGGAAACAGGTTGCAAGGTCACACAGTACGGTCGAATTATAATTGGCCGAAACCACATTTTGCCTCAACTTCGGACATCCGTTCAGGGGTGCGGGGTATCTTACCGCGAATCCGGGGAAGCACAAATGAAGCATGACTCAGTACTTGCACATCTCAGGTGGTCTTCATTGGCTATCTGTTTAGGATCGTCTTCAAGACGTGGAGCAGTTTCTCTGCCGGATCTGAAATCATCCCTTTCGAGCGCCATGCAACAAATCTATCAGGCCGAACAAGAACGCACCCATCCTCAGCGATCTCCCTACGTCGCGCCCAGTCAAAATAAACATCCTCGTAATCTTGCCGCCATCCGATTGAATATGCGTTGATGTTGATATCAAGCTCCTTGGCAGCTTGTCGTGCCGCAGTCTTCCATTCATCTCCCCCGATTCCTGTGAGCAAGCAGAAAGATCCATGACCAGCCAGATCAATGGTAGAGAACTGTTTTCCGGGCAGCTTCGTGTTCAACCAAGCGTGGGGGAGTCTGCTTCCAGGGTATGTGGTGATTTCATGCTCCAGGACTGCATCTTGCGGCAGAGGTGGTCGAGGCCCTTCGTCTTGGAGAAAGATGGCTTTCGATTCATACCTTTGGTTCATTTCGACGCCGACACCATGAAACTCGTGTGAGGTATCTTTCACGGCCTCTTGAAGTTTCGCTCTTCTCTTGATACCTGCTGGTGATGCTTCGGATAATTCTGCAAAATCTTTTCTTCGAGCTTCAATTGATTCGTCCATCATGCCTAGAGCCTCCCACACTGGAATATGATCACGGAGTCCCTGGTTGGCTCGGGTGATGACGGACTCTCCAACTGGCTGGCGCTCAGTGCTATAAGAATCCAGTAAGGAAGAGGTAGCTTTTCCCTTCATCACATATGCAATCTTCCAGGCGAGGTTGTAGGCATCTTGAACGCAGGTGTTGGATCCAAGTCCATTCAGCGGGGGATGTCGGTGAACAGCATCTCCGAGACAAAAGCTGAGAAAATTAGTGAATTCCGAGAAGAGAAAGTGAATGCTTACATATTTGAATCAGAGTAATACTCGGCGACAATTTCGTTGATGAACCATTTCGAGACACCGATAATCTCGACCGGTAGCGAATCGTCTCCCACCATTGTTTTGATACAGTCGAGGTACTCTGCATCTGTAGGGTTGAAATCTACGCCTGCGCCGGGCTTAGGAAAAAGAATAAACATCCATCTGGAAATCATCAGTCAAGTACGGCAGCTGGACTGGAAGAACCTACTCGGTCCATGGCTTCACCATTCGCACAATAGCAGTCCAACCAAAGTTTGGTTGCTCCTCGTCTGGTCGCATCACCCAATGCAGATTACCCATTCGAGTTTCCACCACATGTTCGAGATCCACTCTGACCAAAACATTGGTGGCCAAACCTTGTCCTGGTTTCTTCTTCAACGGTATTTTCAGTTGTCGCAAAACCTGACTGCGCGCTCCATCACAGCCAAACAAGTACTTGCTCCGTATCTGGTATGTTTGTTTCGTCAGATTGTCCTGCACAGTACTGATGATTGTGTTGCCGACATCGTCCACTCTCTCAAAGGAGAGAATGGTGGTATCGAAGCGGCAGGAAAAGCCATTGTGGGTAGCATGGTGGACAAGGATAGGTTCGAGGACGGTCTGAGGGATGTCGACATGATTGCAAGGACTGGCTGCATCATAGTCGCCCTGAAAACATTAGCACGAGTCAAGATCGTTACGTTCGAATCACGTACTGCTCTGGCTGGATCATTTCCCCAGGAATATATTCTTGCAAATTCTTCCCCAGCCATACTTCGACACCATCGCGTATGGAGCATCGAGTCGCCTTTCACTGCAACTTTCAAGCATTCTTCTTCCAGACCAATATCTCGCAGACACTCGAGAGCCGCCATATTAGTGATATGAGCTCTTGGTGTATCTGCTGTGCTCGGAGTCGAGGCCAGCATAATGCCTTTCAATCCTATCGAAATGTTAGCATGGAGTCGCTCTTCACCAAATCTGTTACTTACCATACTGGGCCAAGAAGCATGCCAGTGAAGCACCTGCCGGGCCAGCTCCTACTATCAACAGATCTGTTTCGACAATACTGGTCGCATTTGTGTTTGCAGATTGGCCGTTAAGGATTGGGGTTGGGGATCCAGAATGAGTAGCCATTGCTCTGCGACGAATGTATGCAGACCGAGAATTCCGTTGGAGAAGCCAGAGTCGAAATTATCTATTTCAACCATTCTCGAAGAGTTTTTAGTCTCCCCCTCCTCATTGTGTAAAGAGCCACAGAGGTGGAGGAGGTGTGAAGCTGTCATACCTTACTCACTGCGGAACGGAGCTGTGGTCGGCATTTGATTTTGCTTGATCGACCCCTCACTTTCCCTGAACATTCGCCCGCGACGGACCTCCATCTCTTCCACAACAGCTCAATTCCCCCGCCACCCCACATAGCCGTCCCACATGAGCTCGATCAATGCAGTATCCGGCTCACTAGAACATGACCATATGGAGCCGAAGACGTTGTATATGATGGCGGCAAATCTGCGACGGACCTGTGTTGTGTACTGGTCAGATCTCAGCTCACTGCTCGACACCTCCTTCGAACCAGACTGAACCAAGCCCCTATTCAACATGTCTCCCTCTGCAACGAAACAGAAGATCAACCTCAAACGAATCGCCCACGTCTATTACCAGCACAAGAACCTCGAAGCCGCTCACCAGTTCCTCCTCGATTTTGGCTTTAGCCCTATTCAAAAGACAGAAGACAAGATATACTATCGCGGATATGGCACAGAACCATTTGTGATCTGCGCGACCAAAGGGGCAGAAGACAAGTTCTTGGGATCAGGTTGGGTGGTGGATTCGATGGAGGATCTGGAGCTGGCAACCTCTCTTCCCAATGCCACACCGATTCACGACTCAGATACTCCAGGTGGAGGAAAGAAGGTTACTTTCTACGACCCAGTCGACAACTGTCCGTGGCATCTGGTTTATGAACAGACAGCGGTAGAGATTGCGGAGACTTTCCCAGAGCTATCATATAATTTCCCAACGTCGAAACATCGACCTGTCAATCAGAAGCAACGATTCAAGAAAGGCCCAGCTCCTGTCCACAAGTTAGGACATTATGGTCTCTGCGTTACTGACTACAAGAAAGCCTACGAATTCTATACGGCAAACTTTAATTTCAAGCCCAGCGAATTGGTGTACGCGCCTGATACTGGAGAGGATATCACCACATTCTTGCACTTGGATCGAGGTTCCGAATGGGTCGACCACCACGCTTTCTTCTTCTTCGAGGGACCAAAATTCCACGTCCATCATTCTAGCTTCGAGATCTTCGACTTTGATATACAGATGTTGGGGCATACATGGCTGAATGAGAAGGGCTATCAAAACTGTTGGGGTGTGGGAAGACATGTAATGGGCAGTCAGATATTCGATTATTGGTTTGATCCAAGCAAGTTCATCTTGGAACACTATGTGGATGGAGATTTGGTTAATGACGAGACGCCAATCAACAAGACGAAAGCAGGACCTGGTAATCTGCATGTGTGGGGTAGGTCGAATGATCTTTGGCCAGTATCTGTTCTAACGTTGTCTAGGTCCAGAGGTACCTCCTACATTTTTGCAGTGAAGCTTTCTGTCGAGTTCTATTTTTGGGTCTGGTCTCGTTGGTTGAGGGACAAAATTGCTATGTATGAAACCAGCTCAGCGTGCAAAACGCGCACCATCTTCGCAAATTCTATTGCATATGATCCAAGTTGTTCCAAAGCCCATCCTTTGGAATGGCTCCATCAATCTGACGTGAGATTGTGAGATTTCCTGGTGTTTCTTGACAGCACCAAGTCCATCGCCTGGAGCGGACTGGAAGGCAGGGCAGGCGGGGCCGTGATGGTTTAGCCGTTGGAACCTTCATTTCACGCGGTCTATTGTCGATCGCGGCAAAACTCTGATTCGCTGGAAGATAAATACATCCCGCTGTCTCCACCAAAGTTACCCCTCTTTCATCCGCTTCTGTGCGGAGTACATCAGTGCGACATCAACCACATTCGTCCGGCGAAGATGCACCGATGAATCCTCCAAGCACAAACGCTTTGCGCCCTGGTGATACCCAAGCACATCTCGCATGCGAACGATGCAAAAGGTAAGTGGTCTTGAGCTCAAGTGGTGGATCCTTGCTAATCATTATGCAGACGTAAAATAAAATGGCAAGACTTCAGCATTCGATGCATCTAGAATAGACTTGCTGACTGTCCAGTGATCGAGTGTTGCCAACATGTCGAACATGTCTAAAGAGCTCAGAGAGTTGTTCTTATCCTCTTGTATCACATAAGCCTGGCCCAAAACCAGGTACTACCTTCCAAAAGGCCTCCCTCAGTTCATAACTAAATCCTAGAAGGGGTGCAACAACGTCGACGGAACCGGAGTACCCTTTCTGCTCCGGCAGCACAGCCAAGGAGTCTTGACGAGAATGAAGTGTCTCACCGAACAGACAATGGTCGTGAGATATCGATTCCAGCTGCAGCAGACTTGCCGTCGACCGACATCGACCGATCTGCGTCAAGAGGCCTGGCTTTGTCTCAACTAATTCATCCTTCTCATGAACCAATATCACAATATGTTACACAAAATCCTGCTGAGGTTCTCTTTCCTGCTGATACTGAAGCTATCCATATTCGTGAAGCCTTGGGTCTCTCAGCAACTGTGTACCAGAATTTGTAAGTATGAGTACATAGAGATTGCCATTCTGCTCTCACTAATGACCACCTAGGATCGATGCTTATTTCGACAATATTACAGCATTTTCATTGTTCCACCGTCCGACTTTTGAAAAGAAGGTCTCTCGAATCCGCAACCCTTTACATAGCCAGGCTCTCCTTACGTCTATATTTTCACTGTCGGCTCGCTACACGAATAGTGCTAGACCTAATGATCTATTTCAAAACGAATGGCTTCCTCGGGCTCGAAGACTGGTTGATGAATCGTTGAGAGAATGCTCCGACGATGTCCCTCCGTTATGCTTACTACAGGCTATGATTTTGACCACCTTCCAGGAGCTTATCAACGGTGTTCGAGGATGTGCTTGGCGATCAGTCGGAACATGCGTTCGAATTGCCTACGAACTGCAGCTGCACCTCATAGACAAGAATCCACAGCGAAGCCAAGCAGCGGCCACACTCGAGGAAGAGAAGAGGCGCGCGTGGTGGGTCATCTGGGAGTTTGATGTCTTTGCCTGTGCGATTCGTCGTCTCCCTACAGCCATCGATTGGACGCAAAATGAAACGTGGCTACCAATCGATGACGAAATCTGGTTTGCTAATGCTTGTGCAAAGAGTTGCACATTAGACCCAGATCCAGCGGTTGCTTGGAAGACTCTACAAGCCAGTGGAAACAGAAGTCCAAAGGCTTGGTTCATTGTCGTGAACGCCTTGATGAGATGCGCCCATATTTTGTCGTACCCGCAATCGTATGCGAATGGTGAAAGTCCTGAGAATGTTCGAATTCGGCTTGAAGTTTTGGCAAATTCTCTCTTCTGTTTGACTGCGGCACTGCCATCGGAAGCTATCTATGAAGGAGAGTTCCTTACATTTTCTACGTGCCCGGAGAACAGGTCGTCATTCCAGCTTGATGGAGCCAAGCACAGTATTCATATTATGACGCAACTTTCGCGATTCATGATCAATCATTACCAAGTCTTCGACAGCACTTCGAGGCGTTTGGCACTTGTAAACGATGCCTCTGCTGCTACTACACAACAAGCAGCTATTGACGATGCTGCCTGGACGCACTATCTTGGAGCTGCATCCGAAATCGTGAAGCTTGTCAGAGGATGTGCGCCCAAACATGTCAATTATGTCAATCCTTTCCTGGCGAGTACAGTTTGGCTTGCGGCCGCAACGCAAATTGTATCCAAGGCGTTTAGCACATCTTCGGCAGAACGCCGTGTGGCTGCCTCGAATTTGGACGTTCTTCAGATGAACTTGAATGCTTTTGTGGAAATCTTGGGGGTTTCCAAAAATCTTCAGCAGAAATTGGTCTCACTGGAAGCAAAGCTTGCTGCGTTCAAGGAGCAAGCGAGAAATGACCGGCCAAGGCAAAATCCACAGCATTATACCTTTGATTCAAGATCATCTGGATCCTTTATCCAGGGGCAGATGACACCTGACTCGATGTCTGGAAATCCAATACATCAGCAAACCCAGACACTAAACCCTGCCTTCGCTTCCGGTACATGGCCTGTTGCTCCAAATTTTGACTGGACAGACCCTTCCATGAATACGGAACTCAGTTCGAATTTGTGGGGATGGGGTGTGGACGAATTACTCCAGTACGGAGTCACTTGAACTCTGGATGGCAATCCTGGGACTGGCTGGATCGTATTGGAGCGGAGGATCTTGATATCTGGGGTACACCTTTACTTTGGTCAAAGTCCGCCGCTATCGGAAGAATTGCGGACCGGACGGACTATCTTGAATCTTGCTGGTCAAGGGGGCAACGCCACGTCTCCATCTCACCCGAGCTGCAAGTCGACAACAAGTTATTTCACAATTCAAGTATTAACCTCGCCAACTCCAACTGCTCTGCTACTTTCGCTCTTCGTCACCTTCATCAAAATTTCTAATTCTTCGTTGTCCCCTCACAGCATAATTACATTTCCGACAACACCTCCCTTCAGCATGAGTGTCGAGAGGTTCATCCGGTTCGAAGACGAGAAGGGATCGATACTATATGGCGAAGTGTCAACATCCGACCTGAAAGGAAGTTTGGAAGGAAAATCAGTGTCTATTCTTACGGGTGACCCCTTCACGGGACTGTCCAAAACAACTCATAAGTCAGTCATCAAGAAGGTGAGAGAGAATCCATCAGACAATAAGCCAGCTAACGAATCTCAGCTGCTGTGCCCGTTGGAAGCGACACCAATAGTCATTGGTATTGGACTCAACTACGCACGCCATGCCAAAGAAGCAAATGTACGTTAGATTCTTAAAGATCGATATAACTCTTGCTGATTATCAGCTTTTTCCTTCATCTTTTCCTGCCGTCTTCACCAAGCCAGCCGACGCTCTAGCTGGACCGTACGATGATATATCCATCCATCCGGACGCACAATCTCAGCTCGACTACGAAGGCGAACTCACAGTCATCATCGGCAAAGATGCGAAGAATGTCACTGAAGCAGATGCGCTAGACTACGTCCTCGGCTACACAGCTGGCAATGACGTTTCAGCTCGTAATTTTCAGCTTCCAGTATCCGTTTCAGGGAGTCAATTTTCATACGCTAAATCATTTGATAAATTTGCTCCAATCGGCCCTTCGGTGCTCTTGGCCAAGGGCGTGGATCCCCATAGGTTGAGCTATGTCACAAAAGTCAATGGTGACAAAAGACAGGAAACTGGAACGGATGACATGATCTTCAGCATCAAGCAGATTGTTGCGCATCTTAGTCGTGGTACGACGTTGAGGAAGGGGACAGTCATCATGACAGGCACGCCTAGTGGTGTGGGGTTGTTCATGGAGCCGAAGGGGTTCTTGAAGGATGGAGATGTGGTGGAGGTTGATGTTGAAGGCATTGGGTCGCTGAGAAATAGGATTGTATTTGAAAAAGCTTGAGCTTTCACGATGCTCGTTCAGCTCCATTTAACAAATTGATATCACGCGATTCAAGAGAATGTATGCTAAGTTTCAAGTCTTGTCCTGCCTTCGGTTCTATCTAGAAAGAATCTACAGTTCTTGTTGCAGCATACTTAACCCAGCCATGTCGATGAAGAACAGGTAAGCCAGCGAGGATGGTCACCTCAATTTCCACGGCACCACAATAACGAAGCTGCGCTCAGATCAGCACTGAAATGGCGGGGGAACAGCTATTCATCTCATCAGCAGAGAACTTCGTAGTCGGGAATCGAAAAGACCTACATCCACTGTCATACGCATCGATAATCAGCTTCACAATCACATACGTGCCCGCCACACAGATAAATCCACCAGCTACGAAGGTCAACACACTCAGCACAAACATGACCGGTTTCCGTCTCCAAGCCCAGGAGCCTTGTCCACTCAAATGATAGCTATCATGAATCCAAAAAGCGCCGGCGATGCCATACGTATACCAGCTGGCAAATAGCGATGCCGCGATCCCAATGAGGTACGAGAAGATCGGTACACCAACAGCGAGGACAAAAGACGCTGCGTTCATGATGAGGATCAGAATAGTCCAGGTTCCCCATCCTACTATGGTGTGACTGTGTAGATGATTCGAATTGCGGAATAAGCGGAGGAAGATCAGCTTCGCTGCTGTGTGCGCGTACAGGCTTCCAGCGATCAGGAAGTTGGGGATCGCAATTCCGTATGCGGCTTTTGCCCATACGGTCGGGAGACTGGAAAAGCTGGGGCTTACAACACCATCACCTAAGCTGTAGAAGATCTCAGAGTCAGTATACTAGATTTCAGTCACGGTTCAGGTGCTGAGGCTCTCTCAGGAGGAGAGAGGCATGCTCTCCGATATCACTTGGTCTTAATCCACCACGAAATAATCTGCAAGAAGAACAAAGCCATGGGCAAAACTTACTACCAATGTGTAACGATGGCAAAGACGGTGTAGTAGGCGGTAGCAAAGCCCTGCAGGGTGTAGGCGGCTTTCATAGCGTCTCTAGGGTTGCGCATCTCAGAAATGAGAATGAAGAACATAAAGTGACCAGCGTAAGCAAAGACCGGGTTGGTGACGGAGACAAAGGCATTTACGAAAGTTGGTTGCAGGAATAGGCTGGTGGTACGGCCTTCGAGAGGGTTGATTCCTGCTCCAATCATACCTACGATTCCGGCGATGAGGATGGAGAGAACGCTTGGGATACAGAGCCATGAGAGGCCATCGAGGGTACGTGGGAAGCTGAAGATGAGTGTTGGGATGGCGAAAATTCCAGTATAGAGCATGAGACAGAGTTTGGAATCTGATAGAACACCCAAAGCGATTTGGCCAGCGAGAAGTTGTCCGCCTGTGGCGAAAACAGCAAATATGACTGTTCCAGCGGAGAGAACTTCTCGTCCGACAACGCCAAAGAGGATGTAGCCGGCGTCTCCCATATTGTGTACTTCGGGATGGTTGAGCTTGCTTTTGGAAGTTAGCCTGTGCAACTGAAACTTACAGTCGCATGGTCCCTTCTGACTTTTTTGGCCCAGAATTAATCTTCTAAAATTTGCCAGTTGGGAGAGAGACTAGCTATGCAAAAGTAGTTCGCACTGTACTCACAATTGAACCAATAGATAAGCGGTAAAGGTGCCAAAGATGCCTAGGAACTATGCAGCATGAGAAATGAACTGATATACTGTCGTTCAGTAACTACGCACAACAATAAGGATAACATTAGGGACGAGCTATCAAGAACGTCAGCCAGGACCTTGGAGAAGATCTTGATCCGATCACATACACCAACAACCCCACCACTACTAGGTAGACTCAGCATGCCGTTCGACACAATTTCGGCAATCATAAGAACAGCGACAAGCTGCCAGCTCAGGGTCTTATATTTAATCTGGTGGTTCTCTTCATTTCCAAACACATCGCGCTCGCCGGTGACATGGCGATTTCTTGCTGAGGTGTCTTCCTCATTGTAGGGGTAGATTGGCGCCTCGCCATCGTATCGAATCTTCTCGTCAATCATGGCATATGTGTTGTCAATTCAAGACAGTAATGGATGACAGGATGGGATCGAGTCAAAAAAGGATATCGCATCAGTATGGGAGAAGCGGCGTGCTGCCGTAATACGTCCCTCATAGTGACAGGACGCTAAGTAACACGGGCGAACGATCCGTACTCTTCTGTAAGAGGAAAGTCATGACCGATGGTATCAAAGGCGGCCTATAAGAGCGCAGACGGATGTCTTTCCCCGTGACGACAGGGCTTTAGATATTGATAAGGCTATCCTTATCCACAAGTATTATTACCCAAGTAGTCTTTGACGTAATCCATCTTGGGGCCAAGCGATAAGCGCTTCGAGTTGGCCGATCTCTCCCGCTCTCCAAATAAAGGACTTTGGTGCGCAAATGGACTTTTCATGATCTGGCCGCGAGCTAGATGCGATGAACCCACGAGCCCTACTTAGGTATTTAGGTATCGTCTTGCATCCTGAGCACGTGATTGCACTGGCTTCATCGGAAGACACTCTTCCAAAATATCTTTTGAGCTCATTCGTGGGCGCAATCCGGGAGTGATTTCAGCTAGCTGGAGAAGTAGATATTCCAGAAGTGATCAACTTCAGAGCACATTGCAGATTGTTTGTCGCCAGGGTATTCGCTTGAGTTTCATAGAACTCTTTTCGACTCGTTGGTGTCACTCGAACCCCTTGTTGACGAGTCCAGAGTCACAGAGTCATTTGAATTCAGCATAATGAAAAGACTCCTGTTACATCAGTTAGGCAACCCCTAAGAGTGCTTAATTCGTGTCACGTCGCTTAGCCCCTATTTCCACAAGCGAGGAAGAGCAAAGGCTAAAGTCGACGCCGCACCTCAGCATATCCGATGCCGGATTAGGTGAGGTTGCGAACTTAACTAAATCAATACGAAGAAGGTTGATTTAGGCTCTACAGTGCAATGGCATGTTTGAATAACCCTTCCTGGTTCAATAGATGAGCTGCGAAAAATTTTCATCTCTGGGTAGCATAGAAAGGGTGGGACAGTTTACAGGATCTAGAGTTTGAGAGCATGGTAAAGCTATAAATAAAGAGTCGTTCTACGACTTCTATACATCTGCTGCTACAAAATTACCAGAAGTACAGCTCTTTCACTATCTCACTCATCTAACTCACCAAAATGAAAACTCTCACCCTCCTCGTGTCTATCTTCCTGTCTCTTCTATCATTTCAAGCTCTCCTAAACGCATACACAATCACAACGATAACGAGTTCTTTGCTAACAACTACCACCGCTACCCCGGCAAGCTGTAGTCCTTATACCAGTGTGGCTGATTGCGAAGTCAATGCTTGCGACGCTCCGGGAGTGGTTGATTCTATTGTTTGGTAAGTCTTCTCCTGTCCATGAACGGGCAGAGAAGAAGGAAAAGGAAAAGGGAAGAGATTAGCAGAGAACGGGGTGAAGAGCTGACGTAAACATGCTGACGGTTGCAGTGCGAGGGGTTGCTGTCAGATGTGTATGCCGGTTGGGACAGATTGTCGGTGAGGATTGAAAAGTGACGAGGAACGGAGCAATGGAGAACGCCCCGCAATAAAGAGATGGAAAGAAGAAATTTTGAGTGGTGGAGATTTATTGGAGAATCGATCACTGCCTATCTGGTTCTTGAAAGGCATGGAAATCATTGTTCAATATCGAGTGGATTTTAGGGGGAAATAAATCAGAATGACATTGTATAACAGATTCGCAGAACCAGCACATCACCGCTTTCTCTAGGCCGCTTGCTCAACACCACGACTGAAAGCCGCTGCCTTCAATTCAACTGGAGCAGAAGACAACGCAGCTTCTGGTTTTGCCTCCCTCTTGTAGAGCCCCAAATCTCCGCGTACCAATCTCGCTGAGAACCCATCGATGATATCGCCGGCGAAGCTTGTCAGGTCCAGCTCGTCTTTCTCGCGTTCAAAATTGCGCTTTGAGATATTGTCCAGGATATGTACTTCTTCAGGACTCAGTTTCTCAAGAGTCTCCGGCTCGGATTGAGCTTGCGCGATTTTGCTGATAACGGCTTGCTGCTTCTCAGGTGTGATCTCAAAAGAGCCCAGCGCGAAATTGACTGACTCGGCTGCGTGCTTCTGAGTCTGCGCATCCTCTGTCCTGGTATCTGCTACACCTTGAATGACGGGCTGGATCGTCTTGAAGGCCATGTCAAATCCTTCTTCTTCTTCCGAGGTGATGATCTGAGACTCTTTCAATCTCAATTGTCTTAACACTGTCATGACCAACAACAAGAACCGGGTGTATCCTTCAGACACCTTAGTCGTATGCCAATGTGCAGCGGTCCTCTCATCAGCCTGTCCACGTCTAGATGCCTGTATGGAAAGAGCAGCGGAGAGCCCAGAGGTCAAGGCCAAATGTACTCCAGACGAGAAGTATGGGTCGACAAAGCAGCCTGCATCGCCTACCACACGAAAATGAGGACCTGCATATGCTGAAGCGCTGTATGACCAGTCAGATGCCTGCTTGATGCCAGACACAACTTCGGCGTCGTTCAGCATTTCTTTGATTTGCGGGGCAAGGTTCAGGTAGTCCTTATAGAAGGCTATGCCGTCCAAGCCTGAAGCCTTCTTCCTTCCGAAGAAGAAGTTTTGGCGAGCTGCGATGCCGACAGAGAGAGTGCCGTTATGGAGGGGGATGGCCCACACCCAGCCGCTACCGTCTGCCATTATATTGTCAATAAGTGGATAGTCTTTGAGGGTGTGTGCAGTTTATCTTACCCGATAGCGCCTCGAAAAATGGCGAATTCTCATTCTCGGCACCTGGCTTGAAACGTTTGGCGCCTTTCCAATACGCCCAGTTGGCAATGTTCTTGAGACCCTCATTGAACTTGCGATTCTTCAGGTATTTCGTCGATATAATACCGTTTCTGCCACTTGCATCGATGAGATAGTCGAACTTGATGGTGCCACTTGTGCCGTCCTTCCGCGACCAATTTGCTGAGACGGGACGGCCTGGGTTGGCTAGACGGGCTTCCGCGTTGAATGTTTCGTCGGCATATGGCTCAAATGAGATCGAATCTACCTTGGTACCGTCGAAGGTCTTGGCGCCACTGTCTCCGGCATGGCGGAATATGAGCTCGTCTGACTCGGAACGGATCACATTCCATGAGAAGCCTCCTTGGCCAAGCGAAGCAGCAAAATTGGTAACTGGAGGAGTGTCAGTTCTCGAGCACTGTTCCATCTTGAAAGTGACTTACATGCTTCCTTCTTGGTTGTAATTTTGAACGTCGCGCCATACTAGATGAAAGAGAAGTCAATTTGCCTGTATATAATTTCGAGGAGTAGGTGTTTCGTTGGTATGCCAACCTTCTTCTCAAAACCATGGCGATCAAATGTCTCTTCAAGATCGATGAAACGTAGGAAGAAACGCATAGATGCAAGCATGCTCTCCCCAATGTGGTATCTTTTCCATGATCCGATTAGCTTCTACCCTAAATTGTGCTCGACCACAGCGTTCATGCGCCTACCTTGGAAACTTCTCTGCGTCCAAGAGCACAACGTCGACACCCTCTCGTGCCAAGACGGAGGCAGCGTAAGACCCTCCTGGGCCACCACCTACAACGAGAACAGCTGTCTGCGTAGGCACCGACATAATGTTTGGTATGAAACTCTTTCTTAAAATTAAGTCAGAGACGAGATGTGTCGCGAGACGTTTAAATACAAGAATGAAAGTTTTAATCAATCACGGCTTACCGAAGTTGTAAGATGAAATGATTTCGCAAGCAAGTACTTAGGTGAGCAAAGTGGAAACCAGTGTGAGCGTTGATTCGTTCTCTGGAATATAGTTACTTGATTTACGGATTAATCAAGGTTGTGTTCTAGATTGAACCATTATGCCTACGCCACCGCATGTCGGGAAATAGTACCCCGTTCGGACATGGGATAAGAGTTGCCCGCACATCACCGAAGCATACGTATATGACCTAATGTTTTTGTGATCCGACGCCCGACGTATTATAGCAAACTACGACCGAGGACCGGAAAAAGATGAATGAGTCTGGCCTGCGGATTCGGAGAACAAGGAAAGAAACGGAAACATTGAAGCCGAATCGCCATTGCGGGTTTTCGATCATTTGGCAGTGAAATGTTGACCATCGATTTTATCTCAGTGTTGAGGAAATATCTCAACAAGTGGAGAAGATTAAACCATGGTCCAGGAGAGTTTGCTTGGAGGAGTGATCAAGAGATCAACGTTAAAACAAGAGATGGACAAGGTCAAAAGTGGTTTCAAGACGGGCTGTAGAGATCAGGCTAGTTCGGAAAGAGGGAGAAGACCAAGAACAGTGCTTTCACATGTGAATAAGGGCTCGAATGTCCTCACAACAGATTAAATCCAAGATAGTTGAACTCGTGACATGGCGTCTGCTAAAATCTCATTGGACTATCAAATATTTCGAGAACTATAGCACTGTACCTAACGCCGTGTTGCTAAAATGATCTTGGCTGGGAAACGACCTTTGACTGTTTTCCCATCTCGAAATAAGTCCTCAAATTCTTGCCACAGCTCTGTGAAAGCGGTGGGATCAAGACCGGCAACCGGAAATATTCCAAAGTGCTCTTTGATCCAGTTCAAATCTGCCTCGAAATTCCACCCTTCTTCCTTCTCGAAAGATACAACATCATCCACGCCAGTATGAGTTGGCTCGGTTACTTTACCCAAATCCTCCGGTGGTAAGAGGCTGGTCAGACCGCCTTTCTCCATATTCAAATGGATGCGTTTCGCTCTAGGCAAGAAGAACTTCTCATCCAACGGCGCAACGTTGTATTCATCCCGACTCCTTGACATCACGGTAATCGTTTGCTCGGGCTTATCTGCTCTCTTCAGAAAGACACGGCCCCCTTGATGCATGAGACGGGCCCATAACTCTTGAACATGCGCATCATCAAAGGTGGCAGGTCCAAACCCAGCGCCGACAAATGTTCCACCAGCCTTGAGCTGTTTCGCGATTGCCGCCGTCACCAGTTGCTGATCTGGAAAATGCAATACATTCGTTGCGAAGACCAAGTCCACGCTACCATTGAGTATATCGTCCGTTTCCTCTAGCTTGGCTACCCGGTAAGTGAATCCATCAGTGCCCAGTCGCTCCTCTGCCAGCCGAACATTCTCTTCAACAATGTCTGATACAATGACATGTTGAAATCTTGACCGTAGCTTCTGAGCATATGGACCATTTCCGGCTCCTACATCATGGACAATTCCAAAGACCACAGAATGCTCTTGATGGTAGTTGAAGATGCGGTTGAAGAAGTTCTCGGGAGCTTGCGGTCGACCTTTCAGGTAATTGTCCCAGAATACTTTATCGCGAGCGAAAATCTTGTCTTTCGAGTTGACATTAGATGAGATAGACATTTTATCCAGATTTGTTTCAAGTGAATAAAGAGGGCGGTGAGCTGTGATGCAATTTCCACTTCCAGAACGCGAGATATACAGCACCTGCACAAGAAGATTGTTATAACTTAGTAAGGTACTAGGCCAGGCAAACCTCTGAACAATGTAGCGATCTGGAAAGTTGCTACGATGAATCCCGTCGTTCAATCCGAAAAGATGCGGGAGCATGCCCTGCTTGATTTGAACGGACGGGCGTCGGAAGCGGTTAAATGCAAGTGGGCACGATGCTTGCGGATTTGACATGCATGGGAGATAGACCCGAGAGCCGTTACGTTGTTTGTGGCCTACGCAATTGAAGTCCGAAGTTCGGCGCAAGTGACGAGTGGACTCGGCGAGATGCATTTGCAGCTCTTCACTACTGAGTATGATAGTGATTTCCCTCAGCGGCATGTGACGGAACTTTGTCTCACTCTCGACTATGGTTACCAAGGCGATACAGATTATGTATTGGTTTTTATTAACTTTCGGTTCAAGAAAATTTACTGGGAGTACAGCTAATCATCACCATCTACAAATATTAAGCCTCAATTTCCCGCAGAACGCCTGTGAAGCCCAAAGCCGCTCCCACAATAGGGAAAGATGAGCGAATACCATGCAACCAACCCCATCTTGTTACAAGCTCCTGAACATGTTCCAAGCTCGTCATGGTTGCACCCGCCACTTGATTCTCAGCGTCCAACTGAAATAAACTATTGTTTGTAGGTGCCATTACGATCCACGTGAATGGCACCACGCTGACTGTAGTTACAGCCGCTAATGCGTAGATTAACCATGGTCTGTGAGAAGCCCTCTTGCTAATAGTAATATAGCTGTACAGCCCACAGGTCGCAATAGCCAGTGATGGCATGACTTGGTGACCATAATGATAGAGGCGGACCCATTGCTGCAATAAGTGGGAGGCTTGTGTATCAGTGTCAAGGAAGACACGAATAGTCATCAGGGAAATGCCCATCATTGCCCCTGTATAGACATCACATCATTAGTTTCCTGTCAATATGAAGGCCGATTTGAGACAATAACTACGCACCGGAAAGGAGAGATCCTGTGACCACGGCAAAAGCTTGAGTACCAACTTTGGGAGTAGATTGAAGCGCCATGATTGTGAGAAGGGTCCCTCGACAGGGTGTGAAGGAATGGCTGGTTGACGCTAATGGAACGTTTGCTTTCACTCAAACTGAGAGGTAGTAAGGCTCTGTTCTTGTGCTACGTTCTATAAAAGAAAGACTTCCATCTTAGGCAGGCACAATCGGGGAATTAGCCCTCCACTTTGCGTTCACGGAGGCTCTATGGATCTATCGGGAAAGAGTGTTAATCGATGTTGGGTGGATCGACCCTACCATCGCAGAAGAGAAAAAACATCTAAGTCTGCTCCTTGTCCCGACAAGACGGAAGCCGAAACACGTGATTTTGGGTAAGAATAAATTCGGGTTCCGTTACTATCCCCTGTTTGTCTCGGCTAATTTGTTGCCCCTTTATTTTTTGCGTAGCTCGTTTCGACTGATAGCCTCGCCCTTCTCAATCAAGTGCGGTGGGATTGTGTCTTTGGAGGCATCGGGAAGATGTTGAGACTTTAGAAGTGAGAGGAATGTGAAAAGTGAAGATCTCTGTGGATCCGAAGTATTGACGCATTGACAGACTTCGAAATCTAGAAGACAAGCCTTTGGACGAAATACAAAGCAGAATTCCAAGGTGTAGCAAGTGATTAAAGATGATGTATATATTCCTGCTTAAAATGAAATTCTTACGTGAAATCTACTCCAAACCACCTCTTCTCCCCTCTTCTGAGTTCAAATGCTACCTTGTCCTCTTCAGCCAGCTTTCGTAGTACTTCATCAATGAACGGTTCCAATGCCAACTCCCTTACTTCGCTGTCTAGTTCATCCCCGTGCATTGCAGTCACAAGTTGCTTGACTGTCACGCTCCCTTTCCCCCGGCCGGCGCTCCTTTCTTCTCGCTTGATTCGACTTAATGTCTGCAAGACCTGCCTTTCGCGTCTTGCCTTCTGAGCTAATTCGCCATTGATCTTAGCAGGGAGGTCGGTGATGACTTCTCCGTGCGCAGGATATCCCACAGCACAATTATGAGATTGCATCTTGCGCAGTGAGGACATCCAGAGGCTCAAAAGCTCGACAGCACTAGTACCATGACCGAGGACATTATCCCCTGTGAACATTGCATTCTCTTCCTCAAGAATAAAGCACATATGGTCATGAGAGTGACCTGGAGAATGGACCGCACGAATTGTTGCGCCTTCGACACTGAATCTCTGCCCATTCCGGAATCCCTTGGCCGGTATCGATAATGAGCCTCTTCGAACCAGTGCCGACTATGTAGGTATTTGTACCCTGTAGCGTAAACTGAAACAAAATTAGTAGTTGTCTCTCGACCAAGAACTAAACGCCGTGGGTCGATTTTAAAAATCGTAAATTGCACAGTACCTTTCCTCGATTCTGGCCCAGCACTCGAATTACCCTTGGGCCGAGCTGTTCTACATCGTTTAGATGAGGCAAACGAGATTGCTGTATGTCAAGGTAATTTTCAAAGACACAAATGTTAAGTGTCTTGTTAATTTGGCGATAACCGCCTCGATTCGCAGTAGAAGTCATTGGACTACAGACAAAGTCGTTTATGGGAAGAAAACGGGAGACTGGTGAAAAAAAGAAGAGAGAGAGCTGTATGTCGGACTATTGAGCTGAATCAGCATGGTAGAAATAATTTCCGATTAATACACTCGATTCGGACCGAGCGGAATATGCTGGTGCTTCTTCTTTTCCGCAACTCTTATCGCAATGCCGAGCATACCTTGCTACGAACGGACGCCGAGTTCAGCTGCTCGATTGGTAAGTGGAGCTTTGATATTCAAGTCAGCGTTGTAACTCACGGCTGTCATATGAGATGTAAAAGTCACTCGTATCTTGCCCAGCCTGTGATCGCTTCAACAGTCTTCAACGACGCATCATACATCTCGTCATTCCGAGTGAGGCTTGTTTCCACATAAGCATTTTCTCTGTCAAGCTGAGCCACCTATGCCGACTTGCTTCCATGATGGCACGCGACAATTCTGATCTCATAACACCATCCTCGGATTCTCAAGAAGAATATCGCAAAATGAAACTCGCTTATTTCAGCAACGAATTTCCAACCGATGATCTACAGGAGTTAGTTCGCCGGCTTCACGTTCGCAGCAAAGATAGGAAGCACACTATTCTGGCTACATTCATAGATCAGGCTACCGTTGCCGTTCGGGAAGAAATACGTCTTTTGCCAGCTGCCTTGAGAGCATTGATTCCACCATTTCAGACGATCTTGAACTTCGCAGACCATTCCGCATTACGTAAAGGGCCTCCTCTGTGTGGAGCCATTGATGGAGTTATACTTTGCGTAGTGGAGCTGGCAACATTCATAGGGTATGTAACCCTAACAGCCTAAGGATATCATACTTGTGTTCTAATCCAACATTTTAGTTACTACGAAAATCATCCAGACGAATTTTACTTCGACTCCGTCAACACATCTCTCGCAGGCTTGGGCATTGGCTTGTTAGCGACTGCAGCAGTCTCGTTATCTGCCACTTTGGCAGATATCCCCATCGCTGGTGCTGAAGTGGTTCGCATTGCCTTTCGACTCGGCATCTTAGTCGATGAGGTATCACAGAACCTGCAGCCTCGAGACTTGACAGACAAAAGCTCGCCAGACATGTGGGCCTACGTAATACCAGATGTACAGCCAGATGTCGTACAAAAGGAATTGGACTCGATACATGCGTTGGAGGTAAGACGATCTCTGTACACCAACTACTTGAAACTGACCAGAACGCAAGAGAACACCAGAAACCAGTAAAGTGTTCATTAGCGCACTCAGCAAAACTTCCGTAACGATCAGTGGCCCGCCAGGGAGGCTAAAGGCCATCCTTCGCACATCTAATTTTTTTCAGAATGATCACAAATCTGTCGCTTTGCCTGTATACGGAGGCTTGTGTCATGCAAAACACATCTACAATCATCAAAATGTGCTTAGCATTGTTCGTACAAGTTCGACAGACCTCCTGAGCTTGAAATTCTCCCCGAGGGTACCAATCTACTCAACAAGTACCGGGAGACCATTTCCAGCAGACAGTGCCATGGAGCTGTTCGAACAAATAATTTCAGAAATCCTAACGCAACAAATTCAATGGGATAATGTCATCCATGGTGTAACTGAACGAGCAAACAATATTGCTGTCTCCGACTTCGAGGTCCTCATATTTCGGATTTCTCTACCTATCCATGACTTAATTGGATCCTTGAAGACGGAATTGAAACACCTCACAGCAACTACGACAGATCTTATATCATGGGTCAGCGAAGAGACAACGAATACTGTGCCGAGAGGGCCATTGCAGTCCAAGATCGCAATCGTGGGCATGTCGTGTAGGCTACCTGGAGGAGCAACGGACACTGAAAAGTTCTGGGACTTATTGGAGAAAGGCCTCGATGTGCATCGAAAGATTCCCGCAGATCGATTTGACTTAGAGAGTCATTATGATCCTGCTGGAAAGAGGGTGAATGCTAGTCACACTCAATATGGCTGCTTCATTGACGAGCCAGGCCTGTTCGACGCACCTTTCTTCAATATGTCCCCCCGAGAAGCTCAGCAAACGGATCCAATGCAGAGACTTGCCTTGGTAACGGCGTACGAAGCTTTGGAGAGAGCTGGCTACGTGGCCAATAAGACCGCCGCAACGAACCTACACCGTATCGGAACTTTCTACGGACAAGCTAGTGATGATTACCGTGAGGTTAATACAGCCCAGGAAATCAGCACTTACTTTATTCCAGGTGGTTGTCGAGCTTTTGGTCCTGGCCGAATCAATTATTTCTTCAAATTCTCTGTAAGTCAAACCAACTCCATAAGTGGATCTTCATAACCACCGCCGTTCCCGTAGTATCAAAATAGCTAATATTTCCAAAGGGCCCAAGTTACAGTATAGACACGGCATGCTCATCAAGTCTGGCAACAATACAGGTTTGCTCTTCTTGATTCTAATTAATTAAACAATTTGCTGATACTTTGATTAGGTCGCTTGTGCTTCACTCTGGAATGGAGATACTGATACTGTTGTGGCTGGAGGAATGAATGTGCTTACCAATTCAGACGCATTTGCCGGTCTCAGTCATGGGCACTTCTTATCAAAAACTCCAAACGCATGCAAGACATGGGACTCTGAAGCCGATGGATACTGTCGTGCTGATGGTATTGGATCCATTGTGTTAAAGCGCCTTGAAGATGCAGAAGCAGATAACGACAATATCCTAGGCGTCATCCTCGGCGCAGGCACGAACCATTCGGCTGAAGCTATCTCCATTACCCATCCTCATGCAGGTGCCCAATCTTACCTTTCCAGACAAGTGCTGAGTAGCGCTGGAGTGGATCCCTTGGATGTCAGCTTTGTAGAAATGCATGGCACTGGCACTCAAGCTGGAGATTCAGTCGAGATACAATCTGTAGGGGACGTTTATGCCCCCCTCACAAAGCGTCGCAATTCCAAACAGCCACTTTACATAGGAGCTGTCAAAGCAAATGTTGGACATGGAGAAGCTGTTGCTGGAGTGACTGCGTTACTCAAAGTACTCCTTATGTTCCAACATAATGCCATTCCGCCACATGTCGGAATTAAAAACAGCATCAATCCTGGTTTTCCGAAAGATCTGGACAAGCGAAACCTAAATATCCCATACCAGAAACAAGATTGGCCTCGTGTACCCGGGAAAAAGCGCATTGCTGTTGTGAATAATTTCAGTGTACGGACCAACCCCTTCCTTTTCCTCTTTCACTCCAGGAGCCATTACCCTGAGAATGACTCGGTAGGAAAGCTGCCTGTTGTGTCAAAGAAAAGGATACTCTTAGTCTATTCGTCGTCATTCATTGGGCTATTCTAACTTATCATAGGCTGCCGGTGGCAATTCAAGCATTGTCATTGAAGAAGCACCTTTGCGAGAGGTAGCTCAGAAAGATCCTCGATCAGCCCATGTTGTTGCAATTTCCGCCAAAAGTAAAGTTTCTCTGAAAGGAAATCTCGAACGGTTCATTGCATACATAGACGCAAATCCTTCAATTTCCTTGTCGGATCTCTCATATTCGACCACAGCACGACGGTATCATCACAACCACAGGGTCGCAGTAGCTACTTCTGACCTTGCAAATTTGAAGAAGAAGCTCAATACTCACCTTCAATCAGTCGACGCACACAAACCAATTCCAACAACTGGCTCACCATTGGTAGCCTTCGCCTTCACCGGCCAGGGAGCATCTCATCCGTCACAACACCTGAAGCTGTTTCATGATTCTCCGTATTTCAGATCTCAAATTCTCCATCTGGATTCTCTTGCACGAGTTCAAGGGTTCCCATCATTCATACCAGCCATCGACGGTAGCTACTCGAAGGAGCACGCCCATTCACCCGTGTAGGTCAAATTGTACCCTTTTTGTATATCCTAGGGGGTGATGACTTTGGGATCCCCCTCCAGAGCCACTCATCAAAGGAGATATCGTTTCAACTCCTCAGATGAGCCCCACTCCCGCCTCCCTAGGGATCCAGATCTTCGTGAAAAGTGTATACTGATTTGTTTATAGCGTTACACAAATTGCTCTCGTCAGCACTGAGATTGCTCTTGCGAAGTACTGGGCCTCACTGGGTGTGAAACCAGAGGTGGTTATTGGACATAGTCTGGGAGAGTATGCTGCCTTACATATTGCTGGAGTACTTTCCGCCAGTGATACTATCTACCTTGTGGGTCAAAGAGCAAAACTTCTGGAAGAAAGACGCCAGGTTGGAACCCACAAGATGATGGCAGTGCGGGCTTCTGTCGCTCAGATTGAGAAAAGCGCAGGTGACAGGAAATACGAAGTTGCGTGTATTAATGGACCAAAAGAAACCGTACTCGCCGGCACTCAAAAAGAGATCGAAGCTTTGTCGAGACCCTTGGAAGCGGACGGCTATAAGTGCTTTATCCTTAACGTCGCTTTCGCATTTCATTCTGCCCAAACAGACCCAATCCTGGACGAGTTTGAGGACATCGCGAAGTCGGCTGTGTTTCATCCACCAACCTTGCCCATCATATCGCCTGTGTTGGGCAAGGTGATCTTTGATGACAAGACTGTAAACCCCGGATACTTGCGACGAGCTACACGAGAAACTGTCAACTTCCTATCTGCCCTCGAGAAGGCACAGAAGATCTCCACAATTGATGAATCAACCGTCTTCGTGGAAATTGGACCGCATCCCGTTAGCGTTGGTTTTGTAAGATCGACTCTTCCATCAGTCAATGTGACTGTTCCTTCACTTCGAAGAGACGAGGACGACTGGGTGATAATTGCGCAGAGTCTACGTCTCCTCCATCTCGCCGGCGTGGAAGTGTTCTGGAATGAATTCCATCGTCCATTTGAAGCAGGACTTCGTCTTTTGGACCTTCCAACGTACAGCTGGAATGATAAAAACTATTGGATTCAATACAACGGTGATTGGGCTCTTACTAAAGGCAACACTTTCTATGATGCTGAGAAAGCACGGGCGGCTCCCAAGTTGATCCCGTTGATTGAATCGAGCTTGAGGACTTCAACAGTTCAGAAGGTTGTCGAAGAGTCCTTCTCAGGTTCTACAGGAAAGGTAGCCATACAATCGGATTTGATGCAGCCAGACTTCCTCGCTGCAGCTTACGGGCATAAAATGAATGGCTGTGGTGTGGTAACATCGGTAAGCTACATCTACGGTGCTAGTGGAGAGGCTGTGACTGACAAATTCTGTTTAGTCTATCCACGCCGATATTGCATTCACTCTTGGCGATTACATCTACAAGAAGTTCAAGCCCAATGCCAAAAACATAGAGATGAACATAGCCAACTTGGAAGTTCTGAAAGGTTTGATTGCGCAGAAGAACACAAGAACGGCTCAGATCATTCAAGTCTCGGCTTCTACTGCAGATATTCACTCCAATATCGTCGATCTCACATGGCATAATGTGGATGCTAACGGCACTGTGGACGACCCATTTGCTAGCGCAAACATCTACTATGGCGATGCAACTAAGTTGCTTGCATCCTGGGTTCCCACAGTTCATCTCGTCTTGCACTCCATTCAGGCCCTTGAGCGCCTTGCTGAAGAAGGCATCGCTACAAAATTCTCACACAACATGGCGTACCGTCTGTTTGCCAACAATCTTGTTGATTACGCGAATAAATACCGTGGCATGCAATCTGTCGTGCTTCATGAACTTGAAGCCTTTGCTGACGTCCGGCTCACGACAGAGGTGGGTGGCACCTGGACCATTCCACCTTTCTTCATCGACAGCGTTGCGCATCTAGCTGGGTTCATCATGAATGTTTCAGACTCCATCGACACGAAAAAGGACTTCTGTGTTACCCCTGGCTGGAGTTCCATGCATTTCGCACGTCCACTTGTGGCGGGAAACACTTACCGTTCCTATGTGAAAATGATATCCACCGTCGAAGATCCCACAGTCTATTTGGGCGACGTCTACATTCTTCAGAACGATGTTATCATCGGCACTGTTGGTGGTATTAAATTTCGCCGCTACCCACGTCTTCTTCTGAATCGCTTCTTCTCCGCGCCTGATGATTCCACGTCTCAACATACTGTTCCTGTGATTCCGACAGTGAAACCGTCATCAAACTCGACATTCATCAGCTCACATTCAGCCACTACGCCCGTGGTAAATAATACTGTCACTACACTACTCGAACCAGAAAAGCCAGCATCTACCACAGCCCAAGCTCCTGCGCCAGCCGCAGCTGTCGTCAAGGCTTCCGAGCCCAACGTTGCTCCAGGTACTTCTGATAGCACAGCTGCGAAAGCTATCGTGCTGGTCGCTAACGAAGCGGCCCTTGATCTTGAAGATCTTCAAGACGATGCTAGCTTTGCAAGTTTGGGGATTGATAGTTTGATGAGTCTGGTTATTGCAGAGAAGTTCCGGGATGAGCTTGGGGTTACGATCTCGGGCAGCTTGTTCTTGGAATATCCGACTGTGGGTGATCTTAGATCTTGGTTGCTGGAGTACTATAGCTAGGCGATGGAAGAGAGAGAGAGAGAGAGAGGTATGGCCCAGCGATGTTGATGTTTGAGTTATGGTAGAGATGCGATGTCAGCTTTGCTCGGCTTTCATTGTCGTCTGGTTTGTGGATTCACATTGTCATTCTCAAACAGGATATAGATTGTCTTCAATACATTCATACGTAACTTGTCATACGGTACAGCATGGGAGAATTAGACAATTTAACAAGATTTCTTAAAGTGACCAAACAGTGCGCAACTGAGAATGCAAAAATTGATTTGACTTAACCATGCTCAACGCACGTTACTCATAGAATCGACATCACTAAGACGTCTAGTCAATCAATACAATCGAAACCAGAGGTTTATTTCTATCGAATGCTTGAAGCTGAACTGGCATAATTGTTTTTGAAGTTACCAACAAAAATGAATGATGACTTGAAGCTTAACCGAAGCATGTGCTTCGATTGATGGTAACTCAATTCCAGCTGACTTTTGCGCTAAAGCAGGACTTCTGATAGGTTCTCGGAGCTAGAAGCAATGCTGACTGCCAGGCGCATCCAGGTAATCACTCTCGGCTTCCGAGACATTCTCGTCTTCCGATCTAGGTAGCATCGGCATGGGATTTGTAGTGCCGTGCTTTTGGCACTGCGGGCTCCTGCTTTTGCGCCACTTCACCATTTCCGAATCATTGTTTGTGTGACGGAAAACCTGAATCTTTTCGCTCGAACGTACCGCGACACCATGGCATGTAAAGTTTCTATCAAATATTCTGACATACTCTACATGCCAAATAGACAAACCACCAACGAACATGGCTCCTTCCACCACCACATCCGACACTGTGGCTCTTAAGGACACACCGAAGCGCTTACTCTGCCTAACAATTTGTGGCTATCGCAAGCCCGGGATGAGTGAGGAGGCATACCGACATCACATGACCCATATTTCAGCGCCAATGACTAAAGACTTGATGGTGAAGTATGGGGTAAAGCGGTGGACGATGGTGGGATTGCTCTACTTCATATTCTCCTTTGGTGTTACTACCATTCTTTGAGAGCTATTGAAGACTGTGATGAAATGCAGCAAAATAGTAATTATTATTGACGCAAATAAGATCCACAATCCTACCGAAACTCGAGCGCTCATGGCCCAACTCTACGACTCTCAAATGGCCAATGTGGCCGATTTTGATTGCTTCAGTCAAGTAGTCTTCGAGAGTATTGAGAATTATAAGAGAATGAAAGAAGACTCGTGGTACAAAGAGCATTTGGCGGGCGATCATGAGAATTTTGCTGATACCAAGAGGAGCATGTAAGTTTCTCCACATTAAACACTTTTTTGAATCGTGTATTCTTGGCAGCTCAGCGGGATGGAAAGATGGAGGAAAGCGACAGGCACTGAAAGCTTACTTGGTGGTAATAGGATGACCATTGGGTGGATTGAAGAATTCGTCCGAGATGGAGTTGCGGTGGATGATGTCAAACATAGTCGCACTGGACTGGTTAAAGGCTTGATAATTGTTGCTGTTGGAAGCGCATTACTGCTATGGTTATACTGAACGAACCTAAGAAATTTTCGAAATGACATAATTTGAATCAAACGTGCGCATACAAAAAATGGCATCCCCCCCTTTTCGGTGGTTACCTCACCTCGCTTAACTTGTTGGTGGCGCAGAGGCTTTTTGAAGCCAGCATTGTGATGAATACTTGCCCAATTATTATTTTCTCACGAATGTTTGTACTGATCCGACTCTGCGTAGCATGCATGTTAACTTAGCATTGATTCGAGTTATGATCGTGGAGTTAACGAGGTAGAGGAATGCATGCAGCTCGCGTAGCATCTCTAAACATCAGCACGAGTGCACACTGGATGGGAAAGAGTAATTTCGATAAAGCCTTCTAAGTACAGCGCATCTCGAATCAAACCCTTTCGTCTATTGGGTCCAAATCAAAGTGCCGAATACATGATGCGATATTCCTCGACAAGTCCTAAACTCACAGCACCAATCCATGAATCGATCAGGGACCCGTGGACGGAAGGTACGGGTATAAGAATGGAAAATAGTGGTTCAAGAGTCCCATGACAATACACAAGGGGGTTCCTTTAGGAAAGCTCGCACTTCCATTTCTGTTGACAACACCAACATTTTTCAGATCCCAGCGGCCATCTTCGTCATCTGCAGCTTCGATCATCGCAGCAGCGAGATCGAGATATGACAAAACTTCCCCTTCCTCAGTGAGACTCAACGCATAGCCTCGTTGTTCATCCACGGCAAGTGCACCCGGTTTGATGTAGATAGTGGTCACCCAGTCCTCTTGTGCGCGAAGGAGCTTCTCTGTTTCTCGAAGATCGTGATAGACATTTGATGCAGATCTAAGTAATATGCTGCGTAAGAAGACAGGCGTACCACTAGACAATACATCATCAAGAGTTGCGGAAGAGAGGAGGACGAGTTTTGGCAAGCGATCATTGGACTCGAATCTCAGAACTTGCAGAGCGTGAATGATGCCAATTGCGGTATCTTGCCCAACTCGACAACCAGGAATATTGTCGTTGGTAGAGGCCACCAGAAACACGGCGTGAGCGCCTCGAATGCATGAAGTGAGGAGCTCAACATCGTTGATGCTTCCTTCGAAGATTTGCAGTCGTTTCTCAGTGCCTGCTTCTGGGAGAAGTCGAAGAAGTTTATTCTTGTTGCGACAATAGGCATTGATTCTTGTCTCTGGTGAATTGAGCAAGTTCCTGATCAGCGCGGTACCGCAATTGCCAGTGGAACCTAAAACTGCGTAGGTGCCCATTTGGAAGAGTGTGATATCTAGGATATCGATACGTAGGATGATGTAGTAAGATCGCGAGTTCAGTCTACATCAAGTAAGCGCTCTTCATTTATGCGCTTGAAGTAAATTGTGAAAAGTATGCAGAAACAACCTAGTTCGACGTGGAAGGATAAAGGGCGTTTTGTACAGATTAAGCTTGCAAGTGTCGAAGAAGGTCCCGGCATTCGGCTGTCTCTCATACCCCAGGGCCGTAGTAAGATCAATTTGTAAGTTACTCACTACATTGACCTGCCACAGACGCGGCTGAATATCCGACGGTGATGCACTATGCACGATTTATCAAGCTGCAACTGCGAAACTTGTGTTCTGCAAGAATCTTGCTTATGGAGCGAAAACATGCTTTATCACAAGGTATTTGGTAACAATTCATAAGCTACGATAAATTACGATATGGCTATTTAGAGGCAAGAGAGCTTCCAGACAACTGTTGCTGCTGTAGGTGTTTCTGAAACTTCGGGAAGAAGTCGTTGAAAAATGCAGAATCCACCATCTCCTCAAATTTGATAATTTGTTCTCCGCTCTCACTAAATGTCAGGAAAACAGCATATTCATTCCTCCACTCTCCAAACGGTGTATCTCCTTTCGATAGCGCATATACGACAGCCTTGCTTCTGGCCGCATCGTGAACAACTTCGTGAATAGTAAGCTGTTCAAAAAGTAAGTCTCAAAGGCCGTGTCTCCAATTAATACTGTCACTCACATCATGGTTTGACACGATTCCCATAAGCTTTGGCAAAGTGAATTGGACTTCAGCTCGGGATCGAGGTGGATGGCCAAGAGAGAACGGTAGAGCACGTTGTGTACATTCCGGAGACCAGGACGCAATCATATCTTCGGCTTTCCAGTTCTTCCAGCCCGTGATGAATCCATTTAGTGTCGAAACTTGAGTATCGGCTGACTCAGACATCTCGTCGATGGGAAGAGTGAGGTTCTGGGGATCTGCACGTGATGGATGGGTAGTGTTCACTTCTCGGGCTACCTGGGTGTTTTGAGAATGCCAATAGTAGCAGGCATTACTTTTCTCATGATTCCAGTATGTCTATATCTGCCAGGGATCCGGAGGAGATGATGCTAGAGGCTGGGAGGCATCAGCGACTACCTAGGTACCTGTTGATCGGACCCCGAAGAACTTAGCGTCACGTGCACGCGGGAAACAATGAACTCCCGTCGTAGAACCCTCGTGCAGCGGAGATCACGGGAATCCCGCCACGATGCCCGTACGGCTTCCTTTGAACGCTCCGTAGGGCAGAGCTTGAACTGAAGGAAGTATCTCCGCCACCTCGGCACATCTCGGCTTACGTCTCATGCTATATTAGGAAGGTATTATTATTCAGCCTCTTACTGTATACTGTATTATGAAGATGTCGCCACCTGTACCATTCACTGCTTCTTATCGGAGTATTGTCCCGATATATCCAATGGATAAGGTTTATCGGCCTCGCTGATGTGGGAGAACGGACCGTGGTGGCGGAAAGATGAGATAAAGGCATAATCTTGCGCCATTACCCCCTGATCCGGCATGCAAATCATCATGCAAATGACGCAAAGTATATCTTCCAATCGTTGTCAACCACAATCCTTCAATCCTTCCACATGTTGCAATCATTTATATTGCTTTGCTGGGCCGTGCTACCTGAGGATGTTCTGGTGAAACCTTAATTGCACCCTGGTCTGTTTGGCAATAATTATGCGCTCGACTGGCGGATATATCCTAGCTGCTTGAAGTAAGCTCCTCAAAAACGTTTAATACGTGACCAGCAGGCACTGCAGACCAGACCACAGGATCATAAGCAACTGAGTGTAAGACAGAACCGTTGGTGGAAGTTGCCGAGGCACCTCTGGATCTCATAGCTATCGATCCAATCGAGAAACTAAGTATAGAATGAAATATCTTACAGGCCCCAGGCTTCATTTCTCCCAACATTTGTAGTGCTGAACTCAATAATAATTGGGTGGCGTGTTACTTGCTGCCATGACTAGCCTGATTCAGCTCCAAGCTTATACCAACGGCTTGGTCACCGCTGTCCAAAACGTGACTGAGTTTTACCGGAATGGAAACACGCCTCCTTCTCCATCACATCTGGTTGCACCTGATTCTCCCACTGAGTTGCACCAAGCCAGACGGACCATCCTAGCCAACATCTCCAAGCTGAAGATGCTTCTTGAAGAGCCAGCAGATTTCCTCCAACAACTTGCTAGTCAGGTGTGTATTATTCCGTGCCCGGTTTCCCCGGTACCATTCAGCAATGTAGCTAATTGTATTCTCGCTATCCAGAACCAACTGCTGGCCTGTCTACAGTGGTTAGGCGAGTTTCAAGTCCTTGCTTGTATACCATTGAATGGGAGTGTTCCTATCAGAGATATTGCCGATTTGTCAGGCGTTCCAGAGGCTCAGCTGCGCCGCGTTGTACGTATGACTGCGACATCCGGCTTTCTCAATGAGTCGCAACCTGGCTATGTCGCACACACTCCTTTATCAGCGCCTTTTGTTACCAAACCTTTGTTTTTGGATGCGGGCATGTTTCTCGCTAAGTCCTCTGGACCCGCCGCTTTGCAAATGGCTTCCGCCACTCAAAGATTTGGTAATTCGAGTCGGCCACACGAGAGCGCATACAACCTTGCCTTCAATACTTCCGAAACCTTTGAATCTCTATGCGAGCAACGATCGAAGGTGCAACGACAGTGGTCTGCATATCTTCGATACTCAGGGGAAACGGATGATGTTGTCAGTGATTTTCTCACCCAGCTGGACTGGTCTAGTTTAGGTAATGCCTGCGTCGTCAATGTAAGTTCAGTCTATTCCCAGATTTTGACAGCATTTTCGTTGTCCTTTCCCGTACTAATACTCCACTTTCTTCTTAGGTAGGTGCTCAATCGTCTAAGACGGCTATGGGTCTTGCAGAACGGTATCCAGCACTTCAATTCATTGTTCAGATGAGCGAGCCAGCACACAGCAACGGATCTGGATCTCGACAGAAAAATAGTTCGAACAGAGCTCCATCTCTCCCTGCCTCTAGCAGGGGCCTGAAGCGCGGCCCCATGAGTCCGAACGACGCGCGATACTCAGACCTGAGCTCTCGTATTACTATACAGAAACGCACGCTCGGTACGCCACAGACAGTAAACGACGCAGCTGTCTACATTCTCTCTCTTCCCTCACCATCACCTAGCTTGCCATCCCATTCAGTCATAGAACGATTTGCCTCTGATCTGAGAGCACATCTTGGTGTACTCCACGGAAACAGTGCCGCCACACTCATTCTCACCATGTGTCCGCTCCCCAAACCCAATACTGTCGACCCCGATATAGAAGCTAGCGCACGCCAGCGCGATCTCACCTTCTTCCAGTTGGCCAACGATCATAGGCTTGAGGTAAATGATGTAGAAGATGTGATAAACAATGCGAGGGACACTATGGGAGCGCTGGTCATTGTCAATCGGCTCCGTTCGTGGAAAGATGCCACCATGGCGTTCGGCGTTAAGTATCAAACTTATGGGAGTCATCAACACAAGCCGAAGGCAAGTTTGTCGATTCTCTGATTGTTTTATATGTTGTGCATAGGGTCTGTAGGTGGATGAAGTGGACTTGGGTAACGAGAGTATTGATTTTTTGATCTCGTCGTTTTGTGGCTAGCGGGAATGTTGGTGATTGTTGCGATTATTTCGTTTCTAGCAAAATCCAGAGAACTTGCTGTGTATTGTTTAAACAATTATGTGGACAGCACCTTTCTGTTTCTTAAAATTAAGTAAGCTTTGCGGCTAAATACATGGAATCTTTATTTATAGTGCCAATCATTATTCCAGAAATTAATTCTTAATATGTTTCATATGTCTTGAATTTATTTATAATGATGATAGATAAGATGTCGATGACTAAATATACTCCTAATATTCACTGAAGTGTCGACTTTGTATTTTGTTGACAAGAACCTCGGCAAAAGTACCTTTGAACCCGGCTACTTGAGGGTTGCCTTGTAGGACGAGGCTGGCTGTCATTGCATAAGCCCTCTGCATACGAGCCCGTGAAAGTCAATACCGAGTCTGGGGCGGTGCGGGGTAGCTTTGGACGGCGTTATCGTACTTAAGAAGAATAAGCTCAAGTTTCAAACTTTTGATGAACAGATCTAAGTTAACTTTCAAATTCAGATTCCCGTTGGTGATATATTTGAGATTGGTCTCGAAGAACTGATGCTTCATATAGGTATCATATAATCTTCACTTGAAACGCAGTCATGTATTCAATCAAAAAACATTCCGTGACTTGTCTGCTACTGTTACTCCCTCCTTAACATATCAATGATGTTTAACGATAAAGCAGTGAGACGCTTACGAATGTCTGTCTCTAATTGGTCTAACATTAGAACGGAAAATGGAGAATTCGTCTCACTGTCTGACAGGAAATTCTGACGGCCTTCCGTGCCACTCTTCACCGTGTCCATACCCCTGACCTCTCCTCCGTACGCTTTCAATTTGTCTGATAACTGATTCACAACCCGCTGAACCCGGTGTAGTTCATTGAGAACTAATTGTGCCGCCATGCGACCTAAATCTTCTCCATCGAGGCAGTAATCGCCGACCACAGTAGGGTCTTGAAGAACCTGCTCGGCATGACATGACGGTTTTCGTGAGTGAGGGGGCTTCGTCGGACTCCGATTATCATCCTCGGAAGCTGAAGTTCCTCTTGCTGCTGCTGCGTACCAACCCAGGACTTTGAAAACAATGAGTGCCATAATGGTCAGGAGATAGCCGTCTTGTGCACACTGACATTGAAGCATATTTCCAACAGCTTCAACTATCTGCTCGTTCTCTGCGATAACTGTTTGTACTGTAGGCGTCTGGCTTGTGGTCGTCTGATTCCCCTCCCCCGTTGAAATGGTTTGAGCTGCGGGCGCGATTGGAGACAACTGCTTCATAAGACCAAGTCCACGAATCAAACAGAAACATGGTGAGTCTGCTGAGGTATGCACGGTATGATTGCCCTGTAGATCGCTCGTTGAAGAGCCGTGACTACTTGGAGGAGACTGTGGCTGCGATAAGTTCGACAGCTCAGAGACCGGTTCGTCGAAGATAGAATAATTGACTTGAGCGTTGAGAAACCCAACGGAATCGGTACCGCTCTTACTGCTGTTATTGCCGTCTCCGAGGTAAAAGTTGGACTGATTCAGCATGTCGAAATCAGATGATTCGGGAAAGACGCTCGTATTGGAAAAATCGTCAAAACCCGTGCTCAGACTTGTGAGCACGGAGGATAGAAACGAATCTACTGGTGAAAATAAGGTTGAAAAATTGTCTGAAGAGTTTGAAGTTGTAGTCTGTCCTGGAGACGGCTGAAGTAGACCGGGCGATAGGAAGTAGTTCATCTCTGAGGATGTTGATTGACTGGCAGGCTCAATGGGGATTGGAATATTGGACTGAGGGGTCTTTGCGGTAGTATAGGATTTGTCGGTGGATCGATTTTCGTGTTTTCGTCCAACGCGTTTGGTGACGAAGTATTCGCAAGTAATGCCCCGCTTTGCACAACGAGAACATGTTGGTTTCTCTTTGTGACACTTCACCTTGGAAGATGCACAGGCGTGACAACTATCTCGGAGTTTGAAAGTTGTAGGACGAGGGGTGTTTTCGAGAGCAGGTTGTAATGCAGCCATTATGTCTTGAGCAATTGCTCATAGAATAAATTAGAGAGTTGCGACGTTTGAGTTGATCACAAGCGCGAGTACGAAGTTGAGAGTAGGGTGATAGAGGACCACTTCAATTGAACAATTTCGCGGGGTTCAGTGATGAAGCACAGGCAAACGTGTATTTTAGTAAATTATTTCCAAGGGTCCACGATCTGCCCGGTATGTAGATCTACATACATTATTCTAGCCCACATGCATAGTTGAAATGAGTGACATGCTTGTGCGTGGAATGTGGTGGGGGTTTTCATGTGGCGTGTGCACAGGGGCCTTTGTCGTCATGCTTGAAAGCAATCAGTGATTGTACTGGCCATGTTCCTAAGTCTGGTTACAAGCAAAGACGGGATAGCAAGGTCATTTGCGGCTCTAAGCTAACATTGGCCAACAGTTCGGAGCTAGTACATTATTCGACATGTCGGAGCCCGAGGATGGAGTACAGCGAATGTAAATGAGTGGCATAGGTAGTATGTGTAGCTGATAGGACTCCATATGGCCATTGACTGGTGGGACCGGACGACATCCGAGAACGACCTTATCGATAGTGGAGTTTCTGCAGGTCAGACGCTGCTGCATGCATCAACCCCTCTGGGAAAGGAATGCGGAGGTCACATAGAATCCTTCATGATTGAACTCGAAATCAGCATTATCTCCGGAGGAATGCCGACAGCTCGTTTAAGCTTCTTGCTTCCTGCTCGTGGAGCTGCTAGTTCTCGAAGCTCTCTCCATGTGCGACAGGGTCCATGCTTCATGTGATACCTAGGTAGCTTAGACCACTTTTCGTGGCGCGGAACTCATGCAAATCAGGGGAGCTAGAATATTTTCCTGACTTTAGAAAAATATTATTCAAGGCAACACTCCTCTAACACTCTTGCTCACAGATTCAATGGCCATTGCGTTGTAAAATAAGATGAACTTTCATATATGTAATGCGCTTGAAACCCGACTTATCAACCATTGTCCATATCCAGCCAAGTACAGAGCTGTCTAATCGAGGCAGACAGTGACAGGTCTTCTGACCATAATCAATTGAGCTCCTCCTTCTCCTTCTCAGACTTGACATAGTCTTCCCAGACCTGCTCGATATCGTTTTTGTAAATCCAATCCATCCACCCCTCTGGTCTCTTCCCTGCAAGGCCAGTTTGACTCATCCTGGCCCGTAAAGTGTCGTCGAAGTTCTCGATCTTATCTTGTCGTACCTTCTGTAAGAGAGGCTTCTGTGATTCTCGAAAAGCATACCTGAGTTTCGTACAAGGGTAAGAATTTATGCTTGGCAATATGTTTCAGGGGGAATGTAGACCCACATCTTCTGGTAATATGGAGATCGAATAGAGTCAAACACACGAAGCGCTTCTGCGACAGGAGCAGACGACGAACGGGCATGCTCGACGGCTCGAGCTATAATCCAGCCGTCTTGCATCGCGAATGCGGCCCCTGAACCAAATGCCCCTTGAAACTTCAGTGATAAACAATCTTTGGGTGAACCCCATGAACCATACCTGCAAGAGGATGACTAGCATCTCCAATGAGTACTACCTTATCCCAGCCAGTGATATTCTCTATACATGGACCAGAGAACAACGCAAATTCCTTCCAGTCACCTTCACGCACCTGTGACAAGGCTTCAACCACTCTCGGGTCATAGTCCTGCGCGTATGATTAGCAAGTTGTACTTGACATTTTGATCCCATACATCCTGCGAGCCTAAGGAGATCGACTAACCTTGTAGCGTGAAAGCACCTTTTCATTACTTGCTGGTATTCCCCAGCTAACAGTCTTTCCGTCGACTTCAGCCTCGAGGCCTGATCTGCAAGAGAACTCGAACTTTGCATCCGGGTGTGAAGGGTCATCTACTGGAGACACTATTGAAAAATCAGTACAGGTTTTCACAAAGCACAGCTCTCAATGTACTGTAAATATGACCGCCCACGCCAAACCACCATGATGTTTGTAAGGAAAAGTCAGGGATATGACGAAGCGATGCAGCTGAGCAAAGAGTTCGGAAAGATGTGTTTCCTACGTGCAGAACACCTATCAGTATAGTACATCTCAGATTGAAACTTACACTTGGTGTTTGGAGAGCCTACCTGTGTAGCTAAGTGTGTGATCTGGGAACAGTGATTGCCTCGCTACCTAGAGATATATTAAAGTTGATTCAAACAGGTGACTTAGACAACCAACCGAACGAATTCCATCTGCACCAACGACGAGATCTGCTGTCGTATCGGTGCCATCCTAGAACAACAAGCGCACGCCTCCGGATTCGATGTTCTGCAAGGAGACAAGCTTTTTGTTGAACTTGATAACACCTTCTGGGACCTGAGCTCCTAAGACTGACTGCAATCTCGTTCGGCGGACTCTCGTCGGCCCTCGTTTTCTTGGGATTCCTGGCTCGGGTAAAACTATTTCACCAGTGTAGCCATTTCTGCAGAGAATGTCAAATCAGAAAGTCTTCGGAATCAGAATTGTAGTAGAAAGATGATTACCTCTTTGCGCCTGGCACTGTGGGAGCACCGGTGAGGCTATCTGCAGCACCGAGTAACTCCAAAACCTTCCAAGAATTTTCAGCAACGCTGATTCCAGCACCATACTCTGTCAATTCCGAATGTCTCTCGAACAGACGCACACTCAGATTTGGAAGAGCAGAAAGAGCAATAGCAGCTGAGAGGCCACCGATCCCACCACCTATGATAGCGACGTCGATGGTTGGCAAGTCTTCTCTGGTAGCGGAAGGCATGATGCGTAAGTTGAAATCACCAAAGAAACACCAAGGTACCAGTCAAGGGGATCTCAGGCCCATAAGATAGAGATGAGAAGAGATCATGCAGTACCTAGACCTTGAATATTGACAGCCTCAACGAATCAGGAGAAGCCAACCCCGACAGTTCAATATCGACTGATTCCGATTCCACGGTCGAACTTCATACGAGGGCCAGGATCAGCTACGGCCCAAGCAATATTCGTCTTTACGCCAAGTCATGCACACCCCTGTCCATCACAGAAGCTCTGCTATTCTTCGGGACCCTCCGAGTCCTTCCCGCTGTGCGCTGACTTGGCTGAACACGGCGATCCGAACACAATCGCAATGGGAAAACAATGCCACAACAACGTATTTGATCAACGTGGTAGACATCAATGCGAGAAGGCTCCATTTTCTCAGTCTGATAGGCCATAATAGCGGCTGAGGCGGTTTCCCCGCTTGTGACAACAAATATGGCGACTTCATATTGAAGAATCACGAACAACGAGTTATCAAGAATCTTGTGGCAAAGGTTCATTGTGGGGATAGTTGTAAGTGTACATAAGGTAAAGCAACGACTATGCAGGACGAAGACCCCAGTAGCTCTCTTTACATACCCAACGATTCATCGCTTTGGTCCGTTCTTGACCCCTATTCGGACCATTTCTTAATCGGCACGGATTCCGCTTTCTGTTCTCGTTATTCTGCGGAATTCGAAATCTTTCCCAGCTGCAACTTTACTCACAACTGGCGGAGATGTCGAAGCAACTCCAGGGCGTTGTTGAGTCGTCTGCTTATCCGACTTCACTGCAGCAGCCAGTGAAGAAGGATTGGCGTCGGTTCATTTGGGACAGCTTTGACAAATCACCCGAAGAACGGCATTTTCTTCTCAAAATTGATGTCGCATTGCTTAGTTTTGGATGTTTGGGTATGCTCAAATTTTTCATTCCTATCGTGCCCTGACTGTGATGTGCTTCCATTGGAAGGTTCTTTTGGACGTAGCTCATTGTAACCACAGGCTTCTTTGTCAAGTTTCTCGATGCCGCCAATCTCAACAATGCATTTGTATCTGGGATGTATGTCACCACTCCTATTCTCGACATCATAGACTCTGACACAGTACTCGTAGGAAAGAAGACCTGGGCATGTTTGGCAATCAATTGAATTATGTGACGACTTGCTATACTGTTGGGTATATTGTGGGAGAGATACCAAGTAATATCATTTTGACCCGTGTCCGACCATCAATATGGCTTCCTGTTTTAGAAGTAAGTAGGCCCAGCGAGCATGATATCTTCTTCTCTCCCGCATTTACTGACTGGACGCCTAGATAATTTGGTCAGTCTTGACAATGTGTCTTGCGGCTTGCAAAAATACCACTCAACTCTACGTGCTTCGATTCTTTATCGGTAGGTCTCATTAATTATTGGTAGAAGAAATATTATGTTAAATACCTCACCAGGTCTCACTGAAGCTGGATTCTATCCAGGACTCAACTACATGATTGGCTCCTGGTATCGAAAAGACGAGATTGCAAAGCGATCAGGTATCCTTAACGCAAGCGGTAGTATCGCAACAATCTTCTCAGGTGCCCTGATGTCCTCTGTCGTTCATCTTGGTGGGCGAGGTGGCCTTGCAGGTTGGAAGTGGTAAGTGGCAATCCCACACCCTGGCACTCCTATGTCATAAAAGCTTACCTTCATATCCAAGGTTATTTATCGTAGATGGAGTAATATCTCTTCCTATTGCCTTCGCTAGCTTCTTCTTCCTCCCAGATCTCCCTGAAACAAATCGTGGATGGTTCTTCAAGCCAGAGGTAAGATGCGCAACCCAGTAAAGAGACAAACATCTCATTCAAATGCCAATTAGGAAATTCAACTGGCGCAGAGACGAATGGTGGCAGAGGGACGAAAGCTGCGGACACCTTACACCGTCTCCAAGGTGAAAAAGATCTTGACATCATGGCACATATGGCTGTTCAGTATCTTATACGCGTAAGTGAATCTGTACACTCAGATGCCCCGGAATCTCGTTTCTGATTCTTGATACAGGACGCTTGGTGGAACGCAAGGCACTCCCATCTTTCCTCTGTACCTGAAGACTGCCAAAAAGCATGGGAAGCCCAGATACAACCTCGCCCAGATCAACAATTATCCTTCATTCACCTTCACCACCTCTGTCGTTGCCGCCGTCGCGTATGCATGGATTTCCGATGCTTTGGGTGGTCGAAGATGGCCTTTGATGGTCTTTGGAGGGGTATGTTCGCTCTGTGATTGACTTCATTTCTGGCGATGACATGAAGCTGACCAAAGTGTTTGTATTAGACTGTCCAAATCGTTCTTTTCAGCTCATTGGCGGCATGGAATATCGCCGAGGGTTGGAAGTGGGCTTGTTACATTCTATACGGCCAGGTTCTAGGTCTTTCCGGCATCACCAATGCGTAAGTCTACTTTTCCTATCTCGAACTTGAACTTTTCATCAGCATATACTGACACGATTCTTTTGCAGCTGGGCGAACGAGGTTTGCCGTGATGATAACGAGGAGCGTGCTATTGTCCTGGCATGCATGAATATGATGAACAATGTTCTTTCAGCATGGCTCCCACTTATTGTTTGGCAGCAAATCGACGCTCCAAGATATCACAAAGGATTCATCACTGCAGTTTCTACCTCGGCTTTATTTGTCATTGTCTCAGGGTTGGTTGCGGTCTTGCAGAAAAGAGAAAATCGAAAGTGAGTATCCAGTCTCAGCACGATCAGCAAAAGACTGAAAATTCTTGTACTGATTTCTCGTTTCACTTCAGGAAGAATGATAATCTGCAGGAAAGGTCTGTGAGTGAAGTGCAGAGCGCAGATTTGAAGCAGGATTTGGAGGCTGATGAGAAGAGAGCTGAAGTGGGAATCAAGACTCTTTAAATGGTTAATTATTGTCTCAGAGTACGAGACAGAAACGAAGTTCGCCAGATACTTAGTTATAGTAATTGTTATGTTCGTCGAGAAGCATATCTGTCACTTGGGACAGACTTAAATTGAATTGAATGGAATATCTTCCAAACTGAGACCACATTTGCGTGATGTTGGTAATTCTTGAGCCACTGAGGATGTTCTGGCTGCTTGTACTTTCTGATATTTGTCAAGTGATTGCTCCCAATTCGTCTCATGGTAGCTGTGATCGTTTTCGTGTGAGGAATAGCGGGGTAGGGTAATCGTGGGGTCATCGTGGGGCTGGATTTCTTGAAACACAGGAATTGAAGATTTTGATCACAAATTTTGAGAGAGCGCAGAAGAATGATGAGAAGATGTCCAGAAAATTTCCAATTTATAGATTGTAAATCCTACATTTGATCCACTCTGATTTCCCGACTAATTGGTTCCACAGCACATCTATTCCTTCCTGCAGAACAACACTTATATCCTCATCCCGCCCTGCTGAGAAATAACCCTTTTCGACTGTTTCTCTAAGTAGACAAATTGTTGAAAGGATCCTTGGAGTTGGATTAGAAGAATTAAGACCAGAACCCTGCAGATCTGCTTACCTGTTCGCTATAATAACATCAATATCCGACTGTTCCAAGATCGTCACCTTAATTAGAGAATGGCCTGCTTGCAGACCCTCTCGGAGAAGCTTCCACCCTAGCATTGGAAACATACTGCCTGAATCACCCAACACGCGTTTTATGAGAGGCCTAAACAACGAAAATCTGGTAAACCAATACATCAATTTCACCCTTGTGGCCAGAGGAGATGCGAGGCCTTTCGTGGGTTCCGATGACCAGTTCAAGGAGGGTACACTTTCAATCCATTCATCTAGCTGACGTCGAAGTTCTTGGAACAGAGGTGAGAGCTCCACTCTCCTAGTTTGGACGTCTTGAACGTAAAACTCTAGATTGACGGTGGTGAGAATTCGTTCTGTAATAGCTTTAAGAGACATCTCGGCCAGGAAGAAGGTAAGGGTGGTGCGAAGCCGAGGTGGCAAGTGTGAGAGATCTAGCTCGTCACAGCCAAGTGGCAAGGGGAAGCTGTCCTGTAGTTCAGGTAATGGACTACATGATAGGGTGTCATCAATTTCGTTCCGTACATCGCTATCAATATTTAGTAAAGCCTTTGAGCAAGGGGAGAGGGCGCTTACCGTTCGAAGTTCACGCAAATCCAGTAGATACGTCTTATGTTCATTTTCTCTGGCACACCTCTTTCAATGCTATCTGCCTCGTCCCTAAAGATGTTAGTCTTCAAGAAGCATTATGACTGCGTATGACTTCTTCTACCTTTTGAGCATTGTATAAAGCAGTGTGCATCCCGTGTGCAAAGCTTTCCAGAAATCAAGTAGACGTCCCTTCTTCAGTAGAAATAGTGCAGAGAGGACATGAGCTTGGACATATTTCGTCTTGAACTGAGTGCCGACTCTGCTCAGGATATGAGTTGCACGATGGAAGTCAGACATACCACTTCCTGTGGAGTCCTCATCCCTATGCGCTTTTGCAAGAGCAACAATAAGGAGGCTGAAGCATGACTCTATATCTTCACTGAATCCTTGAGCTGCCACAAATTCTGAAATGGTTTGAGCACTGGGGTCGCACATCACGGGATACATGGGACATGCGTGTTCGAGATAATATTGCAGCCATGGTCTGATATCACCAGTATTGGTCGGCTCGCTATGGCTAGTGGAGTCAGACAGTGGAGCACGGTCTTCTTCACAAGCGAAGGGTGATTTCCCCAGGTATCGTGACTTTGTTGCCGCTTCATCGGAGAGAGAAACGGGTGTTTCGTAACTGTTTGGAGCTCTATCTACTGTAGCGGAGGCCTCCGACAAGAGATGGAACCATAGCTGATCGGATGGCAGCAGGAACTGAGCGTCTGTTCCCAGGGGGGAAGGTGTCTCAACAGGTGTATTTGGAAACGCCACCGCTTGCGTGATCTTCGCCTGGCGGTTGGCTGGGGCTGCTCCAGATAGAATAACGTTTTCAACTCTCTCGACTTTTTCTTCAACAAGGGCTAGGCGTTGAAGTAGTGTAGTCACCATCTGTTCTCTACTGTTTGAGGTCAGTTCAGCCTCAGTCAGAAAGTCAGAGACGGGGCAAGGCGCACCTCGAAACTGGCCGCTGCCGGTAATCACAGCGAAAGCCGTGAGTGTCACAATAGCCGCAGATCGGTTGTCCTTCATTGCACTTTACCTTCTTCTGGCGACAGGTCTCACAGGCCTAAGAATGAGTGATCAGCAGAGCCGCAATATCAGATTTCGTTCCACCTTGGGATGGAGGTGGGGCGAGGTCATCGTAATCGTACAGTGTTTGCTTTTGGGATCAGTCTCTTTGAAGCGCCCAAGGCTCTGTTTGCATTCCGAGTGCCGGCAACACTTTCACCGGCACTCCAAGAGGCCTCGGTCCCATCTCGAGACTTTGAAAAGCTTCGTCGTCGTTTGCGCGAAGAGTTCACGTTCTCGCCTGTTTCCATGGCCATCATTGGGAACAGCAGACGCGATCACAACCCCGTGACCGACGACAAGAATAGAATAGGAATCAATAGCTTGGCGCATCTATTCGAGCCGGAGTATGCACCGCCGAAAATGAGTGTTGTTGTTTGCTTGCTTCAAGGGAGATAGATGGAAGGGGAGGACAGTCGAGCGCGGAGGTGAAAGAGCGATGAACGCTGATTGAATGGTGCAATCGGGTTGTGGTTATTACGCCATGGCAGGGCGCAGGGCAGCGCGGGGCACCGGGCACAGCACAGCACAGCACAGCACAGCGAAACATTGGAAGGTGCACACTGAATGCATGGGGGACCAAGATACGCGGAAGTTAATTACCTAGGAAGCAAGCAAGGGACCAACGGTGCAGTGCAGTGCACCGTAAATGCGACAAGAGCAGCCGTATTCGACTGCGTAAAAAAGTCTCCGAAAAGTGTGCGAGCAAAAACACAGAAGCGCCTCCTGTGCTGGCTGGCTGGCTGGCTGTATTGCAAAATGTAGATACCTACCTACCTAGGTACCTAGGTATGATATGATATGATATGCAAGCTAATCAATCATTTCGCGTTTCCGGCGTCGGTAATGAGACACGACAACCAATACAACCGATGCCGTAGCGTACTTAGTCAGCGGCGGTGAGAGGCGGTGGGCATTTGTGTCAACTTTATGCAGACTTATGCAACCACGTCTCTCGGAGCGGGAGCAGCTGGCTGTACCCGTGAGTAATTGGTACCTGTCTTGCCCTGTTAGCGGCATCTACATGCCAGGGTGACTCAAATATAGCTTGACTTCTTCTGTAGCCTTGAGCTCTCATAAATAACTCCATCTTCAAACAGTGCTTCGAATTCTTCGTCTCGCCGCAAGCACCGTGCAGCAAGCTCTCAATACTGTATTCCACTTTCTCACGGGAAATTACTTCTCGCCGCTGTCCACCAGCAATTCAAGCCTCGAATCTCGCGCCATGACTAACATTGTCATCCTTGGAGCCTCCTTCGCCGGTGTCAGTAGCGCACATCGGATTTTGAAACAAGCTGGGAAGACAGGTGCGAAGATCAGAGTCACTTTGGTGTCTCCAAATACCCATTTCTACTGGAACATTGCCCTGCCCCGAGCCGTCGTCCCTGGACAGCTCTCTGATGAGAAGGTCTTCCAGCCTATTGCTCCTGGTTTCAAGCAATATCCCGCAGGCCAATTCGAGTTCATTGTTGCCTCTGCCAAAAGTCTCGGTGTTGAGGCGAAGAAGGTGCACTTGGAGATTCTTGGGTCTGATGAGGACAAAGTGATTGACTACGACTTCTTGATTCTTGCCACGGGGACAAGCACTAAAGGGGGGACACCTTTCAAGACATTGGCCTCGACCGAAGCAACCAAAGATGGGATTCACAACATTCAAGCCCAGATCAAGAAAGCTAAGACGATTGTTCTTGCTGGCGCCGGCGCAACAGGTGTCGAGATTGCTGGCGAGCTGGGATTTAAGTATGGAACGTCGAAGGAAATTATTCTGGTAAGCTAGGTGCTACTCATTTTCGGTTCCCTAATGACTTGCTAACTATTTCAGATTTCGAAGGGACCAACCATTCTCGAGGCAGCCATCCCAAGTGTGCAGAAAGTCGCAACACAGCTGCTCCAAAACCTGAAGGTGAAGACGAAGCTGAAGACCCAAGTCGTGAGCTCCGTTGAAGGAGCAGATGGTCGGCACATACTCGAGCTTTCGAGTGGGGAAAAATTGATCGCCGATGTGTACCTTCCGACGTTCGGTGTCGCGCCCAACTCCTCGTACATCCCCAAGCAGTTCCTCAACGACCGCGGCTTTGTCATAGTTGACGATTATTTGAAAGTGAAGGGAGCAGACAATGTATGGGCTATTGGTGATGTCTCGGACCGCGAACCACCTCAATTCTTATTCGCAGATGGACAGTCTGCTCATATTGCTAAGAACATTATCAAGATTCTCAGCAGCCAGCCATCCCTTCCTTACAAGGATGGTGTACGTGGTAGGTAGTTTCCTTGACCCCTGAACTGCAACTTTGGCTAATATCACGCAGGTATGGGCTTGACGGTGGGCAGAAAGGCAGGAACTGGTCATCTGGGAAATGTCAAGCTTCCCGGATTCCTGGTACACTTCCTTAGAAAGAACCTGTTCATTGACAAACTTGCCCCCACTGTTAGTGGTTCTGCGTACTAAGGCTACTTTGCCTATTTGTTGTTTTTGAGGTTATGGCAGATACCACCATTGCAGAGTATGCATGAATTTGAGTTAATGGGTTTTTGAGGCCCCATAATATTCTATCTCTTACTTTGAAATGAAGTCTTCTATGGTGAAAGCGCTCGAATCATCTGCCTTTCTAAATTCTTTTCCCATTCTGAATACTTCTCATAGCATCCACTCAACATATAGTTTCTCGTGCTTTTTCACCTACGTTCCCACACGCGCGTAGTATCGTGAATGGAGGTTATTCAAGAGCAAACGGGTACCTCTTCTGGATGAGCTTTGAGAGTGTTGTGGACAGTGCGCCTTAGGCTTAGCCCAATTGTCACATGGGGCTTCTACCTTTGATATGGATTTTTCATAGCTGCATATACAAGTCCAGTGACAGCGGCATTTGTGACTAATTATGTACATATGCAGGCTCATTGTGTGATCCTTGAACCTGATCTTCACTTTTGAAATTAAGATTGCAACCATTTATCTCCACTAAATTGTCTCGGACAACGAGACGCGCAAAGCCAATAAGAAGAATGTAATTCATATGCATCCCGAAGCCCGATGAGTAACACCGAAAAGCCAATCAGACTCGGGGCTGCGCTGCAGGTAAGACAGAAACGATGGGTCACCGAAGGGAAGGAGCAAGGCCCGAGCCGTAAGTCGGCCGATTACTTTGAAAACGTGACACATACCAGTTGAATCTAAGTGATACTTTGAACGAGCCCTCGGCCCACGATATTTCCGGTAAGATAGCACTCTTCAGCTGTCCCGTATACTTCGTATGTGTGACATCCTCTCCTGCAAAACAGGCAAGCAGCGCGAGCTGACACTTTGGGTTGCACGCGAAAGGACCTATTGAATATTTTAGCGGTTGCGGCGCGACAAGTAAGCCGTCCTTACTTAGCAAGTGCAATCGCTCCGTATCAAAAGGTGGAGAGATGTCGCCTTACGATAGCGAATAACACAATGCAGTCCGGTTTGAAAAATTGTGAAGTTGTATTCGTCGCTTCGGAAGCCACCCCGAGAAACCTTGTCTTTGGGAACGCCACATGCCCCACGTCTCTTACGGCACGCACAACGCCACTCAATATTTCGGAAACTTGAAGAGGCAGACTGAAAGCGTGGGGCAAATCCCTGGCCGCGCGTGGGAGACGCTTCCCTGCGGCACATGTTGTGATACTTGATGCAGGAGGAAAGCCAATATCAAGTGACGAAGAAAATAGTGCTATTGCACGATACACTCAAACAACAATTGGATCCTCCTCTCTTCAATCGGAAGCATATTCCAGCAAAGCTTTATGTTCGCTTTAGGTATGGTTCATGTTAAATCACGTGCGAGTGGACTCCACTGCAGTACCTAGGTAAGGCAGCAAGAAAATCGATCCGAGACACGTACGCAGATCATCCTCCAAATGCAGGGCTAATCAAAGTGATCTTAGCTTACCCTTGACATATGAGTCCGCCTCGTGGCATCCCGTGATGGCTGAAGACGACATAGACCTTCTCTGCGCTTGAAGGATTCGCAAAAATTGCAGTAATTCCCGAACACTTCCCGATCTTGATCTGACCAGCCATCAATATCAAAGAGGAAGGTCAGAGTCAGCCTCAAGCCTCCCTTATGATTCAATTCCTTCGTTCGGACTCCGGAAGCCTTAAATTGTGATTGGATGATCCAAAATGGCCAAGAAATTGGACGCATCAGTTCATACCAGCAGACTGGGTGGATCAGGGGTGCATGCTTTCCGAGAAACCGCCAACTGGGACGCCTCTCAGAAGACGGCTGGGTTTGGTAAAATGTGCTTGGTGGACCCTTGAAATATAATTACATAGTGATGCAGTGGATGTATAAAGAATAGATTGACTCTCAAAATTGCTCAATTCCTCTCTCCTCACGTTTCAGAACTGCTCACCAAGCAACGCAAGAAAGTTCTTGGAATTAGTGATAAAATGAGGCTCACCTATCTTCGCCTTGGGGCTCTTCTTCTGGCCCCTTTCATCACTGCTCAAGGTATCGCTTTCCATACGCGTATGCAGCTCTTATCGATTAATTGACTGACTTTTATGAATAGTGGATTATCCTAATCTTTCTGTTCCCTACCTCTTTACTTCAGATCCCGTCACTGTACGTATTGCAATCTAACAAAGTCGTTTCTTTTCCGACATGATCGAAACTGGAAGCTTTTCATTGACTAACACTTGAATTAGCCGCTACCACAAGGCTTTCCATGGGGCACCAGAACTGCAAATAATACAAACCCACGTAAGACCCTTGATCACTTGTTGGAAATTTTAGAATACTGACGGCTCCACAGTTGGTAAGTCTTTGATATTTGAAAGTTAACATGCGTATTTTTGGCTCACTTTGGTGTGTTATTTAGATGGTAAGCATGGGAGTGACCTAAATTTCATGCAATAACTAATGCTCTGTAGACCCACCACCAACCGGGCAAGCTCCCTCAAGCCTTCTGCACAAGCCGCATATTCCCATGGGCTGACACCTTTCAGCGTCATTCGTCGATATGACTTCACTATTCAGAGATCCAAGATCGCTCCTGATGGATATCTGAAAAAGGTGCTTCTTATCAACGGTCAATTCCCCGGGCCGCAGATCGAAGCAAATTGGTACAAAGCCATCGATTACAGATCATGAAGACATCGTTAATAGCATAGGGGTGATACAATTCAAGTCACTGTTCGCAACGAGATTACAAACCCTGAAGAAGGGACAGCTCTACATTGGCACGGAATTTTGCAGCGGACCTCACAGTAAGTAACATTTTTTGACTTATTTGGAGCACTTGACTGATTTAGAACCGACTAGGTGGTTTGACGGCGTTCCTTCTGTTCAGCAATGTCCAATACCTCCTGGAGGGACTTTCACCTATACCTTTCTTGCAGATTCATATGGGACATCTTGGTACCACTCACACTACTCGGCTCAGTATGCGGGAGGATTGTTTGGGCCACTGGTCATTCATGGCCCAGAAACTGTGCCATACGATATCGGTTTGTAACCTGAATCCCAGCAACGAGATCTCTCTGACTTTGATAGATGTCGGGCCAGTGTTTGTGACTGATTACTATCATCAAGACTACTTCTCAATCGTTGAAGACCTCTTCTCGTCAGATTTTGGCGTAGTTGTAAGTTAGATATGACCAAAAGAAAATGCTAACCTCGCTGACAACGGTAGGCGGTCCCTGGTGACAATAGTTTTATTAATGGGCGCAACCCTTTCAATTGCTCTACGAAAGCTATTAACGACACAACACCTTGCTTTAACAATGCTCCTCGGTCGAAATTCAAATTTACAGCTGGCAAGAAACATCGCCTTCGCCTGATCAACGCTGGGGCAAGCGCACTTCAGAAATTTTCGATCGATGGCCATAACCTGACTATCATTGCAAACGACTTTACGCCTGTAATTCCTTACGAGACTCAATGTACTCCAATCCCGTTGAACTTTTCGTTTGAAGCCTTACTTACAACTTTCAGTTGTTACCATAGCTGTTGGACAGCGCACAGATATAATTGTTGAAGGGCTCCCAGGTGCCACTGGTTCATATTGTCAGCCACCAAATCTCCTTTTCAATGCTCCTCGCTGCTCTTTGGTTCTGCTGTACTCATTACGAAGAGTTTTCTATATTTCTCGGCTCCAGATACCCCTTTTAAACTCCATACTGATGTGCTATAGGGGCGAGATCAGCAAGTCCTCAGGGCGCATGCGCAAACACCAACGAGCCCAACGCAACGGCTATCGTTTATTACGAGAACGAATACACACCAGACACTACGCCATGGCCAATATTTGAGGAAAGCATACAGATCTGTGCAAATGTTTGTTATTTGATCCATTCCACGACGAATACTGACTTGTTCACAGGACGATCTTACTGAAACCGTACCCTGGTATTCCCTTGCCACCCCTCCGTCGCCGGCAACTACGAAAGAAATCCTGATTGACCTCGTTCAAAATGAAACTGGAAGTTTTCTCTTTACTATGAACAATGTTTCTTTTCGTGGGGATTTCAATGCTCCAATCTTGCTCCTTTCCAACCAAGGCAACAACTCCTACCCTGAGGACCCCCAATGGAATGTATACAATTTTGGCTCCAACGATTCAACTCGCATTATTCTCAACAACAATAATCCCGAACCCACCCAATGCATTTGCATGGTCACAACTTCTTTGTTGAGGCTCTTGGTAATGGAACTTGGGACGGTACGATTGTCAGACCCGAAAATCCGCAGCGTAGAGACACGCAACTTGTCCCTGGATATGGATACTTGGTCATTTCCTTCTTTGCCGACAATCCTGGAGCGTGGCCATTACACTGCCACGTTGCCTGGCACGTGTCTAATGGTCTTTATGTTACGGTATTGGAGCGCCCGGATGATATTGCCAACTTACAGATTCCAAGTGTTCTTGCCCAGACGTGTAGAGATTGGGGTGCGTACACAAATACCACTGTAGTCGACCAGATTGATTCTGGACTCTGAGCTTTCAAGCTAGGTCACGGACTAGTCCATATGTTTGAACGGCCAGGAGAAGGCCACGAAAAAGACAATAACATGTATCTCGCCGTACTTAGTTTAATGCACCTTCATTAAACAACTTTAATACATCGTTCTTGAAGCTACATGATCTCTCTCATCGCGTGAACCCGACATGTAAGACACCGTTTACCCATTGTACAATTGCTTCTATTGATTTTCCCTATTCCACAGAAAATCGTGAATTCTATGCAAAGTTTCAAGGGATTGGCAGATCCATTGACAGAATGGGGTCTTATAGGTGATGCCAAGCATCGGTCCGCTGTACCTTACAGCTCGTGCTTAGTGGGACATTGGAAATTCAAGGCCCTATCCTTGCTCCAATGTTGGCTTGTTCTCCGAAGATCAAGCCGTCTAATTTGTATTGTGGGTGCTTCAGTATCGGCCAATTGTCATCAAAAACCTGGCATGTCCCCCTCGCAACCCGAAAGAAGAATCCCGGTCCTCCGGTTCGGACCTACACTTGGATCTAGCCAAATACGTGGCATCCCGCGGGTAGAGCCAATCTTTCGGACATGCTTGTACATGCTTCGGTTCCGAGGGCGCGTCACCATTGGGAATGCCTCGAATTCGGATTTCTTTTTTCGATCTAATGCCGTTTGAGAGAATTTGAGGTTATATGTTGACTTAAGCATGCATTTAATTCCTACTGATGGTTTTACCACTCCATTTATTTAATCTCGGAAAATTATGTTGATATCTCGACAGCTCCTTCTCTTGAGCCACTGGGCTCTCGGTGTCCTTGCTGCGAAAGACAACTTACAGCGAAATCCCGTCGACACGCCACAGAATAGAAGCTACTGGAGCCCTGGCTTTGACATACAAACCGATTATGAAGACAAGACTCCCCCTGGCAGGCTACGTGAGGTTCGACAATTGCCTTGACGGAAGAAAAAGCTTGTTCTGACAGAGATTCTTAGTACGAGCTCACGATAACTCAAGAATGGATTGCTCCCGATGGATACCTGACCTATGGAACAGTCTTTAATGGTAGGTACACATTGTCGTCTTGGAATTATTGCGTGTCTGACCGAATACTTCTTGTAGGACGATATCCTGGCCCAACCATTGAAGCTGATTGGGGTGACACTTTACGTATGCGGATTGCTCTCCAAGAAGATCTCTTTTGGAGCATAAACTTACAGTTCTACAAGGAATAACTGTGATCAACAACCTCAAGAACTACAACGGAACGTCTGTTCACTGGCATGGCATACGCCAATTTCAAACTAACTATTTAGATGGAGTATCAGGTATTACTCAGTGCCCTGTCAAGGTAAGCTTCAAAGCCCGTGAGGTTCAAATTACGGCAATTAATCTTCGAAGCCCGGGTCATCACAAGTGTACGAATTCACCGTCGGCCAATACGGTGCGTCGTGGTATCATTCCCATTTCAGCCTGCAATGTTGGTAATGTCCCGTTGTCTTCACCACATAGCTAATCTCAATTAGACACAAATGGACTTGTGGGTATGCGTTGATCTGAATTCTATCACCTGAATTGAACCAGACTAACAGATGTTGGAGGACCGCTAATCATCAATGGACCGTCTGTCTTGGATTATGATTTTGATCTTGGCCCATGGCTCTTTAGTGACTGGTATCATGCTGATGCTTTTTCTCTTTACCATGAGGAGCTCGATACCGTCCGCAATCTTGCGCCACTTCCAGATTCAATCGTCCTTAATGGCAAAGGAGTTTGCGACTGCGACCAGGCCACTGATAGTCGATGCACTGGCAAGGCCGAGTATTACGAAGTTCTTGTCACAGAAGGAAAGACATACAAAATCGCGGTTGAGAATACCGGCACTCTTCTGACGCTCACATTCTTTATCGATGGTCACAATTTCACGGTAATTGAAACTGACTTCGTTCCCATTGAGCCGTACTCTACAAATGTTTTGAATGTCGGAATAGGTACGCTCAATCCCTAACGCTTTCTTGTCGCAGCTAATTGATAATTAGGGCAACGATACATCATACTCGTTGAAGCTAATGCCTCTTTCGAGCACGGTACCAACTTCTGGATTCATGCACATTACTGCGCTCTGGCTACATTCTTCCCAACTTCGAGTGTTGGAATAATACGATACGATTCACACAACACTAGCGACCCCTACACTCCTCCTGCCAGTGAGCTAAATCAGAATTTCGGCTGCTCAGATCCAGACCCGAAGGATCTCGTTCCTATTGTCAAGAGAACAGTCGGAAATAGAGTCAACACCCAAGAGGAAGCAGACTACTTGAAAATTGGGTTGGAATTCTGGCCGAACGCATCAGATCCAAACTCTCACATCCACAAATGGATGCTTCAGAACACTCCTTTATATCTCGACTGGGAGGATCCTAGTCTCAAGAAGCTTGCCTTGGACAAAAACTCATCCTTCCCTGCAGAGACTGTTCCTTACTTCTTGGACTTTGAGACCGACGAATGGGTATACTTCGTCATCACTAACAATTACTCTGTCGAAACAGTATCTCCTCCTCGTCAATCGATTCAGTCAGTCCACCCTATCCATCTTCACGGGCACGACCTTCTCGTTCTTGCTCAAGGAGAAGGCTCATTTACGAACGATATAGTACCAAACTTGAACAATCCATCCCGGAGAGACGTTACCGATGTTCCAATAGGCGGCTTTGTGTGGATTGCCTTCAAGGTCGATAACCCTGGAGCATGGCTCATCCATTGCCACATTGCGTGGCATGCAAGCGACGGTCTTGCGTTGCAATTCATCGAGCAGCCTAATAAAATCAAAGGACTGTTGACCAATGCTGGTGTGTTGCCTGAGTTTAGCCAACGATGTGATGAGTGGAGTGATTGGTACACAGAGGTAAATGAAAAGGTTGATGCCCTGCAAGAGGATTCGGGCATTTAAGATCTTGATAAGTTCAAGGCACTCGCTTTGGCATGCGCTAGTATCATATTTAAAAGCTTCAATGCTAGATTTGGGGACTGCTCCTGTCAAGAATTCACTAGTTCTGTCGCGATTTAAAAGCAACCCAGCAAGCTAAGAAGAAAGTTGATCAAATCTCCTCCTTTTTTTGTGATGGTTTCTCTTCCCAATCTACCAAAGAGCCCAAAATTTGCATCCCGGTCCCAACGAAGAATCTCCATCAGTCCTTGGTACAAGTACCGAAGATGAATGTTGAACTTTGAGGAAATCGATGTTCACATGGACTAGATTCCAATTCTGGCGGAATCATGAGTAAAACTAAACGAAATCAAAAAGACATTTACGAGATCATTGCGAAGCGGGTGAAATTAGGAAAACAAAGACGAAGCTGATTACAATCACTGTTGTATATGTTGCACCGTAATGCGTCTAACAATAAGGAGGTCTGCATTCAAATACTTGAATACATGAGATGTACCTATGCCAGAGGAGGGATTCGTGCCCAAAGGGGATCGAAACCGACACCCCATATCCATTTATCATCAACAGGAATGTCCAAAGTACTGTCATATGACAATTGCGCAATCTTAAACCATGAATCGCCCTTGATAGGAAACGCAACAGACCCTTCACCATGCTCGAAAGGCTTGGATACCTCCTCCCCGTTCTTCAAAGCTCGCACAAACTTTGCTACATGTCCATCATCATGAGCCTCATTGACAACTTTGTAAAGAGAAGCCCAGTCCAGACCCGCGCTCTTAGTAGCCTTGTAGTTGGTCACATCCTCGATGTGAAGTTCTGCGGCAGAGCTTGCAGCGTAACACACAAGATCAAGTCGAGCTTTCCACTCCACAACGCGTACTTTGTCTGCAATGCTAATCCATGGCTGCTTGATGAGCACGGTCAAGAACAGAGAGCTAGTGACATTGTGCATGTGAAAGAAGTCGATCTTTCGCGCTTTGCCTGCTCGTTGTGCAGCACCAGCAGTATATGCCGCAACGTTGATAGCTTCCGCAGTCGATCGCTCCAAGTCTTCAGGGTTGACACGGAACTGAGCAGCCAAGGCTGCTATCTCTTTACCAGCGCGTCCAATAACACCATCTCGTACTCTGACTGGACCATCTGGTAAGCGGGCAGAGTAATGAAGTTTATCATTTGCACGAATTTCCTGAAGCAGTTGAACCAGTGTCTTGCTTGGTGCAGTCGCAGATTGCGAGGCTAGTTGCTCACTGTGATTGAAGAATACATCAATATTGGCCGAATCGTGCGTTACGCTCTGGGCGAGACCTTCTGCAATTATGCTTGGCTGTTCGAACTCGATACCGAGACCGACGTGAATGAAGGGGTGGAAGGCACCTTCGTAAAGTTGAGCGAATAGTTTCTCAGCAACTGGAGTACGACTGAAGAGGTATTCTTGCACGACTGCTTTCCAACCCTTTGAGTCAATTTGTTGCTCGAAGAACGCCAAGAAGTTGGTATAGTGGTCAATCTGACCAATCTTCGTAAGAAACTTTTCTGAGTCTCCTAAATCCTGTACTACCTGCTTGTCTAACGGAGGAGTGGGTCGTTGGATCTGGATGCCATCGTCATAAGCTCGTTGTAGCTGAGCAGGACCACCGCCGAGAGCAAGCACGCTCAACACTGAATGTGATATGTGGTTGTGACCACCAACGTCCCTCCAATAGACATGATAGTCGTCGTGGTTCTTCTGCAACAAGCGATCGACAAGCTCAAGTGATCCTTCTGGACTGTCGGCAATGCGAGCGATGCCTACGTGTTCTGGGGACAGACGGACTCGTGATGCTTCGGTTGTTGTGATTGATGTCGACATGCTTGCTGCTGCTTGAAACTCTTTGTTGTCTATCTTCGTCTCAATATCTCAAAGAATGGATACAAAACTAGGACAAAAGCTTTCTGATAAAGTTATCCTATCTGAGGCAAAGCATTACCAAGGATAATCTATGTACAAGATCTGCTAACAACTGACTCAGTATCAGCTTAAGCAAGTGTTCGGAGACCGATACTGCATGACATTACCTTGCAGGACAATCTAGCCCAGGTGGATACTGGGGTTAGCGTCTTCGGAGAGACCAATCAGCCGACATGAGTGAGAGTGCCTGGGATGGCAAGATCTGGTCATCGCCGACCTTGTGAACTACCGAGCGGAGATCACGGAGATCCTGATTCCCGTAGGTGCTAGTAGACAGCAATGAGTGACCCTGAAAACTTCCGTAGTTGACTCCGCTTCATTGGGCGAGAAAATTCTTGGGTGCATGTTGGATTTCTATTAATCACAAGGCAAGTGTGAAAAATTGGAAAATTTAAAATCTATACCATCACTTTTTATCAGCTTTCCATCAAGTATGGCCCTATCTAGTACTCAAGACCTCGAGACGCCTTTCACAACTGCAGTTCTTGGCAGTGATGTTGATTTCTGGCGCTCTTACATTGCTGGACGTCCCTCACCGGACGAAAGTTTCTTCCACTTAATTAACGAGTATCACTCGAGCCACGGGCAATCCAAGACTGCCATTGCGCATGACGTGGGCACTGGCCCCGACAATATTGCGCAGAGACTACTTGCCTACTACGACCACGTCGTAGGTTCAGACTTGAATGATCAAGCATTGGCTGCTGCTCCTGCATTGATCCCCTCCGAGCTCTATAAACGGACGACCTTCATCAAATCGCCTGCCGAGGCTCTCGCCAGCGGCGTTGTTCCCAACGGCGTGGGTTTAGGAAAGACTGATCTCATCACAGTCAGCGAATGTATACCTTTACTAGACGCTCCAAAGGCATTGGACGCGTTCCATGAATTGCTTCGCCCAGAGGGAACTCTCGCTATCTACTTCTACGGTCGAGCAATCTTCGCGGAAGGAGACATCCATACTCTCAATGCGATCTACGATGCCATCGCAACACGTATCTGCACTTTTCTACTTCCTTTCAAAGGAACGCCAGGATTTCCGTTTCACGTTCGTGGAGCCGAGGCTCTGGTCAGCCGCCTGGATAACATTGCTTTCCCATCTGAAAGTTGGAAAGGGGTAGAGAGATATAAGTGGAATTATGACTACCCATTGCTTTTCAACAGCAAAGAGGGCTATGACTTCGACTTTGAGCCCGTGGATCGAAGGGCGGAAGGGGAGAAAACCATAGAAGTCATCGACAAGCAGTTTTGGGCGAAAGAGTGGGGAGTTGAGGAAGTGAAGACTTACTTAGATTCTGTCTATCCCAACTGGCAGAAGAAGGCCGGCGCAAGATCTACGGAGGTGGATGAGCTACTAGAAGAACTTCGAAATGCTCTTGGAGGAGGAGGCTCGAAGAAAAAGGTTACCTTTCCTGTGGTCCTGATTTTGGCAACGAAAAAGTAAAAGCCAACTCTGAGCGATCTGTTTGCTTTCCGTTTGTTCCTATAAGGTCAGTATGATTCATGGAACTTCATACGTGCAACAGGTATGATCGATGCTGTCGAAGAAATACAGTTGATACGTCTTTCTCCTTTGAGTACACCAAGGCTGTTCAGAAATGTATACACTTGCATATCTGCAAAACAAAAATTCCTCCGCAGCTTTAGACTGCGGCAGTCTCTGTCTCTCTATTTTCCCTCTCATTTTGTGCACGCAATGTAATTGCAGTAACCGGGTTTGACCCCGCGGATCCCGCCATCAGGGGCTTAAGCGAGACGACCTACCTTGAAGTTCAGCGAGAATCGGATTCAGTAGCGCCGGGAATCGTGGGATCTGATGTCGGGCTCCGAAATCACCGGAGAGAGCAATGCAACCATTTGCATACCCGACCGGCGAGGTGATTGAACAATAATGCACGACAAGTTCGCAATACCGGGATGATGAATGTCGGATATAATGACTTGAAAAATTGGCAACTAGTTCCTCGGATTTTAATCCTGAATCGAGAACAGGCTAGCTGCTGCCTTGAAAGACAGGCATGAAATCTCAGATGACATTCAATATGAGAAGTTCATCATGTCTCGTGAAATGTTATTTATTTTCCTTTAAACTTTGAGTTTTTTCCTTGCCATAGCTTGGAGACTTTAAGATGTTGTCAAGCTATCTGAGATTTCTTTCTTTGCTGTTGTCGGCGTTGCTATCTATGGCGTCTGCATCTTTTAGCTACACATCAAGAGATATCACCACATCGAGTACATGCCAAAATTTCCTCATTCCCATCAACGTCACGAGCATCAGATTTCTTCTCGATATTGAGATTAATGATGATTGGGACGCTGTGGATTACATCTTCAACGCTACTCGTCGCGACACACTGACGGCTTTCCAACCTATAGTTGGGAACGTCACAGCTGCTTCTCAGTACAACATCGGCGCCACATTCTGTGCTCCAAAGACGAAAGGAACGAAATCTGAGACTGTGTTATTACTTACACATGGGTCGATGCAAGGTCGAGAGTTTGTTCACCCCACAATTGTAGTCTCAACAAGTCGAATTGCTGATTAATGATGCTGATTAGGTATTGGAATCCTGCATTCAGCGGCTCCGACCCTTACAACTTCGTTAAACACGCTCTTAATGCGGGGTATTCTGTGTTTCTTTACGACCGCATCGGAAACGGACAATCATCTAGGTAAACCTGCTCTGCTCCACTGTTTGAATATCATCACTGATCACGAAAGGTAGACCGGATCCGGTGACAGAAGTCCAATACCCCGTTCAAGTGGAGATGTTGACAACTCTCGCCAAACTGGTAAAGACTAGACAGTCGCTCTACACGCTCGGAGTCAAGGTCAACAAAATTGTCCACGTTGCGCATTCTTTCGGCTCTTTCATCGCTCTCTCCTCTACCGCCAGCAGTCCAACGGGACTCGTGGATGGTGTGGTCTTAACTGGATTCTCGGGATACTTTCAATGGCTAAGCCTCTTCACATCTGGCGGCCAAGCACGCGTGGCCGCGCTTTCGCAACCATCGAATTGGGGTTCTTTGCCTCACGGTTATTTGACACCAGTTGATATTTACGCACTTAGTTATGGGGGGTTCAAATCGCCATACTTCGATCACGGTATTGCACAATCTTTGTTTGATCAGCAGTATCCGTTTGCGATTGGAGAGTTGTTGAGTGCTGGTGCTACTGTGCTGAACTTATCTGCGATTGAGGTTCCTGTTCAGGTTAGTACCCACATCTATCGCCAAACACAAAGCGTTTCAATGTATGCCTTTTGAAAATAGAACTAATGATGTACATCGCATAGGTTGTCGAGGGAGCATACGATCTGACGGCATGCGGCGGTAATTGTATTGGTGTTGTTAACGAGACGGCTTCCTTCTTCCCAAATTCCAAGAACGTGGAGGTAAATGGCTCTTTCAATGCTGGGCACTTTTTAAATTACCACTACGATCCACCTCAGGCGTTTGATTTGATAACGAGTTTCGTTGATAAAAGCGGTCTTTAAGTTTAACCTAGTTTTCATAATTGACTTCCATTTCACGGCTTCCTTTGTGGTTGTGGCTCGAGTCTTAATCCATAATTAATGTTTGCAGGCATATGGAAGTCCGCTCAAACACTTCTTATACTTCTGCGGTCCGCGAGCTGGCGTCAAGATGTGATCACGTGTATACATTTCGCTGCGGAGCGCAACTGTGCCCGGCTTCACGACAGCCTGATGTGCAGAGACCATAGACCATGACTCAGTGGAGCGCTGACCCCAGAGTCTTTGATAGTTATTATATGGACTGCCCACGTGGAGCATTCTGCGGTGCCTGGGTGTGAGGCTCGAAAGCCCCGCTTTCCCATTTTACCCTTACCCCACCTTTGTGATCCCTCACCTCATGCGGATGCAACGTAGCTTATCACGTACTACAGGGAAGGCTTATCAGTTATCTCAATCTGGGAGGTGCATAAATCTTATATTATCCACAGACCGCCCCGAATGATTTCTTCAAACCCTCAAAACAATCAGAAATGTTGCAGAGATCTCGAACCGGGACGTGGATGCCCGCATGGGTTCCACAATCCACTGTCACACTCGCTTTTTGCCTCATGTTTTGCTCAATGGTTCAATCAGCGGTACGTATACGTAAATTTACCGCTCGCAAACTCTCAACTAATATCGCAGACTGGTGGATATGATGGTTCGATGTTGAATGGCCTCAATATTCTTCCCTCGTATACCGACTACTTCAATTTGAATGCTGCAACGACGGGTCTAAATACTGCCTCTGTCTTTATCGGTGGAGCTCTTGGTCCTATTTTCTCTGGCATCGTGTCTGATCGTTATGGTCGGCGCCCAGCAATCTTCTGGGGATCAGTTATTACCCTCCTCGGCGTTCTCCTCCAAACTGCAGCTCAGAACATCGCGATGTTCGTTATAGCTCGAATCATTCTTGGCTTTGGAGCTGCTCTCTCCGGTATCGCAGGTGGAGTATACCTCTCGGAAACTTTCCCCAGCCGATGGCGAGCTTGGGGAGTTGGTCTGCTCAATGATTTCTATTAGTGAGTACCGGATCACTCTAGATGAATTCGATGCTTACAAATGATAGTGTCGGCGCACTCATCGCTGCTGGAATCACACTGGGCACAGGACAATGGAATTCCACATGGGCCTGGAGATTACCTTCTCTTCTTCAGGGGGTTTTCTCACTTCTCTGCATCATCATTCTACCATTCATGTACGCAAACCCCTCTGTCTCTGAATTTAGCTAACCAAATAGCCCTGAATCTCCTCGATGGCTTGTGCATGAAGGTTTCTTTGACGAGGCGCGAATTGCCGTTGCGCAAACAAATTCTAACGGGGATATATCCGATCCTATTTCGATTGTTATATACAAGGAGATTGTGGACACATTAGATTGGGAAAAGAGAGAGTGTCGGACCATGAGTCCTATGGAAATGATCAAAACTCCTGTTGCCAGGAAAAGATTGCTCATCGGAATGTCTCCCGGTCCATTTTCATGTATTGCTGGAAACATTATTGCCTCATACTACCTTGGCTCCGAGCTTGATACAGCAGGCATCACAAACACGCTGAGTCAACTGAAAGCCGTAAGTTTCATTGTCAAATCTTGGGATTCTTTTCTAATGATATAGAACGTTGTTCTCAATGTCTGGTGTCTCGGCTGCTGCCTCGCAGGAACTCAGTTAGCTGCCAGATGGGGAAGAAAAAGTACAGCTCTCCTGTCTCAAAGCCTCCTCATTGCTTGCCTGTTCATCATCGGAGGCTTGTCAAAGATGTACGCCGATAATCCGGATGGCGCTTCCCAAAGTCTGGTGTACGGAGATGTGGCAGTCATGTTCCTATTCCAAGGATTTTACTCTATCGCATGGACCCCACTTCTGTACTTGTATCCTCCGGAAGTCATGAACTACTCAATCCGTGCCAATGGATTGGCAGTGTCGGCTTTTATGTTGAATGCACTTGCGTAAGTTCATCCACCTGACTTCGTTGCCAAGCTAACTTCACAGGCTCGTTTTTGTATTCATCATGCCAATTGGTCTTGCTAATATTGGCTGGAAAATGTACATGGTGAATGGATCTTGGGATATTGTCATATTGGGTCTCATTGTGGGTAGTACCTCGTTATTCTTATCACACGCTGACCTTGCAAGGCGTATTATTGGGTGGAGACGAAAGGCAGAACTCTGGAAGAAATCGATGCATTGTTTGAAGGCGAAAAACATTCTTCTGTCCCGGACGTTGAATTGGTTCGGACAGGAAAGGCAGATTTTGACATCAACGCGTTGGAGCGAAACGAGGTCGAGATGGAATCAACGAAAATGAAAGAGAACTGAGGAACCACCACGTACTTCCACCATAAATCACATCATTCCGTATGCCTTCAAATGCAAACTCTCTCTCAACCAAGAGCTTTCCTCAACTTTGCAAAGTTCAAAAAGCCCAATCCAGTCGTTGGATCCCATCCCGTTACTGCAGGATATCCATAAGTACCACGCGCGTGGTTGTGACCAGTTGTGATATCATTCAATGCTGACCTCGCACTTCTACGGAGCAAACGTTTCAGGAATCCCAATGTAGACTTTCCCTCACTGATCCGGTAACCATTGATCAAGGCAATCATTACTGCCCATGACGGAGACAACGCTGAGGTTCCATACACTTGCGACAATATCGTAATATTCTCCAACCAGCGCAACATCCGGATATCCACGAGCATTGGCACTGTAGCACCCATTGTATGAAGTGTCAAGGTTGCTGCTGATGTAGCTTTGGGTATCAAAACTCTCATAGGATAGCGCAGAGAAAGAGCACGAAAAATCCACCACCACTTGAGCCTCCACGCTGGAAGGTGGCAGATTGTTCACCACCATCTACAAACTGTGCAGAGCCAAGCGAAGTGATTTATGGGCATGATACAGGGAAAAGAGCATAGTAACCAGAGTTGCAGCTGCTTTCCCCTCCCTCAAACACCGAAATCTCAATCTACCTTCCCAGCGAAACAACATAGCTAGCACTGAATTTTCTACCAACATGCGATCCAGGCACACATCATAGTAGATACTGAGAGTACTCGACACGAGAAAATGTGCACAGACGTTCTCTTTGAGGCTAGATACTCCAACACTTGTCCAACTATCCGGTAGTCTCAAATTTTGCTGCTGTCAGTGCGCTAGAGGGACTTGCCATTGTCACATCGAACCTTAACAGGAAGGTAATAAAATGAGCTTTCAGAATCCATCCCCAGTCCATATCAAGCTTATATTTAAGCGCAAAGACGTCGCACAATTAGGTAAGAGAGTAAGTCCCACAGCAGTCTTTTCGAGGCCAGCCGATCTCTCGACCCAGAACTGATTGTGAGCCGTGTTCAAAGTGAGAAGGGTCTGTTTAGATCGAAAACTGTCTCGGCAGAAAGGCAAAAGAAGATCGTATGGACCCGCTCGGCTGATGATGATGAGTTCACAATCTTCGCTTTCCGCTCACTAGACTTGGATACTATCCACCTTGAGTCTGGCTTCACCGGTCGCCATTGTCCTCGCACACCTAAGCATCGCGTCGAATAAGCTCCGCATTCAGTCCCATTTATTGTCAAAAGTGATTTTTGTGTCTGCCATCAACAGAAAGAGAGTAGCCTTTTGGAAAGTAAGATCTTTGAAAGCATTGGGTGCCGAAAACTGTACATTGAGGAAGAAGCCTGGATGCTTAGCCTCCAGATCTCCTGCTTTCCCGCCAACCTCATCAGAGATTGTGCATGTTTGAAAGCAGTTACACCTCATTTCGGTCAACAGGGAACGAAAAGTCGAACCAAATTCTGATCTAGCCCACCCTAATTTCGTTCGTAACCACTCGCGAACCCCGGATTTTGGAATCGTGTGTAGTTTCTCCGATGGTCTCGCTGCCCATTCCCTGCTGCATCCACTCGTTGACTGCATTCAGTCCACCTCTTATGCATTCTGCCTTTGCACCTTTCGCCTTGAGAATACTTGCAGCAATTCTAGCAGTATCACCATCATTGCAAACTATCAAGACTCTTTCTTTCCTTGACAACTCCTTTGCCAGCAGTGATGAAGTTTCAAGACTCCCGCCGCCAAATAAGCCTTCGAGTTCTCGCCACTGCTGATCAAACAATCGCGCGTCGGTGAATGGAGATGGACTATCGGCCTTCAACGAGGAAATTGAAAGGCTGACAGCTTCTGGAAGATGAAACATCTGAAACTCTTCTTTTGTCCGAAGATCCAGGACCGTTCGGTTGGCGCGCAATTCCCATGGCAAGATGGATTTTTTGTGAGAAGCAATAGATAGCTCATAAAAGTCTGGGATCACTGAGATTGGGTCGAGTTCTAGATCATAGTAGTTGTTATAAAGGTCCACTCGGGTCAGATGCTCGTTTGTGATGGGAGGGAAGCAGGAGCTATCCAACTTGTCGAAGTAGTCGCTCATGTACTGATAGGGAAGATCACAGCATAAGAAGACGCACTTGATGTCGCCAGCTGGGCCAGCAAGGTCTTGTAAAGTGTCTGCAGCCTTTCTTCTCGACAAAAACTGATACAAGCCTGATTTCTCGTTAGAACATTCGACTGCATTGACATGAACTTTTACCTTTTAAATTAAATCCAGATGATGGACCGCAAATCAAGCCAGCACGAGAGAGGTCCATGGACAGACTGAAGGAGTCCTTTGAGCCAACTTCTTCGATGGCATCAATCGCAGCTCTCCATGGAAACTTGACAGGCTCGATTAAAGCGTAAGATCGCGGACCAGGCACACGATCTCCAGCCGCTGTGAACACCCTGGCTACAGTCAGTCAACTTCATCGCAAAATTGGAGGAACATACCCAACCCGAACCACAGAAGGTTTCTCATCGCCCAAATATGTGCCGATCCCCGTCATCGTCCCCGAAGTCCCAACACCGGTACACAGAACGCTGAGATCCGGTAGTTGTTTGAGGATCTGTGGACCTGTCCATTTGTAGTGAGCACTCCAGTTTGCATCGTTCTCGTACTGATTCGGATTGCACATCGTATCATCTTCAAGTGACTGAGTACGAGCAACCTGAATTCCACCGCGATGATCATAGGGATCAGGCTGGGAAGGCCCTGCAAAAAGAGTACTGCTTTTGATCAGTGAATTCTCGGAGAATAGCATGCCACCTACATATTGAGTCCAAAGAATTGCATCAGCTTGAGCTTCACATCTCCAGTCTTATTGGAGAGGTAAGCTCTGCAGTCATGAATGCCGTGGAATATTCTCGCTGGAACGTCAGCATAATTCGGAAGACCATGAAGTGGGACTTGCCTATCATGGACATCGAAATTACAGTAGAGCCGGAGCTGTATTCCACGATCGTTTTTGTGTTCTGCGGGTCTACACAGCTTGATAGCAAGTTCATAGCTGTCAAGTTAGCTACTGGAAATGGTGCCGCCGCCAATGAATGTACCTGGCAATGATTTGACATTGTGTGCTGGCAGCATTGTCATCATCTTAGCATATATCCGAACCCCATCTTCTCGAAATGGATTTAAGGAATCGGGAATTTCGACAAGTGGCAGCAGCGGCGCAAAGTCGGGGTCAAAATATTTCTGGAGCGAGTCCCTGCCAGAATAGACGTTGAGAGGATTTGATACAGACATCATGCAGCTGTTTGAGGTTTATAGAAAATGTCAAACTCGATGGTAAGATCTGAAAGCGAGGAAAATGTCAATGATAAAGAATTGGCCGAGATCATCTTGGTCCTCAAGCACGTGCTCAAGGTGCGTTTGATGTCTTTTTGGTCCAGTTGATATGGCATCCCCCTAGCTTACCCAGCTTCCATGAAACATGCCTCGTTGCGAAGAGGGCAGTTTGTTCCATCGAAGTCCTTCCATTGGGTAATAATGAGCACATTAACAGCGAGATGATGGTCAGCCAAGACTCTGAGATTCAGACTTCCGTCTAAAGTAGACTGTTTTTGTACTGAATCCTTGACATGATTTGCTCGTCGCTGCGCAAGAATGAGCAGGTAAATTGAAGTCTATTCGGATGATCGTCCCTGCGAACAATTGACAGCTTGTACCATTCCATGATGGGAACGTGAAAATTATACAGAAGTCTGAGATGCAAAGAACCTTATGTGCGCAGATATGAGCAAATAATTATGCCAGAGCACCGAAGAGCCCCAACAATTGAGTTTCAGCCTAAGATCAGCTCGGTTTGGTTCCAAGCTTGGCCCGTGTCTCATTTGCTATGCCAAGTGGATCGTCAACTAAGTTGCGGGACCTTGCCGCTGCTAGTGCCTGTCACGCCGGTAGATGCAAAGATCTCCATTTTTGACAGACAGATTCCTCGGCAATCCAACTGGATTTTCCTGCTGGGTCCATCTTAATTGTGTCTGGAGCATCAGGCCATACTTTATTTGACAGTGCTGACATCGCAATTGCGAATACTGGCAGGAACCGTAAAATCTTCAGCGCACTCATCCCCCAACAAACGACCAAAGTGATCTGAAAATTTTCAGTTTCGACTTGCTGTGACTCTCAGCCATGGCTGGGACAGAGGCTGGAGAAAAGATCGAGGCCAATCAAGTGGCAACGTCTGGGGAAATGCCAAATGCACCAGACGAGAAAATGCAGTTCAACGAACAGACAAACTACCTGCCAACCTCGAAGGTCATCGCGGTAGGTCGTCTCAGAGTGCTTCGAACCGAATTAACATGGTGCAGGTCTTTTTGGTATGCGCCTCGGTCGACTTCGTCACTTTGATGGACCAAACAACACTTGCTGCCAGTTTGTCCATCATCAGTTTAGAATTAGGTGCAGGTAGTCAGGCATCCTGGATCGCTGGCGGATACTTTGTGTGAGTAGTGAACTTCAACATCAACTGCTTGAAGACTGACTTTCAAGGACTTCAACTTCATTTCAGCTATTGTACGGCCGGCTTTCAGACATTTGGTCAAGGAAAAATATCCTGCTTGTCGGCCTCGCAATATTCTTCTTCGGATCTCTGGCTTCTTCATTATCAACCAGCGTCAACCAACTTATCGCTTTCCGTGCTATCACTGGAGTCGGAGGAGGTGGCTTGATGACCATAGCCCAGGCGATCGTGAGCGACGTCGTGTCTTTGAGAGAGCGTGGGAAGTATCAAGGCATTTTTGTGAGATGACCGGCAATAATGTTTACAATTTCTGACACATCCAGGGGGCATTCGTGGCGCTTGCCAATGGTATTGGGCCAGTAATCGGAGGTGCCCTATCGGAACACTCTTGGTACCCTGAACGATATACAGATCTTCAATCAAGCTGATATCAATAGGAGATGGATTTTTCGATTGAATCTCCCTTTGACAGCACTCTGTGTCATTGGAGTAGTCTGGTTCATGCCTCTCAAAAAAGTGGTTGGAAGTTGGAAGAGGTTCCGTTGCCACAAACAAGTGAATAGAGCTTGGCTGATCCGACCAGGAAACTAGCAGCGGTAGACTTTATTGGTGCGTTCCTCGCACTCGCTGGGTCGACTCTTCTCGTAGTATGTTCTTCAAATATACACCGACGAAATCTATGCTGACATCCCAGCTTGCCTTAACTTGGGCTGGTGGAGAGAAATCATGGGACTCAGCACCGGTGATTTCTACTCTGGTATTGGGACTCTCATTTTGCGTAGCGTTTGCCTTTTGGGAATGGAAAGGGCCAGCTTTGCCGCTTGTTCCTCGTAGGCTGCCAAGGAAACTTTCCAGTCGTCAAATACTAATTATCACCAGTTCATATCTTCAAAAGCAGAGTTGTCAACGGAGCTTCTTTGACCATGTTGTACGTTAAAGAATGTGCCCCGAATAATTTTGACTGATCAACTTCAAGCATCAATGGATGGAATTTTGTGACTCAGGTGTACTACATTCCAACATTCTATCAATTGGTGCATGGCTACTCGGCAGTCAAATCGGGCGCCCTTTTATTGCCAATTACATTAACACAAAGTAAGGAATTCGAGCTGATCTAACATCCATAAATAACAGTTCCCAGCAATATTCAGTACCGTTTCTGGACTGGTTGTCCACTGGACTGGTCGGTACCGAGTAGGTGTTTCCATACATCTTGGACTACAAGAAGGTTAACGAAACTTAGGAGAGTATATTATTTGGGTGGATTGCTTGGGCCGTCGGCCTCGGCATGATTTCGACCCTGGACGAGACTTCCGGACTAGGAAAACAGATTGGATATGCAGTTCTGACAGGATTTGGTGTTGGCAACACCTTGCAGCCGTAAGTACCCAGAAGAAGATCGGAGAGATGACTAATGATTCGTAGATCACTTATTGCGATACAAGCAGGAGTGTCGAGGAGAGAAATGGCAGTCGTGACTTCGTTCAGAAAGTGAATTAACGCCCCCGTCGCTCCTTGGCGATAAGACTGACCCAGAACAGCTTCATTAGAAACCTCGGAGCAACGCTTGGCTTGGCTGTGGCAGGGACGATCATGTAAGTACTAATGGTGTTCTGCGAACGGATACTTACGACCCTAGAAATAATAGTCTTCGCGCCGCGTTAACGCAGGTGGGAAGTCTCGGGTCAAATGATGTGCAGTGGCTGTTGAACCACCCCGCAGAAGTATTGAGCGGAGCTACCATATTGCCTGGAACACAAACATCACTTGATCTGAAGGAGGAGTTCATAGCTGCATATAAAAAGGGATTTCGGATTGTCTTCCTCCTAGGAGCAGGACTTGCAGCACTCGCTTTCATTTTTGCTTTTGCGCTACTCCCACAACTCGAATTATCTCGACCAGATGAAGTAAAGCTCAAAAGAGAAGGAAGGGGACAGCAGGGAGAAGTACCGGATGGGAATCATCATGAAGGTGAGACCGGCATCAAGGCTGAGTCAGAATGAGTGGAAGTACTGTGCTTGAAAATGGACGGAGGCGCCAAATCAAGCGTTGATCATATAAAACAAAAGCAGTCGGAAATTAAAGGGCGACAACTAAATAGCATGCTACGAGACCCAGCTAGAGGCAGATGGGTATCAAATACAGAAGCGACATAGACCATTGTGCAAGGAAAAGGTTTGAAGAATTGTCAGCACGTGATACCTGGTTGAGTTTCGACACTTGGGCGGTTCTGGTGCACGAGAGTCATGGCTATGAGGGTTCATGCTGAAGCGACGTTGAGGTGCAACGCATCTTCACATAGCCACGTGACCATGGAAAGAAACGTCCTCTTTTGGCATCTTGATTCGTTGGATAAACAGAAGAAGGTAGAAAGGAAAAGAATCGGCATCAGGATGATTCATATGCTTGCTTTCAGAATCCGTTGCAAAGGCCTGGATTTCGCCTGAAGGTCCTGGAGATGAAGAAGAGCTCCAGTTTCGGCGTCTTCTATGTAGATTGGAGCTTAAAGGAGAACGATGGATTGATGCACTACGGCGGCTGAGATGAAGTATAGAAGAATCAGAAACTTTTCTGCTGAAGTTATCATGATTGTATTTATCGAAGAGCTGGTGTGAAGTTCCAGGTTGCGAGAAATGTCAGCCTCACTTTGCAGACCCCGAGGTGTGGCTGTGGCTGTGGCAATTTCTGGGCTGCACAGCCTCTATTGTGGCACTGATCTTCACCCTGCTGGGCCTTCGACTTCAGCACATGCAAAAGATGGCTGGGGCCTCTTCATTTCATCATGCAGCCTCATTCACATTGATTCACTCGTCACTCATTTGCTGTTTCCGTTTTCTGCTGCTGCCTTGCCTGGCACGCTGTGAATCAAGCGTCATTGTCTCAATTGTGGTCTCGCATCAATGGCAGCCCAACCAATCCACGTGGCTTGCCACCATAAACTTACGCGGCTGCAGTGACACACCTAAGGGCAGCCTCACCGGCACAACAGAATAAAGGCTGCGACAAACGCTTCTCTTCCTTCTCTTCCTTTTTTTCTTCCTCTTCCACAATTGTCACAAAACATGTCGCAAGTTTCCCCTCCATCCTTCATGTCACCTCACTGCTAAATGTCTCCCAGTCAATCGGTAGGAGCCAGCCTGGAGGCCCAGGATCTCGCTTCCGAACAACAAGGACTCCTTGATCTGATCGATAAGCTTCAATTTGCGCAACTCGACAATGTGAAGCTGCCTCAGATTGTCGTGGTGGGAGATCAGTCGGCGGGTAAGAGTTCGGTGCTTGAAGCCATCACAGGGACTCCATTTCCAAGAGAAGCCGGAGCCTGCACGAGATTCGCCACCGAGATCCGCCTCCGAAGATCAAAGGTCGAAAAGTTCTCCGTCAAGATCATTCCCGATCGAAGTACGAGAAGCTTTGCCGACCAGGATCGGCTCTCGAAGTTTGGAGGCACGGTCGATGAATCAACTCCCTTCGATGTGTTGATGAATCATGCCGTGGATCAAATCGCTCCGAAGGGTATTGCCGGAAGATTCGCAACGAGAGATGTCCTGGTCGTCGAAAAAGAAGGACCACATTGCCCACTGCTGACCTTGGTCGACTTACCTGGTCTGGTTCAAAATCCCAATAATGACCAGTCGAAAGAGGACATCAAAGCGATCAACGATCTGACTGATCGGTATATGAAGAATCCACGAACCATCATTCTTGCGGTCATTGGTGGCAATGGAGATTATGTACAGGCTCCGGTCCTGATTAAAGCACGACAGTTTGACCCTACTGGAGGACGGACAATCGGAGTTCTGACGAAACCGGATCTGACTGCATCAATTGGCCTCGAGGATAAATTTATCGCCTTGGTCAACAATAGAGACAAGGAGAACGAGCTGAAGCTAGGATGGTTTGTTCTGCTCAATCCTGGACCGCGGAAACGAAATGAACCATGGCCGTCACCTGAAGAACGAGCCCAGAGAGAGCATGATTTTTTCAAATCTGGCAAATGGAGCGAATTATCTCCAGAGATGCGTGGAGCGACTGCTCTGAAACAGAAGCTCAGCTTTCAACTCCAGCGTCATATCGGCAAGCATGTCAAAGCTCTGAGGCGGGAAATCAACAAAGCGCTTGATGAGTGTGAAACTGAGCTCAAGATGATGGGCGAGGGGAAAGACACTATCGAGGAGATGAGGGAAGAACTCGCACAATTGTGTTCGGAATCGAAAGAGCTTGTCAATCCCGCTGTCCATGGTACCTACAAGAATCCGGCTGGTCGATCCTTCTTTCCATTTATGGTGGACCAAAAGGGTACCCCTCCCCAGAATCTAAGAGCCCGTGCTGTCGAAGAGAACCAGAAGTTCGCGAGGCGTGTGAGAGATCTTGGTCACAAACTCAACTTCTCCTCCAGCGCCGATCCTTCCGCAGTTGTCCCTCGTCCTGGAGGACTTTCGAAAGAGGAATATGCCCGCAGAGAGGTTGAGCCCCTCCTGCGCCAGAACAGAGGTACTGAATTCGCAACCGATCACAATCCGCGTTTAGTCTATACATTATTTCAGAACCATTCCGAGAAATGGACACGACTGGCTCAGCAGCACAAGGAGAATCTGGGTATCATTTGCAGTGAATTCCTTGCCGAGGTCATTGATGAGACCTGGCCAGGTCGAATGCGGGAACCCCTACGCAGAGTTTTCTTGGACCCTCAAATGAACGAGATGATAGAGAAAGCTCAATTGGAAGTCGATGTCCTGAAGAAAGACCAACATTTAGAAGTTCAGTCGTATGATCCGGAGTATGAGGTGCGCCTAAAGAATTGGCAAGCAGCAGCAAACCCCGAGCGACCGTATACAGTGGCGGAAGAGGTGCTCGAGAAGATGCTCATACATTACGAATTGACTTCTAAGATCTTCATCATGAACGTCATCACACAAGTTGTGGAACGTCACCTTCTCCAGGGTCTTGACTCGGTTTTCAACTCTGTCAAGGTCTGGAAGATGAAGAATGAGCATGTCGAGGCCATCGCAGCCGAAAACAAGCAGACTCGAGATAAGCGTCTCACTTTGAAGACCAAAAAGAAAGCTATCGAGGAGGCTAGAGATCTTTGCGCAAACTTGGCTATGCGGAAGGAGTTGAGAGTGGTAAGTTTTAGATGTCTGATCTGCTCTGGGCGATTAATAATAACTTCTTGACAGTACGGTAACGAAGATGAAGAGTCTGAGGAAGACGATGAAGAATCCAGCCCAACCACATCACACCAACCATCATCAAGCAAGACTATACCGACCGACTTGCTCGGATCTACAGCCAGGAAGCCTGCCAAGTCGCAACCTCCAGTAGCAGAAGTTCAACCCCGTACCGAGGCCCCCATGACCAATGGAACAAGTAAACCTCGAGTCGCGTCACAGGAGTACTACCCCGACACGCGAAGCAGTCACGCCGTAGATTCTTCGCAGACAAACGGCTGGGAGCAGTCTGCTCAAGAGTTCTATCAATCAAGCAAACCTCAGTACTCAGCTCCGGCACCTCCACCCCGCCCTGGGAAGCTGCCACAACCCGATGATGCTTACCCCGTCACACCTCCAGCCTCGAGCACTCGTCCAGCTTTCAACAACGCAGATTACAATCAACCTTCCCCTCGCGAGAGCACAGGACAATATGCATATAGTCGACCTGATATTCCTCAAACCCCAACCGACTTCGATCAGGCAAGCATTGGTACGAGAAATTCGGGTTCGAGGAACTTCTTCAGTAAGAAGAGGTAGAGGATGTGCAGGAAATTGATTCATGGAGTTGTGCCATTTCCTTTTTTTACGTCCCAAAGCGATCCAGATATCCCAGCAGGCGACAGAAATTATTTGATTATGTTTTACCATGGGGGACGTTCCCTAGATTAATGAAGTTTTCGATCCATTCAATCACAAGCAATTCTCGCCTTCGCTTGCTGTGCAGATATCTCGTATACTATCAGGTTATTAAAGAGTACAGTTTTCATTAAATAAGTTCCCGTTGTGAGTGCTCGTGTTCCCACCCTTTCTACTCCGTCCAGCGAATCTACCCCACTTACCCCGCCATCCTTAATACTTGATCTCATCCACCGGCACAAGATAACACAAGATACTACTCACAGTAGCCAAGTTTGTGCTAACCATAGCTGGACGATTGACGTTAAACTCTGTAGTCCCTGGTTGTGTGCCTGCGAAATCTTTGTATCTATGGCATCTGCATTTATGAGTAAACATCCTTCCCGAGTGTCTCTAGTGAACTTACTGGATCTGATTGATGTTTAATCCTCCACTTGTAGTCCCATTCTGAACGACGAGCTTAGAGATAGAGCAGCCTCTACCATCATCACCGAAGCAAGGTGTAAGTTGGTAGAGCTGTATAGGGGCAGGCTCGAGGACTTTGTTTGGGTCAAGACCTGGTGAAGTGATTACCCCGACAGACACGCCGTAGTACTGATCTCGAGATTGAGAGGGCTGGCTGCAGCCAAGGAGACAAGAAGAATGGTGATGATCGAAAGCAGCATTTTGAGTTGTGCTTGTTTTTAGTTTGCAAGTTGAACGAACTTCGGGCTGGTGGTCGTTCTGAATACCCGTGGAGTTTATTCTCGACGCAGTCATATCTTTATTGGCTGAATGAGTCAGACAAAGGGAAGGAAAACAGTAGATACTTCACATTATTAGCGGCGCGCCTCGTGACTGTCAAGTTTGACGACCAAGCAGCATCTGGATACCACACGAGATCCGATATTGAATTTCCACAGACAAGCAGCCAAGATTGGAGAATGACTGGCAAGATTGGACCAAAACCCAAATTGAGTGGGGGATACAGTGCAGAAGCAGCACCAGGTGCATCCTGAGCGTCGGAGAATCTGAAAATAAACACGACTTGACCAAGAACCAATTTCACTTCCAAACAGTATAAAGATCTCCAGGTGGTCAAAGGGTAGAATTGCTTCGAGATCAGAAGACCTGATTTCTCTTCCCGACAGCAAGCTGACTGCAACTCATGTCTGATCTACTGGGGATCTAGACATTTCTATCGTGTGGACTTACATGAAATCGGTGGAGCTGTCCATACTCCCAAATCCAGATATCACGACAGCGAGTCGCTGGAGACGATTTTCCCTGCCAAAGCCACAATATCAAGATTCGAGATGTTAATTGCTCAACACATAGTTTCCCAAAGCTGGCTCTTTCCACGTCTGTGTTCCACAAATTATGACGAGTAGTCCTCGGAGCTCCTTTATGCTTCAGCGGGCTAATCGAGAGTGTGCCAAAATCGCAGAATTGTCCCGAAGCCGGACTGGCGTTATGAAACATATCCAAGAGTCCAGAAAGGCAAAAATCGGAAAGCTCACAAGGCCATATACAATGCACATGCCACAGCCCAGGAACTTGAAAGCGTCTGTTGCAATCATCAGTGGTATATACAATGCAGAATCCCAGTATCCAACAAGCGAATGATGTGCAAGACCCAATGCACCTTGTACGCCATGTATTAATGCATCCCACATCGAACCTCCGAGTTACTTCTGGTGTGGAGGGTTGTCTCCATCTTCCGCTGTGTCAGCACTCTGCCTTCTTGAGACCAGAACATATTCGGATTCGGATTCACCTTCGCTAGCACCTGGGGTAGGAGGAAGTGCTCCTGGCATTGGTGCAGAATATGTATCTGGCTTCCATTCCTCCTTTGTTTGTGGTCGACCGGTATTCGGTCGGGATATTCTGAATTCGGATGCAAGTGGACTGGTTGCCTGCTCTTCTTCCTTGAACGTATCGCCGAGAGGTACTCTCGATCGAGGACTGGATCTGCCAGTTGATGACTTGCCTGGCGGACTTCCTGCACTGGCCTTCTTCAATCGTTCCTCGGTCGCCTTCAGTCGGGCTTCAAGTGCTTCGAGTTCGGAGGTCTGGGTGGAGACGGCTTTCTTTCTGCAGCAATGGTAAGAAAGGGGCCGAGAGAGACGTTGGGAGCACACACTTCTCGTAGACGGCAGCATCCAGATCTGCCACGCTGTTATCGATTTTGAAGAGGTCATTGAGAGCGAGAGAAAAGGATCGAGCCATTGTCCTACGAGCTGTCAGCTCCCCAATGTTCCTGCCCCACGCAACTGCTTACATACGACTGCGGTCTTGCCGAGGGTTTCCATTCTCTGTCCAGCTCGTCGTCGGACATCTTGATGTGAAAAGTAATACAGTAAAGGGACGGGGATAGGAATATCGGCGGAGGGTAGGAGGTAGGTTGTAGGTTTGGGAGAAGGAAAGAATGTAAGACTCGTCGCTGGTTGCAGTCGCAGATGAAGTATGCGGATCCCCAACCCAAAAAGCTAAATTACCCAATATAAGGGGTTCGGCCTAGAGTCATACGCCTGTGTCTCGGAGGGGGCAGGTCTTCCCTTTCTCGCTTTAAGTTGGATAAATAGCCTGAAGCTCCAGAAACGGACAGGAGAGAGAGAGAGAGGGAAAGGGAGGCGAGTGATGTCTTGCAGCTGCTGCGTGGATTCGGCACTGCGGCGGTCGTCAGGTAGGATTAGGTGGTTTATGCGGAGGCATTCCAAGACCGCAATTTGGCCAGCTCATGCCTGCAATCTGATACGCGAACGGCAAGGAGCATGACGATCCTGAAGAGGCCTGGATAATGAGGCACGAAGAGAGACCGGAGGGGTTCACGATGAGGCGGTGTTGAGAGCAGAGCGAAGAGAAAAGGGGGTAATTGTAGACACAGATTAGGGACGCGTATACCACGATGTGGATGTTAGGAAAAGGGGAAGACTATTGATGTTTTAGTGGTTGTGTAGCCGTGTCGTGGACTGCCGCCACGGAGAACTCATGACGAGATTGATCTAGTCAAGTCCACGTGATGTGTCTTGAAAAAGATATATATAGAGTGGAACGCACTGCGAAGAGAGGGAGATATCAATGAGGCACGTTAGACGGCTTTCGGTGGTGTGTTGTGGCGGTGTCGTTTGACAAATCTTTGGATTGGTTGCCCTCGAACAGGAATCATGGCTAGATGGGTTACTCGCAGTGGACTTGTAAATCGCTGAATAGCTCGACTTTTGAATTGGCATTGATCCTTCCAGACTCTTGTCGGCAGACGTCCTTGTCAAATCCTAACCCACCGGTGACAAAGTGGAGATGCACAACCACGAGCTTTGTGAACTATCGGCATTTCTCGTGAGAACTTTTTGATGTGTACATATAGTACGAGAAACGGAATTCGGAAAATTCCAGTCGATTGACTGTTTCCAGACATTCTTAGGCATTGAAGTCCGATGAGAGCCTCCATAAGAATTACTCGATCGTGCTTGAATGGAGGAGTGGTAAGATATTACAGTTCCAGCAAGATACCAAGATAACGTATCTCGTATTCTCCAGGAAGTATCTCCTTCACAAAGTGAAACATTGAGAAGATCTACCTCTGTTGTCTCGAACTTGAGATGAGGCTGAACATCAAAATGAAGCTATATCGGCTGATCATAAATCCGCTCCGGGCATATCTGTGCACGTGACCGCTTTTCGATCTTTGCATCGTGACAATTCTGAATAGCATCATCGCGCAAACGATCCAACAACCACGCTCAACCTCATGAAATCCATCGAAACGCGACTCAGACTCTCCGGCGACGCGATACCTCCCTTCAAGTAAGCTTCTTCAATGTCGCAACGCCTTCAAACCATCCTCTGACCTTCTCCCAAAGTCATCGTCCTGGCTCCTCTTCACCTTCTCCCCAGCCGTGACATTCCCCTCGATCGCTGGCGAGGAATTCACTGGCCCATGACTAATACGGCTCTCCATACTCCACTCGAGTGCCTATTATTGTTCCAATCTCTCGTCGCATATGGCACAGAAGACCAAGACTTCCAACGAATCTCCGATCTTCTCACGAACAATCCCATCGTGAAAGATGGAGATACCTACGATGCGCAACGTCTGACCACAGATGCTCTACGCCAAATCTATATGCAGCTTCTGCGCGACGAATTACAGGCGGCTGAGCAGGAAGGAGAAGATGGCACACAATCGAAAAAGAGGAAGCTCCAGTCTCCACCACTCCCATCGATCAAGGACGCGCATGAGTACCGCGAGAAGCTGCCCCAGCTTGTTGATCGATTATATGCACGGTACCGTGATCAAATGATAGTAGCCATACGTGCGGACGAGCAGAGGTATGGAACAATACAGCGAGAGATTGGTGAGATTGAACGTGGAGAATGGGACGAGAGGATATTGGAAGAGGAGAAAGCGAAGACGAAGGCCAATGGCTCCCCATCCAACTCACGTCCACTTATGAATGGAAATACCGTTCAAGCTGCACAAGAAGTTGGATCGTCACCTGCGAAGGTTACGGACGGAACAGCTAATCCAATCCCTCCGCCATCTCCACGAACAGAGACACGACCAGAAGGGCTGGCCATCAGTGATGTACTCAATAATCACCAAGAACAGCTTGCCGCTTCCACGAATAGTGCGCCACCTCTTTCTCCCCAGAACTTCCCTCCGCCTCCCAGACCTGCGAGCAATGGTCCGCATGGCCCCTCACCTCTGCAAACACACCAATCGAATTTCAATTGGCAGCAACCTTATGGATTACCACCCCAACAACAACCTCCATACCAAGGTGCACCTTTTCCTCAATATGCTCAATACCCTCAACAACTCCAACCACCAAGACCATTCCCGAGCCCTCACGGACTGCCATCTCCTCATCCCCATGTTCCATCATCTCCTGTCAATGCTCAGCACCCACAGAGCGTTCTTCTACCACCTCCAAATGGCATTCATCGACCACCAAGCTCACCTGGGATGCCTCTGGATGCTCTTGCAGATGTAGCGGGACAACAGCAGTATCGTGCACCTTCCGGCTCTCCGATGATGCAACAGCCACCAGCAGGATATCCCCCGCAGTTTCAGCCTCATCCGAGACCACCTTCTGGCAATGGAGCTCCACAGATGCAACCTCAATACATGCAGCCATATCCTACCCAGCAGTACCAGTACCCTCAGAATCAAAGGCCAGCATTTGTCCCTCAACCAGCGCCTCTCATTCCAACAGAGAATCGACCTTATTCTTCTCCATACCACCCAAACCAAGGACAAAGACCTCCTCTCCAACTCGGAACACCTGGATCTCGTTCAAGCATTCCTCATACACCTATTTCGAGGCTACCTTCACTTACGACCGGCAGTGGAACTCGATGGATTCAGACCCCTACTGCATCGACCCCCAGGCAATCTGTCCACATTGAGTCTCCGGCCATAGAGCCAATTAGTCCAATACTTCGCCCAGCAAAAGTCACATCAGCAAAGCGTGGAACCAAAAAGCAACTTTCAAAGGCAGACCCCAAAGGCAAGGCTCCTCGCCGCAGCGTCCAACGTACCAGAGCTGGAAGTACCACTTCAACTGTCATTGCTGGTTCACATAGGAGTCAGTCTGTTACTTCTCATATAGATGAACTCTCCCCCGACAATGACCCTCCGAATCGCATTGTCAAACAAGAAGTTGCTACTCCCATAGGCGTTGAGGATGGTGGTGACACTACTGCTGATGAGCTGCCTCGACGTCCTTCTCGTTCTGGTCCATCGCCTCGTCACAACACGAAGCGCAAGCGTGCGTTTAGTATACCTATTGAATCCCGACCTCCGTCAGCTCCACCTTCTCATGTTCTCTGGACACGAGCTTTTACAAAGATTTCGGCGTCCGCGCTTGAATCCATTGCTGGACACAAAAATGCCAGCACCTTCGCTGCGCCAGTTAAGGAGCGTGATGCGCCTGGTTACAAAGCGTTTATTCTTCGTCCTCAAGATCTAAAATCGATCAAGTCAGCAATCAATGCAGGTGCTAAAGCAGCAGCAGCTGCTGCTCCGGTTGATATGAATCCTAATGCTTCCAGTGTTTGGCTACCTATCTCCGAGGATCTCATCCCACCAAAGGGCATCATCAATTACGCACAACTGGAAAAGGAATTGATGAGAATGTTTGCCAATGCAGTAATGTTCAATGCCGATCCTGATCGTGGTATTGGCGGAAGATGGCAGGGCATTGGCAAGGGCAGAGGTGACAATGTTGGCTACGAGATCGATGAAAATGGCGTGGTAAAGGATACCAAGACCATGTTTGCTGACGTTGAAAAGATTATCAGCAATCTCCGCAGTGCAGAGCGAAGGAGTGAGGAAATCAGAGATAGCAGCATGGCGAGAGCTGATGACGATGAGGTTGATGAACTGGCTGCGGATGATGATAGCCATGCTGGCAATACCAGCACGGTAAAACGAAGGAGGAGGGCATGAGCATTCAACCTTCAATGTATGTATGTACGACAGTATCTGAAAACTTGGTGCCACTGCTCGAGGCCCAAACCCGAACCATGCTTATGTCCAACAATGAATTCGCCAATTGTGTGCCATTCTATTTCAAGAAACACATCCCTCAAGTCGAGGCAATTTCATTCAAATTTTCAATTATGACGAATTCCCAGCATCTCGAAGCGTTTACTTCGTCCACGTGCAGTCACGGCTCTTGGCGGAGATATTTCCGCCCCAAGAATTTTGAATTTTATCGTTACGTAAAACCTGCGAATTTCGCACGTGTCTTTTCAGTGCTTATCAAACTATGGGGTAATGCTGCGCCATTTCGCGCAATCAGCAGACGAACAATTGACGTTGCGTTAGTCAAGGGGAAGCACGATTTATAAAAGTGCGGGGAGTCATTGGTTCGGGAAAGCTCGGCGTGTATGGCGAGTTGACGTCTCTTGTAAACGTCAATGCGAACGCAGATATATCTTGAGATGAATGATGTGTTTGGAATCCAAGAGGGACCAATTGATAATAGCTCCAGTGGCGATTGGATATGTGCAGTTCAAGCTTTCGAGATTTTTGCGGCAGTGTCAGGATTCTTTTCGAAGTCATGGGTGCGCGTGTCAAATGCTCAACGTCAAAGAATGCTTATTAAGTCACGATGTCAGCATCATGAAAAGTAAATTGGTATATAAACTCTTAGCCGCTTTAGGGTACCTGCTCTTACGCTCGCTAGAAAATTTGTCTTTCAAATTCATTCACGGCATTCCGCAGTTGCGCTTTATTCTCCAGAATCTGCTTGAACATGCCATACAAATCATTCAATGATTGGGTGTCTGCTTTCAAGGGAGTAGAGCCATGTTCACCTGGTTCTTCTTCTTTGGAAAAGCTTCCGAACGAAATACTCAGTCAAATCTTGCGACATCTTGCACCGCCAGACACAACGCAACAGTCTTATTACCTGAGGGATAATCTTCCTAGTGAGAATAATGACCTTAGTGACAGCTGTGAACCTTACTAAGTGTTCAATAGTCAGCCCGAACAATCAGTGCGAGAAGAAACGCTTCATCTCCTGCCTTCTGATATCACGGAGGCTCTACCACATAGCGCTGCCTTTGAAATATCAATGCCCGGACATCGCTAACTATGATGGCTTCACGGGCGAACTCGCTCGCAATGCAGCACATGGAACTCTGGTTCGTTCCCTCGATCTGTCATGTCCTCGACTCGATACAGGATCTTGGTCACTTTCCTCCTCTCTGACTTTAACCCCTCGTCTGAAAACAATATCTTTGCCTCTTCAAGCATTCTACGATTCTGGTCCCGGATTGGCTACGCAGATCTTCTTCGAATTGTCGAACGTTAATTCAATAAAGATAATCAATCGATCTAATGATTGGGATGACGCGCTATCTTCCCATACTTTTGGGAAACTGAATCCCGATTTCACCAGCTCGATTACCTCCCTCTCCCTCGACGGGTTCTCGGTCGGAAACATTTTCCAGACAGTTCTGACTCGATCTCCACATCTTCAAGTCTTGAATTTGATGGGTTGCTACCTCGATGGTGTAGATTTCTCTTCGCTCAGCAAGAATGCCAGAATACGTCAGCTCATTTTGGAGCAGTCCAGAGTTGTGAAAGGAGAAGATCTCGTTGAGTTTATTACGGGACATCCCGCGGTCAAGAATACGCTTGAGGTGCTGAATTTAAAGGGGGTTGTGCAGTATGGGTTCACACCATTAAAACAGGAACATGTGACGACAATTCTAGAAAGTCTTCCCTCTAGTTTGCGCTCTCTCACCATCAGCAGCTATTCTACGCAGGATATCCCATTGCTTCGGAAACTGAACCCTCAACTTGAGGAGCTGGGGATGGGCCGTATGCGGGTTTATGAGCTGGAGGAGATCCTCCTTGGTTCGGTCTACGATCTCAGTAAAACAGCACCAAAATCAGCCTCGACAAAGGCAGCTATACTTGATTCCCATCTCATCACTATCTCTAATGCGGTTACGTTAACTCAGCTGAAAAGGCGAATCAATTCTCTTACGCCTAGGAACAGTAAACATTCTAATACGTCACGGTCACGCATCCAGCATCTCGATGCAAAGTGCGTCGCTTTATCCCTCGAAGATCTCAAGTCATCTGTTCTTCTTGGTCCCCAGTCACTACCATTGAGAGCGATTGAGCTTCCTGCAATTACGGTCTCAGATCAGCACGAGTTAGTACGGTTCTTAGGACCTGTGGGGTGGAAAGTGAAATCAGTAGGTTTGCGAATTTGGATGGAGAGAAAATGATTAGCTTGGAAATGGAGTTTCGGTGAGCGATAGGAAGCAGGATATCATGATAATAATGTAATATTTGCCTTCAATGACGTCTCAAAAAGCCTCATCATGCTAGCTGCATCTTCTTCATCCGTTCTCTTGTCTCCTGGATCTGTGTTGACAATCTCCATGGATAATCAAATTGATCCATGAAAACCTCGCAAACCTGTATTGAATCAGCATGTGGAGTTTGACATTCAAGGATAGGGAATTTACTTGAATGTACTCAGCTCGGTTGAACTCTTCGTCGTGTAAGACAGATTCGAGCTCCTCAACTGTCTTGCAAGAGAAGCTCTTCCCCTTAATTCCTGTGTCATCTCTTGCCCCTAGAAATTCTAGCATCTTCTGATGATCCCAGAGCATGCTGACATCGTTGTATCCTTGCTTCTCTCCGTTGATAGCTCGTTCAATCGAGTATCCACCATTGTTGATGACGAAGATGATGGGTGTGAATCCGAATCGAATATATGACCCGATCTCTTGAACTGTCATCTGCAGTGAACCTTCGCCTACCAGAAGTACAACCCTTCCTGGACGTTTCATCTCCTTGGCAGCCACACATGCACCTAGGCAGGCGCCTACAGTGTAGCCAATTGAAGACCAGAAGGTTTGAGTGATGTAACAGATATCGGCTGGGAAAGAAGCATCCGGCATACCGAACTGAGCCGTGCCAGATTCAGCAAGGACGATGTCGTGGGGTTTGAGGAAGCAGCCGATGCGCTGCCACATGAACGACTGAGTAATGGGGCCCGAAGTTGAGGAGTTCAAGACGGGCGTCTGATAACTTAGTTCTGTACCATTGATTTGCATGAAATGCTTACCTCAATCTTCTTCCATGATTTGTTTTTCGACAGCTGATAATCTTCTGGCTTTTGTTCAAGTTTTGCGACAATTTGCTCGAGAACTGGCAGAAAGTGCATGCTATCAAATTTCCTGCCTTGAACTTGACAATGATCGTGACCGAGAAGGACAAGCTGCTTGTCTGAGATGTTCCTTGTGAACCCACCAGTATTCGAATCTGAGAGAAGTGGCCCAATGTTGATGATTAAATCAGAGCTCTCAAGTTCGGCAGCCACTCCGGGAAATGACACTAGAGATTATTAGATGACGGAATGTTTCGATGATATTGAGACATACCTGATCCGTTGTACAAGCCATTAAATTGTTCATTTGTCTCATCAATAACCCCTTTGGACAACGGCGTGGAATGAACCGGAAATCCCGTTAACTGAGCAAGTTTCCTAACCAAATCCCTTCCACCATGTCGTATCGCTAGGACATCAGCTAAGATGGCTGGCTTGGATGATCCTTTGATGAGTTCAACGGTCGAACGCGCGACCTCGTTCTCCAATTCCGCGTTTGGATTTTGGATTTTGAGATTCAAAGAAACATCGAGACGAGTGGCATCCAGAGGAACGCTTACGACATCCATTGGAACATAGATATAGACAGGAAGTCGACTTTTTACGCCTTCTTCGATGACTCTATCCATCTCTTCGGCCATAGTAGATTCGTCCATAAGAATAGTGTGGGTTTTCCGGATTGGTTCGGCCATACCCACAAACAGACAATGGTCCATGTTGGGCTTTGTTTCATTAGCACTTTTCGCAAGCAACTTGAGCTAAAACTGACTTCCAAAGTATGATGCAACATCGCCCTCGCTTTTTGCACTGTTCCTGATATCAGCGCAAGCTTCACTCAAGTACGATGTTGACTTACGTTGTCTCAATGGCATCCCGACAATATGAATCATTCCCGCATGTTCCGCATATGCTCCAGCAACACCATTCATGGCAGACAATTCTCCAACAGCATACGTAGTGACTAGAACACCCGGGGTGCCCTTAACGCGTGAATACCCATCAGCGGCGTAGGCTGCGTTCAGTTCATTACAAGCTCCGAGCCATTTCAAGTTCGGCATCTTGAAGAGCTCATCGAGAAGTGATACTTGGTAGTTTTAGTCTGGCAGTCCTATGATGGGGTTGAGACTCACAATTGAAATCGCCAGGGACGCCAAAGATATGCTGCACGCCGAGTGATGCGCACCTCGAGAACAAGTATTGGCCCATGGAGATAGTCGCAGCCATGATGAAATTGATTTGAAAGTTGAAAGTGACCTTACGAGAGAAAATCTATGAAGATTGAATAGTTGTGAGAATACTGAAAGAAACAGCTCGGCATAGAGATAATGCGGAACGGGTAATAGCGGGGTAAAATTGCGGGGTTGTTACTGTAAGCTTATTTTTCACGACGTGTATTCACGGGACGTCAAAGGGTTTCCGCAGTAGTTTCTTCATTTTATGCAAGTTCGAACATGAATTGTAATCCAAACAAAACTTGATCCAATGAAGATAAAATTACATAAAGTTTGATTTCGGACTAGATAATATAGTTAAAGTTGCCGTACATCGCTCAACTTCATCGCCTCCAACTGTCGCTCGAGCACTTTCAACACATCCTCTCTCGTCATTATCAAATCCGGATCTAACCCAGCTTTAATCCAAGCTCTCGCCCTCAGACGTCTAATGAACTCCCAAGCTTCCTGGCCCCCTTCCGTCAAAGGACGCGGCATGATATTTCCCTGTTCGTTCCCACTGATGCCTCCATCAATATTACATAACGCAAAAGCTTGATCCACGATATTCCGAGACAGTTCCGAGTCTGGCCCGAACGGATTCTGTTCTACTTCTTTTAACAAGATCATGATAGCGTGAAGGGGCTGGTGGTTACCAGGCCAGGCCCATTGGAACCATTGGAAATCTTTAGCACACGCGATAAAGAGGAACTTTTGCAAGTAATTGCGAGAATGCGTCACGACCCTACTCGCGTCAGCTCACAATTCTTGATCCCTTCATTTTTACCTACAGAGGAGACAGTATCATGATATTTTGGCTCAGTGCACGATGTAGGATCGGAGAATGCAAGAACCACCAATTTTTGCTGCCAAGCGCAGATAAAAGAACCTTTGCCCAGCTGTTGAAATTCTCATTATCTTCGTACGTCGAGTTCTCAGTGTCGCTAGGGATGCGCTTGACTTGCTGAAACAAAAATGATTCAAGCTTGACCAGCTCATCCTTTAAATCGTTGATATCACGAGATGAAATCGAAGAGGGGTCAAATGCTACATCCATCAGGCTTCTTGCGACACTTAATATTGCGTTAGTCACATTTAGGGATCAATTTCACTAAGATCCATTGCAGCTTACAAGTTTCCTCAATCTTTCCTCTCAGCCAAATTCCCATCGGCGACACAAGTGACCGTGAGCTTGATGCATCACCAACCAGAGTATGGCCATCCCTCGTACCTGCTTCGTAATACATACCTGCCACTGTGCCGATGTATTCTTCCCGTAACTCGCTGACCATGATCGTATCCCAAGACCCTCGATTAATTAAAGGGGGAAGCCCAGACGCCATGGCCACCATTACGTCGACATGGAAAACATGCCACCATACCCTCCGTCTGAGGGTATATACTACATCGGATTTTGGGTGAAAGGGGGCAATTCCCCTGACGGTGCTAGAAGGGGAAGGCGGTCGCCGAGGGCGGTGAGTGCCGAGTGCCACCGAAAGGGGTTCTGCCGATCTCCTTTAACCTCTTCGTCACTTCTAACAAGGGATCCAAGGGATCGCCGGAGGCTTGGAGCCCTCCCTACTCAGTACACGGACCACCGCGTACGCGTTTATACTAGTGAGAGAGACGCTAGCGCGTCTCCCTTCTTGCTTTCTTGCCTGAATGGAATTCTAAGAATGGATCTTCTTTCTTTTAATCCTACTTATAATATCTTAATCTATACGAGCTACAAATATACCGTTCATTCTACAGCTATTCCAAGGCACTTGTACGACCACCACAAAGCTACGATCCCACCTGGCAAGGTCCAGGAATACGCCCGTCTCTTTACCCCGGATTCTCTTTTACTTCCCCGGGAAGTGAAACAACTCTATGTCCCTACTACTATACTGCCTATCCCGCATTTGCGGATCTACGACGATGCTTACTGCTGCAAGCTCTGCCCTCCGGATCAGCCGTATGTGATCCGCAGCGAGAAGATTCTGCTCGGTTATTTAAAGGAAGCCCATTAATGGAATAGGAGCAAAGGCTTTGCGGACCGGCCGTCTAAGTCGCGCTTACCACTCAGCGATGCCGCCTACTTCCCCGTTGCTTGCCAGACCTTCCATACAAAAGCCTACACCCGCTACTTCCTCGTCAATAACAGCAAGCCTGGCTCTAATCTAGCGCTAGCGCAGCTCGCGGAGGCCCTTAAGAAACTACCCCTTAGCCTCCGAGAACAGGTGGAGCAAACCCTTGCTCAGAAGCTCTAAGCACCTAAACCCGACATTACCTCGCGCCACAAGACTAAGGTCTCTCCCTGGCTCGACTTAACGCAATAGGAGCGGTACTTTCGGGGTTATAACTTGAGTCGTATCGTACGCCTCCTTGATCTCCCATCGCCTCATCCCCTATTCGACCCCAATTAGCCAGATAATCACCTCGTCCTCGTACTTGAATCCTTTGACCGTCTTATCGAGCAAGCCCGTGAATCGCTCCGCACCGACCGGATCAACATCTTCGATTAGCAGCGTGTTAGTAGCTTCCTCACCCGCCGGACCACGAACTTCTCATTAGTGCACAAGCTTTAAGAGGGCACTTATATTATATATAAGAAGGTGTGGAAGCAACTGCTGAGCTTCGTTTATCGGCGTGTCTGGCGGAACTAAGGCCCTGAGCTCTCTTATCGTCTGACCGACGCTTAGGTGACAGCCCTAACGATATTTCCCCTTAGACTCCTAGATTATGGGCATTTTTTGGTAGGGCTCGCTAGTAGCAGTGGGCAGTAAATGGCCTGTGTAAAGCTCTCCATTTACTCGGAGCTCCCAGAATCTGGGTTCTAGTGTTAGAGGTTTTTATGCTTAATTCTTATAAACTAATCAATTTGAAAATGTCGACCGAGTTAATACAACTACTATTGCCACTGCCCGAAGCTTTAAGGCCGTGGCTAGCATTAAATGCCGAGTTCTACGTAATCATCTGCTACTACGCCGGCTACCAACACGCTCTTAGTCTAAGTATAATAAACCGCTATTTACGCGATAAACACTAAACTAGAGTTGAAATAAGAAAGCAGCTTGAGTTGTATCTCGAGCAATAGTAGTGGCAATATGATTTCCGCAGCGTGCTACTGCCATTAGACGGGTCTCTGCCACAGCTAGTCTTCCCAATTATCGACGGCTTTTAGTGCAGAGACTATAAGTACAAAACAACCAACCGGAGCGTTATACGACAGTATTGTAATACGGAGCACAATAAGAAGCGTCTTTAAGACGAGGAGCTGTTCCGAGCTATCCGGCTCTAGACGTGGTTCGGGGAGAAGAGGGCGCGATATTGGGTGGTGGGCGAGACGCGTTAGTTACGTAATGTCAACAATAGCAGCGGCAGTAGTAGTGGCGATGCCGGCGCTATAATCAAAGCTAAGATCGCGGAATGGATGATTAAGAAAGAAGGCTAATATGAGGTCAATACTGTGGCCACTGAGATTGACCCGTGGCTGTAATACACTAGCTAGGAAGAAGTACTAGCTAGATCTAAGCACGACTTGGAGACCACCGCTGCGTTTACTACCACTACTACTACCACCGAGCCGGGACTAGCGCTACTACTACAGAGCTAGGAACGCATTCTGTAGCAAAGTCTAAACACATATATAGTAGTTAGTAACTACAAAGATATTCTCAAGTAGTGGGCATCGCCTAAGAATGAGGTGGCTAGCCAACGGCCGTTTGAGCTACCTAAGAAAAGGAGTCTTGCACGATATAGCCAGACGTTTGCAAGGCTGCTCTGCTATATGATGCGCATTGCTCTTAAGTCTATAGACGACGAGACTGAGATGGGAGTCATATTCTCTGAGCTATAGTTAGTCTGCGTTAAGAGAGTACGGGAGGTAGTGGTAGTAGTAGATAGCAAACTCGATTCTATACTAATGGGACTAATTATTAGTCTTATTGCGCAAGATACTAGTCAACTACTCTTATACGAGTCGCTAGTTATGCATTACTTGGCCGTATGTGGTATTAATCCCTAGACAAAGAGATTCTACCCGTTATTTCAATATACCCCTATCTTGGCTCATATGATCTGGATGATCCGGCTGCTTATGCTTGAAGTGGCTGTCTTAGAGAAGGGCTAGCTAGAGCTCGGACTATAGAGCCGAAAGGAAATCGGGGCAGTGGTAGGGGCAGTAGTAGAGCGCATCCATCAACTACGGAGAGACTAATTGTGTGAAGAGTCTTTCTCGCTTGCATCTAGCATTCTCTCACAGCTCGCACGCGGACAGGCCATTAACTGGGTCTAGCCGTCCGAGGCTAATATCTACTAGTCTGATAACCGCTAAACCGTCTTCTATAGGGGCAAGGGAGTAGTAATAGCCAAGGTACGGATAATGTGTTAAGCGCTAACTATTGAGCTAGAAGGGCTTCTCTACGAGCTACTATTTCACTAAAGTGTTACGCTAGTGCCACTGCTATAGCTAGTCGACAGTATGGGGACAACACAGCGGTTTTAGCAGAAGGGGTATAGTTTTGTTGACTACCCAGACAATGTATATTAGAAGGTGGGCTGGGAGTTCTTATAGGAGCGGATGCTGCACGATGGCCAGATATTAGTCAAGGCTAGTAACAGTGGTAATGGCCAACTCGAATGGGCTGACTAGCCGTATAAGGCGTACTTGGATCGTGAGAAGTAGTTTTTGCTCAAGCTTATGGTTGCTATACACATCATAGGAGGGCAGCCGGCTCGTAGTCCGGAGATCGGCTCGATTAAGGTTAGGAATAGCTTCACGTTGAGTCGGAATATCTTTGTGATCAATGGGCGAGTGGCTATAGTAACTACATATAACAAGTCTCTTAAGCGCCGGGGAAAGATTGAGTATGTATTTCGTTGCTTTTCGGACTAGCTTAGCTAGGTTATTGCATAGTATATACTCTACGTATTGCTATTCTCACGCGTAGTGGAGAAGACTAAGGGCGACTTTCTCTTTGCCGATAAGCGCGGGCTGTAGATCAAAGACTAGCTGTTAGGGGCTATAGTAGTGGCAATAACTAAGCATCTGGGACTCCGGCTAACCGTCTCGGGCTAGTGACACGTTGCGATTGCTATCGGCGACGAGCATTTGCGCAGGGCAAGCCGGATCTGGAAGCAGGACCACGAGGACGACGAGGAGGGAGAGGCTGTGGACGGGGAGAGTGACGGCGAGGTCGAGCAGAGCTTGTTTGAGCACATTCTCGTCCGGTAGTTAGCTCACGGGAAGCCGACAGTAGATTTGCGCTATGCTATTGACGGCGCGTTTCTTAACTAGCTTGGGCCGGATCTGGTTAGCGCATATAGCTAGGCATCACGGGTATAGCACGCGTTTCTACATCTCGAGTCGAGAGGAGTAGTAGTAGTAGTGGCTATAGTCAAGCGTCTAGCTAGTCCGCTGTAGCAACCGGTTAAGCGGCCGAAGCTCGAGGTAAGTCGTGCTCTACAAGGACTGCAGAGGATCTTGGGGCCCAGAGTAGCGCCCCGATCTGAAGGGCAAGCTTACGCACTTAAGCTAGTCCATTCTGCCACGCCGGCCTAGCCGCAGATTATTATGCTCGGCACTAGCAGTGGCAAGAGTCTGTTATTCTTCTCGGTTGCTGCAATAGCGTCCCACTAGACCGTGCTTATCGTAGTGCCGTTTGCTGCTCTCGTCGACGATCTCATTACGTGAGCACGAGGGCACTAGCTTACGTGTGAGGAGTGGTAGTGGCAGCGGTAGTGAAAGCTCTTGCCGCAGCTGCTTATCGTTAGTGCGGACCGGGCGGTTGAGGCTAACTTTCTCTACTTTGCCAAAGGACTTGAGCTAAGCAAGCAACTGGCACACGTCTTCTTTGACGAGTGCTATGTGGCCGTGACAGACACGTTATACCGAGCTAAGCTACGAGAACTATGGCAGTTGTGGTACTTGGATTACTGGTTTACTTGTTTGACTGCTACGCTCTTAACTACGCTTGAGCCGATGTTCCGTACTAATCTGCTACTCGAGCATGCTTAGCTATATCGACAGTCGACCATGCGGCCCACGATCCGGTATCGTATTGTCGACTACTACGGGAAGGATCTATGGGAAACTATAAAGCCGCTTATCCGACGACTGCCACTACCACCGGCATCACGTGGGGTGATCTATATCCGGAGCTATACACAAGGAGAGAGTATTGCTGCGGAGATAGACTGCCCGTTTTACAAGGCTACTGCTACAGATAAGCAGGAGCTGCTCGAGCAGTGGGCGTGTGGTAGTAGCGGGTGGATCGTAGCAACTAGGGCGCTCGGGACAAGTATTAATATCCCCGGAGTTGTTTACATTATCCATCTCGGCCGGCCGTACGGGCTGACTAGTTTTATGTAGTAGGCAAGGCGGGGAGGACGCGCGAGTGAGATTAGTAACTTAGTTGTGATTCTTCTATCAAGCAGTGGTAGCGATAGTAGTAGTGGCTAGTTCCCGGCTCTACGGCAAGAGCTTGTTAATACATACTTAGTCGAGGCGCAAGACGAGGCGGCATTAACGGAGTATCTCGAGAGCGGCAGCTATCGGCGGGCTATTCTCGTACGGCACTTGGACGGCTGTCTCCAAGGGGCTAACTATCTCACTACTAATAGCATTCTCTGTGATCGATGCCAAAAGTCACTCGAGCAAAGGGACAGGACGGGGAGTGAGACTAAGGAAAGTAATGGCGGTGGTAGTAGTAGTGGTAGTAATAGCCAAGAGAGCAGCGTGGAGGTTATCCACTAGGCACTGCAACTCGGTATCTAGCGGAACGAGTAGCTTGAGCAGTTCTATTAGTTGCTCCACGCACATTGCATCTACTGCTAGCTCATGCGTGTAGAGGGAGAAGAGTATAGCCACTACTATAGAGACTGCCCGTACGCTGCTAAGAAGGGCTATGATATAGTGGTATACCGGCAGTGGCGGTCACGGCTCAAGCTAGCTAGCCGTGACTAGTGCTTCCGATGCGGCTTATCACAATTAGTTTGTAAGGCAGTCGAGGACTAGGTTAGATGTGTCTACTCGCATCTCATGCTCCCGGGAATCTTCTTCTTACACTAAGTGGGTCAGTTACAAGGGATCTGCCAGGAGGTAGGGTTTAGAGGAAGATTAGAGTGGTAGTAGCAGTGGATGAACGAGGTAGGGGAGAGGGCATTTGGGTAGTGGGAGATTAACTGGATGCGGGTATAGCGGCGGGTAGGGGAGATTTATAATGAGATTGAGTGTCACGGTTATGGAGTCACGTGCCCGCTACGAAATACTCACGTGACCGCTCGCCTGTATATATGCCCTGCCTTCCGGCGCTTCCTTCCTTTCTTTCCTCTTTACCTTTAGATTCTAAGAGATAGCCGAATCGATACTTCGTCTACGTACTAAGCTTCCCACCGTACTGTTACATTGAGGATAATAATAGTTAATATATCTCTTTTAAATCTAATATTTAATATTTAATATTTAATATTTAATTATTATTATTATTATTATTATTATTAAAAAGAGAAATAAATATATATTTGTTTAATTATA